CTTCGTTGTTGATGTTTGCCATATGAGTGGCCGCATGAAACGCCCAAGTTCTTAATGGGACAATTGAGTTGTGAATTGGGAGTAATTGCGCCCGTTGTAGTGGGGATCTCCAAACGTTTATGGCTCTATGCCACCCAGAAACTTGATTCTGAGCAAGGAAGTCCAGCTTCCTGATCTACCTGAGTAGAACTGCGGCAATTGAATTGGTAGTTGAGGAGGGAGGAGCGGTCTGAAAGTGAGGCTAGGGCCGACTAATTGAGCATACCTCGCAGTAATAGGTCGAGAGTTTGTTGGCAGGCCCATGGACCCTCAGCCGTCAGTAGATTCACCATTCTTTTGAACCTGAATGGGTCTGGATGAATGAATACATGCAATTGTTGAGTACTCGTATCGCTCCGCAAAATAAAGTGGCATATAAGCATCCATCTGCGCAATTAAAGAGCAATGGATAAAATTCCACGAGTAGAGTAATATAGTCAAGAATAATCATCAAGACGAGGTCAAGTCCTCCGACATCATAGCTGCAATGATAACCCATAGAAAATTGGTGCGTAAAAATGTCTCACTGGAATCCAAGCCCTCTGAGTCTGGCTCTCCTTTCGAGGATCACATTCTCAGTCTGTCTATACAGAGCATCGAGTTGTTCCATAGACAAAGAATCCATCAAAATTCTTGCAACTTGCGTGCCCGCACTGATAAGTTGCAACATGTAACGGTCGTCTTTGAGGGTTCTGGTTTGCTGGTCTCCCCTTGTGCTTTGTCTGACAGCAATCGAGTTCTCTAAAGTCGTAACAAACTGCTTAATCTGGTTGTCGAAGAGAACTCTGGCTGGAATCCTTCGCTTGGTTGCGAGTCTCTTCAAAAGATATGCCCATTCTGTCCATTCACGATCTGCGGCCGTTCTCACTCTGGGTTTATCTCGTTCCAGAGGGATGGGAAATTGATATTTTGCTACAAAATGAAATGCACAACGGGAAAGAATGTCGTTGACGTGCAGAATGATCTCGTCCTGCTCATCCGCTTCCAGATGGACAGGAAGCGTCGGAAGCGTCTGGGATCGGGCGTGCTCTTGTTGCGGCACTGGGAGAGGGAGTAGTTGTGATGGGCCATCAAATTCATCTTGATTGAAAGGCCTCCGTCGAGTGTGGTAGCGTGTAGCTCTGCCCATCTCGGCGCCTCTTCGATTTTGCGTCTCCAAGTCGTAGTCTGCATATCCTTGACTTGTTGGTGATCCAGTCTGAAGGACGAAACTGTCCTGGCTCTGTCTTCGGATTGCCATGGTCTCTGCGTCAGGGTTCGACCTAGGTGGCGGTCCATACTGATACGAGCCGGTATCTGAAGTGAAGGCTGAAGATTGGGACCCAAATGATAGTGGACGGAAGGGTTCGCCCACCGCCGATGTTGGGCCACGACTTGCACTGTGAATCTCGGGAGGCAGTCGCCCCCGTAGTCTGTCTGCCACTTCAGGAGAGATGCGCCCAGCCATTGGATCACCGGCGAAAGGATCGTATGCAGCGGTAGTCCACGGTTGAAATCTGCTACGGGTGGAGTATTAGCGACGACGGTCACATGTCATCAGCAGACATTGAACTTGCCTTTGAAGAGAGAATGGAGATGAACTACCCACGACGGGTCTCAAAGTGGCGGTGTCTGGTGGCCTGGATAAAAGGAAATCTTCGTGATCCGACATGCCCATATTATTGTCGGTCAAGTCGAGGGCAAACTGTACTCCAGGAGCAAGTCCGGCAGAGTACGATGAATGTAGATTGCTGATCGGAGAGGTCAATGCCAACATGTTCAGGTTTGGCCAAAGTGCTGGACAGGTTGGAGAGAAGGCAAAGGACACAGAAGCGTCACAAAATGGTATGAGTGTCGCTTGCCTTGAGCCTGAGATCTGATAGGAGAGGAAATGGTCGGGTTGCAGGGGCTTTGCGTCAGGCACCACATTAAGTATTGGGCATTGATATTTAATACCAGACAGATCACAGAGATGAGCAGCCAGGTACAATCCAATAATGATACTGCATTCGTCATGTGGGCAGATGGAGTTAACAGAAAACGATTTTGGCCCTCTGAGCCCAGAAAAGCGCTATTCTGGAAGTTGTTTGATGCCCACCCATTCCGCATCCCGGGGGTAGGTTACTAGTTTCTTACAGAGGGCCCACACTTAGTACAGGGGCTGAAACAGAAGTTCCTGACGTTTGGCCCCGGGACTGTTGCCGACACCGAGGATGAATTGGTAAGGCTTCTGCCATGCACCTTGCACCATTTTGGCAGATTGTCAAGTTCGTTTAGACCCTGACAACCAGCGCCACAAGCAAGATGGACACGGATGGACTCGATGGAGTTCTGATGGCGCAGAACCAAGTTTTTCTAGAAGGTGTTTAATTTCTTCTAGGATGTTTGCGCACGTCACGGCCGGCGGCACGTCACTGAGCCGATGAGATCCACGTCAAAGGGTCGCCGGTACGTATGATTTCTGCCCAAAGGTCGATGAATGGGCACGGTCCTTCTAGTCTGGAAATGAAGTGCAGACATTGTTGATCACGAGGTTTCCAACAAGACATCCATGTACGGCGTCAACAAGCGCCAATTTCCTTGTGCTTCTTTTTGCGATGCGGTCGCGAACCTACTGCGGTCGGTAGGTCAACAAAATGCTAATAAAGTGGCATTCTGTAGAGGTCTAGGCTTGACTGCTGAGTATGCTTTTTTGAGTAGGGTACCGTTTCGAGAGCACCACACCAATTCATTGGTAGGTGTGGGTCAGGACGGGTGATGAGCGTATGAGGCGTTCCTAGCGAGTTCGGGTGGCAGGCTTTGGAATTCTGACCAACAGCAACGAAGCTTGCCCGGAGAGTAGTCTTACTGAATAGTGTCTCGAGATTTGTATGAGGATACCTCATTAGCAGTATAATCTCCTCTCAAACTTGGAAGGATATTGTAACTCCCCCAGGCGTCGGTTTTGCTCAGCCACGATCAGCACTTGGATTTTGCTTTTGAACCAGACGGTGATGGAGCAAAGCATCGAGTGAGAACAGAGTTTAGCCGTTGACTAGGCAGTTGTTCCCGTTACTAAAGTCGACCAGGAGCAGAATAGTGGGGTGAAGATGCTGAAGCACGGGATTCCAGGTCAGGTACCATGGACCAGGATTTGGAGGAAGCTCATTGGGTTCAGGTCGATGCCCAATCCGAAAGAATGGCAGTTCGCCGATCATTGCACGATCTACACAGGCTTTGAGGCTTGGTGAGGCGTCAAGGCGGTAATTGTGGAAAAACAGAGTCTATGCTGGGATTGCTCGGACGAGTATACTGACATCCATGATGCTACCAAGAGTGATGGAAGCAAGGTAGACCTTGAATCGCTTAAGGACGGGGAATCACGGATGAGATCCCAGAGTTGGAGTTGGTGTAAGTATGTACGGTCACAACTCTGGCGAGGTCAGATGAGAGGTACAAGCATGAAGTTTGCGAAATGAGTTTCGGGGAAGAGAGATCTTGGAAGGTCTGACTGGAGGCGTTGGAGGAAAGTGCATGAGAGGGATCCAGACTGAGATAGACCATTGGGGTACGTCGCCCAAATTGGACAATCTGTAGATTGGAGAGCAGGGTTGCGCCTCATGGATACGATGGACTGGAGAGAGGCGGTGGTGGTGCGATGGGTCACAATTGACGATGAATGATTGACTGAGAGAGATCGATGAAGTGAAGCGAGTGAGGATGGGGCTAGCGAGAGCGAAGGAAGCTCGAAAGAAGGCGGCAGAAGACGACCAAGTGGATCGGATTCGGCACACAGAGACTCTGACAGAGACGACAGAGGAACCAGAACAACCAGCATCACCAAACAGGAACCGGGGAGAGCGAAAGTAGAGGGGAGGGAGCTCAGGAAGAAGTGCGAAATAGCAAAGCAGCCGGAAATTCAGGAAAAGGGGTGATACAAGGAGCGTGTCGGGAGGGTATAAATCCACTTTGGGAGGCCCATCTGGCCATCCTATTGGCGTGCCAAGCCATATCGACGTCATCCTGCCCAAACTTGAGACGACCATTCCATTTCCCACTTCAGACCTCCTCCTTACCTTGACCCTCCACGACTCTCTTATCCAATGCCGTCATCAGCCACTGTGCCACAGAACCATGTGGATTGAAGCTTGACATGAATACTTGTCTACGAGGTACATACTCAGCTCAAGTGAGACTCCCTCGTACCAGAAGAGTGATACGGAGTACGAGACGGAGTCGGTAGATAGGCTGATGCTCTTACTGACTCCATCTCGCCATCATATCAACTTCATGGAGCTGGTTACTCCGTCGCCGGCCCTTCACTTTACAAAGACTTACGTGGCAGGAGCCAGGAGCCAGGAGCCAGCACTCAGGAGGTGCTAATGACTCGTGCCCATGGATAATCAATCCCAACTGCCATGTACTACTCCATGCAGTTGAGTATGGCCCCCAATTGCTGGAAACTCTTCTGATCAACCAGCAAGCATTACGCTTGTTAAAATCAATCTTTTTCATCCAGTCCACGAATCTCAACCATTTCCATTGGAGTCAGAGCTATGCACGAAATCCTGTTTCTCACTCATCCTTCCCTTTGCGGATTCTTCCTCATCTTCCCCGGTCCATGGAGAATTAAAGGTTGTTCAGGCAGCAGCATTATCGCGTGCACTGAAGCATTCACACGAGTTGTCGTTGTCATTGATGATTTCTTCCTTTGCTCGCACGAGCCATCTCTATCGGAGAGTAATTACGGATACTCCATATGGAGTAAGTCCCCATTGCAAAGATTGCCGTGCGCCGGCAGCTCACGGCGCCCTACTAAAACAACCTCGTCTCCATTAGTTAGTAGACTGCACACTGGAAACACTAGCTGGATCCCCGTTATGACAATCTCCGACAACTTGGGTTTCCTGCGACACATTTTATGCTTGACCAGATTTTTGCCTGTGGTAACGTCGTTCATAATCCTGATCAGCGTTGCATTAATTAGTGCAAAATGTCCAAATTTAGTACCCCGAAACGCAGCCTTGCATGGTCACATGCACCCGTTCTGAACAACGGTCCACCGAAAAATAAAAACATGGAACATGATCACCATCGTACGACTCTGAAAGTGGACTCACCCGACAACTTCTCTTCAGGCCCGCTTCCAGCCCTATTCGAGGACGATAACCGAGTATCTTTCGAGCCTTGTCACCAGAGGCATACCGTACCGCACAAGCGTCCCGTACGCTACCACGACACAGGGTGGTCGCTTGCCCAGAGACTCGCGTGAAGGCTTCCGCGACAAGGCCCAGTATCCACGCCAATCCCTCTGGGATGGGAATCTCCAACCCTGGTGGGATGTGTCCAAACTCCCTCCAAATGGCAAGGCTGAAGTCTCGAAATGGAATCGGCTGGTTGTTCTGGATAAAGAATGTCTCGCCTGCGGCACTACCACTCTCACCGCCACCACTTCCCAAATTGTCCACTCGTCGAGTATGGTTACTCTCCTCCGAGCCCGAGCTTGGCTGATGGAGCAACAGATTCTCAACGGCAAGCACATGTGCATCGGCCACGTTGCCCACGTAGACCGTGTCCCACATGTTGTTCCCGTCTCCGATTCTGTAACGAGTTTCCCCTTTCTGGATACAGGCGTGGATTGATGGTATGAGCTGATTGTCACCCTCTCCGAAAATCACCGATGGTCTGAGCACACAAGTGGACATTGAATGTTCCTGAAGGCCACCATGATTACCAACACTTTGGTACTGGTTCATCTGAGCAGTTGTTGGTGGGGTGTTTGCGCTCAGAACAATCTGCTCTGCCTCCGCTTTGCTCTCACCGTAGATGGATGATTTCTTCGATACTGGCCAACGTTCATCGATATTCGGGAATGTTCCGTCCAGATCATCAGTCACAACAGTGCAGCTACTCGTGTAGACTAATGCTCTACATCCATTATTTCTTGCTGCATCCACCACATGTCGGGTGCCATCAACGTTGACCCTGCGCACTACACCCTCGAGACGTCGCAGATATCTATCACATGAGTATCGTCAGCAATCCACAATCCATTCGTGGGCAATTTTTCGGCTGTAGCGACCTAATCGAACCGAGCGAGCTTTTTTGTGGGCGCAGCCTTAAGGCTTTGACAGAAAGAGGGGGTGATGACCGGAACTATTTTCCAGCTTCATCACGAATGGCATAGCTGGTGCAAAAACCCAGAGAATCAAATACGAGCAGAAGAAATGGAATACCTACCGCTCACTTAGGCCAGGAATCATGCCTGCCGTATGCACAACCACCTGAGGTTGCACCTCTTCGAGCGTCCTTCTCACCTGCTCTTCATCTGTGATGTCAGCCTGCAAGTAGACGAACTTACAACTTCCAAGTAGATCGAGCGGGTCGTCTTCGTCAGGCTCAGGCTCCGTACGTAGCGCCTTGTCGAGGATATACAAGTCCCATTCGGGATGTTGCTCTGTGAATGCTCGAATGATCGCAGAACCCACAAAGCCGAGTCCTCCGGTCACAAGAACTCGGAGCGGTGTAGTAGTGTTAGCAATCGCTTTAGTTCCCGTAATTGTGGCCATTGGCACGGTCGACGTTGTACTGGTTGTGGTTGTCGAATGGATACTGCGAGGCGGAGCCTGATTGTCACTGTTGGTGGGCACTGCAGTTCAATGAGGGTTGGAAACGAGGCTTAGGCTAGCGACTCATGAAGTCACGGCCTGCATGACGTCTGATTCAGTAGTCGTGTCCCGTTCGTGAACTGTCGTACTTGTAGATCACTCACGACTCACGAGCAGTCCCATTCAACACGCATTCAACACGCTTAATTCGAAGCGAGAGATCAAAAATTTCCGTAGACTGGAAAATCAGGTCGAACTTTGTTTGTTGCTGTCCACTCTTGTAAATCGAAATTCCACAAAACCCGTCACGATGGTAGAAGAGACGGACAACGTAAATCCGAGATCCACGAAAGACCTGGACTTCAACGCCTTTCGGAGATATTCCCTTTTCGAGATCGGGGATTTTTTTATTTTTATTTCTGAACCTCGATCCGTACTCGTACCATGGTATGGTGGACTCGGAACTAACAAATCTTCCAACTTTTCAACTCGAATTCAACAACAAACTCATTAACGAACCGCTCGGAAAGACAACAGCAGAGTTCGCGAAAGGCCCCTCTTACTGCATACGGATGGAATGTCTCGCGTAGATCTTTCTCTTCGTGAGGTATCCATAAATTGGGGGCAGACCATACCCGCTCCTTGAATTACATGACAAGGGAAGCCAGGGGAACAAACATTCAACAACGAAAATCGAAGAACACACCAAGATGCGACACCGTAGATACTGAACCTACTCGTAGTCAGTTAGTGGGCTTGTTGAACACCCAAAGCAATGGTTTAGAACCGTAACCCAGGATTCCTCTACCAGGCTTATAAACGAACTAAATTATTGCCCGAAGAAAACAACTAGACGAACCACATCCACTTTCCTTTTCCCCGATCCGAAATATGCAGATACGATATACCAGCTACGAAGTACAGGCATGTCGTTGATGGGCGGCCGCCATTTACATCCAGGGTTATTGGTGCTTCGACCCTAACAATACCTGCCTACTCACATTCATGTGTTCCTACGAGTACTACCCACCCATATCTATCAGGCTACCTGTCACTCATCTGAACTTCACTTCAGACAGGACAAGTTCCACAGGCAATTATGAAGAAAATTTCCATCGGGCAAATTTTAAGCCCCCAAGAGATCCATGATTGATCTCGCCTCTACGCGAAACAGGCACCACGAGCTTGGAAGGAAAGTCGAGGTCCCGCGATCCGTTATTCCTACCGAGGTCTTTTGGGGGGCTTTTTTAATCCCCGACAGGGCCTCAGGTTCAATTCCCTTCTCAGTTGACCGGTGGTGGAATGCCTTATGATAAACCAGGGAACTCGAACTCCGTCTAGACTCACTGAGCCCTCCCCTGGCCTCCCCTCCCCTGCCCGTACTCGATCGCTTGTGTAGGATCTGAGACCCTGCCTACCTCTCTGCACATGCTAGTATCCGTATCCCAGTCTCCTTGAGAGCGACTTTCGCGACTCGCAAGGCACGGACGGGAAAATACCCGTCAATGGGCCACCGTTCCCTTTTTCCCACGTCTATCTCACGAGATATCGTTTCTTTCTCGTGCTCCGAACATACCCTGTGTCTATCCCCTGCCTGGTAAGTTATACGAGAAACAATGCTCAAGACAAGTCACGAAGAAATTCCCTGGTTTTCCCCCTGCCTGCCTACCTGATACCCGCACTATATACCTACTTGGTGACATGCCAGGACGCGACTCAACCCTCAAGAGTCAGGACCCATGCCATGCCATGCCATGCTCCAAAAAAAATAATCTCAAGGGTCCGAGGTGTGAATGACCTTATCCTACCTCCCGAATCCCAGCCTGGGGCCACTACGGATCACATCCCAACGAGGTCAGCCAGCGGTAGCATGCACATGCACTACTTACTCGTACTGTGTAGGTGTCGAATCCGCGGCCCTGATACGGGAAGTGAAGTGAGGATGCCTGGCGTGGCGTGGCGGACCGTGATTCCCTGACTCACTTACTCACGAGGCGAACAGACTATCTCGTACAAATATCAACAGACAAGGTTCTAGGATCAAGATCACGACCAGGTGGGTAGATATACAGCAACGGGTAAACCTGACCCTATCCTTTCCAGCCGCGGCCCAATCGTATTCTTCCCAAGACCAAGAAGAGAAATTTGTTTCTCGGTAACTCAGGGTCCCAAACTATGTCCGTCTGTCTGTTTGTCGGCTGGAGAAGGCACACAACACGCAAGTCGCGGTGAGGAACTCTCCATTTTTACGAACGAGATTCGCGGCCTTGAACGGATATTCTCCAGCTGCCTCCTCGGCTACGGAGTAGAGATAGGCAGCATAGTTTTCTTGGGATTAAGGTTGAGGTTGTTTTGATGGATGGACGGAGGGACCATGGACATCGACCGTCCTGGAAACGAGTATGACGTCGAATGGGACTACCTGTGGGACCTGCATGTTGCATGAACAACATAGATCGATGGAAGTGTAAGGCATGAGAAGTATAGCAGGTAACTAGAGAGGATGGTTCAATGCGTGGCATGTGAAGTTTTTCCGGGTCAATGGGAATAGGGAGCGCGTGCACGGCTAGCCTAGCAAGTTGTGTACGAGTTAATTCGCAAGGAGATCACGGTCACTCAAATCACTGGCATCTTCTGAGGATACATTTTGGGTCTGCGACAGAGTCATGGTTGGATGTTTGTGTACACTTTGATGGCAATTGGGATGCGATGTAATCCGGCTGCCCTGAGAAAATAGCCAGAAATGTAGGTAGGTCGGCTAAATGCTTTTTAAAACTACAGAGATTGTTTTGTTTCGCCCGTGCCAAAGTGTACTTTGCTGTGCAGTAGCTGACCCAACCCTTGTCACGAGTTCGTTCTGAGCACGGGGCTTGAACAGATTGGGCGCGATGATAAACATGGTGAAGGTGTAAGCATACAGGTAGGTGAAAGGATGAGTAAGCTTTTTGTTCAAGACTTCGAGGTTGATAGTTAGAAAAAGAGATGCTGGTCTAATCCTCGTCGTCATCGTCGACGTATCTAGGTCCACCGGCTGCTGGCGTTGGAGCGTCAAATGCACCAGAAGCATATGGAGTGGGAGCGCTCGCAGCCGGTGTTGGTGCATCGAATGCCTGCAGGCGGTTATGCTTTAGCGGCTCCTTGTTTGCGTTCTTTGTAAAGTTCGGAGCTGGGGTCGGTGCATCTTGAGCGGCTCCGGGAGTAGGTGCTGCAAGATAAGGAGTGTATGCATCGTCGTCAAATCGGGCCGGGGTAGGTGCAGATATTGCCGGGGTGGGAGCGTCGTATGGTCGTGCACCAGGCGTGGGCGCTGATGCTGCATTACCAGGACCATTCCACGCTGGCGTACGTGATGATGATGGATTGTATGCTGGTGTCCTTGAACCTGCGCCAAAGGCATCAAACCCAGAATTCGTGTTACCGAAGCCGTCACCACCTGCGCCATAAGGTGTCTTTGCTCCGGAATTCCAAGCTGGAGTACGACTTCCGGTAGTACCAATATTTCCAGCGCCTCCATAAGAGGTCATGCCTCCACCACCATATGAGGTCTGGGAACCTGATGGTGCCTTCCAGGATGGTGTGCGACTGGAATCGAGTCCTGAGCCACCTGGTCCATTCCAAGCTGGAGTTCGAGATGTCGATCCCCAAGCTGGTGTTCTACCGCCATCTCCCATCGGCATGGGTGTTCGTCCACCAAATCCGCTAAATCCACCATCTGGAACACGAGAACCTGGAGCTCCTTGCCCTGAACGCATGGCTGGTACACCACCTCTCATCCTAATCCATTCCTCGTATTTGGTTTTGTTATTGGTGTTGGCACTGTAGACTTGTTAGTTTGATATTCGACTGCAATAGAAGCATAACTTACTCGATGATGGAAAGGTGGTCCTTGGGAAGTTGGATAACCTTGTTCTTTGTCTGTAGCTCCAATCTGGCATCTGAAACCGTGGTATCCTTGACGATAGCACGTGTGCCCTTATAAATACCCTTGTTGATGTGAACTAAGCGATCTTGGAGCGGATCACGTCCAGGGCGTTGAGGAGGAGCCATAGACTGATCAGGTCGATTTCGCATTTGCAAGGCAGGATTCATCTTGGAAAGGTCTGTTGCTGGCGCGTTTATACGGCCACCTTTGGCGGCGGTGGTAATGACGTTACTGCTTCGATTTACCCACAGGCCAGAGTTCTCAATCCCCAATTTGTTGTGAGCAAAAACATATCCTCGATGAAGGTGAAGGATTGAACCACTTTTCGCCTCGCCACCGGATTCCTTCACCACATCACCAACACGAATCTCTGCACCGTTCTTGTCAGTTGCAACTGTGTTCTTGCGAGGCTCGATCGTCGAGATTTGAGAAGGAATTCTTGTTGTGACTGAACCATTCTGATCGAGTATACGAATGGATTCGCGATCCGCTCGAATCACGATACCGGCAGTTGTTGGACTATCATGTTGTCAGACCTGTTATTAATCATGAGAATGGGAGACACATACTCAATTTGGACCAATTCCTGCACGTCAAACTTGCTGGCACCCGCTCCACCTCCACCAGCATCCGTAGCTTCTCGCAAATCCTTGCTGAACACGGTGATCTCTTCATTGCTTGTATTGGTGAGTACCGTGACCTTGTCGTCTTTGATCCGCAGAACCATGCCGACTTCATCGCGATATTTGCTGCCGCCAACGATCTTAACGTTGTCGCCCTCACTAAAGCGTTTCCGCACACCTTTGACGGGTACTTCAACAAGCTGACCAGTGAGTTCACCCTCAGAAACCATAATGGCGATGATGTTGCCGGTCACTGCTTCAATCCGACCGACAATACCTCTCTGTTCACCCTCATATACCTCAATCTCATCACCGGGAAGATAGCTACCCTCTATATTGCCATTCCGCAAGCTGTGAGCCAAGGTTTCCAGATCAAGGTGCTCCGAACCATCGTCTGCCGTCCTGGTAAGTTTGGTGATTTCGTCAAGTCGGGGATTGACATCTGCTGTGATGAGATGCTGTAATTTAAATTCTTTCACCAAGAAGCCGTCTATGTAGGTGTCACCCCTGTAGACCCAACTTCTCTTGCTCAAGCCTCGATTTTGTGATAGAAATCGTTCATGGCGTTTCTTGGCTTCGTTTTCATTGAAGAGACGTTGAGGAGGTCGATTGGCAAGATTGATGGGTGGTGCGCCGAAGCCGTTGGGACGTTTGCGTTTGGGATCAGCATTTGGACGTCCTTGATCTTCCTCCATACCGTAGGTCAATCGGGGTACCAGTCGAACATTGACATCGAGACCGTTGGATTCGACATCTTCAATCATTGCCAGGTCGCCGGTATAAATGCCTCTCTTGATACGAACATAACCTCCGACCTCTAATTCTTTTGTCTTGTTGACTCTCAACAAATCCGGCATCTCCTTGACTGGGACGAGGTTCACTTTGGAACGAGGGTAGACATCTGCCACGCCATTAAGTGCGTCGTCGACATCAAGCTTCCTTCGAGCTTCAACAAAAATGTATCCAGCCATTGGTCCGTCACCTCGTTCAAAGAATGAGCACACTCGCATCGGATTTCGACTCTTCAGCGAGTCGCTGTACTTCTTCATGAGCCGAATGATGATCTCCTTTTCCTTGCCAGGCTTGCACTTGACGCCCCAAATACTTGGGTCATTAACATCGGGCATGAGAAGGTTCTGTGGGACAAAAGAGCTGGTACTGAGTGCGGTAGTTGTTCTGCGACCATATCTTTCTCTGTAAGCTGCAGCCTGCTTCTCTGCATCCATGGAAGCTTCCAATTGTCGCTGGCGATCCAATTCTCGATGTCTTCGGTCATCTTGATCAGCTTCGGGTGGCAGATCATCATCAGGGTGGGTATCTTGAATGAACTCGGGGCCAAGATCTTCTTCGTCGGCTTCCAGCTCATCATCATCTTCGTCAACTTCAGCCTCTTCTTCAAAAAATTGGTTGAGACCCTTCCGCCTGCGCTTTCGAGGTCGATTTATGACTTCCTCATCTTCGTCTTCCTCCTCGTCTTCTTCGTCTTCGTCATCGCGCAGCGCGTCATCGATGTCTTCCTTCCCATCGTCATCATCATTCAGGTCGCGGGCTCCATTTCCGGAAGGGTTCACATCATCGTCATCGTCTTCTTCAATGTTTCGCTTGTGTTTTCTTGGAGAGGCGGAACGACGAGGGGAGGAGGAAGAGCGTTGTTTGAGCGCAGCAGGCTTTGAGTCTTTTGCGTCCTCATCATCAGAGCCACCGTCAGCCGCGGGATTGAATTCATTGTCAGACTCTTCGTCATCATCTCCGAAATCCTGATTGAGCCAGGAAGCTGATGCCATTGTCGTAGATGGGAATGAAACTTTGGTTGGGAGAAGTTGAAAAATTAAAGGGAAGTGTGGCTCAAGGCATTGAGGTGAAGACAGATATCAGAAGAGAAGAGCAGAGAAAAGATCAAGCAAAGGGGGCTGATTGAGGGTCTGGAATGTCAAGACTGTGGTGGTAGAAGGCGAACTTTAGCGATGAACTTCAAGTCCGATGCCATATGAACCTGAAGTCTGATCCGAGCTTTGCCAAGACTTTGTCACCGCGTCTGACAGAAAGACACTCAGGCTGGAAAGTTGACTGCAAAGGTCAAGATTACAACTCCACACTCAAGTTTGCACTCGCTGTTTGTGGATTCCACATTTGTTTGGTGGATCTATCGTGGACTGCGGTTCTGCATATACATGGCCAGTAGGTAGATCGTGGCACAGAGAAGCGCCATCATATAGTACAAATCATACGCGAAGATAAAGCGCTGGCTTCTTCTATGAGGGACAATAAATAGTGAGCCCGAGAAACCGATAACGAAACCTCTTCAGAAGAACTATTCCTCCACGCGTTGGATGAATAGTGGTCCATCCGGCAGCTTCCGACACTGATTAAAACTGCATTTCAGATGAAGCGGCCTCTGGTCTCATCCTCTGGGTGGTGCATACGCGCCTGCTGGTCGTAATACTGACCGTTGGTGGTGCTGGGGCCAGAGGCCTCTGGTGGCTCCTGGTCCACACCAAAGTATAGGTCATGGAGGTTTGGGTCCCGAACCTGATTCGATCCCGGGCCAATATCTTCCTGTTGGAAACTATTTCTCAGAGGAGTGCCTTGCTCAGAACCTCCGGTATTATGACTCCATCTTCCTTGTGCAAGGCCAGGGCTGGGATGTTTGGCATGCAACAAGGTTGGACTGATGACGTGCATCTCGCGTGGTGGCTCTCCTTGTCCCCATGCCTCGACATTCTTCATGCTTGGTGACACAGGTGTATACATCTGATCGGCATTTGCATCGTGGACTTTGCTCATGCGTCCTGTCGCAGCCATTTTCTGGCGCCGCTTCCGTGTAAAGATGAAGCAGCACCAGCACGTGCTGCCTATGATCAGAATACCTCCAACGATGGGTAATGCTATCGCCAGAGCGAGCTGGTAACCATGCAGACCACCACCAGAGGATGACCCACTCGTCACTGGTGCTGGTCCAGCAATCAAAGTCTCGTTGAATAAGGCATTCGCGTCGGGGAAGAATGGCCGCCCAGCAATGTGTGGCTGCACGCAGTTGATGTGAAGAGCTTGCAGGACTGCACGATCATCAGCAACATGATTTCATCACACGAATTTACTATATGGATACTAACAATTTGCCAGAAACAGTTGCTGAGGGATGAAGCTGTAACAAAAGGCACATGTGTTGATAACGTTGTCCGGAAATCGCCCTGCATGGCAAAATTCGTCGTTACTGGGGCTTAGAATAGAACTGTCGTTCGTAATCTGATAGCCGATGGAGTCGTTGAGCGTGGCACAGCTCACTTGACAAGGACTGCTTATGGAGATATGCGGGATGGGAATTGCAAACATGCATCCTGCAAGGGTGTATCGGAGAGCCACTGGGACATGTTTAGCCATTGCATGTTATCATTACGCCCATGTTCTGTCTTTCCACGTACGCAATCCAAATTCCACGTCCGTCTCATTCTTCGCAGTATCCACGGCCGTCGAATTTAGCTGGCAAGAAACGCATTTCTGGAAAGCGCGGCCATTCTCGAGGTTCTGATAGTCTGCATTGAGGCAGACTACATCTTCCACTGGGTCACCAGCGTTAACGCAGACCGATTCGCAAGGTGAACCAGCGACTGTGGGCAGGGCGGAGGTGAGACGAAGGGCGACTGTCAGCAGACAAATCGCCAGGTAGAGAGCGGCGGTCGCAGGGCGGTCATGCCAGTTGGCCATGACATAGACGGTGAGGCAGCGACATATGAAACGACGCAACACAGACACAGAGGTCGGGTAGGAAGATTACGATTGCTCTTGTATTGCAGGCAAGCAATTTAAGGCCAGCACAAGAGGTGCAGTGTGAGTTGGATAAGACCAGGAGTCAGAGTCCATGTCCGAGTCCAGGTGGACTTTGAGTTGACGGCGCACCGAATCTGCATGTTTCGATTGCCCAGCTAGGATGGTTTACCAGAACGTGGGCGGCTACAGGTCAGTTATCTGCCAGTCAGCATACATAAGTGAGGTTGCAGCAACGCACACTGATTGGATACAAGGTGTGATCAGGTCGGTTTGGATTGATGATTGGCGAAGGGCATCCTTGGCCTACACAAAAGAGAGTTAATGGCTCCAACCCCTGCCTATTAGTTTAACTAGAACCCCCACCTAGGCAGTTAGACTCCCGGTGCCAATATGCCCCCGAAAGCCCCGAGAGCCCCGCACCATCCCTCTGGGCTCCTGGTTCGAGCCCCGGAACGAGCCTAAGAGGAGACCTGGAGGCCAACTCCTCCTCTCACTAGCCAGCATTTTTGTGACACACCCAGATGTCACCGCCTTATGCAGATGCCATGCTCGCCACAAACCGAGATTCCATATCGAGCCAACCGCGAATGCAGTGCTCAGTCCTGCACCACATACACAACCCTTTGGTCAACACCATTTCACTATGCGCCAGCCATTGATACTATTGAAACAATCGCACCAGACTTGCTGTGATATCAGGGTGATGTCTTCAGACACAAAGCGAGCGCTACGAGCAATGCACCATACAAAATATGTCATAGTCGAGTCTCTAGATCTAATGGATAAAATTACAATATACCGAACACTCCGTAGTAAAGCTTGAAGCTGATGCAATGCAGATCTGATCGACCTGCAGGGTGAGCTGGTGGTGTGATGCTCGACCTTGATATTGCCATACTCGCTCTCAAATTTGAATACTTTTTCAAGTCCTGACATTTTTACCTCACAGATGCCGTATTTATCTCGTGATGATCGTTTCTCCTTTTGCGCCTTCTTGGCTACAGCTTCCCCTATCTTCATTGTCGGGTTCTGGTGTTCATGGTGCACCTTGGACGTCACAAGATTGTGGCTAGACCGAGTGAGGGAGGAGCAGTTGTATCCAAGTGGTCTGGCCTCGATTACCGACATGGCTTGATCACCTTCGTCTTTGTAGCTCTTCAACCCGTTTCTCAAAAGCGACGATCATGGAGCTGGCAACCTTGCCTTCCACCTGAGAAAACATTTGGTCGTACACAGGATTGCGGAATTTGACATCAACCGTCAAACAAACAGATGTTTGATCATCTCCAGCTTTTGTCGATGGGTTGATATCCCATTTGGTGTTGAGCACTTCAAACAGACCATTACTGTTCTCTTCGCTGCTTTTGGCCTCGATGACCCCGGCCTTGGGATCACAACGAACAACACTGTCCCAATCCTCCTCGAGGCCGAGCTTTGCATAGCCAACTTTCAGCTTCGCACGAGTTGGATAGCCTTGTTGGTCTCTAGTCGTGACATTGGAAGATATGGTGAAGGGAAGAAATGTCGGATAACCCGAGACATCTGACACAGCTTTGAAGATTGTCGTTGAAGGATAAGGCAGATGTTTGGTATGTGTTACAGACCTCAAGGGACACGGTCCAAGAGCTGAACTCAGTAGAGAATCAAAGAATGACCTTTGCCCATAATAAGAGCTGGTGCTTGAGATTTTCAATGCCGCTCTCGAGTAAGGAGTTAAAGAGGACTGGTGTGTTCCAATCGATGAGACTCGCCTCACAATCATATCCGGACTTTGATTGCTGCAGGCAACCAACGAAGTGCTATTGCAATATCATAGTGGACCAATATTGATCAAGATGTAGTAGTCATTACGGTTCGATTCTACGAGGTACTGATGACGATCGTCAAAGTCGAGATCGTCTTAGTCATCAAACTTAGATATGCCGAGTCATGCATCCACGTTCCTGGCAAGGCATGACTCGCCAAGGCCATGTTGAAATAACTCCTCCGCATGGAACATGAATCCCCGTGTCCTTTGACTATATATGGTAACCTTCCATCATAGTACTCACATAAAATGAAGGCTACGCTTCATCATTTCCACCACCGTCTGTGAGAGTTTTGAAACATGGGGTCCTCTTCCGATGCCACCGCGGCCGGCACAACTCCTAAGCAACCTCCACCAGAGAAGCCTGAAGCAATCCGACTGCGGACCCAAGTCATTTTCTCATTCTGGGCTGTTATCCTCTTCCTCGGCCTGCCAACATGGTGGAAGACCACCTCGATATACAGAGCAGAGTTGCCTCTGCAGGAAATGCTCAAGTGGGCAGAGGGTTCAGTGCGTTGGCCTCTGCTACTGCCAAAATTCGGTGACGCTAACTGTTCCAATAGAATGCTCCTTCTGCCTATCCATTGCATATCTGGATCAGCGCTCCTGAATTTTCTTGTGCAGAAGCGCAGCTCATTGTACACGAAACGCAGAAGATTCTAGACGACCTGAATGAATATCCCACTCTCCATCAGCGTCTGCATTTGGTTGACCCATTGCCCGCTTCTCCTGGTAAAAAAGAGGGTACGACGAGTCAACGGTGTGGTGGTGACATCAAAAACCAGGATCTGGGGGAACCTGCCTTGAAGCTCCTTGTCGAGCCGTCTACAGCCTTCAAATTTGACCTGGATACTCCTACAACCACCGCAGTTGCTTATATTCCATCCCATTCTGTTACTGGTGCTACCAGAGATCTTGCAACGGCACTGTATCAAACTTTCCGTTTTGAACAAATTGCTTCTGCGCTTCACACCGTGGCATCCACAACTCAGAATCAGAACGCTCAAGCATTTCTCAAATCACAGCCCTACGATCTTGTCACGAGTATCGAAAAGCAGATCAATCGCGCCTACAAGTCGTCCCCGGAGTTCCACCTGACCTTTTCACTATTTACCGCAAGCGGTTTACCCTCCAGCTGGGACATACAGGTGGCTTTACATGATCACATCCACCCTCTCGTCCGTGCACTTTCCAAAACTGCAAACTTCGAGATTACCACTCAGATCCAGTTATACTCTGCTTATTCACCTGCTATACACCCAGCTGTTGATGCTGTCCGAAACGCCACTTTACTCCAGCAACATGATCTAACAGCCTTTGTCAATGCTGCAGAGTGGCCTTTGGCTCCATCAATTGGGGATGGCCCAACTATTAATTTCATTCTATATGTCCCTTCTCGAGACCAGGTACCTCTAGGTATTGCAGGACTCGACACGACATCATGGTTGATTCCTCAATGGGGAGGAATACAGATTTTGAACCCCGCGCTGGTTCCTCATCCAGATCACGGTGATACGACTTTGCCGCATCATTTGAGCGGCAATGTTCTTGATAGGCCATTTGAACTCTTTGCAGCACAACTGCTGTCTTTGCTAGGAATCTCAATGGTCGACGATATTGGGAGCACCTTACCTCTTCATCTTCGTCTAGATGCCTATACGAGACTATCCGCCCTGACTTTGTACCTGAGGGCGGCTTCAGGTTTGGGTTCTCTTTCACGCCTCGCTCAACATCTCAGCAACATCCCCATTCCCAAAAATGTCGCACAATTGGTCGACGATACTATTGGCAATCTCACTGCTTGTAGCCATGCTTTTCTGGGCAGCCACTGGCAAGCAGCATTGGGTCACGCGAAGTCGGCATATATTGATAGCGAGAAAGCATTTTTCGACAAATCCATGGTCGGCCAAGTCTACTTCCCGGACGAGCATAAAGTTGCTGTGTATTTACCTTTCTTAGGTCCTATTGGTTTCCCGCTTCTTGTCGGACTTATAAAAGAAGTGAAACGCCTCGCGACACGACGAAGAGGTATTGCCACCTAGAACCACAAAATACCCGTGCAAAGATGTTTTAATCTGCTTCTGTCACACTGTGGGATCCAATGCGATATGCCAGCAGGGCTCAGCCCTTATATGAGCCCATTTCGATGTCTCGACAGCTGTCAACGATTGTGTCCGAGTCTCGCGAGGCTCCTTGACAATCGGTTTGGACTCAAATGATAAAGCTTTAAAGTGGGGACAGGATCTAGCGTGGAACCCCACCCTTCGACCTTTCCTCCTTCCCTGTTTGTCCTCCAACCAACAAGCAACCCATAGAGATCTACAAATCACGGCAGGGCTTGCAAGCATCTGCCACAGCCTGGGATGTTCTCACCTTCCCGACCTGGGAAAGTGTGATCTACAATCTAAACACCATTCACAGACGACATCATTGTTCTATGTGATATCACTGAAGAGAAATAATGCAGCTTTCCGTCTATTGTTACAATGCTTTCAATCAAGCTGCTGCTTCCAACGCTCCCAGCAGGACTGTGTACACCCAGCACGATGGCAATATCACGGATAAATCTATGGAAAGTGAGCACTTTTGCTTGTCACTTATTCAATCAACTTGTTGCTGCACGACCTTCTCCAAGTGGTTGGAATGCAACCACTGCCATTGACGGCAATGTTTTTCCACCATTGATAGAAGCGACAACGGAAGATCTTATTCTTGGTTATGAGTCATCTTGGTTTACGAGTGTGGATGTGGTCCAAGTAATAATCTGATTTCTACAAATGTATTCATTTGCTAATAGGTCAAGGCTTACATCTCAAGAATAATGGAGGTCAATGAAACGTTGCATGTAGTGACCCAGCTCAATCCGGATGCTCTTTCAATCGCTAAAGAGCTAGATGCTCAAAGAGCGCAAGGAGAGATTCTTGGTCCGTTGCATGGAATCCCCATACTGATCAAAAACAATATCGCCACAGCAGACAAGATGGACAACACAGCTGGATCTTATGCTTTATCTGGAGCGAAAGCTCCTAGGGATAGTACTATGGCGGCGAAACTCCGACAAGCGGGAGCTATACTTTTGGGCAAAACAAATCTGTCCCAATGGGCTAATTACAGAAGTTTCAATACAAGCAACGGCTGGTCTGCCTTAGGAGGACAAACCCAAGGTGCATACTATCCTGGTCAGGATCCTTCAGGTTCATCTTCAGGAAGTGGTGTGGCCAGTTCAATAGGTCTTGCTCTTGCATGTCTGGGCACGGAAACTGATGGATCAATTCTTTCACCCTCAGACGTTAACAACCTTGTGGGAATCAAACCCACCGTCGGATTAACCTCAAGAGACCTCGTCGTTCCTATCTCGGAGCACCAAGACACTGTAGGGCCTATGGCACGTACAGTCTTGGATGCTGCTTATATACTGTCAGCGATTGCGGGAAAGTCTTCCTATGACAATTATACCGATGCTATACCTTTTGACAGCATACCAAACTATGTGGCAGCCTGCAGTTTCTCGGCACTTCGTGGGAAACGCATTGGAGTTCCGCGCAATGTTATCGACCTCTCGAGCGATAACTCTTCTGCACCAATTGTTGCTGCATTTGATGATGCTCTCAATATCCTACGATCAGCCGGCGCTATAATAGTTGAGAACACGAACTTCACGGGATATCAAGCGGCAATTGAAAATCCATTCAGCAGCGTCGTGCTTGAAGCGGATTTCATAAGTGATCTCCCAAAGGAATATCTTTCCCAGCTGTCTTCAAATCCCAACAAGATATACTCAGTGGCTGATCTCCGCAATTTTACCCAATCGTTCTCTCTTGAGGACTTTCCTGAGCGGGATACTATGATCTGGGATGAAGCAATCGAGCTGGGTTTCGACAACACATCTCCCGAATTTTGGTCGAACTACACTCTCAACAGATACCTGGCAGGTCCACTAGGCGTGACAGGGGCTTTGACAAACTACTCACTCGATGCACTCGTCTTACCCACAGGATTTGCCTCGCATTTCCCTGCGTTGATCGGATCACCTGCCATCAGTGTTCCATTGGGGTCATATCCTGCCAACACGGAAGTCATCACCAACTCTTTCGGGAATTTGAATGTAACAGCACCAAACATCCCGTTCGGAATCAGTTTCCTGGGCGCCCACTTCAGCGAGGAATTGTTGATTGGTCTTGCCTATGCATTTGAGCAAAGAACGCTGGTTAGAAATACAATAATACCATACATCCAGCCCACCACCGAGTTGGTCGATATCATCAACGCGAGGAAGAATAGAGTACGGGAGTGAAATAGGTATACATTATCAGGGGAGTTTCCAAAGTCCATGCGAAGGTTCAAAAGCAACCTTCTCGGGTCACATGGAATGAACATGGAATGAACATGGCTCGGGGATCGAGATAGTAATATAACGTATCCTCACAGAGGACTGGCTCCATCGCATAAATTGGTTAGGTAATGCTAAAGGGCGCAACCTTAGTCCCGCCCCGTATTTGGCTCGTAATTAGACCAAAAGACGCTCTTCCATCACTCAGACTTGGCCATCCTCGTACAAATCGAGTGTCCAAGCATTCCCTCACCGCGACAAGGATCAAACATATCCGATCTCTTTCAACGTGCAGCGCTGTGTTTCGACAGCGGACTCACCATGGCACAACCACAACCCATGGTCGTGGCCGTGGCAGGCGGGACCGGTGGGGTCGGCAAGACGATTGTGCAGCAACTGCAGTTGCATCGCGAACGCTTCAAGGTCATTGTGCTGACGAGATCTGTAAGTGGCATGATGCTTGATATCTTGGGCACGGTGTGGTCTTCAAGCGGCTGCCTGTACCCTTCGCTCGAGTCGTTGGCCAACACTTCTGGAGGAGGATCAGTGTTTTCTCGATCTTCATTGCCTGTCGATGCGATTCTAGCTACGTGGGCTCAGCAAGTCGAGTTGCTCAGGTGTTTGAGATTCTGATCCTTACCGCGCTTTCATATTGTTTCTAGAGAAGCATTGGCATTAGGGTACAGCCTTCCGTTAGTCATTAGTACGGGCGCAAAGCAAGGATCGCGTGCTTTCCAATCCTCCTTCAACTCGGCTATCTACAGCGTCTACTCAAGATATGGATCGACTGACGACATCCGACAGGAACAGAGCCCGCGTATCAATGAGCACGGGACTGAACATATACAAGCAGACTACTCGACAGCCAAGATCGATGGTCTCAGGGACTTGCTGGTGAGCCATCGTGTCAACACAGTGATCTCGACGATTACCATCAATGAGAAGACGAGCGAGGCGCAGATGAATCTCATTCGTGCGGCGATCAAGGCAAACGAGAGTGAAGATGGGGTTCTACAGTGGTTTATCCCGAGCGAGTTTGGTTATGTTAACGTCAAGGAGTGAGCCTGCCCTTATCTCCCTACTTTGTTGCCTTTGCAGCCGGGTCGACATCACCAGCCAACCTACTAGCCGCACTCAACGCGACCACGAGGAGGCTAAAGGAGCTGAGCTGACACTAACACACCTTCCCCAACTTTCCAGGATCCTCTCCCTCGATGCATCTGTACAACACTGGATATCCGCGGCCTCACTCCTCGCATCCAGTCCACTCCAATACACCCGTGTCGCGAACGGCTTCTTCGTCGACTACCTAGGCATGCCGTATGTCGAGACAAATATGGATCCCTTCACATGGGTACTGGACATCTACGGACGTCGGGCAGCCATCCCCGGCGACGGCACACAGCAGATCAGCCTGACGCACACGGTGGATGTGGGGCGGTACTTGGTCAAACTACTGGACGTGGCGCAGAATGGCGGAGAATGGGATGAATGGAGCATCGTCGTCGGCGAGGACATCAGCTTCATCGACATCCTGAAGATCGCGGAGCGCGTGAGAGGGGGAATCAAGTTCCAGGTCACGCATGATACGATTGAGATGCTCGAGAGCGGAAGGGCGACCGTCTTGCCTCTGCCTGGGGAGAAGGAAGTTGATCCGTCTCACATGAATGGTCAGGCTGAAAGTACCTGTGCGCTGTTCAGCAGGCTTTACCTTGCTGGTGTCTTGTGCATGCCGAAGGAGAATAGATTGTCGGATCGGTGGAGAGAGGAGATTCCACTGCTGGGTGTTGAGGAGTTTCTAGTTGATGCTTGGAAGGGGAGATCGTGAGTTGACTACGAGTTAGAGTATAATTTAAGGACTGCCATACAAAGCATTATTTACCACGTTGATACATTGCTTCGTCATTGAGCGGACGAAGAGGGTTCTGGAGTGTATAATAACATTTGCAGCATGAGGATCATTAGTTGTTGAAAGAAGTTTTCAACTGAACACCCCTACTGTTGACGGCAGATGAGGCATCCTTCACCCTCCCGGTGACCTGTACACTGTCGCTTGTATGCACTTACCTGAGGTGTTCACACTTAGACCTAGAGAATAGTCCAGGACTCTGAGGTGAAACCCATGCCAACATCCAGTCCAAGATAGGTAGGTTCTAGACTGAAGGCATGTAGGTAAGCAAGGAGGCATGCAGGTAGAGCAATGATCTTTCGCCCGCGAAAACTCCGAACAATGATCCAGTTCATACCTACCTAGCCCTCCTGTAGGCTGTACGGGCCACGGCAAGAATCATCACACCACCGACCATTATCATCCGTGGATGTCGGGGCCCGTTAAGAGTAAAACATAACCGAACAATATCCTTGGTCGTGATTTAATGGCGAGTGCCTGATTCGCAGCAATCAATCCACGAATCAGACAGCCGCGAATTCAAAGCTCGGGGAGTATTTTCCCCACTGCGCCCAGCTTGCGGAGTGTTTTGCGCCTGGAAGAAGCTTAACGGGAAGGCAGACTAAGGCAAAGTAATCGTCTTTTGATTGTTGGTGTGCCGAGGTTGAATATCTGGGGGCGGTTGATGGCTCTGGAGGGGAGGACAAAGCTGGGACAACAACAGTCGTTTTGGGTTCGGGTCTGAGATACTTTCTACATCTATCTGTCTTTTCTCTATTATTCTCTCTGCTACATCTGTTGTGGTGACGACGAGACCATAAAACTTCTCGCTTACCTGTTGAACGAATTCCAAGTCAACGGGATATCCCTCAGGCCTTACTGGATCGTTCGTTCTGCATCGACGACGGATTGTTGAAGTTTGTTGACCAGAAACCCTGACAGAAATAGAGATAATTAATCAACAAATTATCTTATTCATCGGCTCCGCGGTTGCTGGAAGTGGACGTTCCCCCTCTTGATCGTCGGACCATACACACTATATACATCCCTTGCAGCTCCGTTTCTCGTGGCAGGCGAACTTTCGACATCGATACTAGGATCCTCAGCTACAGAACCGTATCAGTCATTACTCTTAGTCGAGCACTAGAGAAGAGCAGAAGGGTCGAAGCAAGACAAGAGAAGACAAGATACGCACAGAACACAATCTCCATCTCCAACCATGGCACAAGAGCAATCCAAAACCTACACGCGGGAGGAAGTGGCCAAGAATAACAGCGATGACAGCCTATGGTGCATCATCGACCACCAGGTATACGACCTGACCGACTTCGTCGACGCACACCCAGGCGGCAATGTCGTGCTGGAGCAGATCGGTGGCACGGATGCGACCGAGGCGTTCTACAACCTGCACCGACACGAGGTGCTGCAGAAGTACCGATCACTAAAGATCGGGACCGTGGCGGGTGAGAAGCCCGAGGTGATTGACCCGCAGCCCGGCGACCTGAGTCAAGTGCCCTATGCGGAGCCCCTCTGGCTGACGCCCGCGTACTCGTCGCCGTACTACAACGACAGCCACCGCAAGCTGCAGAAGGCGCTGCGCGAGTTCGTCGATCGCGATGTCTACCCCGAGGCCCAGGAGAAGGAGGCCGACGGCACCTATATCTCGCAGGAGCTGACGGATAAGATGGCCCAGAACAACACCCTGGCCATGCGCTTGGGGCCAGGAAAGCATTTGCATGGCCGCGAGTTGTTGGGTGGTGTCAAGGGCGAAGATTTCGATTATTTCCATGATATGATCACCGCGCAAGAGTTGTCGAGGGCCGTCGCGAGAGGGTTTCAGGACGGGAATATGTCCGGCATGATGATTTCCTTGACCGCCGTTAGGCAATGGTTGAATGACGCCGAGTTAAGGGATAAGGTCACGGAGGAGTGTCTTTCGGGAAAGAAGTTCATGTGTCTGGCTATCACAGAGGCTTTTGCTGGTTCTGATGTCGCGGGTATCAGGACCACGGCGACAAAGACTCCTGATGGGAAGCATTATATCATCAATGGTAAGTTCTCTTTCCAACCCGCGAGAATGAGTCGGGGAACTATACTGACGTTGTGAATCAACCCAGGAACCAAGAAATGGATCACCAATGGCATGTTCGCCGACTATTTCGTGACAGGTTGCAAGACCGAGAAAGGTTTCTCGGTGATTCTCGTCCCTCGAGACGACAACATCGAAACCAAACGCATCAAGACAGCCTACTCGACCGCGGCAGCCACCACGTTCATCCAGTACAACAACGTCAAGGTACCGGTGAACCACCTGCTAGGCAAAGAACACAACGGGTTCATCGTCATCATGAGCAACTTCAACCACGAACGGTGGGCAATGGCGTGCGCGGTGATCCGGTGGATGCGCACCGTCGTGGAAGAATGCCTAAAATGGACGAACCAACGCATCGTGTTCGGGAAACCACTGATCTCACAGCCCGTAATCCGTCAAAAGCTGGCCAAGATGATCTCCCTCACCGAGGCGTGTCAGTCGTGGCTCGAGACCATCACCTATCAGATGAACAACATGGACTACCCGACTCAATCCAAATTACTCGGCGGGCCGATCGGCCTGCTCAAGTCCTACGCGACGAGATGCGCGCACGACGTGGCTGATGACGCAGTCAACATCTTCGGCGGCCGAGGCATTACTCAGTCTGGAATGGGCAGAGTCGTCGAGCAGTTCCACCGCACGTACAAATTCGATGCCATCCTGGGTGGCACCGAGGAAATCCTGGCGGATCTGGGAGTTCGGCAGGCCATGAAGTTTATGCCCAAGGCGATGCTTTGATTTTGAGCAGAGTGGAAGGATCACGAGGTCTCTGGCTGTTGCGACATTAATGGTTCAGGTCGTCAAACTTACAGGGGATGGGCTTAACTGTTTACATGTTTTTCGAGACCTGGAACGCCACAGAAAGCAATTAGATCTTCCGCATTCGGCACCATTTGACGAGCGACGCGACACAAGTGCGGGCTCACCACCTTGTTATCATCGGGAATGACCTTGGGTTATTGGCGGCGAAGACTTGTCAACCGGCTCGTAGTAGACAAAACTTCATGCTTCCTACTTTGTGCCAGAGCTATAGACGGGGCCACTATATGGAGAAAGAGCTTCCCAATTGCGGGACTTGGATGAGATGGCCGTCTTCAAAGGTGGTTGTATGACCTAAACTCGGTAGGTGTACTACGCATGTCCAAGACTCGTGCTTATCGTAGTCGAGAGTACATAGCAAGAGTCCAATCAAGATAGATTCTCCAATGTCTAGTTACGATCTCTTGACAAATACTCAAGTTAACAAAAGCGAGTAGCCTTTGAGGAAAGTGGCCTTACGGTGAGGAGAACCGTCGCATGATCGATTCGTCCGCAAATATAAGGAAGAATTGGCTGATTTCATGCGAAGCGCATAATCAAATCTTGCTTTTCTCGAATGTTAAAGACGAATGATACTTCAAGTGCTGTCATTCGGTCATCCAAACACCCGTCGGCACCACCGACTGGTCGAATAGGTAATCGAACAAGGATGTTGCTTTTCAGCCTCTCGAACCACTGGGAGAATCAGCTGATTCTCGAGGCTTGCTTCCCATTTCATCACTGTCCAAAAAACAAAATAACCATGTTTGACATGCTTACGCCCGAGAAATGCATGAAGGCTGGAGGTTGCTCATTTGGTTTGTGGAAGGAGGCGTGGCAGTCATGGCGGCTTGTCATTCCAAGGCCTTTCCACCACAGACATCTTGCCCTTCTTCGGTTCTATCGCGCGATAATAGCCCTTTCTGTATTGGGCCCGAGGTTGACTTTCCATGTTGAAGAGCTCCTAGCCTGAGCTATATGTTTGTGAATGAGCGCCAACAGTGATACTGGTTCGTGGAACCATCACAGCTGGAAAGATCTGAGATCTCGCACCGTCCCATTCAAGTCTTGACTGGTGGTCGCCATTGATGCTTTCCAAAAGACTTATCCAATACGATGCACAAAATCAGTGCAAGGCGGCCAATTGAACACCCAAAGCAGAATCCTCCCCCAGCCGGGATGAATCTCAAATTTGATGGTGGTGCTGAGCCTGAGATTAATTTTTTGTTACTGCCACCTGAAGTTCGCCGTCGCATTTTCGCACTTCTTCTACAAATGGCTGTTGAAGAACCATTTCCTCCTCAAGCGCAAGATGGGACTCTGAGTGTTATCAGATCATGGCTGTGCGAACAAACAGATGTGTTATCCACAGGATCAACAGTAGGAGCTGAATGGAAAGGGTATGGCTCAGAGAGAAATCTTTATGTTGATATACCGCTTGTCTGCCGTCAGATCTATCAAGAGACTCGCAGCTTGGCTTTCCAAGTTAATTCTGTGAGGCTTAGAGCACCATATGGCTCCAATGTCTCGGCAACGATGCAACTCTTGGAGAAATTGACTCTCATCCAGCTAAGTGGAATTCGAAGCTTGGAGCTTGATTTGATAGCCAACCCAACTGAGAGTTGGAGACTGGGTGAGATATTGCGAACAGTGGCTCATGCCAGCGACAAGTTGATCTGGGGTAGTCGTTTCGATTCTCCTCATGACAAGCAGTTTGGCTTGCGAATCTTGAAATTGCGGATTAGGACGGATGATGTTTCGATGTCCGAAGCGGTATCTATATCTGGATTGCGGCATCTTTTGGCAATCAGACCAGCATTGGCAAAGTCACAGGGAGATCATGAAGGTCCTTCGCACAAGTCATGGATGATAGATGGCCTGGTTTGCCTGAGAGCTCTTGAGACGATTGATATTGAATTGAAGATGAGCTCAGTAGTGGCAACCAGAATGTTACCATGGCATAGGAGCGTGTTCAAAGAAAGGATCCGAGGATTAGTCCCAGAAACGTGCATGGTCCAAGTCAAATGGGTCGAGCAACAGAAATCAGAGCCCCGCCTCGAAGTATATGAATGGACGGATCTCTTCTGGATCAACAGTTGTCTGCCGGGCCCACCCTGGGTGAAAGCGTAAATACTGAAGGTGATTGGGCTTACCGGCCAGTTGTCATGAATTTATGCATGCTTTCCATAGACATTTGAGGGGCCCGTGGCAGAAGAGGTGGGTTTTGGGCGGGAGATGTTGATTTGGGGTCAGGGTTGAGAGGTTCAATATCCATTTTGTCTACTGGTCCTGTCTCATCATCGGTGACTTCGTCGTACTCGTCTTCGTCGTCGTCGTCAACGTCGTCATCTTCGGGGGGTTCGACGAGCTCTCTGAGAAGACCGGTCTTGACATTCTCGATGCCATTCTGGATCTCTTGTAACGTGTAATCCGCACCCCATTTCTGCTTCCTTGCTTCAGCATTGGCGGCGCCTGGAGCCCACTGCCATAAAGCATCCCTATCAGCAGTAGAGAGACCACGGTGAGCAGACTTTTGTTGCTGTGTGGCTACAGTTTCGCCTTCCTCAATCCATTCCTCCACACTGGGCTCGAGTTTTGTGCGCAAGAGGGTCTCGAGAATGAAAGCACGTTCCTTGCCTGGGAACTGTGGTAGAGGGTTGACAACAGCAGAAGAAAAGGTTTCGCGGTGTTTGGACAGACTGTCAGTAATGGTCTGTAAGTTGTTGGATATGAGGTTGGCATGAGTTTGTAGAGCAGGCCTAGGGAGTAAGTTAGCAGAAAGATGAAAGGCCCATGTCGACCAGTGCATACCATGAGGGGAGTTGGGGATTCTGAGAGATGTCTGATCGAAGTGCGACCAGGGAAGTATGAAGGGAGAGGAGAAGCTGGCGTGTCTGGTCAAGAGAGCGAACCTGGTCGGAGTCGAGAGTAGTCATGGTTGATGAGGAGAGAAGAAGATGAGGATGGTGGTGTTGGAGAGTACGAGTAAGTCGCGATTTCCTGGCACTGCAGGTGAGGGTTGTTCCTTCTCCAAATATTTATCCTGAGGGTTGGTTGCACCTTCCCGAACTCCGCAGTCACCGAATCATGCTGCATCTGCCCAGTCGTGATTCGTGAATCGCACCTGCCCTCCAAGCTCTAAATCTAAAACACCACTCACTCTATTGCTGCAACGCATCACCAGATTTGTTACTGACGACAACTCTACTCTATCTCAATCCCTCCTTCGTACTACGAGCCCACAGAGCCAGGGTAACTCGTTGCCCGAATGCGCACCCAATACAACTCGCCTTCGTAGGCACTCCCTTCAATGGCTGCTCCCGTAGCCGTCCGCTTCTCAAGCTCTGGCTTCTGCACATCTTGTCTGGTACCTACGTTGAGGATTAGGAGCACTCCACTGATCAAGAGGGCAAGGTACTTTCACCATGTTGTCCCTCCGCGTCACCTTCCGCCCCGGGCTTCAAAGGCGTCTTTCCACTCTGATTCCGGGACCATGAAAGATTACTTCTCCGCAAACACATCCATCGATCAAAATTGGCTCAATAATGGCATGTTGGCCACTGTCCGTACTTTCACTAAGCAGTCCCAATCCGACTCTGACTCGGGTTCCAATGTTGCACATCGTCTTCGGGTTCACAACCAACAGGAAACCGAGTCGACTATGTCACAGTCCACCTCCTTGGCTGGAGAGTCCAGGTCCGAGCCGTCGCAGTCCTCCCTCGAAAATCCCCAAGATTTGCCTCATCGGAGACGACAGCGCAGGAGGATGTTAGCCGATGGACAAACGCCCTCGCAGGCAGAAACACAAGAACCAGACACAGCAACAGCAACCACCCCAGAGGAGTCTCTACCACTCGATGCCTCATCTCAACTCACAACTGCTGCCACCTCTTTACCCACCTCAGCTACACTTCGAAGGAGAGCTGCCACTTATTTATCCCTCACCAAGCCTCGCTTGTCCTTCTTGATCCTCCTCACCACCACTTCCGCTTATTCCTTGTACCCTATACCAGACATTCTCTCAACCACGGCTTCCTCCGTCGAAACTTCTTTCTCTACTTCCACCTTGACCCTTCTCTTCCTTACCACCGGCACCTTTCTATCATGCGCCTGTGCCAATACCTTTAATATGCTCTTCGAACCCAAATACGATGCCTTGATGACTCGGACACGAAATAGACCCCTGGTACGGAAACTCATCACTCCGCGAGCCGCCGTCGCTTTCGCCATTCTCTGTGGATCTTCCGGCTTGCTTCTGCTAGGCTTGGGGACCAACCCTACCGTGGCTGGTCTCTCGGCCCTTAACATTTTCCTCTATGCCGGCGTCTACACTCCAATGAAGCGTTTGTCACCCGCGAATACCTGGGTTGGAGCCTTAGTTGGTGGAATTCCTCCTTTGATGGGCTGGTGTGCTGCAGCTGGCCAAGCCGCCACCTCGGAACATCACTCATGGCAGGATTTGCTCCTATCTGAAGACGCTTTGGGTGGCTGGGGACTGGCCGCCTTGCTGTTTGCCTGGCAATTTCCCCATTTCATGTCTTTATCTCACCTTATTCGCGACGACTATCGTAATGCGGGCCATAAAATGTTGGCATGGACAAATCCGGCACGCAATGCTCGTGTTGCTCTCCGTTACTCCATAGCCATGTTCCCAATCTGTGGCTTTTTGTACTGGTCGGGTTATGTCAACCCAGGGTTCTTGGCTATCAGTACAGCCTGCAATGTTTGGATGACCCGTGAAGCCATTCGATTCTGGAGGAAGCAAGGTGCCGGTGGTAGTGCAAGAGGTCTCTTCTGGGCAAGTGTCTGGCAGCTTCCTCTTGTGCTGGTTGGTGCCTTGGTCTGCAAAAAGGGCATCTGGGATGGCTTCTTCAGTTCCAATGAGCCTATCAGCATATATGAGGAGGATCAAGCCGACCAAGACGGTGATGGCCTAGGTATGGAATCAGTCAACTCGCAGAACAACCGGAAATCTCCACGCGACCTCAACATGGCAATGATAGGCTTCAAAAGACCTACTTGAGCGACATCGCTCAGGAATGGGTATCACTCTTCAAAATTGTCGACCCAAAGAAGATCTGCGGCTACACGACAGGCTACTTGCGTGAGAAGACCCACGTTCTTGACAGCCTGGCGTGGCATTTCAGGCTGAAATATCAGGTAGCATTTCAATCGCCTCGAAAATCCAGCTACGGAAGTGTTCCCGGTCGGCAATTGAACTTGTTTATTGGGAACACAATTATAACCAACAGACAAGCAGCTCGCGGGAAACTGCTTAGAGAATTGCTTGGTTTTCCGCCAATTGATCAGCAAGGTACAAAGCCAACAAAGGTTGTAGCGTCATACATCTGAGAGATCGTCGGCGGACTACCACCTCCCACAGTCAAATGCGGGGAATGATTGCATTTCATTGAAGCTTTGCGATGGTGAGAAATCCACCGCCCTACGTGATCTACATGACAGATGTGACGATGCGCAAATGTAAATTATATACGGTGTTGAGCATGCATATAAACTCACTTCACTTGTGCTTGAATGATATCTGCCTCGCCTGTGTTCACAATCAAATCAAACCTGAGTAGAGATTCTATTTCCTCAAGTTCAATCCAATTGAATCTTTGTGATATCACTGGACAAAAAGAAAGTCCCAGAGATGGCGATGATTTCATCATCGATGGTAGGGCTGCTGAGTCTCTTTGGGTCGTTGCGGTTCGCCTGTGCAGCTCCAGGACTTAGCTATAATGTCCTGGCACAAACACCCCAGATGGGTTGGGTAAGTAGGAGAGCATTGATTACCACTTTGAATTGAGCCAAAGAAAGTTGAAGAGCCTGCGAAGCCATTCCCATACATCGCTGAGGCAGAAACATTCTGAAGGACTGTATCTAATCAAGAGCTCTGTCATACAGGACACATATAATGCTTACGGCCTCGATTACAACGAAACCATCATTGCAACGAACGCCGAGAATTTGGTAAACCTAGGCTTTCGAGACTTGGGCTACAACGTGGTCATCTTCGACGATGCTATGACGGAACGCAATCGAAGTGAAAATGGCTCTCTCATCGAAAATGCCGCCAAGTTCCCCTCAGGTCTAGCCACTATTGTCGACACGCTCCATCGTGACGGCCTCTATTTCGGCGTCTACAGCTCAGCTGGACGATTTACGTGCGGAGGGTATCCGGGAAGCCTGGGATACGAAACAATCGATGCAGAATGGTGGAGCAGTCTAGGGGCTGACTATCTGAAGTACGACAACTGCTACAATGAGGGTCTATCCGGCACGCCGAAGCTGAGTCAAGACCGCTACGCCGCCATGTCGAATGCTTTGAATTCGACCAGCCGCCAGATCACCTACAGTCTCTGCAACTGGGGGGACGACAAGCCATGGGAGTGGGCATCGACAATCTCAAATTCGGCGCGAATGAGCGGCGACATCGCCGACACCTTCGACATGCCTACGTCCAGCTGCCCCTGCGGCCCGGATGAATACTACTGCCAGCTACCGGGATACGGATGCAGCGTGGTCAACATCCTGGGAAAGGCAAGCCACATCACAAGCAAGAACCAACCAGGGTACTGGAACGACCTAGACATGCTGGAGGTGGGCAACGGCGGGATGGACTACGAGGAGAACAAGCTGCACTTCAGCATGTGGGCGGCGATCAAGAGCCCGTTGATCATGGGCAACAAGCTCGACAAGCTCAGCCCCGAAGACTACGCCATCCTGCTCAACCCGGCCGTCCTGGCCATCAGCCAGGACCCCAGCGGGAGTGCCATCCAGCGGAGACTCGTCAGGCAGGTTGACGACACGGATGAATATGGCTTTGGCGAAGTTCAGGTCTGGTCTGGCTCTCTGAATAACAGCGACCAGGTCGTCGCGTTTCTCAACGTCGCCAACGCGTCGCGCACGATGACGTTCTCGCTCGTCGACGTCTTTGGTGGAATCAGAACCACCGAAAATGCTCAGAAGAGCTGGGATCTGTTTGATGTCTGGGGAAATGAAACTGTCATGGCCAATGACGTGGCCAGCCAGGTGTTGAATGGCACGCTTGCTGTCGGAAACGCCACAGGCTAGTATAATGCAAGTGCAACGAGTTGGGCTCAGGGGTTGAATCAGAGTGAGGCGCTCTTGCTGGGCACACCTGTCGGCTCGGTTGAGGCTGGAGGCAGTTTATCCGCAGAGGTTCCAAGGCATGGCATTCAGATGTGGAGGTTGAGGGAACAGGGGGCGGGTTCGCGGAAGAGAGATGAGTTGTGATGAGGTGGGAAAATGGACCGACTGAGCGTCGAATCGCATGAAATGTTCAATGTTTGAAAAGCAATCCTTGTAAATCTGTAAATATCTACCATTTGGTGATATAAGCCTCTTACAGTCGAGGTCTATTGGGTCAATGCCATGGGATGTTGTTCTCGTCCATGCGTAATCATAAATCATTGGGCAGTTGCACTCATACACCACGAGTGTGCAATACAGCCACGTTCGACCAGACGATCAATGCCGTCTGCAACCTCCCTCCTCAGTCTGACTCACACGGCCGACGTCATTTCCATCCTATTCACCCTCGTCCTCAACCTCAACCTCAACCGATCTTCGCCCCACTAAAATCCATCTCCGGATGCTCTTTCATGAACTTCTTGAGCAAATCCTGCTTCTGCTGCTCATCACTGCTGGGCTTCCCCTGCCTCTTCATCTCCTGGTCGTACATCATCTTCTCGACCATGCCGCGGGTCTCGCCGTCGAGTTCCGACAGCTTGGAGTTCTCGGGCTGGATCTTGGTCACGTCGATCTTGGGCGCCGACGTCACGATGTGCGCCCACCAGTTCGTGCCGCGCGATTTCGCCAGGTTGATGTTGATGGATTTGGTCCCGTCGGCGTCGTTCGTCGAGATTATCCACGTCGAGTCGTCGGTGAGGATTGGGAATGGGAAATCGCCCTGTTGGTGGTGGAGAGGGGGAAGATGTTAGATGTTGGATTAATTAATGGGTGGGGGAGAAAGCCCAGGGAGGGAGGGTATGCGGTCTCCTTCCTCGTTGGATTTACATGCATGTTTCGATAACAGTATCGTCGTTTCTATAGACAGCACTCAAAGAAACTTACATCAATGATGGGTTCTTGTCCCTTGATAGCGACCTTGAGATGCGTCTTCTTGAGTTCGACAATCAGATCGCGTGCTTTCAAGTTGCCGGGTATGGGGATGATGACGTCGGCCTCCTCTAGTGTCTGCGTCCATTTGTATGGTAGCTTTGATTGTTCTTCCTCTTCCCGTGCTTTCTGCTCCGCGTCCTTGCGGCGCTGCTCGGATGGTGTGGGCGAGGGAGAGCGGGACATTTCTGCGGATGTGGAGTGAGGTTGTGGGAGTGGGAGTGGGCTGGCGGGAAGGAAGCGATTGAGGATACCCTGAGTATCGAGAAGTTACTGTTGGAATGTGAGTGATAGAATGTTAAGTGCTCCTCGATCAGGGAACTGTACTTGTGGTGCGGTGTGTGCTTCTGTTTAATGCAACAGTTTGGGAAGACAACTTTGATGGGCTGGAATCTGTAAAGACGTCAGTGCAAGGCTGAGCGCCAAGCATTTACACAAGGCTGAAGTTCACATTGCATTGGATGAGGCAATGAAGGACATCGCGAACTTCCTATCTTACCTCTCGGATACCCGCCATAACTAAACATCTAACCTAAGTCACTTCACCTTTTGACACATATATATTGCAAAGTCTATTCCCTCAACAACCCCCGAGACCGTGGCAGGAGCAGCCTACTTAAATCATGTCTTGGTTACAGGGCCTAACAACTAGTAACAAGACGGAAGTGTGCAATTAATGCTTCATCCAACTTCGGGGATTGTGATCTAAAAAAATCTGGGTTCAACTCTCGAGAAAAGAGAGATAGCATCTCCTTAATACGTGGATCCCACAATTCCGGACCTTGAGGTCTGGTAGTGTTTTTTTCTTCATTTTTTGATCTCCTTTGTATCGTGGGATTCATTTTTGGTCACTAAACTTGGCACTATACTATGACTTGAGCCAGAAGTCATTCTGTACTGGCACTTCATCGCTCAGAATGTTTCGATGGTGGTCAGAAACCTGGCACGCAAGAGGCAGGCTACAGTTGACATCTTGCTATGGCGAGATACCTCCTACGAAGCCGCTTCATCACAACCATAGCACTTCTTCTGATCGAAACTTCGAAATTATGAAACCAGAGACTCGCGATTTGACATGCAATCATTGACTCATGTTGATAAATCAGAAGACAGAACCACCATCAACTCATAGTGCTCTTTTTTAAGTCATATCCCCGGGGTTGGCAGTGACATCGATCCGTGGCATTTGAACAGTAGGTCTGAGGTACTGCAAGAATTTGTCCTGGTTATTCCCCAGCACACCGAGTTCGACTCACCGACTCAGCAGCAATATCAAAAACCAAGCATCCATCTGCGCGTGGTTATGAATGCTAACCCCACAGACTCCTTCGAGGTTGGAGGTGTTAGTCAGCGGATCCCGCGTTACCTAACGCCCCTTAACTCCTCATCTTTCAGCCTCTCGGATGCTTGATGATGCTTGACCACTCGCCCTCACCACTGAGAGTTGAGATTGAAGGCCCTTGCTCGTGTATGAGGGCGCCTTCTGACTAAGTCATCGGTAACCCTACTAAGATACCTCAAGCACAACCATTTCTTCGTGTCTATCAATGGAGACTGATTGGAATGCGAGACGACGACAGTCACCACTTTGGGACATGGGTTGAGAGTATGTCCATTGTCCACGAAATACTCGTGGGCTTACACGAATAAAGTGGATCCGTTATCCCAAAGGTGATGGGCACCGAACTCTCCCAGGGCAACTATTGTCATATTCCTTTGTATACATATATATACAACAGCCCTTTCGGACCTCCCTCCTGCCGTCAAACTCATCGACTGTATACATCACCTGGCAAGTTTGAAACAAACCGCTACATATAGCCTCTCTCCAAACACCGACGAAAATGAGTGTCCAGCGTAAGTTCGACAGGAAATTGGACACCAGCACTAAATCAATACTGACACCCTCCTAGCAAAGTACCGATTCGAGAGACTCGACAAGGACAAAGCAGGTTCGTCTCCCTAGGAGGTCCTCCACTTTCTGCCTACAACCACATCACCCCAAGCTCAAAAGAGAAACCCCCTAACCAAAAATCCGAACAACAGTCCTCCTAATAGTCGACCACCAACTCGGCCTGCTCCAACTGGTGAAAGACTACACAACGGCCGAATTCCGCAACAACGTGCTCGCGCACGCCGAGCTCGGCAAACTCTTCGACCTACCGGTGATCATGACCACGTCGGCGGAAACAGGACCCAACGGCCCGCTCCCCAAGGAAATCACGCAGATGTACCCGGACGCACCGCTGATCAAGCGCAACGGCGAGGTCAACGCGTGGGACAACCCGGATTTCCGCGCCGCCGTGGAGGCGACGGGCCGCACACAGATCATCCTCGGTGGCATCGTCACCGAGGTCTGTACCATGTTCCTGGCCCTGAGTCTGCGTGAGGCCGGCTATACCGTCTGGGCGAACACCGAGGCCAGTGGCACCGCCACGCCCAAGTTGGCGGAGGATGCGAACCGTAGGATGGAGGGTGCGGGCGTACATTTGGTGAGTTTGGTTCTCGATGCTTTCCATTGGCTACGCCGCTGGTTTGGGACCTGTTGGCTGATTGAGTATGGTCGACTTAGACCGGCATGTTCGGCATCGCGATGTTCCTGATGAAGGACTGGCGGAACACGCCCGGCACGGCTGAGGTGCTACCCTACTTGGATAAGGTACGTCAAAACGATCCTATTCGATTCATAGCCCCAACTACGAACAAACAGAAAACTCATACTAACTTCTTCCCAGTACTTCCCCGCTTACGGCGTGGTTGCCAGAGCACACGGCGCGGCGAAACAATCTGGGGATATTGTTCCTGGTGAACAGCAGTTATTGGGCTGAGAGGGAGGAGACTTGGCTCCACTGTAACGAGGATTATGTACGTATGGGAGCAGGCTGATTGAACAGAAGATATAAAAGATGTAGATGCTGCTCAACTCTAGCTGGTGATATCTGGTGTGTAGTTAAATGTAGGTTATCAACATCTGGTTTCCATGGTCCACGTGGGTAGAATTTCCTGGTGAACACACGTCGAAGTGCCATAGCGCACCAAAGCAGCAGGGAAAGATTGGCTATTCAATTCTTGACCGTGGATTATTACTCAACAGGAATATGATTTAATAGTGGCTCTTTTCCCCAGCCTGTTGTCATTTATTATTATGCTATGGGTACAAAAATATAATCATCGTGATCACCATCATCACCGCCTAGACTCATATCCATTAGGTATCTTCGGCACGTCAGGCGCCTGGCCATACGTGTCGGGAAATCCCGCCTCATGCAACATCTCGGTGAAGCCAGTGGTGGGGCGACTCTTATCCCCAGCACTGGCTGATCGATTGCGATTCGTGATGGTGGTATATTCACCACCGCCAGTCCCGTCATAGCGTGCGGGTGTGAGGACCTCGTGGTCGTGGAGGGACGACACGGTCGAATATGCGCCGCTCATCGTCCTCTCGTTCGCGTGGTGGTGGCTGGCGCGAAAGCTGCTGTGCTTGTTGTTAGCGGCTGACTTGGTGTGTGGAGGTGTCTCGAATGGACTACCCATTATATTATTTTGGTTGGGGCCTTTGCTGCTGCTGCCGCCATGGTCCATGTATCGCTGGGCATTCATTCCGCGGAGAGGCGCGATGTTCGGTGGGTAGGCTGGCATTGCGGGTTGGATGTTGGGGCCGCTGGGCGGTGTGTAGATTTTGATGCTCTCCGTGTCGGGACTCCGGGGAACTCGGCGGTCTGGAGTCACAGGAACAGGGATGCCTCGTGTGGTGGGAGGGATATTATTGACCACGGGAGGCGTGGGCATCTTCCAGTTTTCTCGGGTGCCCGTTGTGGGACTCTGTCCGCTGGCCATAGAGAACATTGACCTGGCGTGTCCAGTGGTTCTTCGCAAGAAGTCGGTCCTTAGTCCTCCAGGTTGCAGAGGGATGGGATCGGAGATCTGGGGCTTATAGAATGATGAACCCGCAGAGTCTCTCTGGGGGGGTTTTCGATGACGTCCGGAGCATATGACCCATGCAAGCATCATGAAGGCACCAATGAACATTCCAGGAAATAGTCCGGCAAGGAAGACGGTGACTGGGAATTTGTTGCACGAATTTTCCAGTTGAGCTGAGTTAGAGCTTGCTCCAGATATGGCAGTGGAGGTGGAAGTAGAACTTGAAGTTGGGCTCTTCGACGTGGAGGTTTTCAAAGAAGAGCTCGAACCTGAGTTTTGTGTGGATGATGCGCTTGAAGTAGTGGAAGAAGCAGGAGAAGTATCTGAAGTTCCAGACTTACTGGAGCCGGTATTCAAACTGCAGACTGGCTTCCCATCTTGTTGGTTTTTGGGTGCATCGATGCAAGCATATCCAAAAGGACAGCAGCTACTACCGCATGACGGTAAGTTGTCCCCTGACTTTGTTGTAAATATACTGGCATTTGGATTGCGTGTTGCGTTCTGTCCTTGGATATCGCAGGGAATTGGTGCAATATTACTGCAGGTGTTCCCGTCAGGACAGCAGAGAGCAGAGGAGCCGCTATCAAGTGATATACAATTGGAGCCTTCTGGACATGTGAAATTGTCGGGTAACCGAGAGTCGACGGCTTTACATGATACATCGTCTCGTCGCAAGAGAAGTGATCTTGAGTCTGGACTGGAGGGGTCGATGTATTGGAAGGCGTTTGCGGAAGATATGTAGGTGAGGAGCAGAAGAACCAGCCGTTTTCTTTGCATCTTGGCAGGTAAACCGGGGAACTGTAAGGCAAAAGGGTATAATATTATGTAGAGTGATATGAATGGAGAGTCGCACAGAGAGGAAGATATGGAAAGCCAAGTTATAATGTTTCGTTTGTCAAGACAATGACCATGTCTCCAGGACGAGTCACTCAGATCGTAATTTCCAAATTAAGAGCTTGTAGAAGACAAACAAAGGAAGAGAATTAGAGGATTGACAAAGGAAACGAAGAGTGAGTCTTCTACCTTCTAAGATCTCACAAAGAAAGAGTGCCGTTGTTGAGAATGCATAGTTGTCAGATTGGTGCCTGGAAATAGCCTGAAAGACACTGGACCAGGCACTGTTGGGCAGGAATAGTATTCACGTCGTAGAGGAAGAGAGAAAGATGCGCGAGAAAAGGTGGGAGGATAGCCAGTGAAATGTGGAACGACTGCATCTGTTCTGACCTTGTGATCTGAAGCAGGCGCGGAAGTGCATGAAAGGAGTGGCAATCGATGGAACGAGTGGTTGAGAAGGGTTGAAACTGATGAAGGAACGAAAGATACGAGATGAATGGACATGAAGCGATGGTTTTGATGAACTTGATGGACTTTGATGGAGGTGGCTCATCTCGTTTCAGACACGAGGCTCAGCAGCCTGATATTTATCTTTGATTGGTCAGCCTTCTCCCATACCAGGCTAGTCCTAAAGCGGACCGTGTCGCAGTCGAATTATTTCCCAGTCCTCGAGTTACAGGCCCATCGCCATCACTCAGACCAGACCACCACAACTCTACTACTCCCCGTCAATCCCTTGCCTAAACCTCCTCAGATGAACATCCGACCTCCGACGAGGCCGCAGTCTTTCCTGCGAGCCATCGTTAGACAATCTGTACGCACGCACCCGGACTTGACCCCAGCAGCCCAAATTCTTCCAATCATGAATCCCAAACTGACTGATCTCCTTCTTCAAGCAGTTCCAATGTCGCCGCGAACATACCGCCCCGAAAGACTGGAAGCTCCTCAAGAGTCCGTCATGGCAGAATCAATCGAAAAAAGAAGTCTTTGACAAATATGGTGTACCTGGGTTCCTGGAACAGAAGGTTTTCCATGAGACCTATCAGAAATACATCGAGCATCTTGCCAGTCGGTTAAATGAGTTTGTAGCAGGTATGAGCCACCAACTACCTACTGTAATTCCGGAGCTTCATCAAGAAGAATCTCAGCTGACATAATATCTCATCCCCAGGCACCGCCGACGAAGGCGCCTCCGCCGACGACCTACACAAACGGTACGCCCATGTCGCCTCCAAGGCGGCGCTGTACAATCATGCCGCCATGGCAATCCACACACAGTTTTTCTTCGAAGGATTAGCGCACGCACCAGCGTCCGCCATCCCTCGCGTCCCCGGGATCAACACGAAAAAAGCCATCGAAACACACTTCGACTCGCTAGATCAACTGCGCAGCGAGTTTCTCGAGACGGCCGACTCGCTCTTCGGCAACGGCTTCGTCTGGCTGATGCTGCTGCGCGACGGCGGCGGCCTCGGCATCCTTGCCACCTACAACGCCGGCTCCCCTTGGCCCGGCGCTGCCCCTCGCCGCGACCACCGCGACATGGCCAACATCGATGCCCGCCAGCTGGCTGACGAGCTTCAGGACCCACGCCGCAGCACCGCCGGCTCCTACAGCAATGGTGTGTCGCAGGGGACGGCCGGTTCGTTCGGAGATTTCAGCGCCAACCGCGTACGATTCTTCGAGGGCCATTTGGATGCCGAGCCGCTGCTGTGCGTCAATCTGTGGCAGCACCAGTGGATCCCAGACTTTGGGCTATTTGGGCGCAAGGACTACCTGACCGCGTGGTGGGACACGATCGATTGGGGCGTGGTGGAGAACCGGCTGTCGCTTGCTGGTCCGGTCAATGACTCGAGACTGCGGCCGTCGCAGTATGAGCCCTTGATGAACAGATTCCAACAGGATCGCCCCGTGGTATAAAAGACAGGCGTAAACAGGAACCGCTTCGCCACGAAGGACGGACTCCGAATGATGTCCTTAAGTCAAGATCTTCGCACCCCTCTCCGGCCATGAGCCCCCCTCTCTGACCAGCCCTCAGCCCTTCTTAGTGGCAGGGAGACTCTAAGGAGGAGCTTCCATTCTGTACACTACACTTCAGACGTTGGAGCATCTAGAACTATCATGAATAGAGCGGGCGATGATATAAGAGGGGACTTGGACGACTCGCCAGCGAGACCAACAAAGATGTAACATAGTACATACTCATTAATGGATCAATTGATGAACCCACGGTTAAGAGAAATTACAGCTCACTATCCATTAGCTGATTCATACGAACGGACATAATCGATCTCCGAGAAAGGGAGTGACTGTGTGAGTCTTGACGTTTCCAGCCATGTAATTCTCTGAAAGGTACCTAGGTAATCACTATAAGAGCTCACTCAACCCACCTTTGGACTCTTGGTAGAGCTTCCTACCTACTAATGATACATGGGCAACAGGGTTGCAGTCTTGCACCGTACGGCACGAATGCCGGTCAAGAGCTGCCGTGGCCACGAGACGTTCATCCTACCCTGTACCCAGGGCAATGGCAGCTTCTGCGAACATCGGCAATACCAGAGAGAAATAGTCGACTGACTACACCTAAGTGGTGCCGAGGCCTGGCTCACTCAAACCTGCAAGGGCTGAAGCGTGGCCATCATGGTGCCTGAACCGTCAGACTGTCTATTGCTCTTGCCATGGCGCGACTCCATCAAATCTCTGCATCTCTGCAGAAGTGTCTGGGGCAAAGGGGGTTTCTGATCGAGAGGCAGAAAGAGTAAACTGCCTACCCCAGTGAATGTTGCAGCAGAGATGTCCATTTGTTGCTGGGAGATGCCCAACGCAATTGAGCACTCAGTAGGAGCCTGGCGAGAATGGCGAGAAAGTAAATAACCAGCGCAATAATACGCAATAATTGAGGAAGTGGCCCTTTCTCATCAATCCCAGTATCTGATAATGCCGTCAAGCCCACCAGTGGCTACTTTACTCGTCTCCTGGCTATGCCAAGCGACACAAGTGACAGCGCCAGACCCTTCTCCTCCAGCCTGCACTTTGTGCCACATCTTGCCAGTCTTCCAATCCCAAAAGCAGACGAAACCACCAGTATCACCCGAGGCAATGATACCTCCATCAGGGCTTATGGCTACGTCAATAGCATAACCCGAAGTGTTCATGCCACGAAATCCCTTTTTGCGGTTCTGTCGGAATTTGTCACCCGCTGCATAGACGACGATCTGATTATCAGCGCTTTGGAATGCCACATATTTCCCGCTGGGGTGTGGCGCTGACCGGACCAGCGCATACATGGATGGGTCCGCAATAAATTTGATAGGCACTGGGATACCAAATTCCCATGCTCGGAGAGACTTGTCGTCTGACGTAGAAATGAACCTTCTCCCTTCATCAACAAAAGTAAGTGTATTGATCGCGCCCAGATGATGATCGTATTCCTGCGTCAGCTCTCCACTCCGAGTATCAAATTGTACAATCTTCTTGTCCGACATTCCTGCAATGAACTCATTGCCGTCGGGATGAAATCGGAGTGTATGGGGCGTTTTGCCCGTGGTGAATCGTGATATGCACTTTCCGGTCTCCGTATCCCAGAGTTTCATCTGCCGATCATAGGATGCAGATAGGAATGTGCGACCAGTAGGGTGGAAATCCGTGTCAGTGACAGATTTACTGTGGCCAGAGAATGTCCTCAACAATGTCCTGTCATGATGGGCATCCCACAGAGCGATCTTGCCATCAGCGGCAGAGGACAAGAGTAAATGTGATGAATTTGGAATGAAGCGAAGAGAAGTAATGGGTTTCGTGTGGTACTTGTAGACGTGTATGAGTTTCTTGGGCACAAAGTTTTGCTGTGAACCAGGTTCTTTGTGAAGATCGATGTCGAGATCTCTCGGGACATGCATGTAGGTTCGTCCTTGGTAGTCGAATTCAGCAGCACCATGAAATTCGGTGGTCTCTGTAATGCTCGAGTCTTCTCCATATCCAGTGGCTTCTTTTGGTGGCGCAGGTAATATCGTAGGCACGATACCTTCTTCCACCCATTCTTCGTCCGAAGCGAGCTCTTGGTCTGCAGCAGCCTCTGCTTGCTCATAAGAAACATCATCGCTTGTATATTTTGCCCAAGGTCCAAGATACGCACCTTCTCCATCAACGATGCTACTGTCACCCTTCTTTTGCCGTTTCGCTCGAATGGCCGCGCTGTCTTGTTTGGAGTGGCCGAGTTGAACAACATCGCGACCGCCGTATTTTGCGATCGCGGCCTGATTCCCTACCAATGCGCCATTGACACTGGGATCATTCGTGTAGCCTAGACTCTGAAAGGTCCTATGTTGTGTCCTGAAAGTTGCCTCCGACATGTTGGTTTCCTCTGCATTGCCAGTGAGGACATTTTTGCGCTTGAGAACATTCCCAGATGTTGATTTGAATGGGTTTACTGGGCCCTCGGTGGGTCGAGCGAGGTTGTCATAAGTAACATTATATGTCAGGGCGGTACTGGAAGGATTTGCAAGTGCGATTTGGAGTTGCGACGAGTCCTGCATGATGTTAGACTGACCAAAGTCATGCGCCAAATGTAGAGACCAAACCTCTATTGTCACATCTGGAGCAGCCTGCACAGGTTTGGCTTGTGCTGGTGGAGATTTCGCGGAAACACCATCATCGTCGCTAGAGTCATATCCTGACCCTAGGAGGCCCGACATGTCGGCGTAGTGATAGTAAGGCGAAAGATGGCGGGTGTTTCTGAGGGATACCAAATAAAACCATTACTTGAGAGGCATGCAAATCCAGGCTATGATGCTGCATGCATATTCAGAAATTTGGTGAAAACGGGTGACACGTGATTCTGATTACGTAATGTGCACTGTTTGCACCCCTCCACTGCGTCCTTCAGTCCTTCTATCATGAGGACATTTATCTTCCTTCACCTTCGACATCAAAATCTGCTCTCACAGGTCCACAATCTTCGCCTCAAGCCCGGGCAAGCTCCAGGTCTCATACTTTGGACATCAATACGTAAAGAAGCTTGGTCGATACAATGCTACGATTGGGCGAAACTGAGTTTGCTCTCAGCCACACACTGATGCTATTGCATCCCGAGATGTAGCATCCTTTTGGGACATCTCTTTTCGGAAACTTAAACCTCAGCTCGTGAACCATCGAGTCTTGGAAGTTCCAGATTCCCTCTCTGGTGGCAGGCACACTGAGCTTTCCAACACCATGATGGGCCGAATACGAGAAAGCTATGACCACTCGTCAAGACGTACGAAGTTTATCACCACCGAGGTAAGTCATGTCTCCAATGTAAAGTGCTCTGGACATCGGACGACTCGAACTCTGTCATGTTCTTGCGCGAGCAGCAAGAGTATATGACTCCGCAATCATGGGTACAAGTTTGTCTTCCGCTCCCTACTTTCTTCTCCGAAGTCAGAACTGCAGTTGGATCCCTTGAAAGATGACGGGGAGTATGATCGCATTAAGCCACTTGCTTTTCCTCCTCGTGTGCTTCATCATATTCACAGCTCAATCAGTGCAAGCCATCAACGAGACAGACGTGCAAAATGCTGTCGACCGACTAGATGATTTCATCCAAGCACTCCTGAACCAAACAGGCGTACCAAGCATAGCCGCAGCCGTGGTCTACAATGACTCTGTTGTCTATTCCAATGCCTTTGGTGTCCGCACTCTAGGTGGCAATGAGTCGGCCACCCCCGAGACGGTCTATCAAATAGCCTCGCTCTCCAAACCCATATCATCAACGCTCGTTGCCGCCCTTGTGAGTGACGGACACCTGGACTGGACATCACATGCCAACGAACTCGATCAACTGATTGAATTGTCCGACCCATGGATCACTCGAGAAGTAACAATTGAGGACTTCTTCAGTCACCGCAGTGGCCTGTTCGGCGGTGCGGGTGACGATCTGGAACCCTTTGGTGACAACCGCACAGAGATCCTGTCTAGGCTGAAATATCTCGCTCCCACCGGTGCATTCCGAGTAGCGTATCAGTACAGCAACTATGGCATCACCGCGGGAGCCGTGGCCGCAGCGTCGGCTGCTGGAGGGTCTTGGGACGACCTGGCCAAGTCGAGACTGTACGACCGCTGCAACATGAGCTCAACCAGCTACTCCAACGCCGACTTCATGAGAGAAGCCAACCGAGCATCACTCCACGTCCGAGCAGGTAACGCGACGAACGCCTCCGCGCCATTCATTGAGGCACCGCTGCGAAACCCCGACGCACAGGCGCCGGCAGGCGGCGTGTCCTCCAACGTCGTCGACCTCGCCCAATGGCTCCGCCTGCAACTCGGCAACGGAACGCTCGACGGCGAGGAAATCATCCAAGCCGACCCTCTCCTGTACACGCACCGACCGCACATCGTGCGCGGCATCGACCCGGCCTCGGGCACACTGGGCTACTACGGCCTGGGGTGGAACGTGGACTACGACCCACACTCGGGACGCATCTTCCTCGGGCACGCCGGGGCGTTCAGCAAGGGGACGCGGAGCTACGCACGGCTGTCGATGGCGGACGGGCTGGGCATCGTCGTGCTGTCCAACTGCTTCCCAACGGGCGTGCCCGACGGGATCGCATACACGTTCTTCGACTGGGTGTTCAACGGCAACGCGACGACGACGCAAGACTGGATCGCGACGTGGAACGCGCTGCTCGACATGCTGGCCGCCCAGGGCTCCGCGATCGACCCGGGCTTCGACGTGTCGCCCGCCAACGGCACGCCGCCCCCGTCCGGCCCCGCCGTCTACGCCGGCGTCTACACCAACGACTACGTCGGCAGCGTCAACATCTCCGTGAGCGACCCCGGCTCGCCTTCTCCAAACCGCAATCTCACCCTGGCCTTCGCCTCGTCCTCGTGGCCCCTGACCTACTGGGACAACAACGTCTTCGTGTTCCACGACCAGACCGACCGTCCCCAGGCTCCGTCGGCCGTGTCGTTCGTGCTCGGTCCCGGTGGCTCCGCGACACAGGTTATCATCGATACTTTGAATGCTGACGGTGGTGGCGTTTTGGACAGAGTGGTGGTGGAATAGGGGGTTTAGGGTGGCTGTTTTGGGACTGTGTATGTATCCATGTATGTATGTAGCTTTGAAGAGCTAGGCAATGTAGTCCTCTTGCAATGCTCGTGTTCGAGGTAATGATCGTGATTCTGTTGGATAAATCGCGGGACCTTATACTGTCCTCTCCTGCTCAATTAGTATGGAAGTCAAGAAACAGAGGTTTATGAGAGAACCCCATTTGTGTAAATGGCGGAGGTGTCAAATTATCCATAGTCATTAAGATTTATTGTGACACAGTGAGGACTTGCACAGGATATTTCCGAGGCAGACCTTTGTGGATGGGACTCTAACTGCGAAATACCGCTTATATCTTTCTCTTTCAAAACGCGATATTCAAACTTCAATACATCAATCATTTCTGTCGGTTTCGTGACAATCAACATTTGCCAAAAGTTCGGACCTCTCTTTGCCGATGAACCCCTCCTCGTTGAGTCAGGTCCGAGGACAGTCCAATAAGACGATATCAGACATCCATTGTCATGTGATAGTGACGATTGCTGCTTCTCTTCATCCACGATGACCATGAAGAGAACAGTGTGATGGGTCGCATGACCAACATCTCTTCGCTTTTGACCAATCTCTCCCAATACTACCATTTCATCCTCATCTTTGATACTTGCACCCTTTGACGAGCGTCAGTGTCGAAGTCAAGGTTATCGTTCGTGTCCCAACAATGAAACCGCCTCTGTAGCACTTCACAGCGTACTCCCACTTCCTTCCGACCTAGTCAAAGGATGAGTTGTCTTCTGCGGAGAGTGAACTTTGGGCGCATCAAGAGTTGGTGCTCACACTTAAGCATAGCTTCCGTGCTCCATTGCATGTGAAACTCGATCACGCAGTCAGTTTGATTCGTCTCGGATGAGTGCGACAATCATGCTATATAGGTAAAAGAAGAACATGATGAGGTGGAAGCCAAGCTTGATAAATGATTCCTGTCACATGTCAAGTCAACATGAGAGCTCTGAGGGTTATGGGTGTTTTGAAGAGTTTCACACCTTTTTGTGCACGTTCAATTTTCGGAAGATCTCAGTGGCATCAAGCAGATGTTGGTTATCAAAGATCCTGGAGTGCGAATGCTTGTCAGTGCCTGCGTCGATGGTTTCTAGCACTAAGGAGGAATGTGTGGACTCACTTTTTCCCGTTGAAGGCTAGGAGAGGCAGATTCAACAGAATAGCCAACCAATACCCATTGATGAGGAAGAGAAACGTCAAGAATGCGTGAACAGCGGCTTCGGGAACAATATAGGTGTTGAGGCGGTTGCAGAGGTCGATAGGGTTGATGTAGTCGCTATTGATGGAAGGTTAGTACCCGGATGATGCAATATGACACCGGACAACCCACCATTCCAAATCGCTGTACATGATGGTGAAGAAGACCTGTAGGAAGAGGTTGACGGCATTTATAAGGACAGCGAGCAGGTATAACCACGCTTCGCCCGACATCTTGACGGTAGGGTTTGACCGAACACAGAGATTGTTTGAGAATTCGTGGGGGGTTTGGCGATTGCAGGCAGAACTTGGAGTGGTGGTGGTGTTGAAAAAGGGCTAGTTGAATGTGCGGAGGGATATATCCAGGTGAGGGACGTTCGGCAGGTTCTAGGTTGCAAGGTTGGAGGGAACCACGAGCTTAACGGTCAAGAATCGAGAACGTTGAAAAGGTGTCAATGTTGCCAGCCAGAGTAAATAGGTAGGTAGATAAGAAGAGCAAGCTGTCCTTTGGTCAAGGTGGCCAATTGCAGGTAGAGGGGGGTTATACTGGATCGAGGTTCAAGGGTATTCCGGACGGTGATGTAGATGGCAGTGGTGGTGGTGGTGGTATCTTTACGAAGAGAGGAGTAGCAAGGTGCGGTCCAAGGATGAACGAACTGGGATCGTGGGGGAGTGAAATTGTTGGCAGGCGCAACTGGCATTGATGGTGGGTGGTTGGTGGGCGGCGGTAGTCGCCTTTTGGCCACTGCTTTGGTGGGCCAACGTCACATGCTACGGAATTACGAGCGCCTTCCACCGAGGAAGAGTTGCTGACTAACATAGTTGCGGACTGCTCTAGACGAGGCTGTGGTGCAGCCTTACGATGGTAGGTTCTGTGTATTCGTAAGTTGAGGTCCATTGCAAGACTTATATTTCGTGGCCTGACGGTGAAGATATCCTTTTCACACTAAAACCATGCTATGCGAATGATGCTTCACCACACTCATTGTACGAGGTAGCCTTTCTCCTCCATATCCCGTTCCTGGCGAGTCCATCTTTGAGACATAATCCAGATACAGTGCTCGTGTAGCCTGTATCTAACCTGCCTCATCCACACGACAGGGCGCCGTGACTTTGACCATGATACCTGTTTCCGTGGACCGATAGTTTCCCACAGGCTTGCCTTTCAAGCTGTCCCATCCTTATCCTTGAGACCTGGGTATAAGTAGCAAATTTCCATGGCATGGCCGAAATGTCCAATTTAATGCGAGCTCCCACAAGGCCGAGCTGCCCAATCAATCCACACGTTTGCATAGAGGCCAGTTAGATGTCCAATCCCAAATAAATCACTGTTCCGGCCGCCTAAAATTCAAAAGCGAAACTCAAAGAAGAAACGAACGAGGCTGTTCGCTCGGAACAAAGGAAAAGGAAAGTCTTCACGCGTCCATCACTGCCGCCATTGCAGCCGTAGGCCTCAAACTCAGCCCACCAGGGAACCTAAACGGACTGGAACAAGCGACCTCACAACCAAAAGTAAGATGAAAAGCCCGTGAAGACTCAATAGCCCACAACTGGGCCTGCAGGGTCGGATTATGCGCAAAGACATCGATACCGCCACGCTGCGCCAGCATCGTGCGCAGCGCATCCTCATGCAAACGCACTTCCGCGGGCTGGCCGAAATCCGCGGTATAGACGAGCAGCAACAGCACAGCTTGGATGACGGAGTCGCTGCTTGCGTGGGGGCCCGCCAGCCGCAGCCGGTTCCACAATGCATTCGTACCGATGCTCAGGTGTGATTGCGCATCGACTTGGTCTTGGATGGTTTCCGGACTGGCGTGCAGTTTCCAACGCATGGCGAATGCGTATGCGAGGAGGAGATGGCGCGAGGCTTCGTGTTCGAGCATATGGTTTATCGCAGGGTCGAGGAGGCCGGTGCTACGGTTGTGCTGGCAGATTGTGTTTGTGACTGGATTGATGATTAGTATGGGTAGGTTGCAATCTGAAGAGGGATTTGATAAGGGGTGGTGGGAGAAACTCGAGGGTTTCGTACAATATGGTGATTTTCTGATCCCACCGTAAGACTTACAGAATTGTATGACCGGATTGTCTTGCGGTACGGATGGTACTGGCGGGAGGAGCAGAGATGAGTCTATCTCGGTGATGGAGGCTGTTCGGCTCTGAGAGGTCTCTGAGCCTTGATCTGTGGGATTGCTTGATGTCCGACTGGGCTGTGGCGTCCCCATCGAACGCACGGGTGATATACTGGCGCTGCTTGTGGAAGATGTCGTTGTATCGGTATCGGTCCGCGGTAGTCGTCTCCCCCATTCCAGATATCTGCTTTGGCTGGACCGGCGCAGCAGTCGTGATCGTGCATCTCGTCTTTGGGCTGCTGAATGGTATGCCGTGTGTCTCTGGATAGTACTCCTGACATTTGGGTCGTCGCTGTTGACGAACTCGATGATGTTGGCGGGCTTTTGACTGCCTGGGTTGGTTCGCCGATTATCCTTCTCCTCATCCCTCCCTGACTCACTCTCGAGAGGAAGGTCATCATTAGATGACATGTATGGTTGAATGTCGAAAGTAATAGTAATCGATAGGATCGGTTTTGATGATGGTCAATGTGTTTAGATGGAGGAACACCTCCCACAAGTGGACTAACGCCACCGTTTAATGGTACAACACTTCAATCATGAGATATCTCACGTTAATCAGATGGGCATATTGCATGGGGGAAGAGGTGAAACTAGGAGAGGGACTTGTGCCAGGCACAAGTAACAAGGCTGTCAAGTGCTTCGAGCAAGAGGGGAGTTAAGCGAATATGAGGCACAGCTGGGGTGGGGTTACGGATAGAAGTCCCTTGACAGCTATACCAAGCCATTAATATAACGATTCCAGAATCCTGGAGAAGGAACCTGACCAGGATCGAAGATACTCGTCACTGGATGTGGAACATATTTCAACGAGGCTCAGTCCAGACCGGCACAGGGCCGGTTCTGAGAGGATTTAGCAGAGGGCAGATGGTGTCCACGTGGATCATTAGGCTTCGACCTTCCGTACGAACCGCCGGTGTCGTAAAGATGAGTACCTCGTGCACTCGGTGACATGTCTAGCGAGGTGCAGTGGCCTTGAATGGTCATGGTCGGCCCTTGTCGATCCATGAGAAGTGAGAGAAATTGCGTGAAAGACACTGATATCACGTGTGGTTGAAGAAAGGGGGGATAGCGTTTGTGGTGCGTCGTCTTTCCGTACTAAGTTGTCCCTAATCATTAAAGTTTCTAGCATAAACCGATTTGAAAATAGTAGGGACATACTCGATTCGGTACCGGAAGTTGTGAACCGACTTCATATCCCGCTCCGGTTCCTCGCGAGGCTTGGCGAGGTCATCAAGTGAATGAAACCTGCACTTGGAACCTCACTACCAAAGTCTGCTGATCTCGCCACCAGACGACATGATCGGCGACCCGACACAACCTTATTTCTAATCGCGAGAGCCCGAGCTTCCATATCCCTCAATTCTAGAATACATAATCTCGTACGCGTCTCAATGATCCAAGATGTCCGGGAAGATCTTCACCGTTCCAGTACCCAGGTAGTTGACAGTCCATCGGGGCGGGGACCTCGAAGGCCGAATTCCATTAAGAATGAGAGCCGCATACCCATGATTAAAACGCATCACTTTGATCTCTGTCAATGGTGGATGACGAAGCCGCGGAGTATTGACTTTGCAGGTCTTTCAAATAGAAAATACTCAGCTCTCCTTGTGGTGCAGGTATTAGCAATTCATCATCTCGAATACTCCTGGCGATCTCGAATCCCAGTGCTCATGTTGTAAATTTGGTAAATGTCATGTGATCAAGCATCTGATGGCTTCGGTCATGTGCAACCCCAGCAAGGCTGAGTCTGGCACCTGACCATGAGCAATAATAATAACAACTGGTGGGGCATTGCTACGGTGGATCGGCAAAGGAAGGCAAGGCACAGACGCGTGGGAATAAAAGATGGATTACTGTTAAAGATTATACAGAAGCGAATTAAAGCATACCCGGATTAGCCATACTATCCCTTCCCTGCCTCAACATCCCTCAACATCATCATCGCTTTCGGGCTTTGCCGGGTACGTTTCTACTTGTCACAGCCTTCCCTCGATTGCCCTGTGTTGTCGCAGTGGCACTTCGAGTTTGTATGGCGTAGTCTCCGCCTGGTCGTTCAGAAACATCAACTTGAACACCTTCGTCATAGTCACTGTCGTCGTCATCTTCCTCCTCCGAGTCACTGGGAGCACGATATCGCGAAATGGTGGAGGGATCGTTGGGTAAGAAGAGTTCATCTTGAGGGCGACGATAGGCAGTCGGTGAGTATTGATTGCCCAAGTGAGGTCCAGAGGCAACACGTCGCTGTGGAGACGCATAACGAGGGTCCGCAGGATCAAACCGAGGAGCTCTACCCGTGCTTGTCTGGTAAGGTAATTGGTCTAGAGGCATATTGACCAGACTGGAAGTGGACCGAGCACGAGGTTCCCAGTCTGGTTCCGAAGGATCAGGTCGTGAAGCTCGTGAAGAATTGGACCCAGGTCTTTGAGAATAACCAGGATCAGGGTTTGAAGCATAACGGGGCGCGTGGTAAGGGTTTTGATACTGTGGGACTTGCTGGAGTTGCTGTGCCTGTTGCTGTTGACGAAGGGAATGTGTTGAATTGGTTCGCGATCCTGGACGTGAGGACACTGCCTGGCGTAACCCAGTAATATAATTGTCTTGAGGGTAAGGGATGCGGCGACCAACATGACCAGAGTCCTGATCGATAGGATAAGACTGATATGCTGCCAATGCATCATCTCGTGCTCCTCGACTGGAGGCGTTCGAGGCAATGCTTTGCCCACGATCTCGACTATCCACAGGCTTCCGTCTTGGAGAGTTGCCGGCCGATTTGTTGTCGGTCCTGCTTGCCTTTTTACGGACTTCAACCGGCTTACGCTTCACGGGGCCTTCTTTTTTGCTCTTGGGAGCGGCCATCAAAGGGGGTGCCACGGGACGTCGAGAGTCCTCATTTCGCGCTGCGCGTTGCAAAGCATCAATTTCAGCGCGACTCAACTTGACGTTGGCCTTACCCAGAGCCCTGGCACGATCAATTCTCTCCCGAGCTCTCTCCAAAAGCATGTCTTCCTTTTCCTTGTACATCAATTGCAATTCCTGTCGAGGGATAAGAGATGAGTTTGGGTCCAGGTCGTAGTCATCTTCATCATCGGAGGGAGTAAAATCATCGTAATTGTCACCTGAACGCCCGCGGTGGCTTCGAACGCCACCCAAGTCTATACCAGTAAATCGAAGCTCATCTGAAACAAATCTTTTGTTGCCATAATCTTGTTCAAGCTCGACACCTTGTGAAAAATCATCATCGGTATCAAGCTCTTCGACACGATCATCATACGCCCATGACCGGCGGAGATCGCGTTGTCTGTCGTTCCTCCTCCCCGGTCGTCCCCCTGGTGGTCTTCCCCAAGGGGGCATATCGTAAGGAGTTCGCGGCCGACCACCTAGACCGCCTCCTCGGAAAAAGCATTCTCGATAGGTCTATCCATGAGGGAAGCATGCCCGAGAATGGTGACGCCTGTGGCGCCGATCAACCACAAAAAGGTGGTGATGGGTGAAGCAATGAAAGCCCATGGTACAGCAACACAGACCAGGCCGGTGTATAGTTGGGAAGTGGTGGCGTGGAAGGTACCAATGACCAGATCATTTCCACCTAGTTTACCAATGGTCCACATGCCACCAACGACGAAAAGAATGGCGAAGAGAAGTTTCAAGTTGGTGAGAAGGCTGTAGACACTGAGCATGACAAAGACCACGGCATAGTTGGAGGAGAAGTAAGATAGGTTGTAATTAACACGGCTCTGAACCTCGACAAAGTTGTTGGGCTTGGAAAGTCTCTTGATGTCCAGGAACTCGGAGATGGGTTTGATGTTGGCAAATCTCGAGGCAATAGACTGGGAACGAACGCTGCTGAAGCGATCGGAGAGGTTGAGGCGCGAGGTGATGGCGTCAAGAGGAATGCTGATTCTGGCCATTTTGGAGGATGTTGAGGCGGTTTGAGATATAAGAGGTTGAGAAAGATGGTCAAGAAGGATTTATTTCTAGATCTGAGTTAGTGACCAAGTTGACGCGCGTGTGGGCTTGTCAACGCGATTGCGCAGCCGACTCAAAGGTCAGGGATGACATACTCGTAAGAAGACCGTGGTAAGTCGTGGAAATGATTTTGCAGCGAAGGTTGTAAAAGTGTGCTTTGAGTTGAAGGAATGCAAAGTGTCAAAAGACGCGATCAGGTATATAACAATGAAGTGGGAAAAGTTGACAGGACAAGGGGATAGGCAACGGTATTTTTCTTGAAGCTGAGAAGTCGAATATCGGTTGAGATGGATGGATGGGGTGGGTTAGGTTACTTTTGCCCCTTTGGCTTGCGGCTTTTAGGGGGCAGCAGATTGATGGGCGGACTTGGTGGAAAGAAATGGTGATTGCCTGGCCTCTATGCCTCTCCGGAGTTTGCCGGGGGGAGAGCGCCCCTGGCCCCTGTTGGAATTGGGCGATCTGGCAGGCACCAGTCAGAAAGCTCAGCCCTGGGATCTGAAATAAGGGGAGTGGTTGTACTTGGTTTCGCCTAAGGAAATCGTCCACAGCCACACACCCACACCCAATTTTGGATATTGCCAGTGCGGGACTCGAGAACTGCCTGAGACACAGACACAGACTCGCTGTCAGCACAGACGTGGTAGAAGGACAGAACCTTCTCCACACTGTGTTCCCTCGACCTGCCCTCTGCAGGCTCAAAGGTTCGTGACTATCATCGGGTCTGACAATCAAGTCCGGACACCTGAGGGAAGGAAGAAAAAGAAAGAAGAGAAAAGAGGGACGAGAGAACTGGTGAAGAAAAGGTCGAAACTTGACAGCCCAGCCAACCGCGGGGAAGTGAAGGAGCCACCCTGCTTGCTGTACAAATTCACAAAGTTGATTACGAGTTTCCGCACGCCTACTTCCACTAAACTCCAGTGCCCCGAATCTCAATGTGCGGGCAGCTGAGGTGCACGGGTGCCCTGTGGATTGTGGGTGATGGGCAATGGGTGCCAGTGGGTGGGCAGTGGGCACCACTGCACTCCGAGTCCTGCTCCTATGCTCGAACTTGGTCGCCCATTCGTCTCCCTGTTTGGTCCTGCCCATTATTGGGCCACGTTTTTTTTCTCGGGCAGCCATTACACTCGACTTTCTGCTTTGTGCATCCGCATCCCGCATTACATCTGCCAGTGCCTCATTATTCTCTACTCTTCCGCCTCGGAATTCTATCTTACTTCTCTTGGACGACCGAACCCCATCCCACTTTTGGAGGGGTAGAGGGTCAAGATGAGGCCACGAATCCTACACTTGCTCGTCCTCTGCACCCTTCTCTGTCTGGCCTTTGCCTGGTCCAAGGAGGATTATGAGATATTCAAACTCAAAGATGAGGTGGATGCCTCCGAGGGACCAGATGTCGACTTTTATGACTTTCTTGGTGTCAAGCCCTCCTCAACCGTAGAAGAAATTAGCAAAGCTTTCCGCAAGCGATCCCGCGCTCTTCATCCCGACAAAGTCAAGCACTCTTTCGTTGCCTCCCGTTCCACCTCCAAGCCTGCCTCGAAACCTGGTTCCAAGAAGAAGCCAGGTGTTCACGTATCCAAGGGTCCCTCCGATCGAGAACTTCAGAAATTCCTCAAGCAAGCCACCGAAAGGTATGGCCGACTAGGAGTCGTTGCAAACATCCTCAAAACTCCAGACACTCGAGAAAGATATGATTTCTTCTTACAACATGGCTTTCCCACCTGGCGTGGGACGGGTTATTACTACTCGAGGTATAGACCTGGTATCGGTACTGTCCTGACTGGACTCTTCTTGGTTGTTGGTGGTGCTGCCCACTACTTTGCCTTGATCACCAGTTACAAGAGACAACGAGAGTTCATGGAAAGATATATCAAACACGCCCGAAAGACAGCTTGGGGGGACGAGTCCGGAATTCGCGGCCTGGCCAATATTGGTCAACCTATCGCGGTGCCTTCAACTCCAAATGATTCGGAAGCTGATGCCGATCCAATGGCCAATCTCAATCGACGACAGAAAAGAGAAATGGAGAGACAGAACAAGAAGGATAAATCAAACAAGAGCAAACCAGCCAAGGTTGCTCCCGTGCAAGTCTCATCGTCTTCGGGAGAAAAGCGGCGTGTAACTGCAGAGAACGGCAAGATTTTGGTGGTGGATTCGCAGGGCAATGTGTTCCTTGAGGAGCAGGATGAAGACGGGGAGACCCAGGAATATCTTCTTGATCTGGATGAAATTCCTAAACCCACCATCCGCGATACAGCAGTCATTCGTCTTCCCATCTGGCTCTTCCGCAAAGCCTTCGATCCCTTCCTCAAAAACACCAAACCTGTGCCAACTGAAGAACCCACCGAGTCGGAAGAGTCAGAACCAGTCAGAGGGACGCCCGAGCTTGTTGTGCCTGGTAAATCCACTCCGCCTGTTGTGTCGGATCTCAGTGCGAGTCAGATATCGGATTCGGGATTTGAGATTGTCGACTCTACTGGCATCGAACAAGAAGTCAACAATGCTCCCACCGTCAAGAAAAGAGGCAAGAAGGGCAAGAAATGATTTGTTCCCTGGTTCCATTTTATTGACTGCAAGATGTGAAAATGTACGAACACCCCAATACGATAGACTAGAAGTTTCCGAGAATAAAAATAAGCGATTTCATAGCATTCATTTGCTTTCGTCTCTTTGTTGCAGGGTCAATGCCGTGCGTTCCAGGGCGATTCAATATATCGCCCCACGGATCCTGGATATTCCGTTGTCTACATAAACATCTTTGCAATGCTCATGATCGACCCCAGACTCTCGCTGACACCACCACCCATACCGGGCAGCGCCGAGCCGCCCGGAAAATCACGCGCACCACCTCTGGCATAGAAGCGGTCGGCCTGGCCCCTCTGCCCACCCGCCAGACTCTCCAAGCCCCGGGGCAAGCGCAGGCCCACCGTGGCAAGCAGTTTCGTCAACGCGCCGCCGGTGATCAGCGGCATGATGACCAGGAAAAACACCTTGACGGGGTGCCGCCGCATGTACTCGTAGATCTGCCGCAGGAAATGGCGGATGCGGTTGACGAAGCCGGAGCGCGGGCGGGCGCGCGACGAATGTCCGTTGCCCCGTGACGACCGTCCGTAGTTGCTGCCGCCGAATGAGAAAAAGGACGATGCGCTGCGTGAGTAGGACGGCCGTGAGGCGTAGTAGCCTCCTCCGCCGCCCGCGTTGGAGCGCCGCGAGGGTGAGCGGCTGCGGCTGCGGGACCGGATGCCGTCGTTCCAGAAGCCCATTGTTGGGTTGGATATGGAGATGGAGATGGAGGTGTATAGAGGTGGGAGAGATGGGAGGAAGGGAGGCAGATGAAGTGCAGGTGCAGTGGTGGATGGTGGATGGATGTTCGGAGCGCACTTTCAATCCACTGGCTTAGGGAGCAAGAGGGAGAGATTGATGGCCTTCCCTTCGTTCAGGACTGGGATCGATGAAAGGGACCCGTGAGCGATGGAAACAAGGAGGATGCTCTTTCAGCTTTGGTGATCGAATACTTCGTATCATGTACGTACACCCGGAGCCTGCTTTCTCTGTGGTGGCACTGTCCGTATATCCTTCTCGGCACCGTTATAACAACTGTGAATCACTACGCCAAGGGTTGGAAGGATCACATCTCTTTGGAGAAAGGAGGAAGAACACAAGAGGAAAACAAACAATGTCGGCCGTCTCAATCACCTGAAGATACTGGGCAGTACTACCACAAAAATTGCGCGAAGCAATTGGAGTGGCTGGCAGAAAATGGAGTATCGCAAGGGGACTAACCAAGGCTGTGAAACCGTTTGAAGCTTGGAAGGTGGTTGGCTGGAAAGTGCGAAGTGTGGCTCCGACATACTCTAGTCTATATTTGGCTTAGATCGATATGATTGAGCCACCTAGTGCTTATGATGTCATTGCATTTGATGGCATTTGCGAAAAGGACATTCAAGTTCAGGCAGGCAAATGCAATTGTAGTATCTGTTCTGTATCCTATATTCATTTCTCAATACCGTCATCGGACGTTCTCAAAAACAATCGTTTCCATCGTCGTCTAATTGTACCCTTCTTACGCACTACCATTGGGCTTTCGCTTGAGGAGAACCATTCATCTTGGTCCTCCCTCCTTCCCGGAAATCATTCTGCCTGCCGACCAACAGATCTGATCCTATTTGCCCACCATGGCAGACCTTCCAGATTACTGTAAGTCTTTTACCCCTCATTATCCCACTCACTTGCCTCACATCTAACGCTCTCCTCAGATTCCGTCCTAGAGGTCGCGCCTACAGCCACGAACGAAGACATCAAGCGAGCCTACAAACGGGCCGCTCTCAAATGGCACCCTGACCGTGTCCCCTCGGATTCCGCAGAAAGGCCAAAACGCACCAAGATGTTCCAGAGGATCAATGATGCATACTACACGCTTTCCGAACCCACCAGACGGCGAGACTACGACGAGGCACGACGCTTCTCTGGCGGTGGGGCCTCTACATCGTTTGACGATGACGAGGCAGACGAGGAGGTTCCCCGTGCTCAAGGCGGGGGTGGACCGTCTTGGGCCAACATGTTTGGCTTCGGCAAGAAGGCGGACGGCCAAGAGGATGCTTTCGCCAACGACCAATTCCGCGGTGCGTTCGAGGAGATGATGGGGGATGCCGACATGGCGGATCGGGAAGGGGATACCGCGGTGCCGAACAAGCGCTTCTGGAGTATCATTGGTGGTATCTCCGGGTTTGCGTTGGGCTTTATTGCAGGTGACATTGTGGGTGCGATTCCCGGTGCGGCGGTGGGAAGTAAGATGGGCTCCATCAGGGATGCCAAGGGCAAGTCGGTATATGCCGTCTTTCAGTCCCTGGACCAGAGCCAGAGGGCTCGTGTCTTGAGTGAGCTCGCCTCCAAGATCTTGAGCGGTGCCATCAGTTGAATGGGAAATGTTGATTAAATAAGCTGGGAAGGTGGGTGGAAATAAATGAAGCGCGGGGTGTTCATGGAGCTTGGATGTTCACTTCCTTGGATGATTGATTCGCTGGAATAGCATAAATGTCGTAAGTAACCAATTGACCTAGATAGCAATACATCTATACACTCGAATTCACAGCTCGGAAATCCAAGGTTTCATCTCCAAGTCATATATATATTATATTGATCCATCTGAAGGATGCTGAACATCCCATGGAATCTGTGCAGTACATACAATAAATTAGCCATCAGTCATCCATCCACCCCTACGAGGGCAAGATGGGCCCAGTGGTCCAAGACGCCATTTCGCCACGCTTTTTCAGTGTAAACCTCGCATTCCGATCAGGTCATGCAAGACTCGATAATGAGCCCAGATATCATATTCACCATCGCCGCCAATGCAAGAGAATTAATGGTTGACGAGGAAGAGTTGATTCATTAAATATCGAAACTCTCACTCCCCTTCAGAAGCGGAATTTGCCAACACCCCACTTCTTCTGTCTCCCCAGATCGTGCTGCTGTTGTCGAGGACCATTGGTCGGTGCTGTGCCTCGATAGCCATCTTCAGCATTCGGGCCCTGGCTGTCGGCACCAAGCGGGGCATGAACACGGCCATTGGTGCTAGCGCCATTGAATTCCGGCTTCTCCAGGTCAGCAGTATGTCTCCAGCCCTGGGGCTGGTGGTTCTTGCTGCGGACACTGGGCAGCAGATCGAGCAGGAAGCTGAGGACGTAGAAGGTGAAGACGAGGGCGACGATCCACTCGAAGACGGCGGCGACGTTGCGACGGTGGGTGAAGGAGGTGCCGACGAAGACGGCGGCCAGCACGATCTCGATCAGGATGAACGCCAGCTTGACCCAGAAGCTGATGCGCAGGATGCGGTGCTCCCGGTAGTGGATGCCCAGCCGCTGGTACTCGGCGCACAGGAACACCGCCGACAGGATGAAGCCGCCGATGAATAGGAGCAGGAATCCGTCGTGCAGCCGCGGGTGGTGGTAGGTGTCGAAGATGGACAGGAGGATCAGGCCCGCGGACCCGGCGACGGCGCAGATGATGGCCAGCACGGACAGGACTTTCTGTGCGAACGACGTGTTGGGCACGAGCCGGCCTTTGTGTCGTAGCCAGCGCTCCGCCATGAATGCTAGGTCGAGCGAGACGGTCGTGATCACGCTGCCGGTGATGAAGAGTGGTTTGAGTCCGTAGGCCCCGACGTCGGAAATGTAGGCGATGGTTTGCCCGGCTTCCATCGATGGGTAGATCGGGTGCCCGATCACTTCCCAGCGGATGAACATGGCGAGAAGCATGCCTAGCCACCTGGGTTTGGATTGTCAGTCTTTACCCCATGAAATGGTATAGAGGAGGACCGATCGGGAGAAGGATTGACAAACTTACATGCATGCCGATAGTACAGGAAAGATCCAACTGCCTAGATACCACATGTTGCGTGAGGTTCTAGAAGAGATAGTCCGCCCAGGACAATCAAGTGATGGATAATCCTGCTGAATGTGTGATGGGTGATGACGGGGAGTATTAGATGTCAAGAACCTTTAAAAGGAAGGGGGAATGTCGAGATGTCGGAAGAGGAATTATATGAAGTGAACAAGGTGGAAAAGATCAATGTGGTAACCATGACTATATCAATTCCCTTCCAGTGACTAAGAAAACAAGCGAAAGTCTTAAGGTCATGGTAGTGGGGCATAGAGTTCGATTACAGATTCCAACTTGTGAAACTACATCATAGCACTCGCGTAGCCCCATGGATTTTTGAGGCCAATACTGCTCGATGCAAAGTGGAACGAAGCGAAACCGAGTGTCGCGCGGACATAAAAACTCTCGACCGGATGTGTATGATCGCCGCGGGAGTCCATCTCGGGGAGGCTGTGGGATTAGTGCTGTGTACGTAGCTACCGGAGCAGGGTCTTTCAGATTGGCATACATAATACACGATCTTAGTCAGTAGTCAGATCCTGGGGTGGTACTCGTACAAAATCTTATGAGGGATAAACTCGGACAAAACAGGCCGTATTGATATCAAGTTGGTTTGAGTTTTTACTTTGACATTTTTGTGGCTACTTTCTACAACTGTCTCGCGGATAGCATAATTTGATAATTTGAGAGATTCTTCACAAGTATTCAAGAGATACAGGATAGGAAGCAGCAAGAATCTAAAAGCCGTCGGGAAGTAATTGTGCACAACTCTTCATGGTTGCGAGAGAAGCGATGCATTGGCATCAAACGACCAACAGTGTGAGTATTTAGACAGAGCGACGTCATTGCTTTGGATTGCGAGGCCCGACTCCTGACGCAATAATGCGGGTTTTCACCGGGGTTCGGGTTTGATCCCAAGTTGCTGTGGCTCCGTCAATCAAATTTCTCAAACTGTTTCCACATCGGGTCCCTCGGATCGACCCTAGGCGCCACGATTTTCCCAGGAGGGAAGGACATGAATTGCTCGTTCTGTGGTTCGAGAAGTTGAACTGGTGCTGACTACTGTTATTCGAATCTTGCTAGAACTCTGGCAATTTGCTGTGTAATGGGCGACTGTCCTCAAGTAATGGCTCAACAAGATGAGCAAAAGAATTGGCACCTGTAAAGGTACCTCAACACCGTCACTAGGCACTGCGCTACCATATCTGAGGTAGGATTTAGCTAGAGCATATCGCAAGCTCTCGTGTTCGTATGCAGAGAACGGGAATATCTCCGAGTCCTAGTGCCACATTCCCCTGTCGGTATCTGCTGACTACTTCCCAAGATCGCTGATTAAATGTTGACTGTACGAAGTAAGACCCGTTTTCAGAATACTCCGTAATGGAAAGGGCTCATGCCTCAATGTGGAAAGTCCGGGGTACCGTCCGAATGCCAAACACTTATTATGTGGTGACTTGCAAGAACTTGCTGGAGCCTGAGAATGTATAAAATATTGCACAAAACGGCCCTCAAGTAGACGCAGCTGAGGTATCGTGGTGTTGGCATCCTCGCTTATGTGCACATTGGTATATCCAAGATCAATCAGCCACCCTGCTGATGAGTATCCGTGTCATCACAGGACTGTGTGCCAAGAGTGCGTTAAAGGCTCAGAACGAACCCGCGTTGATACTCAACGCTCACAGGCCATGCATAGCAGGCACCAGCGAGCATGTATTCGTAGTTGGTGTGCGCATATCTTCAGAGATTGCCTGGCTCGTTCATCAGAATCTTTTTGATGGCGAGCAATTGGGAGTTTTGAACGCCGATGCTTTTGAGATATTTCTCGGTCCCTCCATAATTGGATTCGAGGTGTTGTACAATGATCTCGCAAAAGTCGCTGGGACAGCTTGCAAATGATTCGTCCAATCCAATGCTGGCAATTTCTTCCATCCTGGACTCCTTTTCAGACTCCAGCTCGGGCTCCGAGAGCATATAATCTTGGGAAATGGCGTCAAGGGGAATGCCACACAGCAGGAGAATTAGTAAGATGGTGATACCGGTACGATCCTTCCCTTGTGTGCAGTTGACCATGACAGGCCACGATTTCTCATCGGCGAGCACATCGAAGATCTCCTTGAATTCTGGACCACTGTGATCGAGAGTGTCAATGCCTAGCCCGGTGAGACCGCGAGGTAACATTAATTCTTTCCCTAACACAGAAATTCCCTGCGTACGATAACCCAACGCCATGAGAAAGACCAATTTGGCCAGACTGGCATATTTCAGCTGCCAGATGAGATGGCGCTCAAATCCTTTACCGTTCAGATTGATATTTGCGTAGCGAATGCCTGGGATCTGAATCTCTTTGGCAACAGCATCGTTGGATGATGGAACCACTGCAGACTGGTCAGCAAGAGAAAGCTGTGCGCGTTTCTTTGCAGCATTGATATGTTCGGTTTTGGAACGAAGGTCAATGATGGTTTGGATTTTGTAACGGTCGATTAGTTGGGATCGGTCGGCAGGTGTGGCTTCATCGGGACGTGCGCTTCGAAAGAGAAGAGCAGGTCTTAGGATTGGAGATCCCACAGTTGTATTAACGTGAACTCCCACATCACGAAAATTGAGCAGATTCTGGAACTGGGCGTGTTGGCTCATACCCGCTGTTTTATTCTTCAAATCCGACTTGGTATTGAGGAACAACTCGGTGATGATCTGCCAAGGTAAGACACTCGAGAGGCAGAGCTATGGTGGATACAGGGGAGTGGATTTCCAAAATCCATCCCTAGAATGCCCATGACATGCTCCCCCCAGGCTTCAGAATTCTGGGTGATGACCCCCTGTAACTTCTAGATAACGGATAAGAGACTCCGTTCCAGAAACAGCCAACATGTCACTCAAAAAGAATGGATGTTTGTTCTGTTTATTGAAGGGCAATATCAATAACATGTGTGTCGATTAGGTTTCTGCTCAAATCTCGGCGTGTACGGAGACCTCAGGGTCGGTGTCTGTCGCCATCGTAGAAATTTGTTGCTCTTGACTTCAGGTCTGGTAGAGCCAGTGGCAGGTGGATCATCAGCCGATTGCTATCGCTTGGGCCATGTCCTTAGCTACCCTACATGACGTATGTGGATTGGATGACATAGACATGTTGCATGCTTTCCTCATGCTGCCAGTGCCAGTGCCAGTGCTTCCAGCTTCCAGCTTCCACTGCCAGTGATGTTCGATTCCACCTTAGCTCCGTGACTGCAGTGCTGATTGATGAGAGCTCTCTTTCCATACCCGTGCATGTCTACACTATCCTTTACAACATCTTCACGATCGTAGAACTGATTTCTACGACATTATTTCAAACTCTCAGGTTGTGGTTGTCTGTGCTCCTGGCGTCTGTGTGCTCCCTACTCCCTAGCTAACTAGGTCGCCCCTACCCTCTGTTCCTCCCCCGCCTTCCAGGCGCAACATCCCCCAAGTGGCCAAGATTTCATCATGTCCACCACCACTGCCACCCCAACCCAACCCTCCAGCTACCACAACCATCCCGACAAGCTTGAACAACAAGGTGCGTTGACTTCAGAGATCGCCGTGTAGAGATGGAGATCTGAAGTAACTGACGTGGAATCAACAGCGGCTTCCACAGCTATACATACCTCCAGAGAGACCTCGTCAAAGCCCAGCTCCTCGTCGGTACTTGACGAGGACGGTCGGCTATCTTCAGCTAGTATGCGAACCCCGCCTGTCTTGCACCACCATCACATCACCACCACAACCCATTCTCAAGCTTGTTACTGACCACCCATTCCAGGTGCTGCACTTTCGCTCAAGTACGCTCGCGCCCAAGACCTTCCTTCTTTTCCTTCTACCGGAGGAGTCCAACTAGCCTCAGCTGGTGCTGCTGCAAGTTTGGCAGACTCGAACAAACGCACTTTCGAGCACTGGAAACCCGGTTCAATTCCGGCAGCAAATCACGCCGCAAATATTGCCAAAGACTATGAGATGGACCCCATTTGGAAACCCGAATTAAGCCGAGCTGGTTCTCAAGCTGCCGCAGCTGCACATAAGGAGGCTACACCAGTAGAGATATGGAAGGCCTCGGAATCAGAACACGGCCATTCTGCTGCTTCTTCTGCCCTACAAAATCAAAAGTCTCCTCCAGCCATAACAGAACGAACCGTCTCTTCAGACGCACGTGAAAAGGCTCTCCTTGCCGCCAGGAAATCGCTGTCTAGCGGTCGCAGAAGGGCCGACTCCGCTCCTATACGCCCACAACCTCAATCTCCCAATCCTCATGCAGGATGGGCTCAGAAGGCTGCTATGTCTTCTCACAGAGGCGGAGCCCCAGGTTCCCCCTCCACACCCGGAACCGCTGCCTTCGATGCTGCACGTATACAGAATATGGCCAAGAATAATATTTCTCGACAGATGTATACATCTAACCCCCCGGTCGCGATTGAAGTCGAGGAAAAGAAGAGACAGGACACTTTACGTGCATCCGCAATCGCAATGGCTCGCAAGATGTATGCCATTCAGCAAGAACAGATTGACTCCGCCAAAGGCATACATCGATCCGAAAGTCATTATGCAGCACATACTGCCCGTCAACGAGCTCTCTCTGATGCGGCTGCTCAGCCAGCAACCGTGAAGGAGCCCCCCAGATACGAAAATCTAGAGGATGCTGCACGAAAGTTGGCGCACGAGAGACTGGCTAGAATACACGATGAGCATGCTGAATATAGACAGTATTACGGTGCACAACCACCGCCGAAGCAATCGAGATTGTCTCTCAGACGGCCCGCTCGTCCGCCAGTTAGCCCTCGTCGGAACAGTAGCAGCGATTCAGACGAGGAACAATCCCGGAAAATTCGAGCTCAGATGTCGGTTTTCCAGAGTAAACTGGCCGAAGTCGATGACAAGAAGCGGCAAGCTGATCGAGATGCACTTCTTGCAGCTGCTCATAAGAACGTAACCGCTCGTTTGAATGCAATGGATGAAAAGGTCTTCTCCGAGACAGGCAAGACTAGCCCACATCAGCGGGAGCTTTGGGAGCGTCAAGCTAGAGAACGAGCTCAACGCGAGAGTGACGACAGACTGATCAATGTTGGTAAAGTCAATATTGGAGGTGGCAAGTATCTTGATCAATCAGAGATCGATGCTATTGCAAGGGCACGTCTGCAACCGACACTAGATGAGATCTCTGAAAAGGCTGAGCAACAAAGAGCTCGAGATGAAGAGATCAGACTCGAACAAGAGAGAATCAAGGCCGAGGCGGCTGCAGAGAAGAAACGATTGGCGGATGTCAAGGCGGAGCAGAAAGCTGTTGCAGGTAAGGAGATCTACTATCCTGGTGATGGCGTTGACTAATATTGGACAGACCGTGAAAAGGCAGAGACGAAAGCGAAACTTGCCGAAGAGAAACGCTTACGGCAAGAGAAAGAGCATGAGGACCGTCGTGTCCGGAATGAACAAAAGGCAACAGAAAAGAAAGCCCGTGACGAGGCTGCCGCTGCCGAAAAGGAACGTAAGCGAGGCGAAAAGGAGGAGAACAAACAATCGACTCCAAGCAAACCTAGATTGTTCCCATCATTCATATCGAAAGGAGCAACCGCTGGAGTCGCAGGTGGCACTGCTGCCGCTGCTGTTGTCGAAACTACAGGCGATGGTATCGGTGCGGCTGCGAAGACCGCCACCTCACCCTTGCATGGAACAGACGTCAGGGCTGCTCCAGGTACTGAAGATGTTGCTGTCACGGGCGATACTGTCCACGATCAAGTAACATTGGATCCCGCCGAGGCTGCCTACGCGGTTGCCGCCGCTAGTGACGACGAGGATAGCGATGATGGCAAGACCAAACCTGCACAGCAAGAATCTACTACAAGACGTTTGTCAGAGGATGACGTTGATCCCCGGGACGTCACTGGTACTACTCTCACTACTGCTCCAGCAACAGACACCACTCAAGCATTCGAACCCATCTCACCAACATCACCAACTTCCCCTTCAAAAAGAGACTCTCGGATGAAGTCCTGGTTCAAGAAGAAGCTAAAGTCAGGCAGCAAGGCTGAGAACGACATTGGAGAAAAGCCAGTGTTCAGTAGTGAAACTACCCCGGCAAAACCTGCCGAGCCATTGAAGGAAGAGGAGAACAGACTTTCCTCAGATTCTGCTCGTGATGTTGCCCTAGCTGGCAAGAGCGACAATGAGACGGACGATCTATATGGTGCGGGCGACAAATCTAGAGAACGTGTGTCACCGGTGAATATTCATGCGGCCACCACAAATGAACCGAAATCGAGCGAACAACGCAGTCGATCCATCAGCCCTGTTTCATCTACTCTAAGCGAAGACCCCTTCGTCATTGCAGCTGATGTTGCCTCATCGAGATATTCTGCTGAGAATTCAAACTCGAAAAGAAACTCAGGGGCAGATCATTTAGCCACTGTCGAAGACTCAGATGACGAACCTCGCGGAAGAAAAGGATTTCGTGAGCGGTTTTTGAAGAAGGTCATCCCGGGGAGAGATAAAGACAAGCAGAAGCCTGCCGTGACCGAGGCAGCACCTACGTCAGCAGCCGTGGCGCCTATCAGTGAGCAAACCGAAACCAAGCCAGCTAAATCATCTGATGTTGAACAGCAAACGACCGTCGCGACTGAATCACCCTCCTCTCATAACACCGAGCCCTTCCAAGAAAAGACTCAAGAACCATCCACAACATCAATCGAACCAGCAACTACAGTAACAACCCGTGCGACGACACCGTCGTTATCGGACACAGTGACCAACGGTGGCGATGATGACTTTGAGGAGGCCCGGGATACGTTTGACGAGGGCGCGCTGGAGTCGAATCGACCGAAGATCATTGATGTCTCGAAGGCACAACAGTTGAAACCTGAATTGGTGGATGTGACGAGTCCGACCGGTGTAACCAAGAAGAGTAGTGCTAGCCCGGTTGGAAGCAGGCATAGTGGTACCGGTGGTGGGAGTCGATTTACTGAAGAGCTCTAAGTTGGGTAGATGAGGACTTCACGATTTCACCAAGCAGACCCCCAGAAGAAAGTGGGCTGCAGCCTGAAGTGCACACGAACAGCAAAGTCAAAAGCAGGCACAAATAAGGACGGACGATATTTGGGAAGAAATCTTCTTGAGAAATCCGTCCAGCGTTGCATTTTCACGTCGTCTCGAGACATTGGACATCTGCGGGTATTTTGTTATTTACTGTCTTACATGCCATGCCGGGAAGGCAGCCTCAGTTCCAGAACCAATGCTGCCCCATGTGTCTGTCAGATCAGAGCCATGTAACTTGCGCCACCTCTTGATGTCTTTTCACTATGTCAGCTTAGGTATCTAATCTAGCCAGCAATGTTCAACGAATGATATGTATGCTCGAAAGCGAGAATAAAAAAGACAGAAGCGGCACAACACAATCAATCCTCTTATTGACTTGTTCTGTATGGGACGAGGCGAGGCGTATGTCCTGGACACAGGACAACAAAGGTGCAGGCAGAAATACAACAAGCCTACCTGACTTCACTTCATTGCCCGACATACTTGTTGGGAGGCGATCGAGCTTGATCGATGGGTGGATACGCAGCAGGTAGGCAGGCGGGCGGGCCAGCCATGCTTTCTATACGCTGAAGTGAATATATAAAGGAATAATACATTTATTGAGATGCAGATGGCAGGCGTAGATGTGAAGAGTGAGTGGGAAAATATAAAATTGAATGAATGCAGGACTCGACTCTTCTTCTTCGTCTTCTACGTCGGACGCCCAACTGCTCTAGATCTCTTCTTATTTCTAGCCATATACATCACTGACACTGGTGCAATTTCCTTGGCAGACGATCGATCTATCAATGGTCGTCCTTTGCACCCCCATCGCTGCCATACAAGGCTGTCTCATCACCAGTGCAAGCAAGCCTCCTTCACTCCGTTCAAATCACAACTTGATAGCACCGGCCTGAAGCTCTCTCCACTCAGCGTGACTGAACGGCACGAAACTCGGCGCATTGGGCGGTAGATAGAAGAGCCTATCGCCGTTGGAGATCAACTCGGGATCAGCACCTTCCTTGCGCAACACATGTTTCTGCTGCTTGTTGTTCCCCGTCGCCATGACCTCGGTCACGACACGGAGGAATACGGGCACCGCGTATTTCGGTAGGCCGTTGCGCGCCAAAGTCGCGATGCTCTCGAGTACGGTGGTGGGGACGGGTGAGTCTGGAGTCTCGACGTCCCGCAGCATCACTGCTGCACAGCCGGCGCGACCGTCGTGGTTCGGGACCGCGATGCCGTAGACATTTGCTTCAAGGACAGCTGGGTGTGCGCCTAGTACCTGTGCGACCTCGGCGGTCGAGACATTCTCGCTGCGCCACCTGAATGTGTCGCCGATGCGGTCGCTGAACCAGTAGTTGCCTTCGCTGTCAAGACGTATGGCGTCGCCGGTGCGGAAGTATGCGTCACCAGGCTGCAGAACGTCACGGAGGAGTTTCGATGCCGTGGCCTTCTCGTTGCCTAGGTATCCTTGGTATTTTGCTTCGATGTCGTTGGGATCGATAACGTTGAGGAGCTCGCCGACTTCGCCGCGGGGCACTTTGATGCAGAAGCCGGTATTTGGGTCGCGACGAGGTTCCTCGGTTTCCCAGTCGATTTCAACGATGGTGGAGGCTGACGAGGTCAAGAGGTGGGCTACCTTGCCCATGGAGCCGATGGCACCGGAGGAAAAAGTGTTGCGGCTCAAATTAAAGGTTGCGTTTGAGGCTTCGGTGGCGCCATAGAATTCCCCGATAGTCTCAACGCCGAAGCGGTCACGAAAGCGGTCCCACACGTCCGGGCGGAGACCATTGCCAAATGCCATGCGAACTTTGTGTTTTGTACGATCGTTTGGTTGCGGTGGTGCCGCCATCAGGTATCGCAGGGTCTCGCCAACATATTGGATAATAGTCGTGTCCGCAGCAGCAACATCGTTCCAGAAGTTCGAGACGGAGAACTTGCGCCCGATGACGAGGGTAGCTGGGCGGGTGAGGCACACGTGGAAGCATAGTTGGAAGGCTGTACCGTGGTATAAAGGCATGGCCGTAAAGTATCGGTCTGGGTTCTTGGATGTGACAGGGTTGATACCCAACCATTTGCCTACGAACATGCCTCCCCTGAGGGTTCGGTCCCATGGAACCTTGGCAGCTTTGGGCAAGCCAGTGGTTCCTGAGGTGTAGATCAAAACACAAGGTGACCGTAGCAGGGCTCCTGAACGGGCAGTGTCTGGGGCACGGTAAGGAGGGTAGTATTCCAGGGACGACTGAAGTCCCGCGGTCAAGACATCAATTTCCAGTGGGAAAGCATTGTTCCTAAAGTTGGAAGCTTCCAAGATTGGTCTCGTTTCCGGAGTCAAGGCCTTTGGCTCAACCTCTGGGTCGATGATCAACAAACGCGCTGTCGAGACCCGTACACTGTGGACGAATGAAGTCGAAGTGAGGTTGTAATTGATCAAAGCTGGTAATGCGCCGAGTGACCATACAGCCAAGATCATAAACAAGAATTGGGGGGAGTTCATGAAATCTAGAGCAATAATTTCACCCTGCTGTACCGAGTGTTTGTTGTGCAAGTACCCAGCATAGCGAAGCACCATGTCGTAAGTCTGTTTGAAAGTCCATGTTTTGCCTTGAAAGACAATGAAAACGCAATTCTGAACTTTGGGATTCTGAGCATGCTCCTCGATCAGGTAGAAAGAGCTGAGTCGATCGTCCTTCTCGCGTTTTTCAAGTGTCCTAGTGGCACTTGCCAACGAGCCGATAAGATTCGCGTCGACAGACAACCTCCATCGGGCATTGAGATAGGCCAATCCTGCTATAGCGGCAGGGGCAGCGAGAGCTGCTGTTTGTGATATGGCTTCAGTGGCAAGGTGAGAATTAGTTGACGTGCAAAATCAGACCAATGATAAATGAGTGACTTACCAGCCATGTTGCCACGATCAAGCTTGATGACCAAGATAAAAGTGTATTGACGTGCAGGACGAGTGGAAAGGGAGGAGGGGAAGAAGATGCCTGTTCAGTAAGATGTCGACTGAGGGTAGGCGAAGACAAAAGAATTCAGATCGGCTCGGTCAATATGATTATTTGACCTCTATGCGACATGAAATGATGTTCCATACCCGAATGTAAAAGGGTTCGCTCATGACAGGATGGGAGGGCGTGCCAAATGTGATGAGATCCTCATACCTCACCTCGCTTGGAAGGGATGATGTGAAAGACCGAGGTTCATTGCCGGTTAGGTTTGTATTTGGTGATTGGCCAGCCTTGTCATTGACATAACCGTGTCGTGTCTGGACAGCCTCGTCGGTTTTCCCGTAGTAAAGGCGGGCTTTAGCCGAACGAGACCATCGAGTTGACGAAGCCAGCTATCTCTGGTAGAGACCAGAGGCGAAATCTCCAGATAGACCAAAACACTTACATGACTGTGTGTGTGGGGGGTGCCACTCGTAAACAAGACGGGTTCATGCTTCAAGACAAAGCCACTTCCCAGACTCAAATCGGTTTCCGAGCTCCATTGCCTGGATCTATCTCGCTTGCACATGACGAGGCAGCTGTGTGTCGTCACACATGAGGCAGATGAGCGCCAGCTGATCTCCTAGAATCACAGCCACCTTGAAGATGGAGCGCTTCAGTGACAACGGCATGTCAAGATTGAGGCAGTCGCCAGCCTGAGTCTCAGTCTCAGTCTCAGTCTGACTCTCAACAGGTACAGGCACGATCAACGTAGTCTCTTGCACGCACCTGCCTGTTCCCTCCCTCTCCCATCATAAATAAACAAGCATACCGAAACTCTTCAAGTCACGCGGGAAGGACATCAAGACCAACGATCACAGATATCTCTCATCCACTGAGATCTCACAACACAAAGTCCAAGTCCGAGCCTTGCGCGTTCCGAGCAAGTCAAGTTGCCATCATCACGAAACTCAAAGATTCCATTGTCCAAACACACCGTGTCAAGACCACCCTCCTTCACTATCATTCAGCTCACCGAAATTCAATTTCATCATGTGTGTCGAGTTCGCTGAACGCGTTCCATGTCCAGCATGTGGTACCCACATTGTCTGGGAAGGATACCACATCTACAAATGCATGCGCAACCGAGCAGGACAACCTTGTAAATTGATCTTCATGAAGCAACGTCCCAATCAATTCCGAGCCGATATGTACATCTCCTACAAAAGAGAATGCCGCCCAAAGCCTCCATATCAACGAGTTGAGCGCAGTGGTCCACAAGGCGAGAAGTCTTCCAAACTAAACCGGAGTGATGATCTGTGATGGGTTCCCCAGGGCGATAACTGTCATCACCAGCCATTGCCTTCATCAACCATGGATCAAAATGAAACATTTACCACCATTATCATTTTTTGGCAACCAAATGATATACTCCCTGTTCTGCCGAATCGATCAGTCACCCAAATAAAGACGGCTTACAAAGAGTGAAGCCATCGGGACACAATATGGTAAACACCAAATCCTTTCAGATGCACAATCAGAACCATCCCGTCTGTGTGTATCCAGGATCCAAAGCCAGAAATCCCAGGTCCATGATCTAAGAACAATACTGATCGATAAGCATCAGAACAACGAGCTTTGGAACCTCTTTAGTGAGCAAAGCTGGCTCTCATGAATCCAGACACTGGCGAGTGATATTGGAATCAGAATTTCAGGTGATGCCGTGGAAGAAGATTCAACACTGGTATGACACGACACGTCTTGATGACGAATGATACAAGAGACAATACAGGGGAGAGGCTTCGGAGCATAATGAGCATACGGTTTTCGTGCTTGACAATCAAGCAATGCTAAACGAGACAGGCATGAGACCATACAGCCTCTGACCACTGTTACAGTTCAGCCTCGCCAGAAACTTCAAATAGCCGAATGAAATTGCTGATTGTTGCTATGTATTCTCATTCCATTGCTACCAGGCTATCTATCCATCCGGAAGGAGCTGTCCTCCCGGCCATATTCCGAGTCCCAGCCAATTCCATGTTCCTCTGACAAAGGAAAAGGGACAAACAGTTGATCCATACAATAACAATATTGACCTTGCTTCAAATTGCATTCTAGTGTCCATCCCAACTCAAGTGCACACAATCCCAATAGTCGTGTAGCTTGCATGCTATGCGATTTCAATGCGATGCGATGCTCGCTCAACACCAAGACTAACCAACATAACAGCTGAAAGTCAAAACGCCAATAGATTCACCATTAATGTCCGTACGCAGTGGTCAGCAGCGGCCCGGGATGAGCAACAAGCATGCATGCATCTATCCATCTATCCATCTATGGATGCATCGACCTCAACCTCGCTACTCAAAAGCTATCCACTCAAAACTGCCATCGACATTCATCCAGTCTCTGGCGTCGAACGCACGATCCCAGCCCAGCATGACGGCCAAGATGCGACACGCGAAGCTGCTCACGCCGCAGACGACCTTGTCGCTGTGCGCCAGCATGGCCAGGTCGAGCAGGTACGCGCGGCCGAGGAACTCGCGCAGCTGCAGCGCCTCCTTGGTCGGGTGCGTGCGATAGTCCCGGTCTCGGTCCTCCGGCGACACGTCGAGCATCTGTCGCGGCGGCTGCGGCCGTGGGGGGCCCGGGGTGTCGTCCCGCTGTTGTCCGGTCTCTGAAGAAGAGGACGAGGAGGGCCTGCCCTTGGTCGGCTGCGGCCCGTCGGCGCCTTTCTGCGCCGTGACGTGTTCTGGCAGGCCGAGCGCCCAGAACGCGTCTTTGAAGAACCCGCCTTCCCAGCCGAGGCCGGAAGACAGCTTTTTCTTGCTCGCCAGTGATATGCGTGTTTGGGCGCGGATCGTGCCGGGCAGTTCGTTGTGGTCGTACATGTCTGCGTCGTCGGAGGCGAGCAGGAGTGTCCACTGTGAGGAGGGCCCGACCAGTTTGCGTGCTGCGCTCAGGTAGGTCTCCGGTGGCAGGTAGCCGAGCTGGTGGGCGAAGGAGAAGGGGTGGCGGTCGCCGCGACGTAGGTGGATGCCGACGAGGCCGTGGACCGTGTCTTCGTCTTCGTCTTCGTCAACGTTGTTGTTGTCATCATTCGTCGTGCGCAGTTTCAGCACTCGTTCGCGCACGTATTCGGCGTCGTCGCTGCGTAGTTGGAATAGTGCCTCGTAGCCGTGGCGTGCCATGTCGAAGATCTCTCGCTGTGAAAAGGTCTCCTGGAATGCGGCGCCGAACATCCAACCGCTGGTGGCGGCGGAGACGACGAGATGGTTGGCTTGGTGTGGGCAGGGGACTCGCTGGGCTGATGGTGGTGGCCGGCATTTGGGTTCGGGCATGCCGTTGAAAAAGGTCGAGTAGCTTCCGTATGGGAAGTGAGTGTCATCGATGAAGAACGCTCTGTCCTCACGTTCAGCGAGACTGTAGGATAGCCACAACCCCATCAGCGTGGAGCCAAGTCCGGGATCGGCTGCATCCAGAATGTAGGTCAAAGATCTCTCGCAGATCGGGAGGCCATGGTGTTCACTGGAGATGTCGATGCTGGGTGGTAGGAAATGGCTGGATTGTGCTTCTTTCACATCGATATAATTGGGTTCATTATGATAATAGTCCAGGTGTTGTTCCTCCTGCCATCCAGAGCCAGCGACGTGACGTGCCACATCTTCAACCTGTGAACAAACATCCGCATAGGCTGCGTGGGGAAGAGGAAATCCCAGGTTTGAAGGGATTGAAATTGTCCAATAATTCCGGCCATCGTAGTCAGTCACTGATAACGGCGTAGCATGGTTTGGTAGTTCGGATGCCTCGACAATTTGGTATGTCTTGCCCGTTGAAGTTAGAAATGTCAAGTCGGAAAGACTGTTGGTTGTGCTCCTCCCATAAGATAATAGATACCAGACACCAATAAGGACAGACAGCCAGAGTAAGCTTCGGACGATCTTCCGAGAATTGAGCTTCGGTGGTTTCTTGCCATGTCGTGGAAGGATAGATGGTAGCGATGGCGATGGGATGGGTGTCCGTGGTAACAGGTATTTGACGGAGAGATATTGAGGACGTTCCGAGCCAGTGATTTTCAAAGGTTTGGGAGGACTTGAACGACTTGATAACAACATCTTTTTGTGCAACTTGTCCTCATGTTGTGGTTGTGATAGCCTCATCCAGGAGGAAGAAGTTGATGGTGGTAAAAAGAGCTAGGGTTGTGATCTTCTAAGAACGATAAAGCTCGCTGAAATCCAGATTTGAGAGAGTTAGTGTCGTGAATTCGTAGTAACAAAGCTTGTTTGCAACGCTTTATGATGCGAGACAATGAGACCAAATAGCCTGAGTCCAGCACAAGCAGTCGAGAGAACAGTGAGCCACAAGCAAAGAACAGGAATAGTTTTTGCTATGTTGAGAGCTTTTTGATTGTTGGGGTTTGAGCCCTGCTCAGTAAATCAAATGGAAGAAGACTGGAGAGAACAGACAGCTTCAAAGTCGAAAAGACGAGGTTGTTGAAAAAGAAAACCACACGCACGGCAGGGGTCGATTGTCAAATCGACCCTTCAAAGTAAGTAGTGTGCTGCACAGCAGAGTCCACCGTTCAAGTTCGTGTCCGTGTCCGTGTTGGTATCTGTGTCGTTGTGTGGTCCAAGCCATCAGCCCAGACCCGGGTGGAGGTGATGATATGCAGGTACGCCTCAGTTCCACCGATGATGTAAGGATGCTGTGTTACGGAGAAAGTTGGAAGTTGGGGGCACCACAGGTGCGGATACGATCAGTGTTCAAATTTCAAACAAAGCAAAAACATGTACTGGCTTGAACGCAACGAGGAGCAGAGGAGGGCTGGAGGACGGACAAACAAAGACGCCAGCCCCCAAAGAAAAAAAGATGAAGGGGAGGAGGATGGTATGAGACCCCGAATCGAGAAATGGAAAAGATACGATCAACCAGTCTATCTGGAAATAGATTAGTTGGGATGTGAAGTAGAAAGCAGCAAAGACGTGCTCGTCAAGCTCAGGAGGCGTGGAAGCAATCCGTCTCGCCATCTCAGTCTGGTCCAACCGGTGCCAACATGAACCTGAAACAATCGACAGTTCCAAGTGGGTTAGTCCCATTCAAAATCCGGAATATCACTTTCTCCACTCTCCTGAGGATTTCATCACCGTCGTATTCAAGAGTCAAGAATGCGGATAATCAACACAGTCAATATTAGAATGCTCAAGGACCTCTTTGCCTTCCACAGTCATGTACCCAACTAGCTACATATCCCATGGAACAACCCAATATGAGTCCTTGAGGTAATTTACTCATCTCATCTGTTCAAGTCTTGGTCTTCCGAGCCAGGTTAAATAACCCATCATGGTGAAGACTTGCCAAGATCTGTCGCCAGTCTTTGTCTTCGCTTTTGCCCTTGCCCTAGCTGTGCGAGTAGCTGGAGCTGTACTAGTTACACTTTCTATCCGGGTATCTGGTATCTGAATGTTCAAGTCACATAAAAACGTCCGCCACCCACTAACCCAATAAAACCAGTGAGAAACTTGACTCCCCCTTGACCCAGTCAAAAAGCGCCAAAAATAATGCTCTCCAAGCACCAAGAACTGAATCGGAAGTCTTCTCAAAGCCTAGCATGCTCCATGGCTTCCTGTCCTGTAATTCCAGCATGTCTCTTATAGAGTATGCATCCATATCTCCAAGCGAGTCTTTGAAAATAGCAACGTGGTAAAATGAGATCTGGTCGTGGCGTCGTTCATAACAAGTAAAATTTCAAAAGAGTGTTGGACTTCAATCTGGTATCTCATGTTTCAATGGTCGAGTCCCGGTCTCGCAGGGAAGCCACCATACTTCCAAGTGACGGTCGCGCACCAGTGATACCCAACCCGCCCGTGCCCGCACTGGATGTCCGACGCGATTCCCGTCGTGCATTGGATGATGAACGAGATGGTATTCGTGCAGATGTACTGCGTGTTTTGGCGAGTTGCCCATTTTCAACTTTGTCCTGGATCATCTCATCCAGCATCTTGGACATTTCGTCCATGGTCTTTTTCTTCTTGTCCTGGGGCTTCTGTGGCGAAAGAAGTGTGATGGGACTGGCCGTAAGCGGTGAACGCGGCCCTCCTGAGAGTGGCTGAGTCGAAACGGTTAGAACCTGGGCGCTACCGTTGCTACTACTGCTCTGGTGGCCCAATTGATTGCGACTAGACTTGAATTCGGAGGAAGACATCTCCGGTGTCAACTCGGCGATTTCTCTTTTTCGAACCGCTGATCGGAGCGCTGCCACCGTCTTTTGCAGATCTGATATCATCTGATCCTTCTCGTCCAGCTTTCTTTGCACATCACTCTCCTCTCCGCTGCCCTTGTTGAAGGCCATGGAGACTCGAGAGTGACTGGATCGTCGTGCTTGTAGCAATCGCCTTTCGAGAGTGGCAATGTACCGTGTCTTGTCTTGAAGATCGGATTGTAGTGCACGCACTTGGGCTTGCAAGGTGGCTCTACCTTCGCTGAACCCACCTTCCCCATCTTCATCTTCGTCGGGTATTCCTGAAAATGGAGACATGTGTGCTGAACCACTGGGTACAGCGCTGAGGGACACCACAGATGGATGTCGCTTCAAGCCTGACCCAACTCCAAGAGTAGATTGGCTGGCTGAAGAGCGTACAGACCGGGAGCCTGCATATTCTGTACCCCCGGAAAGGCGTGAATGCATACCCAATGCGGATACCGAACCACTATTGACACCAGTCGATTTGGAACACAAGATCAACCGGTTCAGATGCTCGATGCGTTCTTTGAGTGCCGTTCGGGCCAGTTGCATTTCCAGCATTTGTTCTTCGTGGCGTTGTTCCGCCTCCTTCTCCAGTTGTCTCTCTTCCTTTTCAACCGCTGACTTCTGCTGTCCCTCCAATTGAGCTCGGAGGGTCGCTATTTCACCTCTGTACCGCTCCAAAAGACCCGCACTGACGCCGCTGCCTGACTCTTCGGCTGCTTTCTTCGCGTGGCTGACAATATTGTTCTTTGCTCGAGCTGCAAACTTCAGTGTGTTAAGTGTCTCTCCGGTATGGTTGTTGCCCGCCATGGTTAGCCCCGCCCCAATCTGGATGGTGCACAAGATGGATACCAAAGAATTTCCAGAAAGTGCTGGCTGGAGAAGTCGAGTAAGCTTGCTGTCACGGTAGGGTAAATGCTTGCCATCTTTGTCTATGGGATTGCCGTTCTTGTCTTTGGTTCCTGACAATTTGGCGATAACGGTTCCGAGTGTGAGAAGAGATTTGTTGATGTGAGCACCCTCCGTGCGACGCTCTTTATCCTCAGCTGCTCTTTCCGAGCCTGCCAGATCAATCAAGCTCAACGTGGATACACGCACTCCACCAGGTAGCATGGCAACTCTCTTTCCATTCTCGTTGATGGACCCTGATCCAGGTACTCTTTCTCGACTCTCCACTACGATCTGAACCACGGCATGACTTCGAGAACTTCGCGAGTTGAACTGCGTGCTGCCTGTACGACGCGACATATCTCCACGATGGATGACGCGCAGTAGTTGAGTGGGACTCTGTACAATCTCCTCCTTCAAGGGTGAAGCGTAGACACCTCGTTTGCTGTCTTCCCGCAACTTGATCTCTTCCTGAGGACCGGCGGTTGGTGGAGCCAGTAGGTCGTGTATCTTTTCGTTGTAGATCTCGAGGTAGCTGACTCGCAGTAAGAATTCTCGATGAGGAGTTTCGCGGATATACGAAAAGATGTCGGTGATTGCCAGTGGAATTACTCCAGGGCTAGTCATTGTCCCTTGCATCGAGAAGGTCTTGCCAGTACCGGTCATACCATAAGCAAACACCGTGCCATGATAGCCTTCCATGACCCGACGGACGAGTCTTTTTGCAGCTGAGTCGTACACTTTGGCATTGTCATCATGTTGAGAAAAGACATTGTCGTAGTGGTAATCTCCACCCTCCTTGCCTCGATAGGCAACCAGGGCTCTCCGACCATCAACCATCCATTCACCCTCGGATTGAGTGTTGTTCTGAGTGTTTGAGTCGGGCCGTACTCTCACACTGACGATTACGTTGCCCTTGACCTCCTTTCCTTTGGAGTTCCGTTTGGAATCTACATTGATGTCGTCCAAGTCCTTGGTGCGACCTCGACTTTCCTCGTCACCCTCCTCGATCGTGGTGGCACTGGTGGAGTAAGAACCATTGGCAGACGAGCTTCTGCTTTGAGGTGGAGAATGAATGCTGGATTGGGCGTCTGATATGCGGTGGCCGGCTCTGATAGATATCGACATGCCATCTCCAGCTGAATTCAATAGGCTAGGGGTCTGAGAACTGCGAAAGCTGGCTGAGTTGACCGCGCTGGCTCTCGGGGACTTTCTAGTCTTTGCGATATTTGAGTCACCATTGGATATACGCTTCTTGTTGGATGCCGTCGAGTTCATAGAAGCGGAGGTCGAAGGTCGGGATGATGCATTAGGTGGATGGGGAAATGAACCAATACTAACAGTTTTCCGTACCTGCTTGGAAGGCAAACCCGTGGGCTTTTCACTGGCCTTGGAAAGATCTGGTGTAGAATATGTAGGTTGGGGACTAGGTAGTACCGAAGGCCTCGATGGAGCCTTCAATCGTGACGGGGTCTGAGGGAGAGATTTTCTGGGAGCTTTGTTGGTTGGGATGGGAGGTAGAGCGCCCGTAGGCGGGTCGGCCAGAGGCCGTGAGGCAACGGGTAAGGACATGTTGCGGGATGCAGTGCTCTTCCCTGCGCCGTGAGGATCACCTGGGCTGTTTTGTCTGGCAATATTCTGGTGTTGAATTGAGGTTGAGCGGGTGAGTTATGCGGGGTTCATGTATTTTGACTGATCTGCACTCAGAGGCAAGTCGCAATGGACAGATGCTGGCTGGTGCTCTGTTGCTGAAACAATGACGTTCTTCAACGAGAAGAAAGTCGCGTGGTGCAGTAGCACAGATGGCAGGTAGATTGACGGAGCAACGGGTGGTAGGTCAGACACTTGTCAGGAGGGCTGGTGGTGTCTTCGTTGCGTTGATGTATGCATCCATCAACCAGACTGAGAGGTCTCGGTCGCAAGTAAAGGAGATTGGAGTGGTCAAGTACACTGGTAGGATCACGACGGCGTTGCGATGATGGTGGTGAGGTCTACCCCGAGGCATGCGCGGTTGAGCATGTGGGAGGTGTTGTTGCGGCACGAACAGGTCAAGTCTTGGAGGACTTAGAGAATACAATTGGATGAAGGGGTGGACAGCAACATGAATGTGATATTCGCAAATTGACTGGAGATGACAGAGCGACGGCGGAGGGTGGATGATGGATGGTGGTCAGTGGACAGTTGGATCAGCGATGGAGGGACAGGGCGCAGGAGACGTGCCGGGTTACGTGCCAGGGCGAGTAGGGTGAGTTAGGTAGTAAAGGCCAGTGTTTGGGGGGGAGGATCATGAGCCAGGGAAATCCAGGACATCGAACCTTTCAAAGGTCCGATCCGTTTGTCAAGTGCGGTGCTAAAAGGCCCGGGTAAGTTAGTGCCTAGCTAGTGGCGCTGGAGGGGAGCCCTTTAGCTTCAGTGCCTGAGCCAGAAACGCCTAGGCGGCCCTTGGCCCACGCTGCTTGGCCGTCTTTGCACCCAGGACTTGCAGATCAAGGCCTACTAGGTCCATCACTAAGGCACCAGGGAGAATTACAGGCCTGGCACACCAACGCCAACCCCTCCAGAGTTTAATGGGGAGCCCGGCTGTATTGGCCTTCAGACAAATCTACCAGGAGACTTTGCGTACCTGATCAAAATTGCAAGCACTAACCCATCAAACCGCGTCTTTCGAGTTCATCCCGCCATTCTTACTTGCCATTTGCCTGCCATGAGCCCCATGGCTGCCCCCATGGCTCGTCTTTGCTGCAGCCACTTTCCGCGCATGGCACTTAAGGGTCACTCCCACCTCTGCAGCCCCCGGCAAGGAGCACAGCAATTGGTCTACCGCCCATCTTCCCCTGTTCTATCACTCAAATGTCAAGTGCAATATCAGTGATCATCACAGCTAAGTCTAGCCTAACAACGCGGTCTCTGCCAGTTCCCTGGGTGCCCTGGGAGTCGGGACATGCTCACATCACGATCCACCTGCCAGACATGTGAACATGCTGCTGCAGTGTGCACTCTTTTATGGTGGTCGACTCATTTTCATGCCGTCGAAATTCCTCACACCTTCCGCGAGCTCGCCTATTGTTTCTGCAACCCTTTCTAGGTAAGCGATTAGACGCGAAGGCCTTTTTCCCCCGTGATCTTTCTGGGCATCATGCAAGGAACGAATTAATCTTCCACTACCATGTGCTCGTGCTCAGATGTATCAACCTTTGGTTTTGAATTCTCGTATGATTTGGAAGCGGAGTATTTGCTCCTCTAAATTCAAGTCTCTGGGTCCTCCAGTTCGTCATCGTAAGAAAAAAAACTACAAAGCCCAACTGGGCCGTGCATTCCTCCCGTAAGTCCCGTGCCCTGGGCCATCGCTTCCGAGGGTACCCTGTCAGCATGCGTGTGGCTTGCAACCTAAGATCCCCCCCGGCCGCTTATTCCGTGGGAGCATTGGGCTTGGCCTCTTAGTCCCTCCTAGCACGGAGGGCAAAGTGCCTGTCTTTATCAAGCGAGAACAACCTCATCTCGGTACCAGATGCTCCTCGTAGTTGAAAAAAGGTCCATATCAAGTCCAGCAAGGAACATCTCCTTTATGACCTGCTCGCGTACAGAGTATACGGGCACCAGAGCGATGGAATAATTGTCATCTATAATCTTCCGGCCAACGTTATGATTGCAAACGGATATGCGGGCGAGGGGAAATTTTGCAATGTTGTTGAAAAATCTTGTCTTGCAACCCGCAATGAGTTAGGTAGTGACCAACTAGTACGTGTAGTGTAGCCAAATCACGTCACATCTGTATCCATATCTCCTGTGTACGGATACCTCTGCTGTACCCGGTATGTGAGCGTTCGGAGCGGTTTATGTCCAGAGATGGAGTTGCGCTCCTTCCCTTATCGACGCGTACCAGTGAGCAATGAATCCACCAAACGCCTCTGCTTAGCTTGTTCAAACTATTCAAAGTCAGTTCGTTTCCTGTTCCGCCCGTCCCACTATCAAGGAGGAAAAAGCCAAAAGATTTATTCCAGAGGTCATCATTTGCCTCATTGTGCTGTTTCTCCCGAATCTACGGATTTGATACCCAACTGGCCATTCCAAGGACTCTGCAAGTGCCTCACTGGTACAGCAAGCGAGCTTTCACAAGCATGGTAACCTGGTCAGCTGTCAATGGCCCTGTCCAACGTCTTTCCCCGCAATAGTGCTGCAATAGGGGGTTAGAAATCTCCCTGGGTGCTCCTGGTCCCAGTGCAAATCCCCCAACTCGTCGGGGTCGATCAAATCCAAATTGCAAAGTCTCTGCTATGCTGGTGTGGACTTGAGTACCTCAATTGGTGAACGGCATTTGGGGAGCCAAGCCGGAAAGAGAAATCATTCGGAGATTTTTTGGATCTTTTGAGTATCGTTAGTTCATCACACTAATCTCGAAGCTGAGCCTTCTTTGCGCCTGGTCTTTGATCTTGACGTGCCTCGGAGACGTTGCATTGGCTCAAAACGCGTCACCATTCATCATTACGGGCCCAGCAAAACCGACTCCGCGCACCGAACGGTACCGAGTAGTAAATACTACTACTCCAGTCTCCGGATGGCACTCATCCCACTCGAAAGCCAAACTCTAGACAGAGAAAGCTCAGACTAGCAAGAACTGTGGCCATAAACCAAGCTAGAAAATAGCAACAATCGCCCCCCTATGTCGACGCGTTTGGAGCCGGTGAAATCCAATCATCGAGGAGAGCAACATTGTTGGGGGTCCACCTACCCGGGAATCGGAATATCGAGACATTAGTGAGACACAACCGAAACCATCTCGAAAGCTCAGCCTTCGCCAGAGCCATGGTATTTATCTATTTCAAGAGAATTGACCTTGATGTGACTGGGCCGAAATGACAGAATGATAGTCGCCGAACTCTTCGCTTCGTCAACAAATCTGACACAGACCAGTTTGAAAGGACCAAGAGAGTTCGATGATCGTTCTACCACCATCACAGTGATGGGGATTTGTATGGAATTCCCTTAGCTTAAATGCTTCCGTCCTCCAGGAGGGGGCACTCAAGCCACATCACGGAATCGGAATCGCCACTGGGCCGTCTCGCCGAGCATTGGTGATAGACAGGAAGGATGCATAATGGTGCGAGGGTTCACGTTTGGGACTGTGTTTGGAGTCAAGGTTGTTGTCCTTCTATAGTGGTTTTGTATATCTGTCTTGTCCTGGGCGATGTCTGTCTTCGTAAGATCTTATGGCAGGGAATCCTGGACGGCAATGGTGAAGCCGTTGTACCTGCACCCGGCATGCTCAAACATGCCAGAGTAACAGGATTTCACGTTCGAAGGGGACTGGGCGACCACTTGATCTTAATAGCACAAGAATTTCATCGGCGATGAAATCCTGGATATCAAATGCCCTTTCCGAATATCCCGTGGTTCTTGACCCCAGCGGAACAATCACCTCCCGGCTTTTGTGTCGAAGTGCACGCCGTTAGGTCTCAGGCTAGTCACAAACAGACGCACTAGGAAGCCATTATGTCAGTGGGTTGCGACTATCTACAAGTGCATCGTCAACCTGGAACCAAATAAGAATGTAAATATCGAAGGTACGGAGTACATTGCGCGGGTCGAAGAACGTTAGCATGGTAGATATGCTCTTGACCAGGAGGAGGTAAGGGGCCAAAAGCGCTGTTCAGATCTGAGGAAAGAGTTCGTAGGGTCGCGCAAGGACTTAGAGCAGCACCCCTGGAGACCATAGAGTGGACCATCGTGTCTCTCAGATCGCACTATGTTTAACGTCATATCGTCGAGGCATTGATGATCTGCTGATGTCGTGAGCAGCACTTGGAACCTCTGTCATAAACTTTAACATTCATTGTCATGATAGCGATTGCCCTGTTTGTGGAATTCCCCAATGTGAAGCACTCTTTTCGTGAAGAATGAATGATTCAAGGGAAATAGCCATTTAAAAGCATGACGGTCAAGCAAGTAACGGACAGACCGTCACCTGCCAGCAGTCGACTCAGTTGATGAGTCTCAGCAGCTTCGCGTCTTTTTCGAGTAGAGCGACCGCTGCTCGGAGTCGACTGCTATGGGAATGCCAGATGTTCCGCAGATTACGTGAAAGTTGAGCTTTTGCCATCAGAGGCAGAAGAAGTTGCATCCTGGGAAGCTGTACCTGGACACTATTATCAGATGCCGGGTCCATTCAGTGGCTCAACGACAATATGCAGCCGGATAAATTCAACAGGGTCCGATGAGTGCTGGGTGGAAAGCGCAAGGTTTTGTGACTCTTGCAGATGAGAGGTATTGATGAGCCTGGTGTGGCTACTGATGGCCAGCACGGTGTTCTACTTGATAAGATAGCTGTACTGTCCTGTGAGTTCCTTCCCTTTGGTAGATATGTTTAGCAATAGTCGGAACGGTTGTAGAAGTTAGAGCGATTAGAATAAAGCGGTAACGGTAAAGGTAAAGTGTCCTCGGTACCGTTTCACGCACTCGGAACCCTTGACCAACTAAACTACGATCAATATCAGATCAGACTGTAGATAGACGCTCCCAGGACGTACCTAAAGGAGCAAGGATAAACCAGACCAAGGGTGTTAAACAAATTGAATAGTCCCAGTATTGGGCTTCTGGGCCGAACGCACATCGCAACCTTTCTTCTCAATTGTACAATGCACTCCTCTTCATGCTGATAATAGTACAGATATGTATGACACCATCCGAGCCAAAGACAACTCTGCATACTCTGCTTCGTGAAAATTACGAATCAAAGACCACAATCATCTTGCAGCTTTATTCGCCTCCACCCTCAACTTATGCAGCACCTCAGCCCTACGTCGTTCACCACCATGGATCTTACGGCCTCGCTTGTGCTCCCACAAACCCTCCGACGCCGTCACGGTCGCGCCGCTTTGAGAGGTTCCCTTCATGGGCAGCGCAGCCTTGCCCGTCACAATGTAGCCGTCCTTCACCTTGTAACCCTTGGCCTTTACTAAATCTGCCGTAGTTTGTCCGCGCTCCAGCACATACGTCTCCGACCCATTAGGCACGTTCAGCACCAGCTTCTCCATCCCAGGTGTGTGCGTGATCGTGACCTTCTCATCCTCGGCTTTGAGTTCTTTCGTTGGTATGCAGGGCACTTCCACAACCCGTAGTTCCGCAACGCCGTCCTTCACATACTTGAAATCGCCGCCGACACCGTACTCGCCGCGTCGGTACTTTTCTCGCCAGCGCAGAAGGTAGCGTCTAGAGCGTGGTGGGTCAATACCCCGTTCCTTCAGCTGGCTTGATGTGAGCGTGAACAGTTCGTCCCACGATTGCAGTTTGCTCGCGTGTTTCTTCATTTCTCGTCCGATTAAGGAGAGGAATGTTGGTACGTCAGGGACGAATGGTATGGGTTTCGGGATCTGTCCATCTTGGGGTAATCCGCGGTGTAATTCACGGCGGCATGGTGTGCAGATGTAACTTTGTGGTAATAGGGATGCGGATGATGGCCGTAGGAAGGAGGTGAAGAGAAAGGTGCTGGCTCTGGTTTGTCGTGTAATCATCGTTGTCCGTAGAAATTATGGGGCATGCGAAGGTAGAAGGGCAGAGAGACCGTTACTGAAGATGCCAGGTCTGTGACTCGCTTGATATGTGTTGGAACTTTGGATTGTGCCGTTGTCCAAAATTTTGTTCTGGTCGAGGCATCGGAGGAACTTTGAAGCTGCAGAGCCTCCCGACAGCCGCCAAGCTTTGATGCCAAGATATGATCGAGCCTTGCCGCTTGTCGTTCTCAGACCTTCAACTTCGACATACATGTTACATGCGAGAACATACGACAATTGTGGAGCAAAACTGACTGGATTTATTCGTCTTTCGGAACATGATACCGTTGTACATTCAAATGTGAGCAGCAAGACCGCAAAGATCGCCTCCTTTCTACCGAGTACAAATCAGGAGAGAAGGCGAGCGCTCGTAGTCCTCATCAGCGCCAGGACGAAGTATTCACCACTGTTGTGGATTTGATCAGGATGGCGCCTCCTTCTAATGCGGTGTCACCGCTGATGCCACGTTCACCCTCAAATATAAATGCCAATCTTTCACCCTCCAGAGCCAAACCACTTGCCATGCGAAAGTCGATAGCAAAGTCACAGTCGGCAACTGCTCCTTCTCCTCGTAAACCCGTGGCTGACTTCGACATGGCAGAGCAAATGAATGAGGACATTAGCAGCAAATATGTCAAAGGTCTGCTAAACCCATTCCCAAGCTCTCCACGGATCTGAAATTGACCTATCTCACTTTAGGCAAGAAGTTGGGTGAAGGTACTTACGCAATTGTGTACAAGGGCCACCTACGGTCAGATCCGAGTGTGCTTGTGGCCATCAAGAAATTCAAGGTCGATCCATCACAGCAGAAGGAAGGACTCAATGTCGATACGATACGAGAAATCAAGTATCTACAGGAAATCTCACATCCCAGTATCGTTGCTTTATTGGATGTCTTTTCCTCCAAAGATCAGAACATCAACATGGTCATCGAATATTTTTCCAACGGCAATCTGGAGGAGCTTATTAGAGATAAGTCTGTCAGTTACGGTGCTGCCGATGTGAAGGCCTGGATGGGGATGTTGTGCCGAGCAATTTACTACTGTCACTCGAATTTCATCCTTCACCGTGACATCAAGCCCAACAATCTTCTGATTGCAGCGGATGGTGAGGTCAAGTTGGCCGATTTTGGTCTTGCCCGGTCTTTTGGTGAGCCGCGGTATCAGATGACCTCGGCGGTTATCACCTTGTGGTACCGACCGCCAGAGCTACTCTTCGGAGCACGGCAATATGGCGGTGCAGTCGATATCTGGAGCATAGGGATGGTGTTTGCAGAGTTGCTCATACGTCGACCTTATGCTGCAGCGGACGTCGCAGATCAGCAGGTGTTGGCAAGTGGCGGCGGCACGGTGGCGCAACTGGACAAGATCTGTGAAGCTGTCGGTACGCCAAACGAAGATAACTGGCCTGGGATCTCGAAACTTAGAGATTACTTTGAGCTCGAGAAGAAGATTCCAGTGCGAGACAAGACGTTCTACATGCAGATGTTCCCGACAGCAGGCTCTGTTGGTGTGGACCTACTCATGGCAATGCTCAAGCTCGATCCAAGAAAACGAGTGACTGCCAGAGGATCTCTGGAGCATGAATGGTGGAGTGTAGATCCCAGACCAACCGATAAAGAGAATCTTCCCAAACAAGGGGGTGGTGCTTCCAAGATGGCTGCAGCCGAAACCGCAGCTCCGGGTGCGGTGGTGGACGAAAATAAATTCAAGGGCGTTGCGAAGAAGCTTGACTTTGGCGCGGCGAGATGAATTACAGTAGATTGACACCGATCTATGATTTTGGTCATCCTACTCCCTGGCTAGGACCATGGCCACGGAAATCTCAATACGCCACTTTTCCCAGCTTTGAGACTAGGAGATGGTCATGGCCTGGCACACAATGTCATCATTGAGAATTGCTGCAACACTTTGTCCAACGCGACATCAGTCACCTCACCCAAGTCAACGTGGTTGGGGACTGTGGCGACTCAGCAGCAGCTGATCTTTACTGGACGCATTGAACGCATTTCCGGAGTTCAACTGATGCACTGATGTGAAAGATGAACAATGGGTTCAGGTCTCCTCTTTTGGAAGAAGAGTATCGGCTTTAATGTCAAGGTGGAGGAAAGTTCTTTCGATTCAACAATAAAAACAGCGACGAAGTGATGAAGAATACGATATGACGGTAGCAGTCCACTCCGTGACTCGAGCAAAACAACCTAGTCAAGCGATGCGAAATTCAAATCCCACCTAACATTTCGGACTCTAACACATCCCCTGCTCGCCAAATATCAAAAAGAAGAGCCATCAAGCAAGACTCAAAAAACTATCACCACTTTCCAGGTCCTGTTCCCCCATTATGAGGCTACGAGGAACATGGTAGGTGGTTTAGAAAACCCCCTTAGCCTAGTTTGAACCCCCGACCTTCGAACTCGAAGGATTGGGCGAGCTGATTCGGCTAGTATGCCCCTTGGCCTGGTGAATTGTTTTATTTCCAGGCTTTGGGGCATTTGGTGACAGAACCTTCAACTTTGCAATATATGTAGGTGAATGATGGTGATGTGAAGGTGGTAGTGAAGTTTAGGGTCTAAGCAAGAGTACTAAAGACCTTCTTTCACATACAGAACAAGCGCCATTCGAGGGATCACAATTTCAGAGTCTCCATATAATTCGGAATATTCTAGGAATCGGATAGAGGTCTTAAAGCTCTTATATGAAAGATAATCCCTCTAAGTAAATAGGAGACTTATTGAGAGTGCTTATGTAATCACCACCTCCACGGCTTTAGCTACCAGCGAATATTTTCTAACTTTGGCTGCAACTCCAAAAGTTCGAGACGACATATTCCATGATATCATGACGCGTTTCAAGGCATATCAGTTCACTTAGATCAACGATGGCGGAAGCTCGTCATCACACAGCGCGATCAATCTACTAAGTAGCGTTCCACTTTCATTGCGCACCTTCATCACACCAAGCTCTAAGACTAAACACGACCAAAGATGGAGTCTGGCAACAGATCAAAAGTCACATTGTTGATTCTCGGAGGTGGCTGGACATATCAATTTCTGCAGCCGGTGCTCGAAACCGAAAAAATCACTTACGCGGCAACAACAACAACTGGTCATGATAATACCATCGCCTTTAAATTCGACCCGAACTCGGACGACCTCGAGGCATTCAAAATACTGCCGGACGCCGACTTCATCCTCATAACATTCCCACTTCGAGGCCGTGGCCCGTCCACCAAGTTACTTTCTATGTATCATAAAACCCATGATCATACCAGTAACGGCGAGATCTCCAAGGAGAGAGGTCCAAAATGGATCCAATTCGGATCAACAGGCATCTACACGCATTCTGGCTGGAGCGATGAGAGTTCCCCTATCGACGATGCCAATGAAAGGGCCATTGCGGAAATGGAGCTCATCGAACTCGGGGGTTGTGTCATGAATCTTGCAGGGCTCTATGGCGGGAGCCGCCAACCCAAGAATTGGGTCAGTCGTGTGGCGAAGTCGAAAGAGCAGCTCGCGGCGAAAGGGGCCTTGCATCTCATTCACGGTCGAGATGTGGCCAGAGGAGTCGTGGGCATCTTGAAGAGTGAGGGCGACCATGGCCAGGCTAAATTGTTTGGGAGGAGGTGGATTGTTGCTGACGGTGTGTCGTATGACTGGTGGGCACTGGTGTGGAATTGGATGGGCAAGCAAGAGGGGGATGACAGTAACGAAACTTCCGAGGAGAAGGTCAAGTATCGCAGCTGGGTCTCGGAGTTACTGAGGGAACAGAACATCAAAGGACTGCCTCGAGATATGGAACTTTTGGGTCGTAAGTTAGATGCTCGTGGTTTCTGGCATGCGATCGGCATTCTACCGGAGATGTCGATTACAGGGTCATGAGCGAAATCACGAGCAGCACAGAGCTCACACAATGACTGGAGTGGGCTAAAATTGTGACGATTGATGACCTGTCTTCCATATCTATTTCAACGAGACCAAAAACGAATGAGTTGCGAGTTTCTCCGTCCACCTCTGCTTCACGTCGACCTATTCATCGAGCTTCTTTCTCGGAAGTGTTACGACTATCACTGATTCAGCTTGAGTGGTACTATAATCATGGAAATGAAGCAGGTGCAGGCCAGCCTGCTCAATCAGCGATTCCCATTGACTCCTCGTTCGCTCTTTGCCGCCAAATGTCAGATTCATGGTCACGTCTCTCATTGTCGCATGCCAATGTGCGTTCACATCTGGAAGGACGATCTCATCGATCAAGATGTGTGAATCATCGCGAAGGGAGGCTGCGAGATTTTGCAGGATCTTGATGCAGTCTGCATCTGGCCAATCATGCAGACAATGTCGGATATAGTAGAATTGAGCACCTGGGACCTCTTAGTTCAGTTCCATGGCAAGGACCAAGGCCAATTGCATTACCTTCGATGTTCTGTTTGTCGAAAAAATCTTGTACCACTGTTTTCACGCCTTCGATCTCTGGAAGTTGCTTGACAGATTCAGCCAAGTCTTCCAGAATAAGCCTCCCCTTGAGTTGAGGATGTTTGTCTCTCAGCTGCACCAGTTGATGACCATGGCCACCTCCTACGTCCACGAAGAAAGGTCTTTCGAAATCTTGTGGGCTGAGCTGATTTCCAACGGCGGCAGCCGCATCGTCAAGGATCTTGAAGTCCACAAGCCACTCACTTCCTTGCATCATGGTCATCACCTGCTGCATACAGGTGAACATCTTTGGCTGCTTCGAGATATACTCGAATGCTCCGAGGTCAGTCTTGAAAGCTTTTTGGAATGGGGTGTTCCGGCCGTCTGTGATGTCCTGGTATTTTGATTCTGCAAGAAAAGATGGAGATGCCTGGATGGCAGGGCCCAGAATGTCGAAGCTACCAGACCTGGTCAGCGCCGCCACTCTTTACACGCCGGGAAGCTCTGCTCAGTGACTTACGCATGGACCATGCCAGGCTTTATAACAGGGTGTGCACAAACATGGGTCAATTTGTTTGCTTGGTATTCATTTGGTCTGGGGTTTGTCATGTAGCCCACTGATGCAAGGTATCGGAGGATCCGCTCTTTTCCAGAAACCAAAGGTCAGTTGATACAGACAATAAAGGTCAATGGTTGATCGGCTACCAAGAAGTGCAGGAGATCCTCCCGAACGTTCTACCAATTGAGTTACCGTCAGAGGTTTTGTGTTCTCCTTTGCGAGCTCGGCGAATAATCCCAATTCTGCTCCGACATAGATGATAGCGAGCTCCAATTGCTGTGTGAAAGTGTCAGCTCAAGGTGTCGGCAATTCTGTAACTCAGAGCAAACGTACTGAATTGTACAATCTCAAAAATGTGTCTTGAGGAGATTCCCATTGGATCTGCAGACCCTGGAGACTCTGAACCAGCCGAACACGCCCAGCCTCGTCAGCCTTGCCCGCAAAATCTTGCAATTGACTCAGTATTGCTTCCATTTTTGAAATCCGATGAGAGATGCGTCTTGCTGCATATTTCAAGATGCATGATATCTGATCTATATATATGAAAATATTATGACTGCCGCCTGAATGGTTTTGTGAAAGCCATCCCAATCGAGTATTGTCCGCTGGGTGAAAAAGAAAAACCCGCGGAAAACCCGCGGGAAGGGCCCATTTTGATTGGCTCATGCAACCTAGCTCCTGAAAAGGAGCTGGTAAACCTCTTCTACCGCCTTCATGTCTTGGGATCTCGCCCAACTTCATCTTTCGGTGTCACTTATGCCTTGAACCGATGCATACTTGCTGGACTACCAACGGATGTTCCATGGAAGAGACCTAAACTACCGCAACATTCGACCAGCTCAAACCATCCGTGGATCTTCTAGGCTGACAACGGATAACCCAGCAGATGATCAAAAGATAACTCAAGTATACATCGACAACCATGCCACGCAATACCAAAGACTATCACTACCAGCCTTACCAACGCCAGCGTCCAGTCTCCTGCCACTTCTGCAGGACTCGAAAACTTCGTTGTAATCGGGAAAGCCCCTGCTCGAATTGTTCCGCTCGAGGCATCCAGTGTCATCTCTACGCCTCAGATACCAAGGCGTGCACTTCCGACACGTCTGAAGGTCTTGATGCAAGCGATGCCCTAGGTACCCACAACGAAGTGACACGAGGAGTCTTGAGCCGCTTGGAGAGGCTTGAGCAGGCCCTTTTAAGCAAGACCTCCAATAATGCTCCTCCCAATTCCACGGAACTACGGACAACGAGCGCTGTTGCCAATAGAGAACCAGTCTCTCCCGCAACTCTTACTACCGGCCAGGCAGTGCGTGGTGGCGCTGTGACCAAGCCTACTCAGCTCGTCACGGACGCCGAGTTGCTCGAACATGAATGCGCTGAATTTTGCGAGGTGAGTGGTTCTACCCCTTGAACGGTCTTGACCTTACACAAATTTTCACCCACGATACTGCGGTATTTGTGACCCCCATGGGAAGAAGAATGTTTTGACACCGTTTCTAGGTTCTGTTCGTTCCCGAGACCATGCTATTCAAAGTCTGTCCCATTTCCCAAATCACAAGACCACAATCATACATTTTCCTTCCACCAAACGACCCCACATGTTCTTCCTGGGGTGAGCCAACCAAGTGTATATGGCTTCCTCATTACTCGGAAGCGAAGGTATTGATCGAAAAATACTTCAATGATCTATCACCTATCCACCACGTCATCCATGTTCCGAGTGTGCGGCAGCTTGTGGATGGTTTATACCATCAACTAGCCCCGGCTGATCAAACAATTTCCAGTACCAGCCCAGAGAAAGTCGCCTTGGTATTGGCCATGTTGACGAGCGCCATCCATTCCCAAGATCTACCTACTGCAAACTCCCAAGCCATCATCTTCACTACCTCCACGCTCTCAGTGCTTACATATTGCAAGTCAGTCGGTCCCGGTTCTCTTGAAGAAATCCAAGCAATGATTATATTGGCCTTCGTGGTGAGCCACTTGGAAGGTCTCTCCAGACGATATTGGTCGCTATTTGCGGAAGCGGTCATGATGTCAAGGGCTTTGGGATTGCATCTTATCGATGACGAACATCGGAAGCTGCTGGAATCCAGTCCATCGACTCATTCGATCAGAGCTGAGATGGGACGAAGAATTTGGTGGTACTTGGTAGCGACTGACTGGATGTTCGCCCGGTATCCAGGTCCATTCGAAGGTCTCTACACGATCAATCCGCACCACATGTGTGTACGGCAGCCCCTCAACATCGACGATGCAGATCTTTTCGACGGAATACATTTTTTCCAGGCTGACAAACCTATATCTCAACCAACAGAAATGTCGTATAACATCCAAAGAATACGATTATCCAAAATATGCCTTGAGATCACAGACTCGATTCCTTTCAACAGTCGCAGCTTTACTCACGAGCAGATCATGACTATTGACAACAAAATCCAAGATTTTATCAATACACTTCCAGAATTTCTGCGACTGGACGAAAATATATCCTCAGTGGTAGCGCAAACGGGCCTCTCCGAAAGGTTTTCTCGTGGGATCGTGATACAGAGATACATAATCAACTCTCTAGTGCACGCACAACGTTGCAAATTCCACCTCCAATATCTGGGACAAATTTCCACGGCCGTCGGCAAGAACTCACCGGAATATAAAGCATCTCGTGATATCTGTTTGAATACGGCAAGATCCATCATCCGCTTTGAACAAGCCCTGGAGCATGAAAATGTTGCATTCGCCAAAGTAAGGCTGAAATTTAGTGGGATCTTATATTGCCTATTCATGGCCACAATGGTTTTAGGACTCGATCTATGCTTGAATAAACGACCGTCGATAAGATTGAAACCCTCACAGGGGAGAGGGCGTGGTCACAGTCAACCCAATGTGGTTGACGAAGAACGGAAAGCCGAGCTTGTGCACGCGTGCAGAATTCTTGCTCAGGCCAGAAAAGAATCTCTCATGGCAGCCAAGCTGTTGGACTCGCTTTTCAATACATTGAAGAAACATCAAGTGACTGTTCCACCTCTGGACCTTCTGAAGACTGGAAATGGTGATGGCCAACAAGAACCAATACCCACCGATAGTTCAACAACGGTGTTACCAAGTATCGACGGCGAATTATCTCCTTCCGATGAAGATGCTGCAAGCAATCTCAATGCCGGCTTCAAAGATTTGTTGGATGACATCCCCGATCTGCCATATTTTGATGAATTATGGAACACCTTCAATGAAGGCATGGATTTCGATTCTCTCTGTCAAGGAGGTTGGTTTTCTGGTCGGGAACCACAGTTCTAGCATGATACGTGTGGATCAAGCACTACAATGTACCATCACTGCTCCTGATCGTGTAAAGTCAGTCCTGGATTTTCCACAATCTATTTCGCTGACAAGTTCACAGCTTTTTAACGGAAGCCCATTGTCCTAAAGTATCACGGTGCCATTGAGTGGCCCGGATTGCGGGGCTGAGTAAGATCCGGTCGTTCTCCGCTGGCCCATCACCACTAAAGGGAACATCAAACGATCCGGTGGCCGATGAACACCGTCTATTCAAGGCGGCTGGTTCCTGGCGTTGTTATGTGGACTATTTGTCTTACTGTACCAATCAGGTACCCAATACCTACTCAACACAGAGTGACATAGGTGATTTAAGTAAGTCTCGCTTCGCACTTGCATTTATATTTCTCCATCTATCATATCTGATTCAGCATAGCAGGATTGTCCATCAGTGGTGCGGAAGGGTTGTTTGTACCTTGACTACCCCTGGGTAAAGGCCCAACCAGTATTTCGGTAGACCATTTCGGCCAACCGTTTCAGTGAGGTCTACAATCACTCATCACACTTAACCTTCACCTTGGGCAACATCCTGAGACGCTCGACCAAGTCTTGCAATACACTATACCACAAAAGCAGCGACCATGTCCTCAGCATTACCAGAATCCATTGCATTCGAGCTTTTCGGCGACCGGGTGATTTTCACTTTTGCATCGCGACACTCGACGCTGATCACGATCCCGCCAGGTTCTGCGTGGGAACCTGGGGCGCACTGGCATGAATCATACGTTGAGAACGTCCGGGTCGTCAAAGGCCGTGCCTGGGTGAGCGTGAACGGCGTGGTCAAGGAGATTGGCCCCGGAGAGGGGAGTGTCCGATTTGAATTGAGGGATGTACATACTTTCGGACGGGCGGACAGAGGGCGGAAAAGCGAGGACAGTGACCACGAGGAAGAAGATGTCGTTCTCGAGGAATGGACAGAACCCGGTGAGTTGTGTATATCTCAACTTCCTGACACTCCACTCTACACTTGAACTCTCCCTAGTACTATTCCAAGCAACCTAACCTCATACTGCGAACAGACGACGGCTTCAAACAAGTCTTCTTCTACAACCTACTACGCATCGCACAGACCGCCACCGCGAACTCCAGCCTGTTCAGACCGTCGACGATCCTGCAACTCGTGCGCGTCATCGCCCACGTCGACAACTACGCCGATCTACTGCCTTTCTTGACCGCGTACTGGTGGCTGCCGTTTTCGCTCAAGTACGCGCTCGTCCACGCCGTGTACGGTTTCGGCAGCGCGCTTGGCTGGGCGTTCGGGTATCAGAAGTGGCTCAAGGAGTATACGCCCCGAGACCTGTGGAGTGTTGCGGAGCGTGGAGCTGTCACGAAGCGGGGGCGCGAGGAGGGAGGTGGTGGGCGGAAGGATCTTTGAGTGCCTTTGCGCTTTCTCAGGTCCTTTTGGAGAGTCAGGAGAGTCAGGAGCTGGGACGAGGACGATGAGCGCTCGCGTATGCCACTTTCCGATCTCGAGAATATCTCCATTGAGGAATTTTCCGAGTACATGTGTTGAAGAGGCAGGTATGGTATGTCAGCCAGAGTAACTCGAGATACTAGAGGTTGGGGTGATGAGAATGCATATCGATGAGGCTGCCAGCTCGGCTAATCAGATGCCATCCTTTGGGGATTTAATTATCCTACCTCGGTTCCACCAAAAGGGGAACTCTTCGAAGCAATGATTAACCACTGTGCATTTACTTACTCCCTGGTCTTGGAATCGAAGCACAATATATAACGAAGATAACTGTAGGTGTAGGTCCTCATGTGAGGCACGATGAGACGTGTTTAGGTAGAGTATCTAATTTTTAGCACCACCACCACCTCCACCTCCTAAAAAAATGCTATATATTCCACTGATCCCATGAAAGGCGTATGAATGGGAGGCAAGGGTCTTGAATCTTGATTCCACAAGGCTGCAAATTGGGGTATATATATAGGTCCGTTCTAGCTAGAGAGAAACACGGCACGTAACCGAGATGGCTTTCCTTCCAACAAAGGGGAGGTAACCGCGACCACCACAAAGATATCACCAACACATTCATCCCCAAACCTCCTCTTCGTTCGGAACCAGATCTGGGCCGACATACTGTTTGAGATTGCCGCGTTTGTCATCTCTGTCCCGTTCGGACTTTCTGTCTCGATCTGCTTTCTCCGTCTTGACCTTGGTGATGTTGAGTTTGATGCCGCCAATGTTGATGCCGCCGACCTGTTTCTCGACTTTGGCGGGTGCGGTGGCTTGGTCGGCCTCGACGTCCTTGGCGATCGCTTTGTATTCGCTGGCCACGTCGCCGTAGTAGCCTTTGCCGTCGGCGCCGTTGGCGGCACGGCCGTTCCATTCCTTTCGCGACTCGTAGTATGCGTCGTCGTTTTCGGTCTCGATGTCGGTGGCGTCCGTGTCTATGCCGGTCTCGTCGCCGGAGGTGGGGGATCCACTGGGTTCGTGCTCGTCCGCGCTCGAATCCGAGACCGGGTTTTCCATGGGGACGAATCTACCGTTTTGGAAGGCAAGAGGTGTTCCACGCCGGGAAATGGGAGTGTAGTCCTCTTGTGGTGTTGCATGCCTCAGAATAGGTTCAACAGACATGGCTCGACGTGTAAAGTCTCCTGACATTCGTCGCTTATCACCGGGCCCGCGGGAGAAGGCTCTTCGGCTAAGTGTGGAGGGTGATGCGGTCCTGTGATTCAGGTCGAATTGGTCGCGAGAAAAAGCACGTTTATGATATTGGGTTGGGGTCGCCATCCTTTGATATCCAATGGGGGTTGCATCGCGTGGGCCGCGATCGGTATCGGAGTCAAAGGTATCCACGTGTCGAAAATGCCTTTCGATTGACTCGGCTCTTCGATGTTCCTTTTCACTAACTGATTCAGCTCTGCGTGGTCTGGGATTCCGAGAGCGAGACCGTGAAGGTCGACGGTCGTCATCATCACCTCCTCTAGACTCTGGTCTTCGATGGGCAGGTTCACGGCTCATTGCACGCTTAACGGGTTCCACAGAATGACTTCGAACAACAGGATCGACGGATCGAGTTCTGCGAGCAGGTTCACGAGAAGCCGAACGTCGACCACCTTCCAATCCACTTCTGGACTCACTTCTCTGCTCGCCTGGACCTTTGGATGAAGCACGCATATATGCAACTTCACCAATCCCTGGTCCACGTGAAGAAGGCCGAGAAATGACAGGTCCACGGGAGGCATTGCGAGATGGACCTCTGCTGCGAATAAAGGGCTGGTCGAATTCGGAATCTGACGTATCTATCGGACTTGTGATTCGCGAGGGCGGAGAGGGATTGGTGCCTCTAAACCTCTCTAGTCTTTGAGTAAGGCTTTCGATGTCGGCGAATTCATCAGCAATTGATGGAGCTCTTGGGATAGTTGCGGATATCTGAGCGGTGATAGGTGTGTTGGCCATTGGTGTGTTGCCGATAGATTCATTATATCTTTCTTGAACTGGGCTCAAGATTGAGACGGAGATAGCGGATGCTGGTTGAGATTTATGCTGTGGAACACTGGTCTGGATGTGAGGTGGCCGTGCAGGGCCAAAAGATCTTTCAGGGAAGGCTGCCCTTGTGAAAAAGGTGGAAACGTCGTCATAAACAGGAGATTGAGTGTGTATGATTGGAGATGTTGTACGATATGGGTCGGTGACGTCCCGGGCTTCAACTGTTATAACTTCATCAATGTTTGTGGAGATGGGTGGAAATAAAGCTCGAACTCCACCAGTGGCCACGCCCTCGGAATGAGTGGGCATATAACGGTTATGAGGAGGATAATTGGTCTCAACGGATGGCCTTCGTTGTTGTTGTGGTTCTGGATGTGATTCAGGTTGTGGCTGTCGAGGTCCTGAGGAAGGACCAAGCGAGAAAGTAATGGTGATTTGACCATCAACTTCCTTTATCACAGGAACGCCTGCAAATTTCTGATCTTCAACTGCCTGAAGGATGTTCTCGATCTTGGTCTTGATGGAATCATAACCGAGTTCTGGAGAGTTGGTGACCAAAGTCTTCTGACTATCAGGACTTCCTTGTGCCTGATAGATGGGGTTATGTCGGTCTTCCTCAAGGTATTGCTGACTCCAACCACCTCCATTGGGAGCAGTGATTGAATTGTCTCCCCAGCGTGCATGCAATTGCTTCCCGGACGCCGACCGCGATCTCGACCGCTGACGACGAGACGGAAGAAGACCTTCGAACACGGAACCCATAGCTGATGTTTTCTGTACGAGAAACAATTCCCACAGACAAAAAGGTGGACCGACGATCAAAGGATCAGAAAACTGGTCAGAATGGGGTGGGACGACGCGCTTGCTTCAAAGACAATGAAGTATTTGAGAAACGAGTGGTCACAAACTGACGGTTTCGAGTCAGAGCCGCGTCGTCTTACACGATGACTTGAGGCAAGGCGGCTATGTAGCGTTGCAATCAAAGGAAATGGAGGAAGAGAGAGAAACAATTGAAGATATAATCAACATTGCAACGACATGATGATTCTGAGACGTTTAGGATGAGGATAATTAAAGAAACAGGCTGCAGATGCGGCGGCAAGGCAATAAAGAGTGAGCTTTGATGAGCAGCATCGTCCTTACCTCTTTCGCAGTTGGTGCTGGTGGTACAACAATAGAAGGAGCCTTTCAAGGCGTAAAGCCATGGGGGTGATGCATCCACGGCTGTTTCTGCAAGGGACGAGTTGAAAACATGCGTGTTGTTCATCAATCATTGGGTCTGGTGATAGAGGGCGTTTCATGGAAAGCCATGATTGGGTAAGGTTGATCTGGATAGAGAGCAGAGAGGTGCAGGAGATGGCATGGCGTTGGCCAGGGCATGGATGTGATAGACGAATGAGTCTCGTCACCAATTCTCTAAGCGCCGGGACTTGTTCCTGAGTACGAAGAGGTATCCGTACCGAGTTAGGATAAGTAGAAAAGACGTGGGGAGATGTGGGAAGTGTCTGGGCTGAAAGCATCCTCGGCGCTTCCATTGGTATCTGGGCTATTAATACCGTGCCCAATCAAAATCACCACGACGCGACAGTGTTTCCATGGATGGTCCAGACCAAGAGGATGAGGTAATTCCAAGTCTACAAGAGACACTGTTATTTGTTCTTTGGAACTCGGAACTACTCTTCGCACTCTGGTTGATGCAAAGCAACCACTGAACGGAACGGATGGCAACTGTTGTCCCCGCTGAGGCCCCCGGGCCCAAAACGAACATGGACCAACACCTTGTCTGTTCACCTCGGCCATATTGGAGGCCTTAGATAAGAAATGATGGTGTAGAATTATATAGACTATCGGGCTTATGCCAAATGATTGGGAAACGGGAACAGTATGTTTACTCATTCCGGTCTGATTGTGACCACTGAGTGCGAGTCTTTTGGTCCTCAGCCCGCAACTGGAATAAAAAGTCAGGGGATGTGGTCAAGGAAATCCGGCCATGTTCTATGGACTCACCTCAGTTCGATGATTACCTCCCCCAGACACCGCGTTTGACAGCTGACCCAAGAAGCTATCCGGCTCATAATCATCATAGTCGATGTCTTTATAACCCCGAGAGGCATAGGATCGTGGGACAATGGCGAATGACCTCCCCGAGACTTTAGGGTCGGTGATGATGCGTAAAGCCGCCGCAGCTGAGTCTTCCACTGCAGCAAATTCAACTCCAGTCTTTTCGAGATATCCCACTACAGCCTCGCTCATGATCTTGGTCTTAATGAACCTGATATTGTTAATATCAACGCAATCGTATGCAAGTTGTCATGACCTACCATGGTCCAATATAGTTGACCCGAATATTGTGTTGATGCTCCGTTCTTCTCAGATCCCTCATGATTCCACGTAGACCAAATTTGGAAGCGGTATATTGAAGGGCGCCAGCCAAATCCAGGTAGCCAGCCAAAGAACCTTGTAAGATGAGATTCTGATCCAATGCCTGACCCTTGTTTTCTGCATGTTGTTTGCGGAAGTAAAATAGAGCAAGCTTGATGGTATATAAAACACCAGTCAGGTTGACATTGAGGATATTGAGCCGTGGTTCTGTGGGCTCATCTTTTTCAACTGATACATGCGGCGAATTAGGTCGGTCGTATTGCAGTCTGAGGGATGTACCTCAAGTACATACCTTCGTTCACAAACACTTCATCAGCTCCACTTATGCCAGCATTGGCAATAACAATGTCGATTCTCCCGGAGGGAGAACTTGATATGGCTGATTTAAATGCGTTGAGTTGTTCAGCCCAACTGGTGACATTCGTCTTGATGAATTTGACAGAGCTGCGATATCAATAACAGTCAGCCGGACGCCGGACAAACTCAAGACGAGTATTGTTGTCGGTGTACCCAGATAGTTCCTTCTCCAGCTTGGAGCCGAATTCTTGGTCGAGATCTGCCACGAGAACGAAAGCCCTTGAGACTGTCAATATGTGCAAGTGAATCGGAGTACGTCACAGCTTACCCAGCCTTAACGAGGGCTCGTGTATATGCTTCACCAATACCATTTGCACCTGAGAATCAATCAAATTAGCGGGAGAGATATTAGAAAGAAAGGAATAAGTGTATCGACCATACCGCCCGTTACAATGGCAGTCTGACCCTTGACGCGACTAGTATCGACGTCCACATCAGTGTTAACGGCGCCAGAATTCACATATCCTGCCATTGTAATTGGGGTTTAATATAGTGGTTCGGGGACAAAGTTGAACAAGATCCTGGATAGATATCTAAATATGCAACCAACAGGAGACTGCCAGTCGATCACTCACAAGATGGTAATTTGAAGGATCAGAGAGACTGGAACACTTCAACAACCATCGCTCCCGCTCATCAGCGCGACATGGCGACTGATATATACAGTCAGGCAGTCAGCTGGCACATGGAGAAAGAGCGGAACGAGCGCATGGGATGGTGGAGAACCTCGGTCGATGTCCACAACCAGGCATCAAGGGGGATGGAGAATGGGCGGAACGAGCACATTGAACGCAAAGACCAGTTTGGGACACGAAGGCACACTCTACAAGCATGCAATGCGGAGTTGAGTCAACCTTAGCCTCTAGGCAGGATTCATTGTTCACCATGAGTCGATGGCGGGTCAGTAATGCTTGACTCGTTCGAGGATGCAACTCGCGGACGCGGGGCAAGAGGCCAGCTTGAGCGAGGCAAAACCCCTCAGGCTCTTCAATCGGAATTTACCAGAGAACGGCGAGAGATGGACCACCTCGCGCGTGTTCGGCACCGGAAAGCCACAAGAAAAATAGACACATCGTGCCTCGAAATAGCAGAAAGTCGCCGGTCACTGGAGAGTTGGTGTCGCTTTTCTTAGGCATGAAGAGACTGGACTATCTCTCAGCACGGCGGCTTTGACCATTTACCTCAAGACGTAGAAATGGACACCGAGAATGGGCATTCCATCGTGACGTGACACGTAGCGAAAGAAATGGTAGATCCAAGTCTGTCCCATGAAGAATGAGTGATGAATTATTACGGAAGCGAAATACCCCAGATTTCACGCCTGCGAGGCCTACAATACGGGTTTCAGGATTCCCACTCCCCTTTCTTAGGGGGCGCTGACACAATAAATATTTATGCCCACTGCTACGAAAACACTCTGTCATACCAATCTACCCGCGCACCCACCTACACATGTACTCTCAGACTATACACACTTAGAAGCCAGGTAGCAGGAATTACTCAATTACTTCATCACTACCACTGCCACAATGGCACTCCTCTCGTCGACGCTCCTCCTGCGCACGCACAGCCTGACCCTCCTGACCATCGCCTTCTACCTCGTGTTCTCGCCGGGACAAATCCTCAACGCCACGCCGGTATGGCTCCTGGGCGAGAGCATGAGCGTCCGGCCCGCATTGTTCGCGCCGCAAGAGATCCCCAATGATCCATCTCCATCCTCCCTGCCCATCCTCCCGGGCTCACGACAGCGAAACGCCCCGTCCTCAGCAGGATCGCTACCGTTCTCAGCGGTGGGACAGAACAACAGCACTGGTCAACGGGAAGTCCTCGCGCTGCTGGCGCTGGTCGTGGCGGGCTGGGCGTTCATGCAGTTCGTGTTCGCGGGGGAGTTGGCTGTGCTCGCGGCGCCGAACACGGCGACGACCACAACACAGAAACAGTCTTCTTCTTCTTCTACTCCTGCTGCCATGTCCTCTCCCAGACAGCCACAATCGTCGACATCGTCTCGTTACGGCGAGGAGCTGCACACGCTGTACGCGGCGCAGTCGCGGTGGCTGACGTTCGCGGGCCTGCGCATGCTGGGATCCGCGGGGCTCGTGGCGTGGATCTACGTGTTCCACTCGCACAACAGGTCCAGCTTTGCGCCGCTCTCGTCGACGACTCCTTTGACGGGGACGGCGCTGCTGGCGAACCGAGTCACGTTCACGGCTGCGTTGTCGGATATGCTGTTCTGGGGATATTTCTGGACCGTCGTCAAGGAGGAGACCAGACTCGTCGCGCAGAATGTCGCGAGGATGAGAGAGGCTGAGGATCATGAGTGACAGGCCACCGGGTGGTCTTCTCATAATGCCTGGTGCAATGCTGAAGAAATGGAATATACATATTATAGGCTGTACATTTACGTTCCGATCTGGTCCGGTGATGGTATGGGCATGAAAACACCTTGTTTGGTAGCATAGCGACGAAGATGACGGTCTAAATACATCTAATAATGTCGAGCCCTCCCCCAGTTTCATGGCCGGGGCTTTTGCAGATGGCGATATCCAAGCACCTCTATTCAAATTGTACCATCATCGCCTTTGAATATCCTAGAACATAACTACTCCGCCCACAACACCTGCCATCATATTGATCCGTCAACAAAATCACAAAAATGCAGCCAGACCAAGCACGGCAGCGCCGACGGCGCCTAGTCCTTGGACGGCAAGTCTGTCAGCGGACCCGGCAGGGGTGGAAGTGGCAGAGGCGGCGCTGGCGCTCGCGGCGCTCGATGCACTAGAAGCACGGGAACTGATACTGGCTGAAGCTGACGAGAGCGCATTCGAGCCGCTGGCTGCGGTGGTTGTGGCGGAGGACGACCCGGAGCCGGTGGTGGTTGCACTGCCGGTTGCAGATGCGGTGCCGTTACCGCTGCCGGAGGTGCTCGAGCAACCTGCTGAGGCGGGCTAAGTGGGATATATGCGATTAGTAGACCGAAGGAATGATGGGAACAAAAGGTATGGGCCAACTTACCAGAAGGGAGCTTGCGCCAACAGGGTCGCAGACGCCGTGAGCAAATGCCAGGGCGGCTTGCTGGTCAGTGGTGTTGCAGGCGGTGAAAATGCAGCAGGCGATGCCGTCGATGAACGACGCCGTGTGGCAGATACATGACGGGTCCAAGTTGCAGCTTGCAGGAAGTGCGTCGGTGATACACGTGGTGGCGCCTGTGGAGGGAAACGCCCAGAACATCAGTCACATCGAACAAGAATGATGGAATGACACATGAACACTTACAAGCAGGTATATCCGTCAGACTCTGGGCCGACACCACGGCGGCGAGGATGGTGGTAGAGAGGATGATGGACAGCTGCATTTTTGTTTACTTTTCTCGTACAGTACTCCGCGTTGCAACGGGGAAAGATGCGGGGAGGAGGTTAAGCGAGGTTGAGTGGGTGGACAATGAGATAAGGATGAGCAACAGAGCGAAGTGCTTCAGGTTGCGGTTCTAAAGCGATCAAGAACGAGCACGGATGAAGCTTGCGAACGAAATGTGGGAGATGACAGATGGAAGAGCAAAGAGAAAGTCACAAACGAAGCACAACGAAAAGGAGCCAGGGAAAGAAAAAGGATAAATAGAGGCATAAGTGCCCAGTTAGTTCGAGATACGTCCCGCACGCCACCCATCCAGAACTATGCCCGAGATGCGAAGAGGACAAAGCTTGATAGAGCTGCCAAGGGGGGTTTGGCCAGAGGTCCAGACGCCATGACCACCACTATTGTTGTTCAAGGTTACCCGACCCAAGATATTCTTTCTGAAAGGTATGCACTGTTGAGGTTCCTGATCGCTGCAAAGCTTCGTAAAGGTCCGTGAGCCAGGAAAGAAGATACCTACCTCGTACCTTACTTACGCGTATCTCCCTCCGCATCAATCTTGAACACGACGAATATCCTGGAGGTGACGAGTGCAGTTGCAAGGTTTACTACCAAGTTCGACTCCAGGCTTGCATTTACCGAGCTGAAAAAGACAAGAGGACCCCGCCTCGGCAGCATCTAACTAGCCAGTCTCGCGTCCCCCCATTTTGTTTTGGCTGATCACTACAGTCTCGACCCTCGAAGAAAGCTGATAGCAAGTACCAGCTGTTTGCTGCATGATGCGACTTGACGAATCTCAGTGTTGATAGATATATATCATCACTCCGGATGAAACATTCATGGTACCACTAGTACTGTTACCCAAAGGACTAGTTCCTCCAGGCCTCGTCAATTCCTGCCTGAGGCGCAACACGTGGCCACGTCAGGTAAGTTTAGGTCTGTAGGGCGGGTAGGGATGACCCCGGCATCAGATCAGATCCATGATACCAGGAGATTTATCAGGAGCATGCCTCGTCCCTTGGTCGGGGGCCAACGAGGCTGGCATCACTTATTAGTCAGGGCTTAGATCATGATGGATCGCAGATATCAGAGTTCAATAGTAGCAAGGAAAAAGAGAAACGCTTTCTTTATTCATTCACCATTAACAGTGTGTGTGTGTGTGCCATCATCAGACATTGAGCCTTCTTCCTCTTCCGCCGTGTGAAGATCATGCTTGCCCTTTCTTTGGTCGAACCCCCTTTTGGAATATGCAAAACAAGAAACTGTTAATAGTAGTAGTACAAGATGTACAGAGATGACGATCCTGCATCCATTCTCCATGATCCATCCCCCTCTTCCTTACTCCTTCTCTTCAAGATCATGATCAAATAATATTGATGGTATAAGTATAATCACTGGCGAACCAATATCCATTGGTATGATCGAGGCGTTCCTGATAATTGTCCATGTCGGGATCACCCTTCATGACGCTACGGAAGCGATCCCAATTGACCTGATCATAGCGCGAGACGTCAAAAGACCCGATCCGGCGGAACTCTCCCTTCTTCATCGTCGCGCACAGCAACAGGCCCTCCACCCGGTCCACCACATCGATCACCGGTAAGAGATACACTTCCAGCTGCTCCGTGAGCATGCCGCTCGCCTCCGACAGCTTGGGCAGCCGGTCGTCAAAGGACGCGTTCTCCAGCTCAATCTGCGCCCGCGTGCACTGGATCACGCACGGGGTTTGGCCCCAGTAGTCGTGGGTGCGGCGAAGGAGGCCACGCGCCATGAAGCCGCGGACTTGGATGGAGCCAGACTCGACGAGCCCGAAGTTGTCCTGCTTGTATTTCATGTTGATCTCGATGATCTCGATGCACGTCTCGCGCATCGCCTGCGCCGGCTCTGGGTATTTGACCTCGCCATCGATCGATGCCCACGACCACGTCGGTGCCCGGTACTGCGTCGGTCGCCGTCCTTGCTCCACCCGCCATAGAAATGCGTGCGGTAGCTGCGGTCGCCACATCCCCACTAGGTAGTCGGCTTCTCGGAGGCGATTGCGCGCCATGTATTGTTTCGCGAGCCCAGCGACCGCGAGGAGCTTGTCCGACGAGTATGTTAGGCGTTTCGGGCTGTACATCTTGACCAGTTGGTGCCAGTTGCCGTGACGCTGGTGGTGGATGCGTTTGCTGAAGAACTCGACGGATTCTTGGCTTGATGGCGGTCCCATGGTCGCAGGCAGTCCCTTGGGAAATACTTCGGAACAGCACATCTGTTGGCACTCCCAAAGGAGCTCGTTGCGTGTGAAGTGGAGAGTTCTCTTAGCCAGACAGCGTTCTTGGAATGCCCAGGCACGTTGGTTCAAAGGCGATGAGTCCACCAGGTCGTGCCAGATGGTGGAGCGCAGGATTTTGTACATTCCATCGTCGATGCCAACGCCTCCCACCTCGACTATACATGGTTGAAGAGCAGTAACATTGCGCGAGTAGATTAATCCACTAGCATCTTCTCGTGACGAGGTTGCTGCAATATTGAGAGTCGCTTCCGAGTAGACTTTATGCATCTGTGCAATCTCAGACAAGACGGCTTGCTCCTTGTCATGCATGATGCATAATGCATCGATCCAGAGATATCGGAATCCGAGACGTTCAACGGTCGTGCAAGCCTCGGCAAACGTCTTTGGGAGACCCGCTACACTCACACCTTGTCTCAGGGCACTGAGTGTTCCTTTGTGGAGCCGGATCGACTTGGATCTTCCCCAGCAGTGTGAGAGTGTCACATACTCGCTCAGGGGGTCCACAAACATCCCGTCGACAAGTTTAACCCCTGGAGCACCCTTGGGACCACGGACTGTCACATCCAGAAGGTGTGTAGGCTTCCATGAGGTGTTGGTTTCGTTGACCGAACACTTCATGTGGTTGAAGGTACAGTCTTGGATCCACTGCCTGGCGAGATCGAAGCTCTCCTTAGAGGCGGTATTTACTGATCTGGGATCAATGGTCCTGACACCTGGTTCGACAGCATCTGAATAAACCATAGAAACTAAGTCAGCCATCATTTCTCAACTGCATATAATTACAAAACTTGAATGACCCGAACTTACATTTAGGATTCATCAGAATCAACTCCACCACCAGCGTAGTGTCCGCCTCGGACAAAGACAAGCTCGTTTTGGAACTATGCGAAGTCGGTGTCATCCTGCTCGAACTCGCCTCTGCATGTCCAGAACCCTGTCCATGGACCCCAGGCTTGACGTATCGAAACTTCAAACGTGCTTGATCACGTGCAATGGGTGAAATCCACGCGTATCCAACCGAGTCAACCATCGAGCCCCGGCGGAAAGTCTGATATGCCTCGGGGTCAATGGACATGAATATCGTTAGGCATAGATGACATTTGCTGGCGCGAGCGGCCAGCGCTTCGAGACCGTGATGCGGGATCTCGCCTGATTCATTCTTTATCGCGCCCGCCTGGAATATCGCTTTGCACGTCTGGCACAATGTGCTTTCGATTAATTCGGTCATGGTGGTTGTTTTTCGTTCTTTTGGTCGTCAAATTTGGTCTTGAATATCTCGTAAGGCGTCGGCTAGACTCAGTTGATGGCCTCCGTCAGTTTTTGTTCATGTAATGCAGCAACTCTGATGTTTTTGTTATTGGCGTGGGCAGTGGTGATCCTTTCGTGCATATCGGGACCACTCTGCTTATCACCGTAATCGCTCGTACTGATCCACGTCGTACTTCGAATCACAACCCCCGAATATGTAAATGAGTGACTGGGGGAGTATTCCGTCAAAAAGCGGTCGTCAGTAGGACGACATACAAAACAAAAGCAATAGCAACACAACGATGGGAAGAAGAGAAGATCAAAGCCCTACACCTCCTGTCTAGGTAGGCACGATCGTCAATTGTGACATTATTTGATCCCAGGAAGGCAAAGAGAAAGGGAAAAAAGACAACCAAACCACAAAACTCGGGCCCCATGTTTGATTGGGGACCCACCGTTTAGAGCCATCGAGGACGGTAGACGACGTATTGTGTGAGGACGCCCAGCTGTCTCCTGAGATCGCTCAACCAGATCCAATTTCCGCATTCAGAACGAAGCGAGCGCCACCGGCACACCCACGCAGAATCAGGTGTTTCATCATATAGTTAAATCCTTCGCCTGAATACGCGCCTGGGGCACCGCGTCACACTTTTTTACAATTGCTTTTTGGGGTCCAGGCGTGAATTGGTGGCAGTTTGAAGCAGGGCCATTTTAGCACTTGGTCGTGGTGCATGTGGAACGGGAGTGGCCATTCGTTGCCGAGAAAGTGCTCCCGGCTCCACCCTCCAACCCTTGCCACTCAGAGTCCCACAACCTTACCTAAATTCTGGGTCATCAAGGATCATGTCTGCTCGGAGAATATGTATCATTATTATTATGTACTGAACACGGACGCTATGGTACGAACTCAGGTTCGTAGACTGCCGACCGAAGAACATGTGGAGGGAAGACTGTCAAATAAACGCAACTCGGTACTCGACATATGTCCTCGTGGTCTAACGACTACCGCAGACCAGTCATCTTCAGAAGATCGTGTCGATGGAAGTATTCACGATTCTTCTTTCCGTAGACATACATGGGTACTGCAAGTAAACAGATGACGATTTCAATGCTGCCGAAGATAATAAACAGTTGTCGAATTCTGATGGCGAAAACCCAGTTGAATGCGTTGTAAGCCAATATGAAGGAGAACATATTCTTGAAAATTAGCAGGTTGGTGAAAGCCTCAACAGCAATATCTCGGTGCGCGTCCAACAGGTACTGAGCAGATGCTATCGCTCCCATGACCATGCTGACAATGATAAATGCGAGGAAGACTTCTGGTATGAGCCATCCATAGCGGGTGATATTATTGGCCGTAATACCAAAACCGAAGAGTCCAATGGTTGCAGTCACCAGTGTTGGAATTACGAGAAGGATTCGAAATTCCGGTTCATATTTGCCTTTGTTTCGTCGAATCATGAAACTTGTCACCCCCTCAGTGTATAGGCCCGATAGGATGAGCCCCAGAATACTGCCAATGAATGCAGAAGTGTACATTTTTCCTGCTTTCTCTTCATTGAAGAATAAAGGCGGTCCAAGGAAGATTAGGGCGAGAATAACTCCCACCATAACTGTCCAGCCGATGATGACGCCCTGAAGCAAGCATGCCCAAACCACCGCTGGGTGGAAGAACAATGGAAAGGGTCGGAAGAGGAGCTTGAAGAAACTCTCGTCTGTTTTACGCCCGTTGAAGGGCATAAGCCTCTGCATGAAGGTGGCCTTGGATGGGATAGGTTGCTCTGGAGTAGGAGTCATATGAGCAGTTTTCTCCTCGAATGCCTCTTCATTAGAAACCGGTGGTGTGTTAATGGCGTCACTAGAATCATTCGAAAGTAAATCCAGCTCCAAGGAATGATCTCTTCGATAAGCCGTTTCGGGCACAAAGAACAGGACGAGGAAGAAGCCAAAAGCCATGATAACTGCGAGGATGTAGAACTGGGGATACGATGTCAGTCTTTGTTTGGTTCAGAGTCGGTGAGGGCTGCTTACGCTCCATTGCCAACCCAACTTGGCCGCAATCATACCCACGAATACTGGGGTGAGAAATGCTCCCCCAAAGAGACATGTGTTTGTAATGGCCATACGCACTCCGCGTTCATGGACAAAATATAGATCACCAACGCAAGCATTGACCAGGGCTTCGAAAGGTGCGAGCGCAACACCCTGGAAGACACGACTCCATAGAAGGCTAGCATAATTGTGTTTCTTATGAGTTGAGCCGCCCCATGCAGAACTGACAACCATGAGTAGAGCGCCAAAGAGGAATAAATGTCGCTTGCCCCAAACTCTTGCCGAAGCGACGAAGAGCCAACCAGCGACCCCCACTCCGACCAAGTGATATGCAGTCAATAGTGCTGCATCCTGGAACGTCCTCTTGAACACTATTACAAGGGTGGTGGAATCAGCGGCCAGAAGAGGTGATGCAGTCGTTGCGACGCAGGACACGAAGCAGAGAATGGCAAGGATGAGATCGCGCTGCCACAATGGCCAGTTCTGGAAAACAATTTAGCAGGGTATTCTGAATTTGATGTCTGGAGCGCAGCGCTGGGATGCCTACCAGAGGATCGTTGGGATCAGCCGATGGTTGCGGTACGAGTATGATTTTCCCAGTCTTGTCTCTCTTGAGATGGTGAGCAGAGTCCAACAGAGCCGTCTGTCGTTGTTGGGCATCGTAGACGAAGACAGTGCCGGGCACATGTTCGACCGCTGGTTCGAGGATGCCGAGCGCCATGGTTAACTGGTGGATCTGAAAAGCACAGCCAGGATGCAAGCCTCAAATTGAAGAGGTCGTTGTTGTCATGGCGTTTTCAGTCACAGTTGGACTCTACGACAGAAGGCGAACTATCAGCGACTGAGAGGAGGTGATAGAAGAGAGTTTAGGTTCGCCATTCTTGGAGGGGAGGGGAGGCGATGCGGCAGGCGCGGTCAAAATGCTTTGCGAAGGACAAGCCTGAAGGACCTGGAGTACTGGGGCAGCTGCGTAAGTGCTTACCTAAGTTGCCCTTGCCGGGTAGGAAGGTACGTAGGCACAGAATACTGAATGCTTGCACCCCCACAGCACAGCAGTGTGCACCTTTCCTTTCCTCTAACCCCCCTCCTCCGTGTCCAAGTTGGAACGTTACAACTTTTACTTCTGAAGTCACCGCGATAATACCTTGGTGCGACTCCAGGGCTTATCGATACATGGAGGAATTGTATCAGCATGATGAGAGTCGATACTAGTTCAGCGGTCCACGACTTCTCAAGCCTGCTCAGCAGGTTTGGTAAACATAAAATCCACGGAATCTCACGAGGTACAAATCTCGCTCACAAGGGAAAAGAGCTGATGGCAATGGTTCCTGTCGTCGCGTCACAGCCCTTGGGAGATCCTTCAGAATGTTCCGGGCCGCAAAACAGAATGCTTTACTACCTAGGTAGGAAATCTCCTCCGAATGATCTCGAACGGAACTCATAACACGGCAGCTCTCAATGTGGGAGAGTACGGATCGGAATCGGGTAGCACATTCAAACTTCACCTGCGATCCGACTCGCTGACATCAAGACTTTGCTTTCCACCGGCTCAATTTTGAGTTTGGCCTCTGTTCCATACTAACCTGACCATCAACATCGAAATATACTCTCATCTGCGGTGCACCGAAGGCTGGTAAATACGGAGCCAAGTTGTATTCATCCAAGCACTCATGTAGCCATTGGGCACGTTGGAGAACATCGGCAAGGTTGAGGACTTTTTCGCCACCACGGCTTAACATCCAATTCATAGCCCCTGTACGGTGTTCTTTAGTTATGGCTTTAAACTCTGCCCGTTCAGTCTCCTTTCGTTCCCTGGCTGAGAGTGACCAAAGAAATGTATAATATGTCTTTGACTCTCATCTCAAATAACAAGTGCGTGTGTAAGAGGTCTTCATCCATTCCCCCTTGATAACTCAATCTGTCCAACGAACTCAAACACCTAGGATGGCCAAGCAAGGTCTCATCTTCGTCAAGGCTAAGTCTGAACCCTCTTTTGCCGGTGGTCCCGGCAGCTTCGACATCGAGTCTTCTTATCTGTATATCAGTGTAGACAGCACGCAAGAATATGGGTATCTGGGCCTTTTCCCCGCCTCCAACATCTTTGCTCTCGACGCCAATGCAATCCAGAAGGAACTTGGAGGCGATGCCGAAGTTCGGATCTTCGAGCGCCTGCTAAAATTCGAGCCGTTGGACGAAACGAAGCCTGGTACGTCCATACATGGCTACGTAGCGTGTGCAAACAATGAATCTGGAAAGAATGCGAAGCTAACCATCGTTCACTTGAAACTAGGCAGGTCCTCGTGCGCGCACATAGCGACCCTAGATCCTGCCGAAGGCGCAGAGAAAGACTTCAACGACTGGTATCGTCTCCAGCATTTGGATATGTTGTCCACCTGTCCAGGATACCGTCGCTCCTTCAGGTACAAGTTACTCGCTTCCACACGCGAGGGATGCCCTGCTTGGACCGCAATCCACGAGTTCGAGTCCACTGATCTCCCCCTCAAGGAAATCTCGTTCACTACCAAGACCGAATGGTCAAGCAAAATATTGTCTGAAGCCAAGGCATTTGAGGCCGAAAACTGGGAATTCAAGGGAATGAGAGGTCGGGAATCGGATCTGTAGATCCTGATGTGTCAAACTACGTGATACTTCGCCTTTCAATCTAGGCGCGTACCCTTCTTATAGTCTCCTATCAATGAGTCATGACCCAATATCGCTTCTCCGCGAAATGGTGCAAATCAAATTGTGTCCTTCCATCTCGGCCATGGAAGAGCCTGCCTCCTGCCAGTACGGCGCCCTAAGCATGACGCCTAACAAACAGTAGCTCAACCTTGTTCTAAAGACACAGGCGAATCTGAAGTGCAACGTTCATCCCAATCTATCGCATAGCATTTGGGGGAAGCATTAATCTTGCGTAGGCACAGCATAAGACTACATGATACGAAAGACTTAACGAAACCCTTTGATCATTTCCATGTGCCGGCTCGCCGCAACTGTCTTGCATATACTTCTCCAGCCTTTGGGCAGTGGTTAGCGTTTGCAGGATTTTGCTTTTCTAGATCATCTATTATAACTCCCTCTCGGTTGCTTGGGCTCGATAGTTATATTCGACACTATGAATTGCGTGGAGCATAAGACCTCCTCGAGGCGTAAGAAACAAAAAGCACTCTGTTTACCAACTCAGCTGAGAACAAAAGCATGGATGGATCGAAGGAGATTTTAAGTTGTTCGAAAGTCCATTGATCAAATCGTCAACCCCCTCGGTTTAGTACCTTCGTTGCTGGCTTCATTGCGCACACAACTGATTGGTGGTCCTTGGACTGAATGTGACGCGGACAAACTTATCAGCCGTCTAGGGAAAGCTGAGATTATCAGTTCACACCGTCTCCTTATGGCTGGAGACGACATTGTGTTTCTCTGCGGGCTCGTCGCGGTTCTCAACTGCGGCAGCGATGACATCTCTCCCGGTTCCTCCGGCTGCCTGGGACCCACTGAGGCTTCTCACGAGTTTTTCAATCGCATGTCCCTCCTCCTCTGTCATATTTGAGATTTCCACAGCAACGGGATCTCCGAACAACTTTGAGACCTCTTCGAGAGCAAGGCCTTTGGTCTCCGGAAAGTAGAAGTAGAATATGCCTACCATCAATGCGGACAGCACTGTGAAGACGATGTAGTACTTCCAATGAATAGCAGCGAGTGCTGACGTGGCGGCCTGGGTAAAGGTCAGACTCGCAAGGAAAAGACCTGTGAGCGACAAGCTGAGACCACTGGCGCGAAGATGAGTTGGGAAAATCTCCGACGCGTAGATATAAGTCGTGGCGTCAATGCAAGACGAGAAAAAGACGATGTGGCCGAAGAGGAAAAAGATGGCCGCCACAGATAGACCAAAGCTTTGGCGAGTTTCGAGAAGAGCAAGGCAAATCATCTCGCCAATAAGGACACAGACAATGCCAGTAAATCCAATGACTGAGAGATTTTGGTCAGTACTTAGTATCACAAGGGAATGGTCTTTGATGATCGCTATGACTTACTCAACAGACGAACCCGGCCAATCTTATCTACAAATAGAGATGTAAACGCATTGCCAGCAATTGAAACAGTCACCCAACCTGCCGTTAAGGCAATGGCAGTACGGCCGGTGTAACCAATATTGGAATACAGAGTCACACCGTAATCTGCAGGCGATCAGCAAGGCAGACGAAGTCTACGAAACGAATGGTGACATACTGTTGATGACCAAAGTACCCGTGCTTTGGGCGCCAAACATGACCAGGAATCCGAGAGCTACCTTCTTCAAGTTATGCCGCTTGGACAAGAGTTCCCAGAAAGCTGAGGTATCTGTGTTGTGTTCCAATTGGAACTGCTCCCTCATGACGTGATATTCCCGCTCGGCAAAATGGCCCTCAGGATCTTTCGCATCGTGATGGATTTGGCGCAAGACTGCAAGTGCCTCCTGGCCACGAGCCTTCTGCAGCACTATCGAAAGACTTAGCCAATTCAAGAGATCACATCGAGGCTACTTACGCCATCTCGGAGACTCAGGCATAAAATAGGTACCGAGGACGAGAATTCCGGGTGACACAACTTGCAGCGCAAGTGGGAGTCTCCACTGAATGTCTCCCTCCAGCGGATAGCATGCATAGCCCACCCACCCGGCTATAGCGTAGCCAGTGCCAATGAGAACACCTAGCTCAATTAAACATGGTTCTTCCTTTGAAAGCCTAGCTGACTTACCATGCAATCCGACTAGTAAGCCCCGAGACCCTGGTGGAGAGACCTCACTCTGATATCTGTGGAGACTGGTAAATATCGGACTGGGTCATCATCGCCCGTGAGGCAGAACATACAATGGAGCAGCACCAACAATCAAGCCGACCCCGATCCCCGTAAAAGTGCGAACGACAAGAAACATGCTAATGTTCTGACTAGCTGCTTGGAGAGCGCCGCCAATGCAGAGGATTGAAGACGCAATGACGATGGCTCCACGTCGTGAAAATCGGTCAGCAAGAGGACCGACCAGTAGAGCTCCGAAGACTCCTCCGGTCTGAAAAAGGCCGTTTGTGGCCCCGAGTAGTGCATTGGCATTGGGATTCTTTGAGACCACAAGTCCAAAGTACTCGAGGAAACGCGGTTGGCCGAGTGTGGACGCAATGATAGATGCTGAATAACCATAGGAGAAGGATCCAAGTGTCACAAAAATGACGATCTGACCACATTGTGGTGAGTAAAGCATTCCCTTGACATATCACATTTTGGGATATTGTCTTACCAGGACGTTGAGCCATGACCTAGACTCGTGTTTTTCTTTGCCCGACATTATTGTAGCGGCTGATGTGTTCAGGATTCTGAGAATGCTCCTTATTATTCTGCAGTGTTGAGAACTTGTGGATCATGCATGCATGCTGGGGTATCTTCGTAGGTATTTATACAAACTATTGAAACTTACAGATGACTTGATCAAGCCCGGTCGCTTTTAGCACGTCGAAAGTGTAATCCTGGAGACGAACCGATCCCCATGATTCCCCGGATTGTGATTTTGCCAATAGGTACCATCTTCTGTTGAGTCTGGTTCGTTCAGGCCGATCCACCGGGAGACAGTATTCGCATTCCCGCTGTGCTATCCGAATTTCTCTTCAAGCCTTGGCCGTTATGGATTCAGATTTGCATTTGGATGTCAGTTTGGGAATCCTTACAGGGAAAGACTACGGTACTAGCCCATAGACTCAGCGGATCTTTGAAGTAACTGTAGTGCTCCAGGCTAAAGACAGTTCTCGATCACAGCGTCTCCACGGACCGCAGATGTCCATTGCGGCATTTGTGAGGGATTGAAGAGTCCCATACCTACACCTGAATGAAATCTCATCAACCCCGACAGTGTAAATTCCTGATCTCCGCATATGGAGAGGCTATCTGTTGTAACCACTGTCCACCACGTGGGAAGTGTTAAAGGAGATGAAGCTTACTTGACCAGCTTTGCCAACTAACTTTCTCGCGTCCACGGAATATCCCAACGGATGATACTTCTCTTCTCCTACCGCGCCGACATATGCACAAGGTATGGTCTGATGGCCCCAGCCACTGAAACTCAATATATCGAGAAGTTCTTGGCCGTTTATCTTCGACGTGATACTTAGAATCACGAGCTCCGACCCGATGGTAGAATAGAGTTTAACTTTCCGAGCCGGGGTGCGTTACTTACCCACCGGGAGCCAGATACCGGGCCAGATCGCAGATCAATCGAAAGGGTCAATGCTATGGAGTCATGCTCCACTTGCAGAAAGTTGTATAGACAATGAAGATTTGATACTGAAAACCACTCTGGTAAGAATACCGTCCCCAGTTCAATCGGAATCCCGATGTGGGATTGCAGAAGCTGTACCGCAGATGTCCAAAACAGTGTTAATTCGAACACATCTCAAACCACGGGATCAATTCATGTTGACTTAACACAAAGGCAAGACTTGATTGTAAAATTGTCATCTCTCCTTTGCAGTAAACAAGCATGTCAAACCCGCGTATCACCCAGAAAGAACTGTTCTCCTTAGACGGCAAGACAGCAATTTGTACGGGAGCGACTGGTGGGCTGGGGTCGGAATTATGTCTTTCTCTTGCCGAAGCTGGCGCACACATCATCTCGATCCAGATCCCAGGTGACGCTGGGGGTTTGAGGCTCGCCGAGTTGATAAAGAGCACCGGTCGAAAGTTCCAGAGCCTTGAGTGCGACCTGAAAAGCGCCCCGTCTCTCAGATCCGTCTTCAACAAGCTTTGGACCCAGGGCGTCGAGCCTGACATTCTCCTGAATTGTGCAGGCCTCAATATACGAGGTCCTATTCAAGACATGCAGGACGATGATATAGACTTGGTCAGTAACAATCCATTTGTTTTGCTCGGCAGGTCTTCTCCTAAAAGCTGACATATTACCCCTCCGACCAAGATATTCGCCATCAACCTAAAGGCTACTTATGTTGCTGCGCAAGAGTTTGGAAGACGGCTCTTGAGCTTGCAGCGCCCGGGCAAGATCATCAACATTGCGTCCCTCACTTCCTTCATCGGCATGTACAATGTCTCTGCGTATGCGAGCTCGAAGGGTGGAGTGTTGCAGATGACAAAGTCATTTAGTAACGAGTGGGCAGCAAGGGGCATTCAAGTAAACTGCATCTGTCCAGGGTATGTTCAATTTTTAATGCGATGACGGTAGCAAATCGTACCGCTGCTTGTTTACAGAGCTAACCGAGGGATTGTGTAGGTACTTCAAAACGCCTCTCACGACAAATCTCGTACAAGATGCCGAATATAATGATTTCATCCTGAAGAGGACTCCAGCCGGCCGCTGGGGGGAGCCTCCCGATCTAAGGGGAGCCCTGGTATTCCTGGCCAGTGCCGCGAGTGACTTTGTCACTGGGACGAGTATAGTCGTCGATGGAGGAATGCTCGGGAAATAACACGCCGTGGTATATCGTTTGTAATTCAAATGTTGAGTCTCTCGCTACGAAATTTATGTTCTACATCATAAAGTGTTCTTTAATGACTCTCTGTCAATGTATCAAAGCACTGTGGTGCTATAGGAGATACTCCGTTTAGATTTAAGGCCCGAAGTATTTGGCTCGTAGCGAAGACAACTCCGACATAGGGATCAAACTATACAATATCTCAACCTGCGAGGGGGCACACTCGAAGCTACACGTCCCCAAAGTCCGACGGGACGGTATTCAGTTGACACCAGAACCAGACCGTCGTGACAACCGCTCGCGGACTGTCTCTTTTTTCGCGCTAACCGGCATGAGGAGATTTGTGAACGGTCCCGGTGGAACGGAACATCAACTGGATCCCATGGATCCATCCTCTGGTCGGGCATCTCAGCGACTGAAACAACACTACTTGGTTGTCCACGAGAGACTGCGCCTGAAGATTTAGAGATTCAAACCTATATAGTAGAATGCGTCACATTGTCAGAGTCGGGACTACGTGCATTTGAGTACGACACATTCAACAAATCCTCCCACCGAGACGACCATTCACAAACACGAAGCGCTACAAGTATCTATACAATAACTGCCAGGTCAATAGCGTGACCGAAAACACCATGGGGTCCACAGCAGAGATCCGACCCAAGGCAGAAGCCATCCCTTACCGCGGCAAGCCTCTGCCGAACGTCCCTGACGATCTTGTGGTACCAGACGTCCTCCAACTCGACTGTGATGAGAAACTGTGGGTGCCTCAAGCGCCCGACGTGTGGTTCCGGCCACTCTTATTCCACGTGAGCCAAGGGTATTTCGTCAACATACTCCGCGTGCGACGCTCCGGAATCCTCTCTCGACATCGACATTCAGGCCCCGTCTGTGCAACAACTCTCAAGGGCAGATGGCACTATCTTGAACACCCTTGGTGGGCCACAGAGGGTAGCTTTGCATTCGAGCCTCCAGGAGACATCCATACTCTTGAAGTACCGGAGGGAGTCGAGGAAATGATCACTTTGTTCCATGTCACTGGAGCTTACATCTATGTCGACCCGGACGGACACCCGCTTGGTGTGGAGGACGTATTTAGTAAGCTTGAAAGTGCAAGAGCTCATTATGAGAAGGTTGGTCTAGGAGGAGATTATGTCAACCAATTCATCCGATAAAGCGGACGAAGATCTAGCTGTTTAAATCGTTAATAAAAGTTTGAGACTTCGTCGAGACGCAATAATTGAGGTTTTCTAATTTACCAGACGCAATATATAAATGGCTGCTGCCCATGGCTCACGTGTTCGAGCACCTGTTACCGATGTCGAAATTGCAACGAACAGCATCCTACGGCCATCAAAGGTCCCACAGCCAGGCCTGTGCTGAGAAATTTTCGTTCGTATTACCATTAAAGGGATATTGAGTGTTTCCGGTGTACGAAGTGGGAAGATCGTGTAGCGTGTCCGCACCCAGGAAAGTGGTCGAGAATGCCCCGTATTGACCACCCATGACTACCACATATCAGCCATATCCAGGTAATGAGGGAGAGGTACATAAGAATAGGGATTTGCCGGTGATTGTTGCATCGACACCCTAAAATATCTTCTTTAGTCACTTACATTGTTGTACGTTTGTGATCCCTTCCTGGAAGTCGGTGTTTTGTAAGGCGTCCATTCCCGAAAAGGATGGATCGTCGAAGGAATAATCGTCTCCTACTTCCGTATTTGCATGATCGTTCAAAGAGGTCTCATATCTTGAAAAGGATGAGGTCTCATGTATCTGACTGTGCTGCGGATTTGATGGGTGATTCTCCAGTGGTATGCTTCGTGGAGCGATCAGAGGCCTTGTACTGGCTTCGTCCAACACGGAAACCACGTTCTGCGTTTCTTGGTCCTGTTCCTGTCCCTGTCCGTGCCTCTGATTTGCAATTCTGCCACGTGGTAAAATTGCTTTCATCTCTTTCTCCAGAATCAGCCGCACCAATGCTTCTAAGATCTTGCTACTTTGATGTGACAGTAGAATGCGATCCTCGAGCCAGCCTAGCATTCTTATTATGTGGCTGATTGCCCGTTTAGCTTCTTGAGCCTGGGATGATAGTGGTTTCGACAATGCAACAATAGTGAGGATCATACCAGCCGTAAAGAGGTGAATCCCAATGTATGAGCTGGCATGAGTGTATATGGCAGCCACAAGGCACTCCTTGTGATTCACAAGCTCGGAAGTACGGATCGCGGATGCCCAGCATTGAGCCTTGCTGATGGACGACTGACTCGGAGAAGTCTGAGGGGTAGTGATACCGCTTGGAAAGTCATTGAAGGCTGGAGATGATCGTGCGATGTGCTGTGGTTCATGGACAGCAGTATCAGTGCGTGACGGGCGAGCGTTTCCTGAAAGCATGGGTCGGTGCAAGAGAATTTGGATGTTATCATACGCCAGCTGGAGAGCGAGAGCCTGAAAATCGAATGTCATCTCAATTGCCGATTTTGGCAACTCATGTCGCCTGGCACTTTTACTGAGTCGTAATTCTGGTGGGAGGTTAGCGTGCCATGCGACTAGCTGCTCATGAATGTCCTTGACTCTCTGACCCACATCCGTTTCGCCCACGCCAGCCCTGAAGTGTACGTTGGCGATAACTTGCGATGAGAGCTGATAGAGCTTGAACTTATGCTTTTGGTAAGAGAATATTGTGACGTTCTCTGAATTACCGTATTCGTTCATCTCCATCGAGCTCAAAGTGGGGTGCCTAGAAGTGGTGTCTTCCATATTCTGTACCATGCTCACCTGGAACTCAGAGTCTTGGATATAGTATGGTCGTCCAAAAATCATGGCAGCGAACCTATTATCATCAGCCACGGCCAAATACTCTCCAATGAAGAACTGTTTACCGATCGAACACGTAAAGAGCCCACCAAACCCGCTTGCGTTCTTCCCGAGAAACCGGTGTCAGTTTACGCCACATTGCTTCTCGGTGTAGATCTAAAGCATGTGCGGAGCGTATGCCTGTACCAAGAATCACGAATCCAAGATTAGGTTTGCCGTGATATAGGTAGAAGGAGCTTAGTAAAATGCAGATCTGAACGGATTCAAGCTCAACTTCGTTCAATATCGTGAACAGGTTCTCCTGGACCTTTGCTAAAAATGTCGACTGCAGTGTTTCAAGATCCACCTGGAGACCAGCCGCCGTCAGCTCTGCATGGCGCGTATACCGAGCACCCATGGCAAGAACGAGGAGTGTCAGCGCCACTTGTCGGAGTTGATTGTGGTGTGCCCGTCCGGAGCTTATCAAAGCTTCATAGTGTGCTCTGAAAGTTTGCTCGTGGAGAACCATCATAAACCACTGTACTTTCGAAAAGTAAGAACCTAGGAGAAGCTCTCCGGTCTCCCTGTCTGGCAGGTCAACCCCTATCAAGTCTCGGATGCGAAGGTTATCCTTCACTTGTGTATCTGCACCTGTTCTAGGAGGTAAAGTTCCTGGCAGTGCGTATGTAGGACTTTCGAGATCTGGGTTCGAGCCAAATTCCGAGAGGATCTAGGAATCGAATCTTAGCGATTCACAATCGCTGATCGACGGAAGCTGAGCCAAGACAACGAAAAAAAATCTTACTTCTCTGGTCAGACCTAGCACAGAAGATGAGTCTCGAGGATTGTGTTGGAAGTGCAAGGCGCTCAACTCTGGAGTCTGAGTGATGGTAGGCCTCCGCTGCCGAGATTCTGTAAATCTAGTGTTAGAGCTTCCAGAGTGTGCCTGCAGCGGCTCGCCGCGGGGACCGGGCACATGTTCCAAGAAAGAGGGCGTGACAAACCTCGTGATTCTCCTCCAGGTAACAGTTCATCAGCTTCGTAGGTCGAGCCTTGATATTCATGGGCATTCGTCCCCGAGGGCCTTCGCCTTATGGTCGAGTTCTTCTTGGATGTCGTCCTATTAGTCCATTCTCAACATCAGGAAACCTAGGCCTAAGCGCCATGAAAAACGCTGTAAAAGCAATAGCAGAACGTCGGGCATCACGCTCACCTGAAGGTTTCCAAGTTATCTGTAATGCAAGGAGTTCCTGAGCGTGTGCATAGGGCGCAAGGTCGCTCCTTGTCGCACTAAAAGACAAACAAGTCAAACCCGGGAGGACCATAGCAAAAACATAGGAAACGCGATCGAGTTCTCTGCTCAAGGGTGGAGATGCAATGGCCAATTTTGTGGTAAGAGATTGCGAGCTGACCTTTAACTTTTGGCGTCTACATCGTCTGCAAGCAACTTTCACCCGGGTCCTCAAAGACCTTGCTGGATCGATAGGCGAATGGGGATCTTGCCGAGCCGTGAGAGATGCCATGATGGTACAAGAGTAAAAGAGTCCGAGGGATCTAAGCTGAATGTAAGGAGATCCAAGGACAATCTAGTCCCTCCAAATATCCCGGCATAAGAGTGCTGCGCTTTCTGAATATGAACAGTTTTTGGTTTTCAAGGGGAAGTACTATGACCAAACTCTGGCGAGAGATCCGAGGTCGTCTTGTCTAGATGATAAGTTACAAGCCAATTGCAGAGTAGAGCACGATGCTAAATTCCAAGCCCGCCGACCAGGATCAGTTTGCTGAGAGACAAAGCCCTAAAGTAGGAATAGCAGAAGAGTCCGAGATCGTAGCTCCGTAGCTACTGTTTCCGTAAACTTTGAGCTAGACATGCCGTGCTTGGGATACCCCCGTACCATGACGGTACCAAAGCTATGCAAGTGACGACGTTGTCGAAAAGATTGTAGAAGCTGCAGGGTACTGATTGAATCAAGAGAGAGCCCAATCACGGAAAGTCGAAGAAATTTAGGTACCTAACCATAGTGGGGGGTGCAGCCCAGTAAAAAAAGAGGGGGTTGTCGGTTCTGATGGAATGAGCTCAAACAGGTTTGCTAAGCCAATCAGGTCAGCTGGGGACGTTCATAAATTTCAAGTAGATGTCTTAGATATATACTGGTGGTATGAACTTAAGATGCTGAGCATACCACTAAAGGCCAAGTGATGCAATACCAAGTACATGCCCACCTAGGCCTGTTCAGTCCGATACTTTATCGAACAAGCAGGAGTTCGTGAAGTACTGTCCAAACCAACTCTTGATGAATTCGCTTTCCTAGTTCATTGTTATTTCCCTTTGCTACTGCCATATTGAATCTCATTGAAGGTTTCTTCTGCCTTAGTTGGCCGGTCCCTCCGCTGATCGTAGCCAATATTGGGCTGATCGAATCCTCCTGGCTTGCCGGTCCCAGAGCTTTCTCTTCGTGGTGCATCTATTCCCTTGCCTTGAACAGTTCCGCCATACCTATTGACAGTCAGTAATTTGGTTTTCTCTCCATACCACTGTGTCAATACCCTGGGGTGTGTGTGGGTGTTGCGCCACCATTTGTATACGCCCGTTCAATGTTCTTGACCCCCGGTGGTTTTATCGCTTCGGCTGGTGAGCCTGATGGTTTGGGTGCTCTGGTGGGAAGGAGGGCATATACGACGGCGACTGCTATTCCACCTAGCGCGAATCGACGCCCGAACCCAGACGCTGCTGATGGTGCTCCAAGGGGCTTCTTGGGGGCGCCTGGGTTAGGCGGTGCAGGTCCTGCTGACATGTCGGTAGGAGTAAGGGTCTATATATGAGGAAGGACTCGAGCAGGACGTCCGAAGAATGATCAAATTGGGGGTTCTGGTTAAGGCGGTCGTGCAGAGGGAGTCGTGTTGGAAGCTTGGTCGAGACAAATAGATGGACTCACAAATCTACCACATCATTCCAAGTAATAAACTCAATAACATTGAGGAATACCCAAAGTGTTTCAAGTGCCATCCAAGGTGGACGACGTAGCCAGTGACCTAACACGAACTCCGGGTTGATTCCCTACCTAGGAGAACTATACCGCATCAATCACTAACCTTTAAAGCATGGACTCCTATGACGCATGCTATTTCACATTTCTCTTTCAACGAGGATGTAGTGACAGGAGAAATCCCTCGAGGCGTCTCATTGGGGAAAGAACCACGTTGGAAGGCTGGAGACAGGGGAATCGGAAGATGAGATCATGACTTCCGCGGAATCCACACGGTATATTTATCCGCAGGTTTTGATATGGGTTCTGTCACCGACCACTGCAATGACAGAATGGCTTAGGGTCGCCAAGCTTTTTGAGGGCAAATGGTCACGTGTGTCAGGCCTGTGTTGGGACGTTGCATGACTCGGAAGAAATTCGTGGGTGAAGGACCAAACAAAACGCAAACTTGACAGGTGGTACACAAACCTGCAGGAGCACATCAACAAACTCGAAACACAAATAAGTAGAGAGAATAGAGAAACTGTGATCCGAACGTCTGATTGTGATTGTGGACCATTCACACGCTTGCTAACTCCACTCATTCGGTCCACCACAGCTAAAGCTAAGTGGTATCGTAGGAGACTAAAATGGAAAAACAGGGTTTGCTTGGATTGCATTCGACATAGAGAGGGATAACTGGGGGGAGTAAACCCTGATTCTCGAGGGCCTGAATCGTTGTTGCCTTTATCTCTGGCCTCTGGAACGACTCAACTTGACATGCGCCTTCCAGTGCAGGACATAGTCGTGCTCACGAGAAAGGCGCAGCCTCCAAGGCTGCCATTCGAGCCATAACTTTGTCGAAATCAACATTGGAAGAGTCGTAAGCACAAGTCACCAAAGAGGCAATCATCGCTCAGATGACCATCCGCCATGCGATGGCATATCTAGGAAGCAGGTGCCGCAGCAGGTGCATCCGTCTTCTCCGCAGGCTCGGTTGGTGCGGCAGTCTCGGCGGGCTTCTCTTCCTTGGGAGCGTCACCGGCTGGACCAGCCTCTCCGTCACCGCCGTCGGATGAGGTCCACAACGTCAGGTTGTCTCGTAGCAGTTGCATAATCAATGTGCTGTCGCGGTAGGATTCCTCAGAGAGTGAATCAAGCTCGGCGATGGCATCATCAAAGGCTTGCTTGGCAAGGTGGCAGGCGCGATCCGGCGAGTTGAGGATCTCGTAGTAGAAGACACTGAAGTTGAGGGCAAGGCCGAGACGGATGGGGTGTGTTGGAGTGAGCTCAGTCTGTGCGACATCGGTAGCATTCTGAAGGGGGTGTGTGGTCAGTACATCTTGATGCCTCTAGAGAAGGGTTGTCATACCTTGTATGCCTCGTGTGCCGCGGTTGCAGCAACCTTGCGCTTCTCGCCAGATGCGAACTCGGCAAGATATCGGTGGTAATCACCCTTCCTGGGGACACAGTTAGACGATCGTTTTGATATAAAGGCCGTGGGGATACATACATCTTGTGATAGAAGACCTTGGATTCACCGGATTCGGCCTTGGGGATAAGGGCTTCATCGAGGACATCGAGGACATCTTGACAGACTTTCTCGAGTTCGGTCTCAATCTTTTGGCGATAATCACGGATGGTTGTGACATGCTTGTCTGAACCCTTTGATTCTTCCTTTTGTTCGATGGAGGAGATGATGCGCCATGAAGCACGTCGAGTGCCAACCACGTTCTTGTAGGCAACAGAAAGAAGGTTTCGCTCGTCGACAGACAACTCGCCACCCAGCTGTTGGTTGTCAGTCGATGATTATGGATAACAGAGGGGTATTCAGCGAGAACGTACGTTTGCAACCTCTTTCATGTAGTTGACCATTTCATCGTAGCGCTCGGCCTGCTCGCAGAGCCTCGCGAGGAAGGTTTTACTAGAAAATCATCAGGGACCAGTGGTACATGTGAAGTGGTGATAGGAATACCTTTCGCGCTACGGTTGATAGAAATGTTAGTATGATTCCTTATCATTTTGATGGACTTGGGGGGCAGAGATTGAGTTGGACGAGTGAGCTTGAGGAGCAAACTCCGGGAGAGGGGAAGAGAGGGAAGGGTTGATACTTACATCAGTAGCCATTTTGGAGGGTTATGAAGGTGATTAGACAAAGATGAAAGAAAGAGATTGAGTTGTGTGAGAGGTTGAGGAATGCAAAGAAGTTGTGGGAGATGAGAATGGAGATTGTTGATTGTGGATGGAAATTTGAGGGAGAAGATGGGCGTCTGGTGATGAGACGGGGTTCAGGTTACAAGTGCTGAGTTGTGAGTACGGAGTGGTAGTAACAAGTTGGTTGGTGAAGAGATGGTGAGTGCAGATGGTGAAGGTGCGTGCCAGTGGCAGTGAGAACCTGACGAGGTTAGGCTGAGACTCATCAGACTCAGGCTTCTGGTTCAGGGCTTAGGTCCGGGTGTCCAAGTGAAGAGGGCACCTAGAGACCAAATTGGAGGGCATGAAGAACCAGGCATGGACAGGGAATGGCTTAGGGGAGCTTCACTAACTAGGCCTGGCTGGGCCACTTTGGAAATGTGTTTGACAAGCGCCTCACAAACTCATCCACCGCCCAGGCCAAAAGCACAAGGGTTTCAGCGATTCCAGCTGGGCTCCCGCCAATCCAAACGGGTCTATCTGCAGAACAAACTGCGGCTGTGACTGGAATCGAACAATCTGGTCACTTTTCTCGTTGGTCGGGCTTCACTTCAGCCTGGCATCAATCTCAGAATGTGTTGGTGACCAGTCATCCCACTTTCTCTTCACGTCAAGGCTTTGATAAGTGGAACAGTCTGTTATATGCCAGTGGAGCACCCAAATTGATGCTGACGAGTTTCAACCACTGCACCCGGTATCATTTTGAGGCTTCGTGGCATTTTGGCAGTCATGTGACTGTCGACTCTCTGGAAGTGATCGGGAACGGGCATGTGCAACTCAGCTATTATTACATTGAAGATACCATCTGTTCTATCTTCTTAGACAGCTATACGGATACCTCTTGCACGACAGAACCAAGAGAATGGAATGCGGTTCAAGTCTCCAGCAAGTCTCTTTAGGGACCTAGATACCTGTTTAACCTCAGTTACAGGCGTGTCAGAGAGGAACGGATGTTTAGAACTGAGAACCAGCTGGGCATGTACTCCACAGCACTCGTCATGAACTGGCATTGTGTTTCAAACAGAAGATAGGTGCTTCATTACGAAAGTACTGCCGCTGTGGCTTAACAATAACCCGCCCTCCTGGTCCCAATTCTGGACATTCAAGTCTGAAACTTCGCCTCTTCTCTCCTTCCTTGGCTTGAGATTCTAGTCGCCAGTGCCCAGGTGGCGGTCACCCGCCGCCCGCGTCTGGAATTTTCTACGCCCGTGACGAGTTGCTATCCGCAAAAGTTTGAAAAAAAGTCACAGAGTCCACCGTGTTCAGATCTCCACGTGGGGCATGGTTTCGATAAGTCACTCTTTTGCCGTAGTCGTTTCTAGGTACTTTTCCTGCGCCTTTAGATTCCATAGACAGGTCTTCTGGTAATTCACAAGACGCAATCTAGACTGTGCATGGCTTCGACAAGGTTGTCCTGCACCCCCCTAGTCCCTACGTTTCCTTGACCTAACACCCAACCCGACCACTGGACAATATGGAGAAATCCTACATTCGTTCCGTTGCGGACGTCCTTAAGCATTTCAATGTTACTGAAGCCGGTGGACTTTCACCTTCTCAGGTCTCTGAATCGCGAAAGCGCTATGGAAGCAACTGTAAGTTCGCAAAAAACCCCTGCGCAATGGCAAGGCGAGGAACTGACAATCAGCACAGCACTCCCAGAAGACCCTCCCACTCCATTATGGCAACTCATACTTGAACAATTCAAAGACCAGTTGGTTCTGATACTACTGGGCTCTGCTGCGATTTCGTTTGTTCTCGCTCTGTTCGAGGAGTCGGACGACTGGACTGCGTTTGTGGACCCTGTGGTGGTAAGTTGAGAAACATCCTCCTTTCCGTTACAACAAGACTCACCAGTCACAGATCTTGACCATCCTTATCCTCAACGCCGTTGTTGGTGTGACCCAAGAGAGCAGTGCTGAAAAGGCCATTGCGGCTCTCCAAGAGTACTCCGCCAACGAAGCCAAGGTGGTGCGAGATGGGAAGGTTCAGAAGATCAAGGCCGAAGACCTGGTTCCAGGTGACATTGTTACAGTCGCCATCGGTGATCGCATTCCGGCCGACTGTCGCTTGATTTCAATCCAAAGTAACAATTTTGCGGTCGATCAGGCCATCTTGACTGGAGAAAGCGAGAGTGTCAACAAAGAGATAAAGGAAATCAAAGATGAGCAGGCTGTCAAGCAGGATCAGATCAACATCCTCTTCTCCGGAACCACGGTAGTTACTGGACATGCGGTGGCAGTTGTCGCTCTTACCGGAACTTCTACTGCCATTGGCGATATTCATGACAGCATCACTTCTCAGATTTCCGAACCAACACCACTGAAGGAGAAGTTGAACGAGTTTGGAGACACTCTTGCAAAGGTCATTACTGTCATATGCATTTTGGTCTGGCTTATCAACATTCAGCACTTCAACGATCCGTCACATGGAGGAAGCTGGGTCAAGGGAGCCATTTATTATCTCAAAATCGCAGTCTCCCTAGGAGTGGCAGCCATTCCAGAAGGCCTGGCTGTGGTTATCACAACATGCCTTGCCCTTGGAACCAGGAAAATGGCAGCCAAGAACGCTATTGTGCGAAGTCTACCATCCGTCGAAACTCTGGGAAGTTGCAGTGTCATCTGCTCCGACAAGACTGGCACACTCACAACCAATCAGATGAGCGTGGAGAAAATCGTCTACCTCAACGAGGCGGGCAATGATCTTGAAGAGATTCAAGTCGAAGGCTCCACGTTTGCACCCACTGGTGACCTGTTGCAAAACGAAAAGGTGTTGGAAAATCCCGCCGTTGTTTCCAAGACATTGAAACAAATGTCAGAGGTACTAGCTCTTTGCAACGAATCTCATCTAGCCTTCGATCCCAAGAATCACACTTTCTCCAGCATTGGCGAGCCCACCGAAGGCGCTCTTCGCGTGCTGGTTGAGAAAATAGGGACTGACGATATCGCAACCAACAACAAACGTACAGGACTCGCTCTTGGAGAACGAATTCACTATGCAAGTAAATACTACGAGGAAAAACTACCTCTGCAAGCCATGTATGAATTCTCAAGAGACCGGAAAAGCATGTCGGTCTTGGTCGGGACCGGCACGGCGCAGAAATTATTGGTCAAAGGTGCCCCTGAATCCATCCTAGATCGATGTTCGCACGTGATCCTGGGAGCACAAGGTAAAAGGGTACCCATCACGAAGAAACATCTCGCCCAGATTTCCGAGGAAGTGGTTGAATATGGCCGACGCGGTCTTCGAGTCCTCGCCCTTGCCAGCGTCGAAAATGTCAGCGGAAATAAGAATTTGCACACGGCAAAGACGACCAAGGCCTATTTGCAGTTGGAACAGAATATGACTCTCATTGGTCTTGTCGGCATGCTTGATCCCCCTCGTCCAGAGGTGGCAGCTTCAATCCGCAAATGCAAAGACGCTGGTATCAGAGTCATCGTGATCACCGGAGACAACCAAAACACGGCTGAAACCATCTGTAAGCAGATCGGTGTCTTCCAACCGGGCGAGGATCTGACCGGCAAGTCGTTCACCGGGCGCCAATTCGATGCATTCAGCGAGAGCGAGAAGGTCGAAGCGGCAAAGAACGCCTCTCTCTTCTCTCGTGTGGAACCCTCTCACAAATCCAAACTGGTCGATCTCCTCCAAGCCAGCGGTGAAGTCGTCGCCATGACTGGAGACGGGGTCAACGACGCACCCGCGCTCAAGAAATCCGACATTGGAGTCGCCATGGGCACTGGTACCGACGTGGCTAAACTCGCCGCCGATATGGTCCTGGCCGATGACAACTTCGCCACCATCGAACTTGCTATCGAAGAAGGCCGCACCATCTACAGCAACACCCAACAGTTCATCCGATACCTGATCTCGTCCAACATCGGCGAGGTCGTCTCCATCTTCCTCACCGCTGCACTCGGCCTGCCCGAGGCCCTCATCCCCGTCCAACTCCTCTGGGTCAATCTCGTCACCGACGGTCTCCCCGCCACCGCCCTCTCCTTCAACCCGGCCGACAACAACGTCATGCGACAGACGCCACGCAAACGCGACGAGCCACTGGTCTCGGGCTGGCTCTTCTTCCGCTACATGGTGATCGGCACGTACGTCGGCGCAGCGACCGTCTACGGCTACGTATGGTGGTTCATGACCTACACGGGCGGCCCGCAAATCAGCTTCACGCAACTGCGCAACTTCCACAAATGCTCACTGACCAACCCGCTGTTCCTGACGACCGACTGCAGCATCTTCCACGCCAGCTCGATCAGCACGCGCACCGCGTCGACCATGTCGCTGTCGATCCTCGTGGTGATCGAGATGTTCAACGCGATGAACGCGCTCAGCTCGTCCGAGTCGCTGCTGTCCATGCCGCTGTGGAAGAACATGAAGCTCATCTATGCCATTTGCCTGTCCATGGCCCTGCACTTCGCCATCCTGTACACGCCCATCCTGCAGACCCTGTTCAGCATTGAGCCGTTGAATGCCAAGGAGTGGATCGCCGTCATCTACATTTCCGCCCCCGTCATCTTCCTCGACGAGATCCTGAAGTGCGTCGAGCGCATCGCCTTCTTGAGTAAAGCCGCTCCTAGAGATGCGGTTACGTCCTCGTCGTCGTTGTCGTCCAAGGGCGAAGGAAACGGACACGTCGCGAATGGGAAGGTCAAGGCCAACTGAAGTGGGAGCGCGAAACCATTGGAGATTCTCCTTCGTTTGTGTCTTGTTACTTTTGAAACCCTCTATCGTCCATCATCTTCAGCATAATCAGCTCTCATATGATATGGGTTGACAGTATCACTTCACCTCCTTTCACACCATCCCACGTGCATGACTGACTAGGCGTTTGGTTTTGCCGCCCGTCCGGCTTGAATTGCATCCTACACTCATATAGATCGAGAAACACGATAGAACGAAAGAGCTGGCCAGCTAGGTTTTTTAGACATGACTTCGCTGGCGCGCTAGGGTATGCACGCGTGTATGCAATGTTCATTTTTGGATCTGGTGTCTTACCACCGTTTCTCATCTTCCCAGGAAGCATTGCGTGACAGATACGATCGCCGGGAAACAGGACCTGGGGCTTGAGGCGCGTCGGTGTGAATTCTGATATACCCCTCAGGGGTTTTCGAGGTTCCTGGAATTCGAGGTGCTCTGTCGAGCTACAAGCACGTACGTAGCTGCTGACAGACACGGAGACAGACGGCGGAGATGACACGGGAGTTTCGAGTTATTTGCGGGTTACTGGTCCCGGGGCGTTGGTGTCATGTACCCACGTACCTACGACTTTACTACAAGTCAGAGAGAGCAATCACTCCGTTAAAAGATAGAATCGATCAATTCAAGCTGTACCAGAACCGAGTCAAGTCAAATCCAACCAGTTCGTTGACTGCAGTGAATTAGTGTGAGAGCAATTCCTGATTGACTCGTGATCAAATCAGATCGATCTCTATTCTTTATATCTTTCAACCTACTCATTTACACACTTGCAGCAACTCCGTCGCTCCATGCATGCTATGAACGAGAAATCGTTTCTATGCAAGAGGCATTTTACACCCTTTTACACAACCCTTTTACCCCGTCGAACTGCTTTTCTTAGCTTTTCTCTATTCGAATGCTCATCATAATGGTGCGCCATCAGCTCAGGATGCTGACCTGAGGCATCCTGGTTCAATTCGTTTCTTCATCTCCCATTCGCCTGACTGAACAGTGACGTAGAAAGAGTATACGTATCGAAGGGCCCACTGGAAGTCGAGAGGTTGCTTGCGCGACGAAAACTCCGGGCAAAAATTCAGATCAAAGGCGACAGTCAACTCATAATTGCACACCCCAAAGTCCCTTTCCACCACATACACCTAGCGTTCCCATACCAGGGGCCCAGCTTAAATTGGCCACCTCAAAAGCGCACTCCCATACAGCACTAGGACCTCGTTCCTGACCAGTACCACCGGGCTGCCCAGCCACAGCACCAGCCACGGGAGCAGGAGCACCGGTCGTTTGATTACCAATTCCACTCGCACTTGAACCCATAAGATCCCACAGCAAGACACAGCAATCATCAGCGCCGGAAGCGAGAAGACCACGTTGGGAATTGCTCCAGTCTATACAGTTCACAGAAGCTCCATGGCCCTTTAGTTCGAGTAAGGCTTGGCCGGGTTGCCGGACATCCAGAACACGAATTACAGAAGAGTCCTGACTGAACGTGGCAAGTAGATGTGCGTCATGGGGAGAAGCAGCTATACGGAGTAGGGGAGGTGGGAAGGGAAGTCCTGAGGGTGCTCGAGTTGGTGAAGAGGATAAAGAATCTGATCAAAGAGAAGTTCCATGTCAGTAATCTGAGTTGGCGGAAATTGGAAAGAGTCTTACCATCCTTGTTTTGTTGCTTCTCGGAAGGTTCATATATGATGGTACTGTGTTCCAGGCTTCTGAGGTCAAACATTCTCACACTCCCATCCGCACCACAAGACACGAAAACGTCAACGCTGTTGGCGCAGAAGCGAACATCATAAACCTCCTTGTCGTGTGCGATCAGTTGGGTCTTTGCGGTGAGAGTGGGAATATCCCAGATGGTACAGGTGGTATCAATAGAGGAGGTGATGATTAAAGAAGGCTGGACAACATTCCAGTCCAAAGAAGTGATAGGTGCTGTGTGTTCAGGAGATTTTGAATTGGAGAGGAGAGCCAGAGGGGAGAGTTTTTGTAAAGGAGGGCTTTTTGTGCTATTTGAGCGAGACAGAGTATTGGATTGATATTGATGTTGGTCATTGGGTAAAGACCACAGCCGCAGATGATCACCAGAAGTCGCGAGCAGATCGGTAGTCTGTTTATTGGAGGAGGGTGGTTCCCACAAGATTCTTGTCACAGGGTATGCGTGTGTGGCTTCGGCAGTTTTGATGAATTCCAGCCCACGCTCGCCATGAGGGTTTTCTGGATCGATTTGGGTCCGTTGTGCATCTAGTATCTGAATCTGATCCTATGTCAGCAAAAGTCCCGTGACGAGTTCCCTTCCTGCGATACATACATAATTATGATTGTCCTCCAAGTAACTTCCCATGGCAATTTTGCCAGCAGGGCTGTTGTTGGAGCGCGGAGGCCATTTGCACCAGTCAACCGCATATATCGGCCAAGGAGCTGTGTAATTACTATTTCGAGGGTATTGGCCCATGTCGCTCTCTTGAGTCACATTAGGACTGAAGGGAATATCCGAGAAGTTGTTGTCTCTAAGGCGCACGTCGGCCAGGGCAAGGGGGGAGTAGGATGAAGGACCAAGAGGAGTACTGGGAATATAGCTGCTGGAGGTGGCACTATATTTACCTTGCTCGGGGGTATGATTTGTGAATGGTTTGTACTTTGGCTGATCCATTACGCCAGGGCTGGAGCGGGAATAGCTGTGGGAATGATTCATGGTAGAAGGTCTTGCGGAGAGTGGAGGCTGTTGCAGGCTCAGCTGAGTAGAGATTTGAGGAAGAGTAGGTAGGCTGGGAGCAGCACTGCTAGCGCCCAAGGGCGCAGGAGCAGGTCTGTTGACCAGACCGGGCTGTAGAGTGCCAGGAATGGGATTGGACTGGAGATTGGATGCACTGGAGGGTTGTTGAGGAGTGGAAGGATCGATGTTTATAGACAAAGCCTGGTCGGCGGATGAGGGCAGAGGGGCACCATATGCTGGCGGAGCACCATAATGGTGAAGGTCGCTCATGGCGGAAGTTGGAGGGTTGTTGTGAATGAGTGAGAGATCGTCGGGCTGGCGGCCAATGGTTAGAGAGCGCCTGAGGCCGGAGTAGTGATTCTGACTTTGATTCTCGTATTGAGGCTGAGGGGGACCGGAGCGGTAGGGGATCACGGTGGGATTGGGATTGGCACCGGGATGGCCATTGGTGTGGGATCTATTCTGGTCGGACGCCGTGGTGGGCGGAAAGGATTGTGGTTGCGGTTGTGAAAGGGGAACAGGAACTTGATGGGGTTGAGCGGGCCAAGGTTGGTTCTGAATTGGTATGTGGTCCTGGTGGTGTTGGTGCTGCTGTTGGTATTGGTTGTGGGCAGGTTGGGCTATGGAAGTCAAAGTATGGCCGGCGGAATAGAGGGCATGGGAGAGAGAGAAATGGCTGTCATGAGGTGATTGAGGTTCGGAAGAATGATGTCGATGGTGAGGAATGTGGAATGGCATTCTAATGGCGACGACAACGACGATAGCTCAGTGGGTGCAGGTGGTTGGCACTGGGAAAAAGTACAGCCAGCCTGAGTGTCTCTCCCACACTGCCCGTCCAGCGCTTGTAGCGCTTGCAGCCTGAGCCTCAGGGGATGATTTCAAGTCCAGACTGGGTAAGTCGGGTCGCTCTTTCCCTCGACTCTTTTTAGTACACCTCTTCCCCACCTTCCTTCCATCAACACCTTCAACATCTACAAGTCCGGCTTCATTCTTGTTGACAGTCGGAATTATTTTAGCCCGTACTGGAGATTAACACATCAGCTCCAGGTGTTCAGACTGCAGGTCAACAGTGCCCAAGCCATCACACGAACTTGAATCCCATAGATCTGACATGCCTCTCCTACCATAAATCTATGCCTCGGTCCAATCAATAGGTAAATATATACTGCATGTCTCTCTTCAACCATTATATACCAAAGGGCACTACATTACACAATTATATGAACTCCGATATCATACTCAGAGAAACCCCATATCAACATGCCACCTCTCCCTGAGACCGGCGTGTCACTCCTTGTCCTTCCAGCCTTGACTATTTCATCCCCGCCATCATCTTGGAGGTCAGCATATAAAACTACACTAGACACTCTGCTACCTCATCTCATCACCAAGGAAATTTCAAAAGACGGCCCTCCAGCCAGACTTGATATTGCTGTCGTTCTTTCAGAGTCATACCCACCGACTCCCAGCACTCCCCGGTCATCAATTTTCAGTCCCTTTCAACAACTCTTGTCCTCATCTTACAGCCTTGTTGTAAGCTCGGCCGCCAAATTAGATATTGACCTAGATTTCCCAGGTGGTCTGGATGTGCGAGTCTTGCTTCTTGAGCCTCGTCTCTCGTCTCTGCCTTCAGGTGTCTCTGGCAAGCAAAGCCTCTCTGGTCCCATAGTCGATATTCCCACCTTTGTCAAGTCCTCCAGGCCCTATACAGCTCTCTATTCCGTTGATGGTGAAGCAGGAGAACGATGCCTGAAGAAACTTATCACTGCATATAATTCCACCAATATTTCTCCGCCATCTACCAAACGCCTCCCATCTGGCCCAGCCTTCACAACTTCTTCATCGACTTCCAACCCTTCAGAGGAAATAATCGACGATCGACCACTGAAAACTCACACATCCGTTGCTGTGGGTGGCACTTTCGACCACCTCCACATCGGTCACAAACTGCTCCTAACCGGCACCATCCTCGCCGCTGAACCAGGCACAACATCCTCCCGCCTCATCACCGTCGGCATCACAGGTGACGAGTTACTAGTGAACAAGAAATATGGCAACGTAGTTGAATCCTGGGACGTTCGACAACAACGGACCGCCGAGTTCGTCGAATCCATCCTTGCTTTCCACCCAAACATCCCCAGCATCAAGAAAATCCAACACATCGACCAACCCGGACCCAACGGTCAGGTCGTCCGCGTCACATACGCAACAACCAGTAGCACCAGTGATTCATCAAACCCCACCGACGAGATCACCATTAACTACACTAAAATCTCCGATCCATATGGACCGACCATCGCAGACGAGAACATCTCAGCACTCGTCATCTCAGCCGAAACCCGCGCAGGAGGGAAGGCCGTGAACGACAAGCGAGACGAGAAAGGATGGAAGCCGCTGGAGGTATTCGAAATTGATATATTGGATGCAGGTGTGGTTGATGACGACGACGGAGAAAACACCAGCCAGGGATCCGGGACAAAAGAGGAGAAGAAGGGCTTTGAGAGTAAAATCTCAAGCACGGAGATCCGAAGGAGAGTGGCTGAGAAATTGAAGCCGCAATGACTGTTGGTTATTGGCTTATTCGAGTATAACATATACATGTGCCAGGATACAGTCTGCCATTTCCTTGAGATCACACATATGAGACAAGACTACATATAAGACAGTAAGTCTTATCTCATCGAAATAAAGCTACGTTTCCGGTTCATCGAATATGCATGACTGATATCATATACACCTCATCCCTCATTGTTACTAAATAGACATACGCAGGAAGACTAGCAGGATAATTCCAAGGTTGGAACGCTGACACACAAACACTGCAACTCTATTCCTCACGATGAAAAGCCTCCGTACTCCCTTCCACCCATGCTCAGCTATACCATCGCCTGCAATCATCGCCTGCAACCATGACGTCCACCCAGCAACAGACGAAGTCAAAAGCTAGGTCAATGCGACAAGAAGAAATCCGGACCGGGATCGTCGTCCTCGCTCTCAGACATCGGCTCGCGCACGACGGGGGCGGAAGTGATAGCCTTCTCCCTCTCCCTTTCTTTCCCCTTACCCTCCGCTCTCACCTCCGTCCCAGTCCCCGCCCCAAACTCACGCAGCGTATCCTCGAGGCTCTGGTTACTAGTCTCGCCGGGGCTTTTGCTGCGCGGGACCGTCGACATCCCTATCGACATGGGCATTGACTGCATGGAGCTGGACGGCGGTGGCTGTTCATGCAGGAGATCTTCGTGCGGCGTATCGTGACTCTCGTGGGTCGTGAAACTATCTTCTCCACCAAAACCACTGTGGCCGTTTAGTTCATGTCCCAGATCCGGATTGCCAGGAGCATCATCGAAATCATGGCCACCACCACCACCACCATTCGCCACATCTGATGTCTCGACCAACAACCCCCTCGCGAGCTCGAGCGCGGCTCTTTCAGCACCAATCGCACAGACCAGGAGATTCCAGCCTCGCTGCTCCGCGACGTTCAGATCCCGCTCCAAATCCTCCATCAGCGCCGACAGTTTCGACAGGATGACCTGCATGCTGGCGTCCAGCCCCAGCTTCGCGAGCGCTGGGTCGCCCGCGTACGACTGCAGCTGCGACTGGCTCAGGTCACGGGTCTGCGCGCGCAGTTCCTGCTCGAACGCGGTGATGCGACCTACCACGTCGCGCCACAGAGACGAGCCTTCTTCCAGGGCGAGTTTCTCGCTCTCCACGTCAGATTTGCGAAGATTCAGCACGTCCTTCTCGGTGGTCCATTGCTCTTGTGCCATTTGCAGGGTTCGTCGTTCTGGTTTCAGCGCGTACATGCCGCTGCTGAAGTCCGGACGTAGGCCTTGTGGGACGGGCGGATGGCGGAGGAAAGTTCGCGTCTGGGTGTCGTTCAGCCTGAGTGATTCGCTGTAGGAGCTCAGTCTTGATCCTTTCGTGCTGTCTTCCTCGCGTAACCGCGCCTTCAGTTGTCGGTGTCGGGCTTTCAGTTCGAAAAGTGTGTTTTCTACTTCGCGTATCTCCTGCTCGACTTTCTGTACTTCGGATTGTAGTCCTACTGACGTATCTTGGTGCTGGATTTGGTAGATCTTATCGTCTAGAACGGTCCTTTGGTTGCTTAAGTCGGACACTTGCTTCAGTGCCTCATCCCGAACCACCACTTCGCGTTCGATGAGCTTCAATTCGTGTGTCTTGAGATCTGCGAATTCTTTCATGGCTTTCCCCAGGCCCATTCGAGCCCGGCGTAGACTAATTTTCTTGGCCTTTGGTTGTCTGATTGGGATTGTTTTCAGGCCCGAGTCTCTCCGAGTCGTAGGTGTTACTACTGAAGGCGTCGGTGTCGGACTTCCGACTGACGAGACATTGTCGACTTCATCTGCACTGACTCCCGCGCTGAGCCCTTCTGACTGAGCATCGAGTAACCCTTGCAATGTTCTTTCAAGTGATTTGGAGGCCCGTTCAACGGGAAGGAAAGGATCGTCGTGGCGTACAATGGAGGAGACAAGATTTGAGTGTCTGGGGCGGGGGGAAATAGAAGGTGCCTGCCGAGAACGTGGAGAAGATGCGATCGAGTCCTGCAATGCGATTCGAGGAGGAAGTGAAGCTGAAGATCTCGTGGATGAAGGGGGTAAGTCATATTCGTACTGAGGCAACCGGCTGCCTGGTGTTTGGGGAAAGATTCGATCGATGAAAGACTTGTTCATGGCGGTCTCCTTGGGTGACTCTCGGTGCTGTTGTTTTCAATATCCAAGGATGACGGAATATGTTCAACGCTCCTGCGACCCAATCTCTCGGTTATAGATTTGCTCGACGAGCTCAAGGTATTGGTCGGCCGGTCCAAGTATGGCGAGAAGTACGGCTTGTCCAACTACCCTGTAATTTGCAGGGACCTGCTCCCAGTATGATAGGGCCAACAGTTGCTCGAGGAGCTCTTCTCTCACCCCTTCCCAAAGCTTTTCTCGGAACTGCGGCACGGATCCTTTGCAGTAGTAGATGACTGCGGCGACGATACACACATAGAACCAGAGCTTGCGGCTTTGCACGCGCTGCTAAAGCGGCATTGCTGGGAGTTGGTAGTATGGCACAGTCAAAGGAACAGAGGGGTGGAAGGTGACTTCATGGAATGTATCGAGGGTTGTAGCCTTGGAGGTGCGCTAGGACTCGGTGGAAGGTTCTAGGAATTACATGGCATAAAAGAAACAGTGTGAAAACTGCCCATTTCAGGCGTTCGCAGGCTGCAAAGAAATGAATCAGATAAAGTGTAGGAGGCTGCTAGTCAGTTAGTCACTCGACAGTTCGAGGTCGTGTGCATGTGGAATTCCCCGGATTTCGGGAGTGTGACACCAAGCACGTTTGGCACATGATAATCACCCGACATCAAGTTCAATAGTCATTCATGGTCGACATTCTTGTTCCTGCTTCTCCTATTTCTATCTCGCAAGTTGAAACCATACGCTACTCGAATAGCTGAGATTTGTATTCTGAAGCCGCCATAAACTGCCAACAAAACTCACGACTCACACATCGATCAATCAATCATCCCTTGATCTCAACCACAACCTTTCCACGTGCTCTCCCAGTATTCAGCCGCTCAAAGGCTTCTTTGGCTCGACCAAAATCAAAGACACTGTCAATGACGACATCTTTCTCAACATCTAGCTTGGTGGCTTCCTCCAACCACTCCTGCTTAGCTTCCAAAATGATGCATTCATAGGAACTGGTCACACCCAGATAACCAAGCAACCACCTCAGCACCATCCGTGGATGCGTGAGATAAAGTGCACTGCCACCCATGGAGCTCCGAGAAGTCTTGTCACCAACTATCGTGACATATTGGGGTGCTAAGCCGATGGTTTCAATCCCACCAACACAATCGATTATCGCCCCGGGTGAGAATTTCCTGACGGCATCGACTACCGCACTTGACGATGTCGTGTAGTCGACGAGTTCATCGGCCCCCAGACTTTTGACAAAGTCAGTATTGCGACTGCTACAACTGGCGAGCACCGTCCATCCCAGCGACTTGGCAATCTGCACAGTATAGATTCCTGTGGCAGAAGAGCCACCCAACACGACGACTTTGTTCTCAGACGGAGTGGACGCCTTCATGAATGGCTTGCATTTCTCGATCGAAGTGCGAGCGGTAAGATAGACGAGAGGTAGACTTGCCGACTTCTGCCACGAAAGATGCTTGGGCTTTTTAATGATGCATGCCCCTTTTGTATTGATATGGGCTACTTCGGTGAGGAATCCGGTGCCATCCATCGCCATAGAGATGCCAAAGATCTCGTCCCCTTTTTCAAACTCGGTTTCGGATCCAGCCGCCAGTACCGTACCCGAGAAATCCCTTGATGCAATCTTGGGTCCATTGAGATAGGGTAGAGAATTCAATGGCACGTTCATCAATTGGATGTCGACTGGATTCAACGCAGTGGCATGGACCCGTATGATCAAGTGAGAGGATTCTGGTATTGCTGGTACATCTGTCGTAGAGAGTGTGAGTGTCTGTGGATATCCAGCGGTTGTGTAAGTCCATGACTTGACTTTAGATGTTGTCTCAGACATCTTGAGTATGAAATTAGGTCTTGGCTTGTAAACAGCCCGGTATTCGTTATGTAGAGTCTCTCGATCTTTAGAGCAGATTGATATTTTTCATTTATGCTTGGACAAAAGCGGTAATCTCATCAATGATGGAAACCTGACGTTTTTCTGTCTGTAGACTTCTATTTGGAAAGTCGGAGTATAATCAACCTCCGCAATCGGGTGAGGTCACCAGGAGGTCACTTTTAGTGTGGAGAAACTCTCTTTCACCCATCATGCCGGACAGCCGGCACTATACCGAGGCTAGATGTCATAGTGTCAACAAGTTCGATTCCGCGACTTGCGACGGAGAATATTCGCAGTATAAAAATAGTTTGGTATTCTGAACATGAAGGAGGGAGTCATGCTGGAGAGTAGTAGGTGAGCCTTGGTGTCAGGCTATTTCATTCTAATAATGAAGCTGAGCGTCCGTGTCTGATCGTCCTCGGTTTTGAAGGGTGGTGATTCGTCCATTTCATAAGAAGGCGCAAGATTTCACATCAACAAGCGCCAGGCACCGAGAATCAGCGCGGCTGTACCTGTGCATACGCCCCTGTTAATGATGTTAGTGCTGTTCGTATATCATGTGGAGTGCTCGTCACATACATCAACCATTGCAAAGTCGAGAACTTGACAGCTTCAACTCGTTCTCTTAAACTCGCAACTTCTTGCTCGATACGAGCCTCGGTCTCTTTGATGCGCATCTCTTGGCCATTCGCTTCTTCTCTTATCCTACCCTTCTCCAAATTCAGATCCAGGCGTACACTGGCTTGGGTTCGACCAATCTCGTCGCGTAGCCTCGAGCTCAGTTTGGCCAGGTCACTCGATAGTCGATCATGACTCGTTCTGGTTAATTGAGATTCCGTGCTATCCGCATTGGCCAATTCACTCCTCAACTTGGCAAAGTCAACCTTTTGAGTGTATGTGCTTCGCTCGGCATCTTCTTTCAAGACCATCGTTCGCGTAAGGTTTTGGATTGATTCTTCGATGACATCGTTTAGCACACGCATCATGGCCACCGCTTGCGCCTCGCTGAATCCTTCGCCCTTTAATCTTGCCACGAACTTTAACGTGTCAAAATGGTGATCTTTCCTAAGGACTGCTGTGGTTGAGAAAGCCTTGCGGGCAGGTCTGAAAACCGCAACGTAGACTCCGTTGTGTCGAACAGGAACGGCATCTGCTGGAAGAGGCTGTAGATAGGTTTTCGGTCGCCGTTGTGCATGCGTCCGAGAGGATTTTGTAGTCGCGAAGGTTGTTGAAGGCCCGGTATGAATTGTATGAATTCGCCGAACTGGTGACGCTGGTTTAAAGGTGGGAATTGCACTTCTCCTCTGTAGAGAGCGGAGGGGGACTGGTTGTGCAGGAACTTGAGCAAAAGAAGTGGTGGTCCAGCTCAGTCGTGGGAGCAGGAACCGTGGCAACTCCGCCACTGGCTTTGAGTTACCCATGGAAGGCATCCTGAGGTTTGAGAGTGAGTCGGGACTATAGAGCCGTTTATGAAGTGAAGACACTGTAGTGCGGAGAGGTCAAATGAATGATACAGTACATGAAGTAAGGTGATTGCGAAAAATGCGGTTACGAGCCGGGAAAAACAGGCTGACGATTTACCTTTTGCGCTGCTCCCCGGACGCCCGCAGTTCAGGCTTCTCGCCAAGCACACGCACTAGACGCCTCGTGACTCTGCCTAAAAGCAGCGTCATAAGACATACCCTTCAAATTGTTCCGAGGCTTCAAGTTGTCGATGTATTCTGTACTGTACCTAGCAAATATTCATCATGGTACGAACGCTTCAGATTGTCGCTGGGCCTCGTAGGCTGTGTCTGGCCTAGAAAGGCACGTAAGTAAACGATGATTCAGAGCGAGTAGATTAAACACTGTTTCCATCATACATCGTTCACGATGGGCCGAAACGTGCCTCAACCTATTGCAAGACTTCCTGGATCCCTCAGCACCTTCTTTGGAGGAACCCCACGCGTCGGTCTGGCTATTGCGGCATTAGCCGTGAGACATGGGATATTAGTCTTGGTGAGTAGCTCAAAGATCTGAAGGGAATCGGTCAGCCAAACACTTGTAACCAACCTCATTCCGGACGGGCTCGTTCTGCGCCGCACCAGGACTGTTGGCGTCTCCATATCTGCTTGCTTCCACTGCGTGGCTTGGGGAACTTGCCTGCGTCGCAGAGTGTACTGAAGTGATAGGGCGACCCATCGTTCAGCCACTTTCACGGCACCCCATGTAGAAGTCTGTGCTACGGCACAGCCAAGTCGACCATGATCGCGATGACAAGCCTGACGGGGCCACAATACATGGTAAGTTTTCGATCACTAACACCCCGAATGATCTCTTCGCCTGCCTTCGCCTGCTGCGGTGGCAGGTGCTCAGGATTTGGAACACGAACAATACCGCCCAGAAGCCAAGACCACTGTTGCCGGACCGTCACCAGGAGCGCATCCCAGAGAAGATCGCTTGCGATCGCCACAGAGGCGAAGAAAGCCGGAGGCGGAAATATTGGTGGTTTGTGTAACTGAAACATGACTTCATATCCTTGTTAGCTGTGTTGAGCATCGAGGACGTCCAGAGACTCCAAGGACGATATGATCAGTCTGCCCAACTGCCATCGTTTCCTTCGATCGAGCACCTTTCGCGCCCATGCAACCGCCCCGCAAACGTCGCCATCTTGAATATCAACAGCTTCCATTGCTCCTGTGACATGTCCTCGCACCAGCTGCAACGCGATCAAAAACGCTTTGTAAGCATACAGAGTCAGCCATGGTGGCTCAGTATCGGGAATCACGGTATCATCGAGATATCGCAGGAACCAGTTCACGCGAGGCTGGACTGAATGTGCGGCGTGGGTCCCGATAAGGAACTCGCAAGTAGGCGCTAGGTCGACCAGTTGCTTTATGACGGCATCTATGCTACCCTCCACAATTCCTCCTGTGTGTGAAGGCGACCACATGTGCAGTTCGATCATGGCCATCTCCCAGGTTGCTTCGCACAGTGCTGCGCTTGCTGAGATGGTGGCGCCTTTCTCTGGCCGAATCACTGACCCAAGCGCACTCAACGACTCTTTCAGGGGTTCCAACCTCTCCATGCTGATCCTTCCTGTTATTGCGGACCAGCCCGATATCTCGCGAGCACTCGAGATTAAAAATTGCGCAATGTTGATTGCTCCGTACGGATCGAAGGCCGGTAAGGAGCTGAGGTTCGGATTTGGGGAAAGAAAGAGGCGCACAGCGTCAGAGTATTGGACCGGGAGTGAAGATGATTTTGTGACCAGCTGCCAGTGTGCCCATCGGGAAGCTGTAGGGGCCGTCCAGCAGTCATTCGGGCAGGGGAGGTCGTGCTTGATTTCCAGATGCGAGATTGACCGTGGAATGGACAAGAATTGATACCAGAGTGCATCAATCTGATGTACGGCTAGAGATGTCCGCTTACGCGACTCTGCTTGAACGAATTGGTGCCAGAGAGTTTCAAGATCGTGAGTGGCACAAGTCCCGGCCACCGATTGCATTAGACCACCAGACCGAGCGAGGGATATCATACGAGAGTGCATTCGAAGTGCGTGTGCCGAATCCCTCCCACAAAGATAGAACATAGCACATATTTCAAGCATTAAGTATGATTGCACTTTGACAGTGACGAGAGTCACGTTGTCCGTATCCTCATACTCAACCTCCAGAGCACTAATCATGTGGCGAGCTTGATGAAAACAACGTATTGACAGAGATGATCCGGATCCCTCTCGGTCACCACAATCTGGGTCTTGGCCAAATTGAAAGCCAAGGCTAAGAATGCTGAGTGCTAAATACCTTTCAACACGGCTAACATCGAAGGTGGGCCGGTGGAGAAAGGGAATGAAATGTGAGACATGGGCGAAGAAAAGTTCGAGCCCACGAGCGGTTTGTGACTCTGACGGAAACCAGTCTTCCACAGTAGGGGAAGAATGATTAGAAGGCCATCTGAAAATTGTGCTGTCGTTGAAGCTATTGCGATTGTTGTACTCTGTCTGCAAATCGGAGTGGGGGACAACTGTGGGTTGTCGCTGGGAGTCAAAGCCACTGGTCGGTCGGGATGTCGTGGCATATGAGATGCGCTGCAGGCCACTAGCAACAACAATGCTACTGTGCGTAGCTGCGAAGTCATGCTCGGGTAGGTTGTCGACGGAAATGTCTGTTAGAGAGGCAGTAGGTGTTTCTGCGCTTTCAATGCCCCCGGGGCCGACATCAGTGGACGTCACTGGATCTGTGCTGATTTGCAAGTGAGTGTTTCGAAGGATTTCATCCCAAATCCTGTTATGCACATCCTCATCAAGTCCGTCGTTGGATTGCCGAAGTGAGCCGTGGCCGCTGTCTGCTGGCGATGACGAGCCCGCCCCGTAGCCCTCAGCTGTGGCCTGCCTTTGGAGCTGCGAATGTGTCGTTGGTGAAGGCTTCTTGCTCATGCTAGTTTGATCCTCGTCGTTGTCTCTCGCATGCTTCCGCTTCATATGCCTGCTACGCAGATCTGGGCGTGAAAATGTTGCGTGGCAGATGTTACATGGCAGAGAATCATCGTTAGAACTCCGCGTGTGCAGACGCGAGTGCCTCTTCAGGTTCTCAGATCGGGTGAACCGGCTATTGCATACAACACATTCGTATGGCTGAAACTGCTTTGCAGCTTCGCCGATAGACACCGGCATACTTGTGGCGGTAGCAGGCTCTTGCCGCACATTTATGGATTGGGATGACAGGCAGTTTTCCCATATAGTGCTTTATAACGGTTATCCTGTTATTGACAACTATTACGAGAGGCAGATTGAAATCGTTAGCCGAGATATACTTACAAGTCTTGGGAGAGGTGATTTCCCCACCCATAGGCAGGAATAGCCCCACCAGCCCCAGAAGATGCACGAAGGATGTAGGTGCTTAAGCAAAGAAATGTTTATCTTTGCTAATCTTGACGTATCTGCACCTTATCGCTGCTTATCGCTACTGATAGGACTGCTCACATTGGCTACTGACAACTGACAGCCTTAACCGATGGTAGACGGAGGGAACTCTGGGTCCAGAAGATCGTTGTTCGTAGCTGGGTGCTTAATGAGACATCAGCAGCCTGTTTATCTTGATGTGTCTCTTTTACACTCTGCTAGGAAGGCCGGGCCCAGTTTCTGCTACATCATTCTCACAGTCGCATTGGGGTTGCGTTTGAGTTGCAAACTTCATAGTGATACACAATGGACAATGTCAGCTACGCACCACAACATGGGTTGATGGTACTATATCTATTCCATCGTGACCTAATTTTCTTTACCTGAAGAATAACTAGCACTAACTCCACATACAAATCTTCGCTTTCCTCCTTCCAACAAGTTCTCCACCCTTACACCGGCAATACAACCTTCACACCCATGTATTCCCGCTGGTGCATCAGCTTGCCATCGATCAGGACCTGATGTGCGCCGACCCGGTTGTTGACTGTGTCAGTAGGATCCGTGCACGTTGCAATCTGGATCTCGCGCCACTGCCGGTTGGTCGGTACGAGGTTACCGTCGTCTGTCCGCCTCTTAAACTCGTTATATATACCTTGATCCTCGACGCAACCCTCTCGTTGGATGAGAGGCGATTCTAATCAAAAGAGTCAGCGGGTCAAATCAACATTTGTTATCGGGAAATCGACGCACCTTTCGCAGGTGTCATTCGTAGATCACCAACGGAGCTGTTGAACAGCACCAACGACAGGCGCTCCTGGTCCAGCTGGTCGACCGGAGGCTTGTAAACTCGGTGGCGGGTGGCTTTGAAGTGCCCACCGGAGACGATCTCGAGTGTGTCGCCAATATTAATAACCAGAGCACCGGGTTTGTACGGAACGTAGTACCATTTTTCATCCTGGCCCCAAATTTGAAGGCAGGAGATAGGAACCGAGAAGAGCAGAGTGGTCAGGCCAAAATCAGTGTGGCCATGCATGCGGAGACCTTTAGACGCCTCCCTTGTCTCCTTCTGTACAGGTCGGAACAGGGCATGTCGGAAGTAACCTTCGCCGGTTGGCCCGCCATGTGACTGCACATTGTCCCAGAGATAGTCATCTGGAAGTTCAAGGACCCGCGAGAAGAGAGTGAGAAGTCTGCGGTTGACAGACTGGGTGAGATAGGTGGCGAATGCCTCAATCTCATCAATGAATGGGTGCAAGGTGCTAGGCACGCGTTCAGTGTCTTCCCAATCAGCGCTGTACCAGTTGAACTGTTCGATCCCATCTGCCGGGCCCCGGTGGCGCTGAAAGACGTTAGCAAAGTCAACCAATATGCAAGGCAACCCATCTCCCCGCCCCTGTCGCCTTACCTTGAATCCGTACGGGTGCTTATAACCAGACCATTTGCCGGTTTCAGGGTCAAACAGCAGACGCTGCTTATCCTCCTCGGTCATGTTCTTGTAGTTGTACTGGGCAATGGCAAATTGACGATGGAGCTAATATCTTGGTCAGTGATAGATCTGGACGTCGGACTGTCGTACGAACCTGCTGGAGGGATACGCCATAGTTTTCCAGGAAAAGGAAGCCGTCTTCACGAATGGCACGCTTGACCTGTTTAATGAGATCTTCGACTACTTCAGGATCATCTGAATCAAGTAGAGATAGATCGATGGACGTGAGCTCTGCAAAGTCGTGTTTCTCCTGAGTTACTGGAGGGGGGATCCATTCCGGTACAAATGGCTTGCCAGTGAGGTCAGCTGCTGGCGGGTTGAATGGAGTTGAGGGCACCATCGTGTTGCGAGTGCTTATACTGCTATAGGATTCGTGTGCTATCGTAGTCGAGTTATATTGTTATGTCGTTGAGGTGGAATATTTGCGTATTCGAGTGCTTTTGTATCCGGGCTGTCGTCATTCAGACAATCGTATCCCCGTCTTTTGTTCTCGTGCACGAGTGCGGAGGCAATCGCACCACTTCGAACTCCTAGAATTCTACCTTCCATGCTCATGATCAACCTTGTGTCAGACCATGTCCACCAGAATCGCCGTGTGCTCCTCCAGATGGCTCCTCCGCACACTCCTCTGCCACTGTAGCTCGGCTGTATTTACCATTGCCGCAATAGCTTCTTGAGCTCCTCCACGGTGGGAATCTAGAGCAAATGGGATCTTATCCATAGAAATTGACTGATAAGCACACGAAGGATATACGAGACGCTTGAAGGTAGATACCACACCACCAAGCTGGAGGAGCGCATGGTGGACATTCACATTGGTGGAGCAGGGAGGAGCTCCTCCAAACTTTATAAGACCGCAAGCCGACCTTTGCCCACACTTGACCTCTAGGAACCTTAAACATACATGATATGGAGGTCACCGGAAATCAAAGAGCTCCTCCATTCTCTCTGTCATTTCCTGCGAGACATGAAGCTCAATCCCTTAAGAGACAATGACAGAAAGAACAGAATCTCTCTACCCAGACAATGATCGCCGGAAGATCTCCGCAGCCCTTATAATAGGTTGCACCAGGGCACTTTATGGTCCTCAATGGCTTCCAAACTTGAAGCTCTAACGCATGTTACCACACAACCCACCGACTTTACTTCAAGCACAGGTTCCTCGATACTGACCTCCACGATCAAACCAAAAGCATCTTGCAAATATGTCTCGGCAATTGATTTCGAGCGAGAAATTTCCTCCCAAACCTCACAACTGTAAGTTTGTCCTCATTGCTTGTGTCGCCAATTCTGATACCTATTTCCTCAAAGGCCCTGCGGTGAAAGTACCAGGTCTTGTCTTCTGCGCCGGTCAAACTGCAACTGGTGAAATCAAGCAGGCAACCGTAAGTTTGATGGAGCATATTCCATCTGTCATCAAGCGTGACCCCTGACAGCATACTCTTCAGCGAACGGTTTTGCAAAACCTCAAGGACGTGTTGGAACTTTCGGGATCTTCCCTCGAGCAAGTTGTCAAATACAATGTGTACCTTGCCGATATGAAGGACTTTGCCGCCATGAACGAGGCATACATAGATTTCTTGCCGCAACCCATGCCTTCACGGTCATGCCTGCAAGCTGTGCCTCCCGGAAATGGCACCGTTATTGAGATTGAATGCATTGCTCATGTATAGTATTGGAGCAAGTGGACTATGAAGCGCATCTACGTAATGTTGTAAATAAACGACGGAATATGCACCAGGAATAGAACAGTCTTTGAAGTTAGCGTTCGGCATGAGAACCATGGTCCTTTCCTTGTAAATCTTAACGAATAACCTTCAGAAACGACTTCTCTCACAAAGCACCAGGGTCATAGAGGACAAAAGGTGTAGAGGTAAAGAGAGATAAGTGTAGACCCTTCAATTGTACCGGATTACAATGGTATCATCATCCCCCAGTCTTTGACTAAGGAATTGTAGAGTTGAAGTGGAATATAGCTGAGCATTGAGAAACTTGTTTCATATAGTCTAGAGGCATAATTATCTACATGCTTCCAAATTCTCTGGTGACTATGATCTTGCAATTTCCAGCTCAGCTATATACCAATTTTGGATCGCCTTTGTGTCGCCAGTGATGGCGACGCTGTCATATGTCTTCCGAGCGTCTTGTGCTGTGGATCCGTTATTGACCATGCGCCCCACCCATTTTCCATGCCGCCGACCCGCATCCACAATCTTTTCGATCGCATCCAGAAACTCGGGTTCGTCACCCCGTGCAGGCACGTAGCCCAGTAGTGACTGTGCCAGATCATTGGGACCAATGAAGAGCAGGTCGACGCCGGGGACGGCTGCAATGGCATCAACATTTTCCACCCCAGCGCGGGTTTCGATCTGGATCATAGTTAGGATCGTCTCGTTCGCCGATTTCATGTACTTGGGCGTGGTGATGCCATGGCCGATTGCTGGGAACGCGGAGCCTTGGCCGCGGACACCAAATGGAGGAAATTTGGCAGACGCGACCACCTGACGGGCCTCCTCCGCGGTGTTGATTTGTGGCACCATAATACCATGCGCACCAGTGTCGAGAGCTCGCTTTACAATATCATGTGCAGGTCCTCGGATGCGAATGATGGGCGACACACTGAGAGCCGAGATGGCTGCAACGGCGTTGTGCATCGAATCGTCCCCAATGTTGCCGTGCTCGCAGTCAATGATGATACCGTCGACACCAGTCAAGGCCACGATCTGTGCCTGGCGCACCGAGGGAATCGCCATGAATGTCATCAGCGGATACTGGCCATTTTTCAGCTGGTTCAGCACTCTCAGACGAGGGTTTTCAATCTGGGTGGTGAGCGGCGTGGCATGTGTATCTGGTTTTATCGCCATTATGCGTATGCTGTGTTGGTCCCGGGGTCACTGGGTCCTCTTCTGGTTCTTATGATCGTCTCACAAGTCGAGTGAAAAAGAAGATTGCTGGCCTTAGGGTCCTAGTGAGCACAATGAGTTACGGACGATTGTGCCTTTTTATGGATTGTAGACCAGGAGACATCCACGCAGATTCGCAGGCGCTGCTCGGCACATCGCCACTCTGTCCCCAATGCTTTAAGATTGATTGTCCCCCAACGCGAAGGTTGGTGACGACGATGGGTGAAGTTGAATGCTGATGTCTTGCCGAGGTTTGAGGTGGGATAGCAAGGGTCACTACGGAGGAGCTCCTCCCAATGCAAAACTATACCAATTTTGGTTAAGCTCGTTTAGACTGCTGAAATGAGCGGTGCTCCTCCTCCACTCTCCCCCAGATACCGAACTTGACAGCCTTGTCCTAAACTTGCTTATCGCTCCTATGTTGATAGAGAAAAGGGCTCGAGCCGAATACTCACCTCGACTACATATAGGTCAGCTCAATCGCTTCTCAATATGGCGCGGTGTCAATCAGCCAACAGAGTCCCTGAACAGAGACCATTAGATTGAGCAAGACACAAGCTTCCCAAGTAGTGGCAGAACACAGCTTAACCGACCAAAAATGGATACCAGCAGCGATAATCCAAAAGCTCTAGATCCTCGGCCTAGTGAAGATGTCAAGTCAACCGCCGAAGGACACTCCGACCTCATCAGCGGACCCATGCCCGAATCCTTGATCAACCTCGACGCGGACGAACTTGCCCGTCTGCAGAAGAAGCTTGTGCGCAAGATCGACTTTGCCATCTTGCCATCCATCGGTATCCTCTACATCTTGAACTATATCGACCGTCAAAATTTAGCGGCTGCCAAATTGCAGGGAATCACAGATGACCTCAATATGACCACCCAACAGTTTGCCACGGCCATCTCAATCCTCTTTGTCGGGTACTTGCCATTCCAAATCCCAAGCAATCTCCTCATAACAAAGATCCCTCGTCCAGGATTGTACATCTGTACTGCGGCTGTCATTTGGGGCGGCATATCAGCTGCTACGGCTGGGGTCCATACCTATGGTCAGCTCCTCGCCGTCCGTGCTATTCTCGGAATCGCAGAAGCGGCATTTTTTCCCGGGGCTATATATTTTCTATCGGCTTGTGTCACGTGCCAGGCAGTCTTATCACGTGAGGTCACGTGATAGAGGCTACTAGTCCTAATTAGGACTAGTATAGTTTGGTGGACTTATCTACCACGCTCACCCCCAAACCCCCTTTGATACTCGATAGCTTCAGAATCTCTACCAATTCATCATCACCTCTCGTCTAATCTTGCCAGGGGCCTTATAGGCCCCTGGTACGTTACAGCTTGGTATACCAAGCACGAGCTTGGAAAGCGTTTTGCTGGCCTTCATATCGCCCAACAGGTTGGCAATGCCTTTGGCGGCCTCTTCGCTGCAGGAATTTTTCAGCTGGACGGCGTACACGGCGTCGCAGGCTGGAGATGGTTGTTCATCATCGAAGGCAGTGCAACAGTTGGCCTTGCAATAATATGCGCCATGATCATGCCTGAGTATCCCCACAACAGCCGCATGCTCTCTCAAAACGAGCGAGATCTTGCCGTTTGGCGCATCGAATCCGAAGCTGGTGCGGCCGAAGGAAATGAGAACGAGAGTGTACTGAAAAGTTTTGTCAAGGCACTGACAGACCCTAAGCTCATCCTGCTCATCCTTTGCAATATGCTCTCACAGGCCCAGGGCTCCATCGCGAATTATTTTCCGACAATCGTTGCCTCGCTCAATTACTCCAGAACCATCAGCCTGCTGCTTACTGCTCCCCCTTACGTCCTCGCAGGCATCGTCTACTACGGTATCATGTGGTATTCAGACAAACGAAATACTGTGTATCCCGTCATTCTTGTATGCATCAGCATCGCTATCACCATGTACATCATCCCGATGGCAACAAGCAGCGTCGGAGCCCGTTATTTCTCATTTCTGATTCTGCCATTCGCTTCCGTCGGTCCACAAATCCTCCTTTACAAAACTATCAATTTGCACCTTGCCCGCCCAGTTGCGAAGCGGGCAGCGGCGTCCGCCCTGGTCAATGCTATTGGCGGCACTTCGAACATCTGGGCCTCATATCTGTATTATGCTCCCCCGAGATTTTATGCAGCCTTTGGTACTTTGATGGGATGCGCCATCTTGTTTGCTGGAGTTCTCACGTTCTATCGCTGGCTAGTGTTGCGCGAGAATATGCGGCTTGATTGGGGCGAACCAGAAAATGTCGCCAAAGTGATGAGGGGTGGTGTCACTGCGGAGATGGTACAGCTGGGATGGAGGTATGAGATGTTCTGAGCTACTTGAGCTGAAACAGGCTGCACAGGACTTCTTGATTATCGACTGGTTTGTACCGCCCTGAAAAGCAATGACAGACTGGGAGCGTTGAGACCCACCATGGTAACAGCTCTATATATCAGCTATTCCTTGAGCTGTGCAGCGATGCTATGGTATACCCTAGGTTATTGTTTTTAAGGCTGACTCGAGGCATTCAACGAATTCAAACCCAAGTCCACATAACTTTGAAGTCGAATTTGACTCGCCACCTGTGTTGCTAGACTCAGGGGCTAGACTCAGGGACTTGAGCTGCCTATGAACACCTTTGAGATGCTGTCTTAACGCATCATGCCTTCTCGCGAATCGTGAAGACTCCTTGGTACGTCGGCCTTGATGATCAAGGCATGGTGTCCAGGTCCGGGCTCAACCCAACACTCTGTTTCCTTCAACTCGGTATCAATATCCTTCTTCTGCTCCGTGGAAAGGTTTCCAGTGGCAAAGCCGCAGAAGATGCCTCGGCGATGGTACCTCTCAACTACATCGTATACATTGCTGCCACTCAATAAATTCGCTGCACCAAACAGTCCTACCGGTTCTTCAGCGAGAATGCTCGGATGGCTCTGCAGGTAGAGGATGAGGTAACCCGTGGAGCAAGATAGAATAGCAAAAATTACTATCATGGTGATTGCGACGGGTGGTACGACATGAAGGCGATTTTCAGCCACTGCAATTGTCCCCAACACCTGAACGGGAGTACCGAGCTCAGGATAAAAGTAAGTTACCGCCAGCATGGTATATATGGCTGGGTAAATGCGTTGGGCGGCATCGATGATGTTTTGGGCCGAGAATGTCCTGTTGGTGATCCTAACACTACGCACGATCAACTCCGCGAGTCGGACCGGGGCATTGGTATTGCCCGCGCTGCTTGTAGCTGGGTTGAACGTTCGGACAGTTATGAGCCCATCTTCAAACTGTTGAGCTGCAATGCCCAATTCTTCGATATCATGAGCTTCGGCATGAAACCTTGGCGTTTCAACGACACGGTCTGAAAAACTGCTGTTGGTGGTTACTACCGTGAGTTTACCACTGGCAGACCAGAAGCTCGGAATGCACGAGACAAGGATCGGGTTCTCCAGTCTGCCAGATGAAGAAAGTGATCCGTAGAAGAAATTAATGCGAGCCCTACCAGCTCCTTCAGGGCAGTCACTGGTTAGACCGGCGTCAAGAAAGTCGTTGCTATCAGCGTTTGCGGCTATGTCCCCTTTTATAGAACAGCCACGGTCCGTTGCAGAATAGCTAGCAGTATAAATATTGTCGCTCTCCTCAGCTACGGCAAAAGTTTTTGACGTAGCAGAAACTTCTTCACAGTCGATGGTGAGCCTGGAAGCATTCACTGGGGCAGACACTGTGAAGTTGGAGTAATATTGCATCGGCGTGAGCCTAGAGAAGGCATAATCACCATCGGTGCCGCGTGGTAAGGGTGACTCATTGATCCACGAGGCTGCAACGAGATCCATAAGCGCCCCATAGTCTGCGTTGGAAAGAGGAGCAGTGGTGTCGAAGAGGGATAAGACGTTGAGAAGTGACTCGCGGGGAAGCAGTTCTTCTCGAACAGCGAAGAGACGTGCAGTGAGAGGTACAAGAGCGAGTGCCTCGACGAATGAGAGAACAAGGCAGACACTCAACAAGTAGTGCTTGTTCTTCAACGCCTTCCACCAAGCCACGATTGTAAAGGATGTTCGATAGTCTAAATAGACAGACTTTCCCATCGCTACCTTCTCCCCAAACCTTTGGGTAGCCAGTTCGATGTAGGGTGTTTCGAGCACAAGTGCCGTTCTGACAGCATCGCGAAATAGTTTGTACAGGCCGATGATAAAAACTGGGAGAGCAGTCCACAAGAGGCCATAGCCCCAGTCCAGTGCACCTTCGAAACTGGAGAAATCCACAGATCTTTCCTCGAAGCCAACGTTGACAAAGCCAGTGCGTTGCCCAGACAGGACCAACAGCGTAATGATTGCAACAATGAATACCAGTTCAGTGAGCAGAAGAAGAGGTACACACCAAGGCTGTAGTGTGACCGACCTCCATCTTTGACGACCTGCAGGAAGTGCAGAGTGGTTGTGCGTGCTTTTGTGAAATCTCATGGTTGAGTCTTTGCCTGCTCAAGACTGTAGACCTGCAGATGTTCAAGACGTCGAGCGTACTGTCTGAATTCAACGCATTTGCCTGCCACGGCGTGGATGGGAAAGAGTTAGCAGTATCTGGAAGCCTTGAATTTGATACGGTGAGTGAGCTGATTTCTCCGGTCAGTGCACTGGGGCTCATGAGGTGCGGTGTTCACGATCATCCATACATTCTCGTCAGTTCGAGTCAAATCCAAAATGTGAACAGCCTGAAAGTGATCTCGTATAATTGTCTTGGAGTCTTGGATCCTTGAGTTGTCCTTCAATGGGAAAGAAGTGCTTCAAATCTGGCCCGCATGAATACGATGCACCACAAAAGCCTGAACACGAACTGTGTCTTTGCTGGAATTGGACAGCCAAGAAGGCAAACCAGATCGACGAACACGATGAGACAATTTTGAAAGTTTGGCCTGAGACTCGAGGCAAAGACAGTGCCCACCACCTGTTCATTGTCTTCCTCCCTCAGCAGGACGTGAGGCTTGAAGATCTACAACTGTTTACTCTATAATATCTTGCAAAGGCTCACTTTGCCAGTACGCCATCATATGTCATCGCTCGCAGAAATATGAGATTGTTCAGTGTTGTTCTCTTGTTTGGGAGTGTGAGATATCGGGGCTCTGTCATCGCCCAGGCTCTTGAACAAACGGCAATCAGTATACCACCAGAATCCTGCCTTGACCCGATAACGATGAGCAGTTGTGGAGCTTTCTATGACAAACTCATAACTTGTGGCGAGGCAAGCAACACCGCGGCGGCAATCAGCTGCTATTGCCCCCAGACTGTCTTGGACTTACTGGCCGGGTAAGCCTCGCAAGAAACTTATTCAAACAGCAATCTAAAGTCTAGGTCAGTTGCCGGCAAGAGTGGTGGAATTGCTGGAGGACCACTGCTGTTGACCAGATATTCCTTGGTACGGACGGCCTTTTCGCTGGCTGGTCGACAGCGTGTGTGGAAGCAGATGCTTTCGAGGTGCTAAGCTACTCGCCAACCACCATGTCAATCACAACCCCATTCCTGGTAGAGAATGTCTTGTGTGGTGATCTGGCGAATGACTGCGATCGCTTGACAGTCTCTACGAGCTCCTGTATTCGCAAGTTCACAGCATCCGCGAGTGATAGTGAGGAATTCTCAACTTGCATGTGTAACGAGGATATGTTGTATCTAGCGTCACGATGCGATATCGATGGGGGGGTTAGCTGTCTTCTAAGTACGCCGGCCTCTACCGATCTCTATTCGTATCGGACCTGTCGTGGTTTTGAAGGAATTTCAACCACTGGTGCGAGGACTACAGCAAGGATGACTTCTACTTCAGTGGGTGGTAGCTCTGTGACGGCCACATACAGTCCAGCGGCTCCTTCCAGTACGACATCTCTAGGGGAAGCAGTGACTTCGTCCGTCTCCAGTAGAGGGTACCCTAGGAGTCTCGTGTGGGATGGGCTTGCTGAGACCGTCTTCATAGTTGTTGCGGCGATATCAGCGATTTGACTGCTCATAGAGTGTGAATTGAAGCATTTGTAGTTGATAACTCGAGAGGGGATTGTGAAACTTCACCAAGGTCAACCGAGTAACTGTTGTCGTCTCTTATGATAGACGGCAAGACATTGTCACATAGACACCCAGAATAAGACATGCATATGAGAAGGAACTCCGTAGCTGGCCCTTGGCGCTCAACTCGAACCCATAGGTAGTCAGTACTAGTCTGCTGTAATAATGAACGATTCGATCACCAATAATGGCAATTTAGCCCTTGTCGGCAGCAATTTAGCAATTTCATGAACATAAACTTGTTCATTCCCCCTTTGCCAGCAATGTAGTTGACTATTTTGCTAGAAATGTGACTCCTGCATCAGGTTCATAGCAATCAGTCCCATCGTTCCAACAATTGAGTGCCTCTTCGACCCCAATCTCATATGCGGTTGCACAGGTATACCACCAGGATGAGACCAAAACAGCGCTCTCTTCATCAAGGTCGCCACAGAGAATACATTCTGTGGCTGCATACAGACCACTCTCATCACCTAGAACTTCACTGCCACAAACACATCCAATAGGAGTTTCATCATTGAACAAGCCCCCTCCGTAGACGGGCGCACCAGTGACGTTGAAGCAGTATGACAGAGAGGTCGTAATATCCCCACATGGATAAGCCAATGGGCAAGGGATATCGGTCTCAGTCTGTGGCATCGGACTGCCAATTGCCAGACCACATAGGCTGATGAATGGTATAACTGTGGTGAATTTCATGCTAATGACGGTAATTAGTTGAGATTGGTCCAACATAGGAGGCTTCATACTCGTGAAATCGAAGAGAAAGACTTTGTTTATCGCTGTCGATTTATATGCTGAATCTGATACGATATGTGAAGTGCTGCTACTTAAATGCTGTCCCAAGATCGAATGTTAGGATGCACAATATCTGAGAGATTGTAAGGCCTTCTTTATAGATACCAAGTCGTGACTGCATTTCAGCTCTCTCAAGAAGAGTCCCAGCATAAACCGATCAGATGATATGCTCGTATCAGCCGCCTGGCCAAGCTGCTTGGAGACAACTCTGCCCATATGCTGTGTCATGCGGCGTGAGGCTGAACAACACTCAGGCAAGCCCTACCGATGTGGGTGTTTTCTTTCTGGATTTCCATGATACGAGACTCAGCCCTCACACGTATACTCGATGATTGATCCTGACTCAAAGCACAATTTTTTTGGGCAGATTTTTGAGCTAGTATTCTTCAAAACCGAGGTTCTTGTAGGCAGAGAGATGGGAGCTTTTCATTGACAAGGCGTGCAAACGGCCCTCTTGATCATAGAGTAGACTGACCGACTCTTAATATGGCCTTCAGTGTACACCGTATAATAGTGCCATGGTACACACTGTAATTTCGTCGAGAACTATAGAGGTAAACTCTAAGCAAGGCTGATATTTGGCCGCACCCGGTCGGCTCGGATTTGTTGCTATTTGCGATCTCGACTGCCCTGTAAGTTCAGGGTCCGAGGTTTTAGTTGAAGCACGGTCTGTTCTTTCATGCGCTGAGCGGCATAACCATTGTCAACTGCATCGACACAACAAATGAAGAGATGCAGGCCGCAGGATATTCGCCAAGATAAGGGCTGCATGAGGAGCTGAAGATGTGGACGGAGGCAAGAGGAAATCCTTTCGTATTGCGGACTTGGCATGGTAATGACCATTGCAGCGTTTGGCATTCGATTCTTGCCGGCTGCCCACTGAGGCTGAGCCTAGTATGGCCCAGAGTAATAACGACGAATGGGTAAAGCTATGTGCATGCGACCACATCTCACAAATCACGTCCGCGGCTTGCAGGAGAACATACTACTTGTGACATGAGATTGGGAGGATTGATTCGTATCTCTCGGGCGCCGGATGCCACGCAAAAGATGGGCTTTTCCCACATTCGTACCGAGGTTTATGGTGACATGCCAGAATGTCTCCGCTACGTCTGTAAGGTGTACCCACCCAGCCTGGAGAGGAGGAAATGTTGCTCTTCCATCCAGGATTGACAAACGTTCATCATGTCATCACTATAATGAGGTCGAACAATAGAGTTGTGGCTACGAATAAATACGAGTGAGCTGGGGAGATGATAGATTTGAGTGGACTGAAAAAGAGGTATCGCGCGCTCACAGGTTGACGTACGTTGCCCAGGTATTGCTCTCATGTCTCAAACGACCTACGAAGCGTGAGCAGCTTTGCGAACTCAAATGTCATAAGATGCGCATAATGTGCCTAGCTTCGGGCTTCTGGTCTCCAATACCACCGAAGCATCATGGCATCGAAGTTGGATACCCCGAAAATTAACAGTTGGTTGAACTATGCGACATATTCGAGGATCCTGATCCCATAGTCCTCCCTCCCGGCAGTTGATATGAAAAACTCCACTCTAGTCTCTATTCTACGCAAGTCGGGATAAATACACCGGGGAAATTCGCATACTAATGCTGTGATCTAAAGACCTTACGACTTGCTTCATTTGGTGTTCGTAGATCTTGAAGTTGTTACATGATGACATCAGACACGGCTCAACGATCCAGGGGTAAAACAGGCGGCGTGGAACGGTGCGTTGAACGGGAGGCCTGACGACGCTTCGCAGGCTACCATGATGGGACATGACAGGCTATAAAACAAGCACTTCCAAGGATTCATTCGAAGATGCTTGTCAAGATCGCAGATTTGGGCTACAATACCATGTCTTCTCGTTGCACTCTACGCTTTTGGCAACGAGGGGCTGCAAGCGAAGCATTGCAAGCAATAGATGACCAGGTTCACGACCGAACTGATTGGCCGAGCTAGAGTTGAGGGCGCATTGCTGGTCGGCATGCAGCTCCTGTCAGTCTAGCATCGGCGCTTTGGACGGATTTGGTGGTTGTGCCATACACTACCATGGCGTGTTGTACTTGATGCATAAATACTTGATGTGTATCTGATCCAGCTTGGGGGAGCTTGAGGACAGAGCTCATGGCCACGAGGAGTCCAGCGATGGCACATAGTTTGCCTATAATGGAAGCGACGAACGTGCCAACGGGCACGCACAGCGACAGTACCAGTCCTCAAGTTCCCTTGCATAGCACTCCTCAGGCTCCTGTGGAAACCGACCCAGCACATCAGGGACCAGACGGACCAAGTGCAGTGCCAGTAGACAACACCCAGCAAGAACCGCTTTTACCGACAGTGACCCAAACACCAATTAATACACATAGTGCGCCAACCTCCCACAACAGAAGAAAGGAACTACTCATGTCATCATCTTGGTGGTGGTGGGAGATTGGCGGGGCTGTTGTCGCACTTACCAGCCTGTTCGCGACCATTGCTGTCCTCGCAGTCCTGGACAATAAATCAATTGATGATTGGAATCGCAACATACAGCCCAGTGCACTCCTCTCTACGCTCTCGACCATCGGAAAAATGGGTCTAGCACTGGTGGTAGCATCTTGCGTCTCACAGTTGAAGTGGTCACACTTCCAGACACCGAACTGCCTGAGCCATATTGATGTATTTGACGAGGTGGAGCTGGTCCTTGGGGCGTGGCGAAGATGTTTATCAAGACTAGGAGACATCTGCTGAAGAAGGGTCCGAACTTTATGATCGCACTTCTGGGCCTCATCACGCTTGGGGCATTCGCCATCGACCCTATGATCCAGCAGATCTTGGACACCCCACAGCGAGAGATTGCGTTGAACAATGTCACCGCGTCGATGATGTCCAATAGAGGATATACTTCTCTTGCTGTGGACGATAGAAACACATTCGACGACGAAAACAATGCCCGAGGTAAGCTCAAAGAACACCTTGCCTTCTCCTACTAACATGGCTTTTTTTCAGCAAATGGAACTCGATTACTTGCCCTAGAGACTAGTTTTCTCAATCAATTGACCAGCACGACCTATCTGCCACGTTTCGACTGTACGTTCCCCAGAACCCACTGCGAGTTCAATGATATTACAATGCTCGGCCTATGCAGCAACTTTTCAGATGTCACTGATATCACCACGCATGAGTGTGAGCAACACGCCTCAGGCGTACGTGATCCGGCTCATTTCCTCACTTGCAATTTCACGGTCCAAGGCGTGATAACCTACCGCAACTTGACCCTGAATTTTGGAGCAGGAGATCTGGGCACCGACGTCGGCTACGTGTACGATAACTTCCGTTCAATACTTGAAAACCTCGAGTTACTAGATGATCCGCCTGTTGTCCATCAACCGGTGAATGTTGCTCGCCTGTTCACCATAAAAGTCGTTGGAACTGTCAACGGCAATGACTTCCTCGATGACACGTCACTCGGCATACCGGAAACACGGGTGACAATGACGAACTGGTATTGGTGCCAACAGAATTACTCGAAGGTTGTATTCGATGGACGTAGTGGCAGTATCTCTGAAGCCAGTGGCTTCAAGACGGCCCCGCTGCTGTTCGCTCCCAGAAGCGGCATTTTACCCAACGAATACATATTTGCCTCGAACGAGGAGTTGGCTTCATTTTACGACGGCTCCTCACTTCAGGAGGTGCAAGGCTCATACTCGACCAACTTCTTCCGCGTCAATATGCACAGTCTCTTCGGTCTTCTTGACACCAAGTGGCCACAGTACCTGGACCCCAGTATTAGGGCCACACTACATCCGCAAGTCTCGGTGGGCTCGAATTACGTTAATAATGGAGATTATGTGCTTGATGCTATCGGCATGGCCAGCTTCATGGTGAACGCTGACATCAGTCAACTAGTCCAGAATATAGCCACGGCAGTGACGAACCAAGTGCAACTGAGTGCGTACAATTCAAACAACAACACGACGCAAGGTACCGTATATGCAATTGTCCCATATTACCATGTGCGCTGGGGATGGCGTGTGCTGCCATTACTGGAAGCTGTGGCTGCCGCCGTATTGCTGTGCGTCACTATCTGGCTCAACAGATTGCCGTTGCTGAAATCATCAAACGTTGGGCTGCTGGCGCATGGTCCTGAAGATGCAGTTTCCTACCGAGTGGCCGGTTTGGAAACGGCGAACAAGTGGGTGACATTTGGTGATCAGACCACGGTGATGCTGCTGGAAGATGAGAAAGGATGGACCAGGCTGACCCCAAGCTGACATCTGAATAGTTTCACCCTTTGCTTAGGTTCGCGAAGGTGCTCCTCCGGCATGGGTGGGAGTAACATGGAGAGAGCTATGCCTAGGGCCTGATATGGTGTATCTTGTTTATGTCCAGGCTGAACAGCGTGCAACTTGAAGTTCAAAAGACCATTAAAGCGGCAGCGAGGAAAGGGTGGATGTTTCCCCAGCCTTGGCATCGTCATTCCGATTTTCTCCTGTATTTCTCGCTTTCGTATCCCCTTTCGAGTGTATCTCATGATAGTACATCTGATGTTCCTCATCTGAACCCGGGGATGAGATGGATAGTCATGATCACACAAGTAGATGCATGTTCACTCTTCCACAATCTGGTGATGTGATTGCGGGGAGGCGGAGGATGGGATGATGCGCTCAGAGCAACCGTGTTTGCACGCTGATACCTGTTCTGTCGTTATACCAGTAGATGATCGTGAAACTGCGGATTAAGTATCGGGTGTTCTATAACAAATAGTACTTCTGATCACAGTGTTTGCATATCAGGAACAATTTTCCTCCGGCCCATGATCACGTGACTGCTAGATATCCTCGGAACGGAATAAGCATGAACCGAGCAACCGTTATCGCTTATCATTTTGCGGCAACCCACACAGAACCCACCAAGGGACTCAGGCACCGAAAAGGCAACATCATCCACCAAAGCTCAAGGCTGGGCAGATGCACTTTACACCTTAGCACAGATCCCAGCCGCAACTCTCCGTCTTGAGGTAGGATTTCTGCGATTACTGCCACTGCCACTAGTCCTCGACAATACTTTGGGTACTTCTGGCTTTTTTCATCTCGCAATTTTACTTCTGCTTCTAAATCCTTCTTGTATCACTAGCTGAGACGCGCATCTGGACACCTGCCTGCGAGTTGCCAGCAACCCGAGTATAACCTCTGCTTTCACGTGCCTCCTCTCCAAAGTTTCTCGAGAAATAACGTTGGTCGTCCCTTGGATCCATTCAACTGCAAAGGCCACTTTGTCACATTTGACTGCGATCTTTTACAGTCCTCCTCCGTTGCTCTTAGTTCTTTGCGCACCGAACACTCCCCGCCTTTACAACGACGACAAGATGCCCGCCACGAGTTTCGCAACCTTCCTCATCATCACCCGTAAGAACCCCGCCCCGCTCCAATGCAAAGACAGCCTTGAAACTAACCCAAATTTCCCTCTATTAGCTGTCGCTTTCTTCCTGGGCATCCTTTTCTCCCTCTTCCCATATGACTATCCTCTCCTATGGAGCACCGCGGCCACCCCCGCCTCCCACTTCGATGCCATCGAGACCCATCTGAAGCTGCTCCACAATGCGCCGAACCTGATCCAACGGATTCTGCACATTATGCTCGCGATGGGCTTGGTGGGCCTGATTATGAAGCTCTACAAGCCCAGTGAGAGTAATATGCTCTTTGACGGCGGCAGTCTCGTCCTGTACATGGTCGCTGTCATTGTCTATCTTGCCAACATCATCAAGGGCCTCAGAATCGTCAGCGATGGCACCTACGGCCTGGGTCTAAAGGACCTGAATCAGGACCAGTTGGACAATGTCGATACATCTGGATATGATGTTGATACCGGGGATAGCGTCTTGGGTCGCGAAGATAACCTCAAGGTCTTGGCCGCTAGCAACACCATTCTGGCCTTGGTTCTAGTCGGTGTCCTGGTCCTGCAGGTGGGTCAGTGGTACGCTGATCGTACCGACGAGCAAACTCTCAAGGAGTTCAAGGCTGCCGAAGAGAAGGAACTCCAGGCGAAGAAAGCGGCCGAGTCTACTGGGCCCAGCGTTAAACGCCAGACCAGTGGCTCAGAGGGCAAGAAGACGAGATAGATGGGATGGAAGGTCCTCCGGCAAATGGTCGCTGGAGTTTGCATAACTTGGGAAGCAGTAAATATTTGAAGGTCGCAGGGTCCTATGTAACGGGACATGACATGTCGTGCGTTTCAATGGCCAGAAATGCACGCATTGGATATATGGAGATGTGAACCTTGACAAAGGGCAATCCGCCTTTCGAGAGTGGTTGATATGATTTCACCCATCAAGCCTGACAAATGCGTGGTGGGAAAAGATGCCTGTGGATAATCAGACGCCCTGGCAAGCCACATCCTAACTTGGGCGACTATTTCGTCTTATGTACATCAAATGTACAGCGTTCTTGTGACAGTCCTTTACGGTGGTACTTTTCCACGCCTTGAAGCCTTGTCAAGAGACAATATCATGAAGCTTCTTTTTTAAATCTCTTTATCAAAAGTCCTCTTTTGCACAGACGCTCTTGCCATGTATCCTCCAGAATTCGAGCGCTTGCAACAACCCACGCTCGAAAGTCATGGCCCCGAGAACCACCAGCACATGCATAATTTGGTGACTGCTGGCCCAGATGTCAAATGTACGAGGAAACCATCTTTCTGGAATGCGTGCAGCATAGATGGCGGCACCCGTGAAGTTCAAGAATCCAAGTCCTAGAAAGTGATTCAACGACATGCGACGATTGACTTCCTGATATCCGTAGACAAAGAGACCGTGAATTATGGGGAAGAACGTGGATGCTCCAAGGAAAGTGTACATATGAAATCGAGCCTTTCGATAAGTTGGTTGGCGGAATTTTGGTCGTAGGGTGAAGACGGCCGACGCGACGGCAAAGATGGTGCTGAGGATCCAATAGAATGTGCGCAGGTTAGGGTGGCAGTAGAATTCAAAGAATGTGCCGGGCATGGTCGAACCATATATCACAAAAACAACTCCCAGGTGATCGAGTTCATTCCCAAACTTGTGGACCTCCTTGGAGTGGTTGGACAGTGTGTGATATGTGGTGGAAAGGACGAAGCAATTGACCACCCCAACGTAGTAGACGCTGACAGCGATGATATCACTCAATTCTGCTGATGAGATCTGAGGCCATACCAAACGGTGGAAGCGAATGAGCGATACGGCGAAAAGAAGAGCTCCAATCAAGTGTGACCAGATATTACCCGTTTCATTGTGAAGAGCGAAAATTGACTTGATGGAGCGTAAGTATGAGTTGGATTGTCTTCGATAGCCCGTCAAGATATATTCATTATCTTTCATCCATTGCTCTAGCTGTGCCCAGTCGATGAGTCCTTTTTCGATCGGCCCAGCCTGCTTGTTGGGTGGCATGGTCTGTCAACTTTAGCCTGCACTCACCCATTCAAAGGTATGTTAAAGTCGAGATGTTTGAATAAATCTTCAGTCCGCGGCTTGCCTTGGAGCTCTTAAGACAAAGTCAGACACCGATAAATTAGCAACCAGGGAGTGGAAGAAATAATCACATGCAAACAGTGTAGCATACGTCTGAGCCACTAATACCGGCCACCTGCAGGCAAGGGGAGCCATTTATTTAAGCGCTTAAAATTCGCTGCATGATTGGTGAAGACAAGAACATAACAAACAGTTCGTCTAGAGATTGCAAACTTGAAACTCCTCAGACCACTCAAGACAGCTGGCGCTTGGAAAAGAACTTGGTCGTTGACCTTGAGCTCAGCCTCCAGACGATCAACGAGCCAACGATCAATAGATGTTCGTGCTGGATGGGCGGCCTGTGCAGTATCAATATACTTCTGGTCAGACCTGTTTCGAGTTGCTGATCGGGCACATACGTACTAGAGTTTCAGCCACACGGAGCAGGCGCCATTAAAAGTACAACCTTCAAGAGCACAATGCTGTTGAATAAGAAACAGCGCCCCTACAATGAGCTCAGACATTGATGATTGTCGTACAGCAAAGAAATAGTATCCCTTTCTGACAGACAGATATGTTGCTAAGCTTATTACTATATTTTTCGACCATCTCCTCATCCTCAGCCTTGCCAGTCAACTCCTCAGATATTACGAGCACCACTTCCAGAATTGTTGGCTACATCTCGGACCCCTCTGGGAGAGGAACTCTGACGTTGGTGTTTTCATGTCTCCTGACCCTCGTGCTGTGCGTTTGGTCGGCACTGCATCTGAATGTGCCGCCAGCAGGAAGGAGCCATCGTGAAACGCTGTACACGAATCTGCTGTGGATCACTGCAGGAGTTTATGCTCCAGAGCTAGTTGTCTTCACCGCATGGCGTCAATGGAGCTCAGCGCGAATACTTCTCAAAATTGTGGAACAGCATTCTCGAAGGGAGAACGGAAGTAGAGAAGGCTCCCAGCTGAGGCATCAATGGACGATGACGCACAGTTTTTTCGCCTCAACTGGAGGATTTGCAATTGACTGCCAGCCCTACATTGCGGAAGTCCCAGCACAACTAGGACAAGACATAATGCTACCACAAGAAACATCCACCAGACTCACCCTGACGGCAAAAGGAATGAAATTCTTGGCTGAGCGAGGTATTATTCCAGACATTCCGCGGGAGGATATTGAAGATAAAAGCAAGGCGGATGCACTAGCAAAGATGTTGGTGTTGTTGCAGGCATCATGGATGCTGCTACAGGTTCTTGGTCGACTGTTAGCACACCTTCCGGTCACACTGCTTGAGGTCAACACTGTGGCCCATGTGTAAATCTTCCCGGAACATATCATACTCAAAGACTAATGTTCAATAGACTTTGTGCGCTGGGCATGTACGCGATGTGGTGGAATAAGCCTCTCCTCGCCAAAGAACCTATACTTGTCAAATCAGAAGCCATTACTGGGCTGTTACCGTTCATGTATATGAGCAGCGAAGTTAGTGGTCGGGTAGATCCAGAGCAGATGCAATCACAGACGATTGTCAAGACACTATTTGCGTACCTGAACCTTTACTCGAAAGTTCCTGAGATAGAATACGTGTGCTGTCGACAAACACGAGGGGAGATCCCTGCCAGCACAGTACCAGCAAGCAACGGCTTAGACAGCTCGAAGATGATCGTGAGTCAGATCAAGGGGCAAGACTGTCAAAGAATTGGACCTGAGTGTCAAGAACTGCGGGCGTTCAGCATGGGGCTAGAGAACACGACTGCATTCTTTGAACGGCGACCCCGTGTTCGAATCGCCACAGAAAAGTATTTCGCAAGCAATGATACCGCCGACATTCGAATCGCTCGGCTGAGTGAGATGTTGAAGATCGAAGACCCGATAACTCTGCAGAACTTTTCGCACAAAATCGCAGTCAACACGACCTGCATCCATTTTAAGCCCGAACAGCTCCTTGTCAAGTACAGTCACAATTGGCCGAGCGATGAGCTCCTTCGAAGCGTGGATGGATTGGTAGTCGGCATGGTCCTCTGGCTTGCCAATTTCCTGTACGGAAGTCTCCACGCCGCAGCTTGGAACGATCATTTCCCATCAATGTTGGAAAAATGGCTCTGGCGATCGTCGGCCATTTACATTGCCTTTTGTGGTGGTCTCTGGGTGATTCTCAACTATATGGTCAAAAGTTATAAGCGATTGAATGAGTTCTGGGAAAAGTGGATGGATGGTGAGAAATCGTGGCTGCAGAATGTGACACTCGGCACGATTGTCGTGATATGTGGATTTAGCCTTATGTTTGCTAGGGCATATATCGTGGTCGAGGCGTTTCTGAGTATTCGCCAATTGCCAGCATCCGCGTATGAGACACCATCGTGGAGTCAAATCTTTCCTCATTTCTGAGGAGAATCTTGGGTACATAACAGCTGGGTGGTCATCTCTTTGAGCCTGCTACATGCATCTGTGAGGAGAACAGTAGGGAATGCAGGTTCTCGAGAGTTGCAGTATATCAAAAGACAGCCTTCCTCCGGGAATATTTCCAGCACCCAGACCTGAAATTCATTGATCTCGTTAGTCACGAGGCTAATAAAAATCTATATTGTGTATCTTTAAACTGAAGAATATACCAGCGACCAAGCTACATATACTAAGTCTAACTAAAGTAGATATACAATAGTAGTATTTATAGTATACTTTAAGTCTTTATTTTACAACTAGAGATCATTCGAGATTCTGGTGCCATTGGGTCCCTTGTACAGCGTCCCCCGTCGCCAGACGTGCGTGATGTTGACTGGATTCACCAGAACGTTGATATCCTCTAGTGGGCTGCGAGAAACGGCGATGAAATCAGCGTCAAATCCGACGGCAATTTGTCCAGACCGTGGCGCCTGGGCACCGAGGGTCAGCGGTCCGTTGGCGGTGGCAGCTTCGATTGCGGCCAGGGGAGACATGCCTGCTTCGACAGCCAGGCTGAGTTCCAACGCGTTCTGGCCGTGTGAGGCGGGGTGGCCCCGGAGGCTCAGTCCCAGGTCTGAGCCTAGGGCCATCTTGACCCCGTGCTGGATCGCCAATTGGCATGCATGTTTCAGATGCTTGCTGGCATCGATCATCTTTGTTGCGGATGTCGCGGACAGGCCGCTTCGGAGGACCTCGTGGAGTGTGCGAGTGGGGACCAGGATGGCGTCTTTCTCCTTCATCAGTGTAACACATTCGAGATCCAAATATGTCCCGTGTTCGATTGTCCTGGCCCCAGCCCTCAGGGCGGCCATGATTCCAGGCTTTCCATGACAATGGGCAGCGACAATCCGGTCGCTGAGGGCAGCTTCATCGACAAAGGCTTGGATTTCCTGGGCGGAGTACTGCTGGTGCTTTGGGTCGTCATTCTGGCTGAGGACTCCGCCACTCGCACAGATCTTGATGAATTTGGCTCCTTTCCGGGTCTGGAGCCGAACTGCCTTTGTACATTCGTCGACACCATCGCATAGATGGACCTGCAGGCCTCGATTGCAGGAGGCCTGCCAGGTGGAGAGCGGGATGTCGTGAGCATCTGCATGGCCCCCAGTGCAGCTGATCACGGAACCGCACGAATAGATCTTTGGACCTATGCAGTAGCCATCTTCGACCACCTGGTCGAGGAAAATGCCGTTTCCGCCGCATTCTCTGACCGATGTGTATCCCGCATTCAAAAGCAATTCCAAATCCCTCACGCTGCGCGCCCCGGACACGATTGGATTCAACTTCCAAAGACTACTGACCCCATCGGCCATACCAAGAAAGTGGACGTGGCAGTCCCAGAGTCCTGGCATCAAAACGGGCAAATGAGTCTCATCGAGAGAGTTATAGCAATCTGGGATGTTCGACTGCTGTCCGACGTAGAGAATTGTCTTGGTGTCGTAGACAACAGCCGCATTGGAAAGAGGATCACCACGACCAGGGATCAAGAGATCGGCTTTTATGACATGCACCGAGCCATTGATCGTCCCACTAGCCTTTCCAGCATCAGTCGTCATGTCCGCGTTTGCGATGCGTGTCGGAAGTTGATCGGAGGAGTAGATGCGCCAGGATCAGGCCGGACTTGGGTACTCCAGTGTCCGAATGGACGAATTTCAATCTCTCATTCATCAATGCTCAGGATTTCAATAAGAACACACTAGATATATGTTTGAAAGTCGAGACATCTGGGTGATCACGACCGCAAAAGGAGACATACGCTAAGCCTCGCTTGGTTGTTTCTTTTTCGATGGTTAATCTACTGGTCCGCGCTCCGACCACATTTAGAGACACTCTGGAAGGTCGTCTCGGGCTCCCCACTTGGCTCTGGGCTGTTAAAGCCTCGGCAGGCGTGGCTCAAGCTGGTGATGAACACGTTGGCAGGTTGGAGGAACGCTGTTTGAGATCTAGACACGTTGGAAGGTGTTGCCGCATCGAGGCCTCGGTATTCATCCGTTATGCACGCGGTTCGGCAGAGCTCGATCCGATATCAATGTGTGTGGTTTGCCTGGTTCAATACACCGATGAACCGTGAGCTTGTTCTCTCGTGTATGAAATCCAAAATGGATCCGTCGCTTTGCATCACAAGATCCTGCACTGTCTGGGTATGAGAGAATTCTGGGGCAGGTTTCCTGCGCACACCGAGACGTCCAGAGAGCGAGCTTAGAAGAGAGTTCGGAAACCGCAACATCATCTTCCTCCGAGTGAACAATTATCCCTCGGTGAGCCGGCAGGCGAAGATTGTTCCCATCATTCCTGAGACTTTCTCTTCTTCTGCTCCCATATTACGAGTCCGTTCGCTGGAAAGGATGCAAAATAAGAAGCAACCTTGCAGTTTGAATGACCGCCTCCTCTCTTATCCTCGCCGATGGACTGCTTTGTTCTTGACATGTTAAACCACAGAAGGGCTTATATCTACAGTCGTACCGAAATGTCAAGGATGGATTTTGTAGGATCTTGCCGAAGCTGAAGGACGCCACCGTGAAAGTAGTATTCTACCAGAGTCATTCAGACATGACCGATTACAAGCTAAGCATTTCTTTGAGGTCCATGGGCTAGTCGTTGGCTAACACACTCGTGTGTCTTCTTTGCCGTAAAGATTGGCCAGACGGTTGAAAATGAAAAGAATTGCTTCCATACATGTAATTTAGGTTGTATATGCATGACAATGGCTGCCTATGGAGCTCTCCTCGCCAACCATCACTCATCTGGTTGTTCTAACATCTCTTCCCCATCCTGCCCCATCATACCGGTTTCACCTTCACATTTTCAAGTCCACCCTCTTCAAGGACGGCGCCCCTTACAACTTGTATTCAAAGTTGAGGGCACGATCGCCCATCAAGCCATTGTCGGTCACGCCCTCACTGAGCAGTTTTTTCTTCTCGTTGTTTCTTTTGAGGAGGAGAAAATACATGCCCACCACGCCGATCACGACCATAACAGCAAATGACACACTGATCGAGTTACCCCGGACGAAGCGTGGCGCATCGTCTTGCTGGTAGATGTACGACGAGGAAATGCCGGAGATGTTGGCCAGAGAGACGAGCGCTGGAAGAGCGACCGACCTTTTGGAATCCGGGGCGATGTTATTGGAAAGCCAAGTCAAGAAGATGCACGTGAAAGAGATCAGGCCTAGAGAATCGGTCAGTAGCTGTCGTGGAGGAACTTGCGCGGGGAAAAACGTAAGAGCAGGGCCAACGCCTCATTCCCCACACGTATCCACCCGATTGTAGGACCGGAGCTGAGGTGTGTTGGTTGGTTCTTACCGGCTGCGCATAGGAACATGCCAAAATAACCGGCTGCTCTGTTGGCAGTGCCGATAGCTATGGAATAACCAACGATGGGGAAGAGCGGAAGGATGGCGAGGATGATACCGCGACGCTGGAGCCGGTCGGAGACGTAGGCAGCGGACATGACTACAATTCCGGTAAAACCGTAGATTGGGATAGTCAGATAGTTGGCCTGAACGCGAGTGTAACCCATGCCGGCCAAGATGGTGGGCAGAAAGACGGCATAACCCGTAACGGCGGAAGCGTTGGAGAAGAGGATGAGGCCAGCCAGCCAGACGAGGGGCTCAAGGCAGGCCACTTTGAAGGTAGCCCAGGTGAACAGGGCTTCGCCCTTGTAGACGATTTCGCGCTGCTTCTTGGCCATCATGGCGGATTTTTCGCGCTCGGACAGGAACCAGGCGTCTTCGGCCGACTTAGGCAGGGAGATCCAGCAGATCATGGCGAGGCCGGTAGAGACGACACCTTCCACGATGAACAGCCACCGCCAGGACTCGAGACCATGCCGTTCGCCCGAGATCTGGATTGCGTAGGCGATGAGGCCACCAAAGGCGCCCGATATAGAGCTGGCGATATAGACAAACCCGACTCGCTTGGCCTGAGACTCACGTGGCCAGATAGTGGAAATGATGAAGATCAGGCACGGGACCAAGGCCGCCTCGAATATACCTAGCAGCACACGAGTGGCGATCGCCTGGCCGTAGTTATGGATGAAGCCTGTTCCCAGAGTGACCACACCCCAGCCGAGCCCGGCGACCGCCAGGACCCGATGGATGCCAAAGTATGGCACAGCGACGACCCAAGGAATCTCAAACACGATGTACGTGGGTGAGAAAACCATGGCGATGTCGTTGAACTGCGAGCCCGTGAGACCAATCGACGCTGGATTTCGGTCAGCATACCGCGAGTCGCGCGTAGCCGATGGGCATATCACATACTTTCAAACCCCATCACCCTGGCATTCCCGATGTTGATGCGGTCAAGGGCTGCCATGATGCCAATCATCATGATCTGCGGTAGCAGAATCCAATCAAACTTGCGCAATGCAGACTTCTCGGCAGCAAAGTCAGCCAATTCATCGTTCGAGAGCTCGTTTTTGACATCCAACTCTTTGTCGTTTTGCTTCTCTGAGCTCGCCCGTTCAGCAGAGACCTGGACAAAAGCTTCATCCCTGTCATTAGACTTCGGGAAGGTGGTAACGGCAGGCACGGCCATGGCGTGTGCGTATATACTCGTCTGCTTGGAGAAGACGAAGAAAGTAGTCTCAGGCCCGTCACACTGGAGGAACAAGAGAAAAGGGAGGTCCGCTTACTGATCTGGAAAGTTCTGGTAGTTGATGTCTTGTTCTGACCAGGTGCGTGTGATCGCATTTGTACTTTGTAGATTGATATCGATGGCTCTTGGCCATTCAAATACACTCGTCTATCTCACAGTGATATCTCTAGACCTGATTCTTATCATCGCGTACGATGCCTTCTCTGTCTCTCGATTGTAACCAAGGCCTCTGGTATAGGAGCTGGTTTGATTGGTGCGCTGGCTGTGGAGACGCCTCTAAGGTCTCCACCAGATTCATAGTCCCCCATTGGCTGACCTTCCAACAATCTCTGGGTTCCGGCCTTAGCTTCATCGCGTTCAGTTTCCAGCGTGTCTATCTTTTGCCTCCCAGGCTCAACGATAGTGGACCGCACCGACTTACTCTCCCACCACGAACCTACATCCACGACAACGACTGTCCGGTCACTATTGCGGCGAGATTGACTTACACTTCTGAGATTGGCTCGCGCCCTTACATCTTCGCCCTCCCAGCCCGAATTATCACAACAGCGGTTGGCTATGCGACTTCGCTGAGGGTAGGATGATTGTGTCTAACTTCTTGCCCCTCCAGAATACTGGAGAGATGGATGATAAATGGTGGCAACTATTGGCTCTTCCCCAACGCAGGGCCATCTCTCGATTGAGAACACATAACTCTTATCATTGAGTTAATCTCCTATCTGTTAAAATTCTACCTCAGGCCCGCATGGTCGAAGCGTTTCTCTAAATCGACAACATCTGAACTAGGGGATCTTGCTTTACTTGCTGCGTGTCTGATTATGCAGCCGCGCTAGCCTTCCAACTATCTCTGCTGCTCCAAGGTTGACCTTCATCTCCAGCCTCGCTTACACCTCGATCGGAATCCCGGCTTCTTGCTTAGCCAGGAGCTCGTCAATATTCCACGCTCTATAGACATACCCCGGCGCAGCATTGGTGTTCTTGAACGGCGCGCCCGTGATCAGGTGCTGTAAAGCCTTCCCATAATTCTCGTATGCGTACTGCTCCGCGTCATGTGCCCACAGCCAGCGGTCATATGACTCTTTGATCGCCTGTGGATTCTGCGCAACAAGGCCCCAATTGGTGTGATGGCGATGCGCCTGGTTCCTGAAACCAACAAGCTGACAACAAGATACCCGTTCGGCCCTGACCGGTCCATCAGCACGTGTTGCCTCCCAGAAGCGCGACACGATTTCGGGAACTTACCTGAGAAGGTTGTGAACACGAAGAGCCATAGGGACGTTACTCTTTCCCCCGATCTCCAAACAGCTGGCCAGGGACATAGCATCCTCAATGGCCTGGGTGGCCCCGTTACCCGAACTGGGGACGAAGGTATGGGCGGCATCCCCGAGCTGGACCACTCGACCTTTGCGAGAAGTCCACAGCGGTTGAGGATCACGCCACAGGATTTTCCAGTCCACCAGGTGATCTTCGGGGGTGGTATTGAAAACCTTTCGAAGAATGTCGGGACAGGAACCCAAGGTCTTTTCAAGGAACTGGACCACGTCCGCTGGGGTGCATTTGGAGTGAGTCCCGTACCAGGTCTCGGCCGAGTCTGCCGATGTCTCCTGTGCGAACGCTCGATTAATTTTCTACTCGATAGTGACGGTCACCACCAACGTACCTTGTGAGTCAAGGACCATGAAAATATGTCTTCAGTCCGGGAGATAAACATGTGCATGTCCGGCCTAGAAGGCGTGTAAGTGCTCACAAACGGAGAGAAACAAGCTCGGTTCACTTACCCCACCCACATCTGGGCGTATGACTGTCCACTAGGGAGGAGAGGAAATTTGCTATCGACTTCTGGGTCTGCCGTAGCAAACTCTACCGGGTAAGCAGTGCGATAGATGGCATATCCGCTGCTTCGCGCGCGCACTTCCTTGCGCGTGACCACTTCAAACGATTTGGTGCCTACTCCGTCAGCCGCGACGACCAAGTCGGCCTCTACTCGAACGCCGTTTTCGAACTCGACAATCGCCTTGTCGTTGGTTTCGTCGTACTTGACGGCTCGATGGTTGTATTCAATGGCAACTCCAATCTCAGTCAACTGCTTCAAGAGGACCTTTTGAAACTTGGAACGGAGATGGCGGTGGACACGGATTGTGTTGGTGGTGGTTTCGCCAGCCTCGTTTGTCGTCGTGACCGCCAACGGCACGGGGCCATAAATGTGCTCGCCATTCTGTTTGTGGTAGGAGAGGCAGAAATCGTAGGACGTGGCCTCGTGCTCTTCCTTGGCGACTGGCCAATGTTCGAATGCTTTGCATGCGCTCGGGCCGATGGAGAAGAAGTCTCCTACGCAGTCGATGGAGGTTAGCAATAGTACACGAGCAGAGGTGGTAGCAGAGATGGAAGTATGCAATAGGGTTCCTCCCACCTTCAGTTTCCGGCTTCAAACTGCGTTCAAAGATGCGCACTTGGATGCCCTTTCGCCAGCACTCCAACGCAGTCATGATTCCACCAACCCCGCCGCCTACGACGACAGCTGTGATCCCAGTCCCATGGTGTCGCTGTACGTGAGGCATGTGAGCCCCCTGGCTGGGAGCGTCTCCCATGACTGAGTGCAGTAGTTCTAGTTCGTTGAGGGCAGGAGTAGGCGTTTATGGTAAGAAGATCGACAGGTGGCAACGATGACTTTTCGCGTCTGCCGATTGTGTCTTTGAAGCCTGGTCGCCGACTTTATAGATGCAACACAAATATCATATTGGGAGGTGGATTAACCCCTGTAGATCAACCGGAACTGCGAATGCCGCGAACAGTTCCATAAGCAGCATAATAATGCCTCCCAGATTCCAGCATTGTGCCGACACGCCACAGGTCAGGAGGGGGGGCTGGACAACAGTTGCACTGATGGGTCAGTCGTTTCTGGCTGGGTAGTGGCAGCCAAGTCCCCTTTTGCCTGAAATTTGGACAGGAGAGCAATTGAATCCGACTGCCGTATACCCCCACCGCGTTGATTCGGTACCGCGTTCCCCACTAGCCGAGTTCCGGGTGGTCCAGGCCTCAGGGCGCTTCTTTCCACCCGGCACAACCACAACGGCAACCACCAAAGGGCAGGCCTGTCCTCTTGCTCAAGAGAACGATATTGTGTTGCCGGATTGGAAGATAAGATAGTCACCTGGTGAGGTACATAAAGGCGATGGGCAGCTTATCAGGTCCGCCATCTCTGCACCTGTGCAGCATCCAGTGCTCCCAAACAACCTCGAACTGTGTCGCCCACCACCAACATGGTCGACTTTGCCCCCGTACGCAGAGTACTGACCGCCAACCTGCCTCTTGCGTCTTCATTTGAAGGAAACAGTGGTGCACAGCCGGCAGTGGCCGTCCATTCGGAAGTGTTGACCAGCCTCGACATAGGAGAATTGCTGCAGCTGGGGGCCTCTTGCACCAACACGACTGTCTTCAGCCACGCCAAAGTTCCGACCTCTAATGATGGATTGTATGTCGACTCATGACCTTGCCACAAGATTCTGTTGAGAGTTGAAGCGCATAGCTGACCAGTGTGACCGCTAACAGCAAGAACGTGCAGCCCGAACAGGTTCCGCCACTTGGAATATACATGCCGGCTGGGGTTCATATCACTTGCACTCAGGCTGCCCCAGGGTTTCGCGTCCCTTTGGTAATGGGCACGAGTGGGCATTGTTCCGGATGGATGTTTGGCTTACAGTTCGCAGCACCGGACGACGTCGACCGACTATATCTTCATCCACAGCGGCGAGCTTACACTAATTACGCCGTCCACTGAATACGACGCCGAAGAGGGCCACGGAGAGCTTCAAGAGACGATCTGCAGGGCTGGAGATGTTGTTGCGCAACGAGGGACCATGCACGGGTGAGAGAGTCTTCCAACCTGTGTTCAACCAGAGATGACAGGCTAAATGAAGCATCTGTGTAGATGGGCAAACAAGGGTACCGAGGTGGTCCAGTATTTTGCCATCATGATTGGGAGTCAAGCGGTGAGCACCGAGATTGACGGAACTGAGAGCAGATACATACTGCCAGATTGGTTTCCGGGCCAGTTCAAGGGGTCTTCCTGCACGGGCTGACAACTCCCCTTGCTTTGTCAAGCAAGGTAAATTGCAAACGCACACGGTTCTCTTCATTCTACCAACAATATGGTGGCCTCGCGCATCAATTCGAGCCAACTAATTACAAGTTATCAAATTAAAGGAAGTTAGAGAATTATGGTTAAGTGGAATTTACGTACCCCTGAATGTACCATTGTTTTCAACGGTCATGCACTATGTCTTGCTCGGTGTCTTGGGGCCTCATTTCGATATTCTCGATCCGATTCTTTCGCAGGTCTAAGTTCAGAACATCAAGAAACGCCTTTACAGGCATTTACAATGCTACTGCCATGTTGAGAGTAACTGCGTGGCTGCCGAATTTCCAAGTTCCCCAGCAATGTTCAGAAGTCGAGCCTTTAGGCGGTCTGGTAGTGGCAATTTGCTGTCCGGCAGGGAGGATTTGGGTCGAAGCTCTTCATACTGTTTGAATGTTTGTAGCAACTCACCAGCTGCGTCGGGCAGTCTCACGAGCGCGAGAGTCTTATGCCATAATATGAGCACGCCAGTTGTTGGGTCCTCCCGCGACACCTTGTCGAGATCAACAATCGATAAAGCCATCAACATACGCCCAGAGTACTTGGCGATCTTCTCTTTATCTGCAGTCTCGTGTGTGATGAACTTATACGAGCCGCGGGCAATTTCAATAGGCATGGAAGCCCTGAGGTCTCCACCGTAGAATCCTTTCACGTTGGGTGGCAACGGCACACGGCTACCAGGCTGTAGGGCCATCACCCACGCTTCGACTACGGAGGGTGGCATTTCGCCGCCAAAGTGGTCATTGGCGATGATGTCGCGCAGTGTTTCGGGGTCGGGGTGATTTATTGAGAGTGGTCGCGAGCTCGGCACCCCAGGCGTGGCTTGGTCAGGACTTACGTTGCTGGACATCTCGTAATCATGAACATGGGATTTCATTCAGCTTGTCGAGATCGGTCAAGTGGTCGGCGAATGTGGAAACCCTAGATTTCTATCTAAGACAAACTTCGAAGCGTGGAGGACACCAAGTCCTCGTCAAGTTGTCTACAGTGGACCGTAGAGTAGGAAGGCGTACAGCCATGTTATGCGGCCGTGCGCCCAGCCACAGACCATATGATAAAGGAAATCACAACTAGGCAGTCAGCTAGCTACTTAAGTATCTATCTCCTAGCATACCTGTTCTTTCATAGACTTCGACACAAATTATCTCCTCTAACAATCACTCCAAAAGCCCCTCTATCTTCAAAAGTGTGACGAAACAAAATTGTACTTCCAAAGATCACAAACCAACTAGCGCACTTCCCAAGGGTAGAATCCGGAGTGAACCACAGATCCGAGGCTTGCTTATCGAACCAATTAATAACTCGGAGGCCTTGGTATTTTTAAGATGCCGGGCACGGGGATCTCTTCACTTGCAAGTTCCCTCCCACACCAGACTTCCTTCAGATGTCCCTTCCTTCTCAAATGACTCGGGTACGCTCAGGATGCACGACGTGCCGGAAAAGGCATCTCAAATGTGACGGTCCGTCTCCTATTATTCTCACGACAACGAGCTCTACCCCCTAACGAGATGTTGTGTGTGTATCAGAATCGCGTCCACGGTGCCGTCGTTGCACCCAATCCTCGTTGCTATGCGACTACAATGTGACTCTAGTCTGGGTAGAACCAGCTCTTTCTCTTGGGAGACGTCCCGGCTGGTCGGGGGCTTGTTTCAAATCAAAGTCCTCCAGACCCATGACCACCGGATCCAGGCTCAAGGACGGAAACTCCCCAGCTTCCAGTATTGCTATCGAATCCAGGCGTCCAGCCTCTCAACAGGTATGTCGAGGCTTTCTCCATTTCACCACTAAGACCATGGACTTGTATTATCGCCACTTGTTCCCCGCAGCTAGCAGGGCAGACACCGCAGAGGACGAAGCATCCGAGATGACCAGCACCCAATCCCCTCGGAGCGAAGACCCAAGCGTCCACCAAATGGATGGATCTCAAATTTCGAGCGACAAGCCAATCCTTTCCAAGTTGGGCACTATGTTTTTCTACCCTAGCACCAGACCTGAGATTGAGGGTCTCCTGATCGACTTCTACGTCAACACCATTCAGCAGGACAAGGTGTATTTCCTGCTGAATCAGGGGCAGAACCCGACCACCTTCATGTTGATGGCAGCATGCACTTCTCCTACCATCTATACTAGCATCTTGATGTTCACTGCAGACCGACTGGCACAAGTAGACTCGAAATTCTCACATGTGGTCATGCGCTATCGCCAGCGTACTCTCAAGGCGTTGAGGGATCTACTGATCCAGTGGGACGGGAGCATGCGAGATATTCTCCTCGTCTCCATGATGCTGTGCACAGTGGAGGTTAGCCATGCCGCAATCGTCCAGTTCTGCTCTTTCTCTCCTCGTCACTGTTGGTGCCTTAACCTTGAGCTAATCGATGAAAATGAATCAGATCAACGATCCACACCCATCGACTTGGGTCGTCCATTTTTCCGCCTATCGCCATGCAATCCAGCAGCGCATGGCTCGAACCACGAGACATCGAGATGAAGATTATGGCTATAATCTGGCTTACCGGTTTTTCACGCATCATCTCATCATGGCAAAGACCATGTTCAATGTCGAGGAGGCCAATGGGACCTTCGTTGCTGGCTCCAATGATGGTAGCTCTGTCGAAGGTCTTCCGTCCCGATGGACGTCGACGGAAAATCTGGCTCTCGAGATGGACAGTGACTCGCTAGATATCATCGATCCGTATTCCAATTTCAGCAACGGACTACTCCTCTTGGTCAGCGAAGTTGCGGATCTGAAACGCCTGCAGTCGTTGACCCACAGACTCAAACATCTGAGAGACAGACGGAAAAGAGAGTCGCATCTTCAGACCAAGATGCAACAGCTCAAAGCAAGTCTCGCCAATCTAACGCAAGTCGCCCCAGAGTGGATGAAGGAGAGTGAACCTGAATCGATGGTGGCTTTGATCGAGCAAGTGGCCGAGGCCAACCGTCTTGCAGCCTTGATTCTTCTCCTCCATGAACCCTACTTGCCACCAACTCAGCACCATACCGCCGCCACCAAGGGCGGAGGTGGTTCCCCTAAGTATGATATCCCAGCCTCGCCGTCCGACGATGCGATTTCAGCTGCGTGTCAGCGAGAGGAAAAGGAGAAACACTTGAAACGCCTTCTCCAGCTTATTGAGGGCTTTATCGCCTCCGCGTCCCTGCTAGCTCCTAGCTGGGGGCTCTGGTCGACTTTCATCGCCGGATGCTGCACGGAAAAGGAGGAAAACAGGGTTGTGGTCATGGGAATTTTCAACACTGCCATTAGAATGACACAGAGGTCGGTAAGTCTTCCTGGTCTTGTTGATGTGTTGTTGTTTGAAGCAAGTGAGCCATTGGGCCATGTTGATCAAAGGGCAGAACCAGCCAGTCGATGATGAACGGCCTACGGATCTATTTTAGTAGAGTGGCTGACCCGCTAATTTTATCCCAGAACATCATATCCGCATTCCGCGTCCTCCAGGCAGTGTGGCGCCAGCGCGACCTGCAGGCCGACGTGACCGATGTCTGCGTCCGCACTATTTCACGGCGACGGAGGCGCGAGAAGCAAGCTCGTAGCGGCCAAACCGCGCCCTCGGGGTCCGATGCACCGCCAGAATACATCTATGAATGGCAGAGCGTCATGGACATGATCGGACAACGAATCAGCCCATTCTGAGCAGTCCGGACTGGAGTAGACTGCTGGATCGAGGCGACGCTTGACCCTATGAGGCGTGGATTAATCCCCAAATTCCCAGTATCCGGACGCTCATGTTTTTACATAATGTACAGATCCATGGATGCAGTAGATATCACAAAACCCGGTTGAATGATGATCCCTGGCATTAAGATGCCTCAACAGCTTGCCAACTGAGGTACGTATCTCTGCAGGCCGTTTTTAATCGCTCGGATATTCAAGGATAAACTCCCTTCAGATTTTCACCGTGAATCGATCTCGGGTCGAAACTTGAAGTCCTTCCACTGGCTCGATCTTCCCCAGAAATTTATACCGTAAGCGAGTCAATGGCCCCTTCCCAGCATATTACTATCCGTCAATAGGTTCATCAACTTCCTGACTGGTGAGACAGCAGTGCCAGGGACCCGCGTCGCCTTTGTGCCTCACAACACCCCACTTGATTGGCAGAGTCGCAGCATTAGTGTCATCTTCAGGTCGGTGGCAAGCTGCGCTGATCACTGCTGAACAGGCGGCAGCCGGCGGAATGCCAGATTCTAGTCTTCGATATCCATTGATATTGAGGACCACCACAGCGATAGATCCAACAGATATGGAAAAGAGAATTGCAATGGCTGAATACCCACAGGTGGTGATGCGGGTCTCGAAAGCCAAATCTTGTGGCGTGAACCCGCTCGACACATTTCCTTTGCCATCATAGACCGTCACATAAACCAGAAAAATTGACTGTGAGACCATCCAGTGCAGCAGTCCGGAGAAAAGCATAAGTGGCACAGCATAGGACTAGAATATCGGAGTCACCACTTGGTCATTTGGCGACGGTAGGTATGCTCAAACTAGCTAGGGGGTCTTAGATTTCTGACGTACCTTGGGCAAAGACAGAAAATGTGTCGATCTTTGGTCGCCACTCTGCACACTGACTCGAAGCCCTTTCCGCTTGATGCCCATGTTGTTCCATTCTTGCGCGGAGAGCATACACGTGAAGAGCCCATTGTATGTGAGGTACACGAACGAAAGAAGTAATTGAGGTAAATTGGCAACCAGGGCCATGGTAAGTATTCTGTGGTCGCTGAAATTGCCTCTGCTGTCGAAGGCAATCAGCGACTTTACGTTCGCCGTACCAAATCCAATATCCCACAGAGTCCTCAGTGAAGTCGACGTAGCATTCTGGTCTTTGAGATTTCGCAACCCCACGATGAGGAGGTACAAAGCGATCGCTATTGTGGCCAAATATCTAGAAAGCGTTCGATTAGAGTCGCGCTACAACGGGAGGCAGATCACTTACAGTATGTTGCATAGCATCCAGCGTTTCTTGCTTGCGGAGTTGAACCACCTTCGTCGGGTGGCCTTCCAAGCTCGAGCTCGAGGGTACCAGCCTTCGCTTGTTCCCAATTCTTCCTTGGACAACAGGCAATTACCTGAGGTGACTGGATCAGGCTCCGCCAAAAAACTCGCAATTGCGTCTAAAGAAAGCTGTTAGCACACCTTGGAATGACCGGTAGTCGTGCTAGAGATTAAACAGACCTCCCAACGTGACCAGGGGCATCTCATCGCAGCTATACAATGTGATAATCATGGCCGTCGCTTTGATGAAATTACACACAATAACGGCTGCCATAAAATAAAGGCTAAATTCTAGTTTGCAGAGTTCCGGTGACGGACGACTGAGACAGTGAGTCACGGTCGCATCAACTCTTGACGCCCCATCCACGGTAGTCCAATTCGCAAGGTATCGAATAGGCGGAGTGAGGATGATCTGCCAGTGTTCAGCTGAAGGTAGGTTCGGGCACGCACGAGCGTTAGATCCGGGATCCAGCACTGGCATGCACATCCAGGACCAAGTAGCTTCTCTCCTAAATATGGTTGGAATACCCCTTCCAACAACTGCCATGTCTAACCCGGCCTGAGCGGTATCAGTTGACAAGATTGGGATGACATCGCCTCTTTTCGAGATGAATTGGCTTCCATATGCCTTGATGCACTCGGCAATTTCCAAGCGTTCGAACAAAGGGAGTGCATCTCGTATTTGCAAGTACTCCTCATTGTTGAGATTTGGGATCATCTCCGTTTCAGTGTCATAAGTGCTAAACAATGGGCCGTTTAAGTAATCCAGGGTTGTTGGATAAACAGAATAAGCGTTGGCTCCTTTATTGATGAAGATCGTCGAGTTATACCTGTGCAAATCTAAGAGTCAGAGGTCATCTCCCCGGTTCAACGTAACATCAATATTACATCAGGTGTAGAGGTATTGAGCTTAATCCAAGACAAACCCAGAGAACGACTCGTCTGGGTGCAATCCACCGGAGATTACGAATGCTGGGTATGCCAATATCAAGCCATATCCGCGTCCTGTGAGCGGCATCTATTTCAGATCTCGTGGGTGCGACCAGGCACTGCTGGGTGTAGTTACTGGCAGCAAGCAATACCGTACCTATTGCGTTTGCGTGGTATGAGCATATTGCTTGCATAGAAACGACAACTCGTACTGAACGATCGAAAACCACTGCGAACTTACTTACCGAGCGCATTGATCAATAAGTGCAGCCAGAAATTTAAATCTTTGACTCTGGCACAACTTCCTGAGTAGATGGGCGCAATACCGTCTCGTAACTTAGGGCCGCTCCAGGAGACCCACAAAATTAGAATGATATTGGTTAGCAGCACCAAAATGGCACAGGAGGCGGAAGCGATGACGCCAAATCGCCATCCAGACGCATGAGTTCGTTTCCAATTGCTGATTCGGTTGCGGTGAGACGGCGGAGGTCGAGGGTTGTCATCAACATGTTCAATCGCCTGTTGTTTAAATACCAACTCTTCTTTGTGCTCGTTTTGTGCGCTTCGAAAGCCGTAAGCATTATATCGCAGAGAGCGCAAGAATGGTATTGTTAGGGAGAAATGCTCACGACTGTGGGTCTTTATTTTGTTGAGAAAGAGCGATTTGGTGTTCGTATTGCATAGTTGTGATTGTTAGGAAAAGTAATAATGACAGGCATTACCCATTTGCATGTAGGTAGAATTCGCTTTCGGCTTTCTGTGAACCTACATATGGTCTCAAGGTGGAACCCCAATTTGAGACACCCAAAGGCAGAAAGAATGATCGAGAAGAACCCCTTTCAAAGAGTAGCTCAGCTCGCTGGATGTGGTGTTCAACTCCTTGAGCAGCCAGCCTGACCGGAGCCCGACTTTGAAACAATAAAGGCTCCTTTGAAGGGGGCTGCGTTCAAACTAAACCAATACGCACTATCCCCAGCCTGAAGTCGCCATTCTGAGAGTTTGATTGGGCACTAGAACGGCCTACAAAAGTTGATTGAATGCCCAATCAAAGCACACAGTAACCTTCTTCAGATATCGGTGAACGTCACGTGCCGTGTAGTTCTGTGCACAGCCGAGCCAAATGCCACGGTATGGGAAACTGCGAGCAGACTTCTTCGCGTTGGCACACTCACCTTGACCGTGTCGGAGGGTGAGTGGCTGTCGCCCAGGCTCACCCTCTCGGGGTTCAGCTGCGGTGCATTTCTGGTGAATAGGAGTGATGCCAAGGTAACGGCCAGGTAAGATTATTGTAGATGGGCCTTTGGTTTCCATCGGCTAACTTTCTTTAACTAAACGAGTGCCTTGACTCTTAGCGACTCACTGAGCGACCTAGCTCATAATGTAGATTAGACCTAATCGAGTTCTCGTAGTATAGTTTTCGAGTAGATAAATATCCATAATTTCACTAATATCTAGCGAATTCTTCACTAGTAAATAGCGATATTAATACTAATAGTAGTAACCCAATATCATTAAACTTGAAAAGAATTAAAAGATATGCTATGAATAGTAAATTAGCCTACAGAGCCCAGGGCTTTACTAAGAGAGCTGGTAGGGAGCGCATAGCGCTGTACTAAGGAGCCCAAGGAAGCCCAGGGCCTGGTAACACAGGTACCTATGTATTCAATAATAAGCCTCGGCTAGGTCTGAGCCTACATGGCCCTAGACAAGGCTGGCGGTGCACGTGTTCGAAGTATCTTGCGCACAAGCCTTTACTGCAAGCTACATGTTCTCATCACGTACCATGACCAGTTTGACGTCTTTCATCACACATGCACACCCTCGTCTCGACTTTCTCGAGCATGAGAACCACCATCTGAATCCGAGCTTCTTGACCGTGCATTTTCCGGATCAAGCATGGGTTCTCGGCTTGAGAGTCAGGATCCGATGGCAGACCTCCCGGCTCCCGACTCATGCAGTATCGTTCTTGCCAATTAGGCTGTAAAGTAGCCAGGTTGTGAGGACATGCATCAAAGACGGTACGCAAGTTCTCGCATTGGAAAATAAAGGGACGGCACCAATTAAGGACTTGTTTCCCCGAAGCTCGTCCTCAGCCAATGTGATCCCGTCAGCTCCAAGTTATGCCTCACAAGTGGTCTACTACTGCGTGCACGATGACTCGATACGTGCAGTGCAGAGCGATCGACGTGGCCATTGCTCGATTAGATCAGGGTGCTAGTGACGAAGAATACCTAGAGACTCCCTGTTGCCCTTACTAATAGGATTTGACCACATTTGTGGACTACGATAGCCCTCACTGTCGCTAAGAGGAACTTTCAACAGTCCACAGCACCGAGGATCCACCCCAGAGACGACCAGGCACATCACAAAGGACATTCTCTCGTGCTCCTCACCAGCGAGTTCATCGAGTCACATGCCAGATGGATGACCGAGTGCTTAACTTGGATCCTCACCTCGGTGATCTTGCAGGCACGATTAATGGATCGTTGGTCTTTCGGGCTTGTTACATGGCGAGGTTGGATGCTCGACAGCTGAGAGGAGGGGCAGGTTTCAACGATGCTCTGCACGCGTCGTCAACTACTAGTACATAGTACATCGCTGCTAGACTAGTTAGTCCTCTCCAACCCACTTCTGTGCAGCTGGCATCACACTGCTGATGTCTCGCCACGGAGTCCAGTGCTACTTTCTAGTGACATGTTCGTAGCTACTTACGAAACTCTCAAAATCAGGGCGTGCATAGCCAGCAGTAGCAGAGCAAGCAAGATGGACTCCAAAAGACTGCAAGATCATATCGGGAATGTGCTCCGAGTGCTGTTCCCAGGCTGGAACGAGGACCAAAGGGTTTCAGATTGATAGCCCAGCAATAACCCTGTCGAAGCAAGACTTTGGCTACGGATAGAAACAACAGCTTCCCTTCAAGATCCGAGGATGATACGAGATGAGGAAGGAGCTTCTAGCCAAGTTTGGGCATGGTGGAGAAAGATCTCCGCAAGAGGGAGAGAGAGACGATGTGTCATCCGTATTAGCAACCGACAGCTCGATTCGATTTCGTTATGATGATGGGACAAGATACTGGAAACGAAGGGTGAGGTTCAGATGATACGAGACAGAGGTGTCGAGGGAAAATAAGCGCCGGCCCCCTCCTTTTTCAGATTGATTATTGGGCTACATATCCGTTCTCCCTCCTTCCAGCAGAGCAGAGCCCCCCCACCCAAAATAAGTCCTACGCACACTTGAAAGATAGACACCCCAGGTATCTTTGCTCGGGGCTGTTCGCCACCCGTACTCGTAAGGGGGAAAGCAGCACCTTGTACGAGCGAGGTACGCAGAAAAAAAGATATCCGACAGATGCGAACAGCAGAGCCCGTCCGAACCTCGATTGAATCTCCCAATCACCAGGGGTGCAGTGGCAGAAGATGTCTCTCTGACCGGTCTCAAACGACCCAAGTAGGTAGTTAGTCGTGAGTCGTCTGTTTGGGTTGTCCCGCTGTCATCTCGGAACGACTGGCTGCGCGTGTTCGAGGAAGCGCCCGGTCCCACACGCCCAGGCCATCCCGGTGCATGTCAGGCTCCTCGGTGGGTAGCCCGCTGTCAGCGACACACCGCTTTGGACCCAATCATCAATTCTCCTGCTTTTGCGACCTCCGGTTGCTTTTAGTGTGGTTCCAGCGATGCGGTACAGTGGATAGTGGATACTGGCAACCCTGGGGCTTTCATGCCCTAGGGACACTCTCCCCCAATGGCTCGACACTTCAGGTGCTTGCTGGAGAAAACCCGATATTCCCGGTGCCAATGGACCGTGGTCGTTGGACAGCTGATGCGCTGGCAAGTTCCAACTCTGATTCATTAGCTCCCTGGGACCACGAGGTCTTCCTGCTGCCGCACTAGAGGCCCTGCTAGACTGTCAGTAGCTTGCAGGGTGATTTCAGATTTGGGGATCAAAGCTTCAGGGGGGTGCATGATGTCAGTTCACAGGCCAAGGAATTAAGCAGAGAGTTGCTGCTTTTACGATACGAGGTAACTTGGGGGAGAAAACCAGGTTTTGGCCCCGTGGACTTGAAGTGGTTAACTGAGGTAGGTACATACCTAGGCACCTAGCAAGCAGTGCTGATCACACCGAGAGCAAATTCAGGAGCTCATACTCGGTACTACTGCGTGATCTCAGGCCGGTGTTGCCAGAGGAGGAAAGGCTGGCTGCGTCTACCACCTAGGCATGCCTGGTTAGTGAGTTTGGTCTGCGAACTACAGTACTGCCTTACGTCCCCCTTTTCTTTCTCCCACTCCCTGGCCTTGGGATAGATTCATGATGGCAGACTTGGGAAGCTCTTCAATTCTGGTCAGGATTTTCACATCCAACAGTCTTCTTCCACCTTTGAAGAGAGTCCACTCAAAAGGACCATTATTGGCAATATTCATCATATAGTATTCCAAGCTTGCCACTGGTCAGCTCGATCCATTGCTTGCGCGGTTACCGAGCCAATAGAACTTTCAATACACTCATTCTCCATCAATAATGGATACTTCGGTAGCTACGAAGTAGGTATACATAGAAATAAGCTGTGCCGTACGTAATTTGCCCCGCCTTGGACACATCATTCCAATTCTCTCAAGCCAACGCCTACGAGTACTCAACCTCGCCCATTAAGTCATGTTCACCCGAGACTTGGGCGTCCACTCATGGTCACTGGAGGAAGCGTCCGTAGACTTGATCTCTGGCGCCATAGCTTTCTCCGGCATGAAATAATCATCAAGAATCACGGACAAGGAGGCTTTTAGTCCTCAGCGTTAGAAAATGAGCTTCATTGCTCTTTCTTGTTCTTTGGGCAGAGTAAGCCTAAAATGTCTCCTCCTGCTCTCTCCTCATGCTTGGAATCCGGCTGCGGAATCCCAGGTCAAGGAAACACCAAAGTACTTTTCACACATTCCACCCATCCATGTAGTCAGCACCAGAATTGAAAGGTATCAATCATGTAGTTAAAATGACATTCCCAGAAAAACTACCATGCCGTGTTCACATCCAATTCATGCGACGCCTCAGGTGCATCTCAGGACTTTCCTTTCCCTCGCATTCGTATCTTGTTGGTCGTACCAGTACGCCAAGCGCCGCGCCAATGATCATTGTCATGTGGTATCATGTACAAAAGAGATAACAAAAAAATCAGGTCGTCAAAGAACAGGATATGCCGGCCCATTGTGGTTGTCACTGTCATGGTCTCCAGTCCAACTATGCAACCACGGTAGAAGGAGTCGATACAGCCCGTGGCAGAGGGCTGATCGGAGGTGAGTTTGTTGGTGTAGAGGTGGCCGTAGAGTCGACCAGGGTAGAAGGGAAGTTGGTGACTGAAATAGCATTGCTCTCTTTGTCCTTTCCCATGGCTGGAGGTGGCATCTCGGTGGCTGAGATCTTTCGCTTTTTGCCCTTTGGAGCAGGCTCGAGTGGTGGAGATCGCTTGTATGTCACGGTTCTCGTGACCACTGAACGCACGCTCACTGGTTTGACACAAGCACTTTTGGGTGCGTCAAAGTAGCGCCGAGTTGCACTGTCAGCACTCCAATCTGCCGGTGAGAAAGGAGAGTACAATAGACTTCCAGTACTCATCCCACTCATCGCGCTGACCGCAGTGCGGGGTGAAGGTCCACAGGTTGATGGTGAGAAAGCAGGTGAATGTGGTATCCTCAACCTTCGCAACCCGGTTGGTGTTCTGCGACTGTACGGAGTTGGTGGTATTGAACTTGTGGGAGATTTGTGACTCTCGCTGCGGCTGGAAGACATGCTAGAAGTCGTCGAGGTATTGGAGATGATGGAATGCCGAGTACTTGTGGATTCATCGGACATGGACCGTGAGAGCGCACCTGTCACTGGAGGACTTGCCAGGACTGGAGTCAAAGCCTTGAGAAAGTCGGTATAGGCCACAGGAGGCGTGATGGGCGTGCCTATGTTCTCCTGCTTGATGAAAGCCGAGACGCAGGAGTTGGGGGTGTCGACAATCTCGGAGGGAAACGAGGCAGTCTTGGGCGTCTGGAGAGGCGGGAGAACGGGTCTGGCGATGGCAGGCATATTGACGTCGACAACGAGAGAGTCGGTGCTCAAAGACCTGGCAGTCGAATGCGGTGGATGATGCTGGATGAGAAGCCAAGGAGCCTGACGGACACCAGCAAAGGGAGAAAGAGACTGTGCCGTAAAGAGAAGAGAAAAGAGATCTGAGCAGGTGGAAATGGTGAGCAAGATCTATTTCTGGGAAGGCGACAACTGAGATGACAGGCGTGGTGGAAGCTCTGGATGTGGTGGTGGTAGAAGTGGCACAAGCACAAGAATCTTGACCGGAATGAGACCAGCTCAGTCACCAGCGTAAGAGGTAGTGCGAAGTGCAATGGAAAGAATTAACTGGAGGCTCGTGGCGCGTAGTAAAAAAAGAAAGAGGATGAGGCAAGCGGGCAAGTGGGCAGCGGGCAATGGACAAATAGTGGGAAATGGTAATCAGCCCAACCAGTGGATCAGAGCGGACGATTGATGTCGAGTGGACAACTGAGGCGCCCGAGTTCAAAGGGCGAAATAGCCAGAGCAGTAACAACCAGGGTGTGTGGTTGGAAGAAAGGGAAGGAGTCGATAGACGCAGAAAAAGAAGTCAAGTTGATGGCAGTGGCAGTCGCACTGGTGGTGGTGGAGAGGGAAGGAGGGATGGTGTTCAAGTTGAGTTGCTCTGAATGGTTGGCGTTAAAACAGCGGCACCGGATCAAGGAAGGAACAGGGATCGTTTGTCGACTTGATCGTGCCTTCCCTTTCTCAGACCAGTGAATCGTGCCTTCCCTTTCTCAGACGTGTTTCTTTTTCTGGGTCGTTCTTGCCGCCCGCGGCAAATTCAATCTTGGCCCTGTCAGGCCGATGATTGGCTGCGACTCGTCCACACCCAACTTGGCCTGCTGTCCAGCTCCTTCAGCTTCTGTATCCTGATTCGATCAACCACCCTGGGATTGTGACTTACAACAAGATACCTGCAGGCCACAGGCTGAATTGCTGTCAAACCTGGTCTTGCCGCGTCCCTCGTGTGCTTTCTGCTCACTGCTCACTGCTGCAAGCTGGAACCGCAGTGTTTTTGTTTGTCAACCTGGGTCGCTAGTGCGGCCAGCCCCCAGTGATAGGCGACTCGAGAGCTATTTCGAGCTGGAAATCGAGTAGCAAGGATCGAGCTCGACGGTACGACTGCTGTCTCTGGTGGTACCGGCTATGGTGATTGTAACTCGACTCGATTGTACGGCACTGTGCCTCGCTTGCTAAGTGAAGTTGTGCTTCTTTTGGTTACTCGTCTCCGCAAATATACCGATAGGAATATACTGGAGCGCTGCAGGCGGTGCTGTGGGTGGGAAGTTGCTTCTAGCCACCAGCTCCCCAATTGTGGTACTTGATCATTTTATCTACTTCTTCGGCAAACCGCTGGCCACATGGCCATCTCGACTTTCTCGGTGATGTTAGCCCTGATGACACAACCTGGAGCGCTTTCACCACCCAACCTTTATGATTCGTCGCATCCTCCAGCTGAAGAATCTGGCTGACTGGCTGGCCCCGCCGGCTTGTTATTACAGCCTTGAGCGCGCGGCAGCCCAATGTACGAGTTCTGCAGTTCTGCTGATGGTCAGTGTCGGCGCTATCCTCTGTCTGTGAGTTGACTGGATAAGCAATCCCTTCACCCTTCCTCCTCCATCTCCCAACTGAACGTCCATTTTACAACGAGCGCGCGCCATATGACCTGATGCCAATGGCTTGACTCTATCCATTTCTTTGTGAATCGTTGGTAATTTGGCCGACCAAATCATAGCACTTGGCCCAATCATTGTTGTTTTCCATAGCAATAACCTGCAGGTCTCGTGAACGAACCCCTTCGGGTATTGATCAATTCCAAGACCTTTAGGGCTTCACATCATGTCCTTGTATGTCATCTCCCGAAGAATGCAGTTCCACTTCCAAAGTGACGGGCTGCAGGTTCTCGCTACCAAAGACAATACCTTGAACACCACCAATGCGACCTTCGATACACGAGGATGTGTCAATCTAGCTCCGGCAGATCAGCGCCACTTTTCAGCCAATCGCCATCATTCCCTGGGGTTGGAATGAAGAACATTCGCATAAGCCGAAGCGCTCGTGTCTGAGAGTGTGGAGGGCACCATGACGTGCAGATTGGAACGAACAGGTGGGTACCAGGAACATATCACAGCCATCCCGACTCTTCCTGTTGGTTCTTCACCTTAAACTTTCCTGACAATAGGCATTCTATGACTACAACCCCAAGGCTGCCTTGCGTGCACGACGCAAACCTTTCAACGTTCATACTGGCCAGAGGCTTTGGTCCATGGCGTCGCGTGACGTTGACCGGGCTTGATCTCAGATAAGATTGGCTTACACCTAGGTCAAGATTCCGGCGATGGAATAGTTCTAGAGCACCTGTGGACTATCGGGCTTCATCCATCAACTCCACTAGGCTTGCCAGGACGGAGTCTACGTAAGCCACCTAGCTTTCTTCGCGGGAATTTCATGCTGAGCCAACGTCCGGATGACGGCTCTCGTCCCCCGTTCGGAAATGCTATTACTATCACATTCTTTCCACTCGACTTCAACACGACCATGGGAGTAGAAGCAGATCATGCGCTCATTTTAGTTCCAAACTCAATTCAATGCCATCATCCTTGAATACTCGGTTATCTACTTACCAGTCTAAGGCTCCATCTCGCAGGCCCAGTCAACCACAGGATTATTCTTGGTCCAGCTTTCCGGATTTTGGGTGTTCAGAGGCCATTTACCAGCAGCCAGCTTGTGGACCTACCCATCTGGATACTTGCAAGCTACCCTATCATGCACAATGTGACGACGAAGGTTTCCTGTCAACAAAGTTCGTTCTTTCAAGTCTTCCGAATTATGAATGTGACGAGATCTTCAACCAACCAGTCGCCTCCATGCTCATTGTCTTTCTTGGCGGCAATTGTAAATTATCGGAATCCAGGTGGGTGCCAGGCTCTACTAACTGCTTACCAGAGAGCGCCAGCCCCCAGTTCTGTGACGAGAAGCCGACCAACAATGTCGGTCTCATCTCTCTGCCCAGTCCCAAACATCTTTGCCCCACGAATGATGCAAGTTACCTCCAGGATAGGCGCCAATATTGTACCGGTCTATGATCTTTTCCTCCACATGGTCGTCCTCCGAGTTCTGCAGCTACGTTGCACTGAAGGATATTACCAGCAGGCTGCAGCCAATTGCTTGACACTATTCATAGTCAACGGTATTACATGCGGAGTACGTATCCGCTTGTACATCGACCCGAATGACCGCAGAGGAAAAGATTGAATCACTGTAACTCTAGTTCTTACCATTTTTCCAAAAGTCACCACCTTAGTACTGCTGACTGTAGAAAACAACTGAGCGTCCTCGAACTTACGATTGCAGGCCAGCGAGAGTTTGGACAGGACCGTGAGCACGACAGTAAAGGACTACTCACATTTGACGGCACTGATCGAAGCCCACGGTGGGAACGATACGCCTCCCTAGTGCAAAGATAATCAGCTTGACAAGATGCCTCGTGACATCCAAGCCCCTATTCGATTTTGGTACTGCCTGAAGCCTTAGTAGTAGCACCACTAGTCATCACGCTAGTGGCACTTTAGTGAACACTAATTATTGGCATTGGTAAGTCGATCAATTCTGTCGAACTGCGTTCATCTGGGAAACTATCTACACCACCAACAACGAGTACAGATGCGCATTAATTGACAGCAGAACATAAACCTGGTCTGCTTTCATAGCCAGTTTGACTTAGCAGACCTCCTCTTCAGTAAAGTCACTGTTGGCTCCCGGCACAAAATTTTACCCGCCCCGAAGTCCCAACTTTCGGTCGAAATCATCTTCTAGCTTGCATCGCAGCCTTTGAGGATCGTTCCTCTTGATCGAAGACTCCCCTGGATTAGCAACCGTCACTATCGCCTTTGAATCTCCCATCCGCCAGCCTCAAACCCATCCACAATGTCGCTAGTGCACCTAGCCAACGCGTGCTCGCACCTCCAGAACGCCAGCAAAGCTCGCCTGGGCTTAACGTCGGTCCCGGACACCAAATTTCATCTGAAGCTGATGTTGGCACTGCAAAGCTCCGGGTTCATCTCGACGGTCGTGCGCGGCGGACCAACACCACCACCAGCCCACCAACTCCTCTCACATCCATCGTCGACCGATCCGAGCGCACCAATTGAACCAGTAACGCGGCATAACATTGCATCCCGCCGATTATGGGTCGGTCTGAAATACTGGAATTCAACCCGTGTACTGGAGGAGATGCACCTGATCTCAAAGCCTACGCGTCGGATCTGGATGGATGTTGAGGGGATTAAAGACTTGGTGCTGGGAAGAAGACATGGCTACGTGAAAGGCCTGACGAGACCAGGCGAGTGCCTGTATGTGAGTACGGACCGGGGAATAATGGAAAGCAGAGAGTGTGTGGAGAAAAAAGCAGGTGGCATGTTGATATGTCGGGTCAACTGATTCCTCGTTCTCCCATGATGGGATGACAGGGAAGGGAGCTGACACTGTGTGCGCTGGGCTCATCGGAAGGCCTGTTCCAGTTCATCCAGCCTGCCGGGTCTGTGTATCAACAGGCGAAACGATGTCTAGGCCAAATTTGAACCCCGAGATGACAGAACCACGAGGAGATCGGAGAAGAAATAGCCTAATACTGTCACCCTGATGGTGGAGCAGCCTGTCAAGAATGGCATTGGAAACTCAGGTGTGGCTTCATTAGGACCGCATGTACTTTACCATCAACCGGCCAATATATCAACACGTGCAGGTCCACGCGGGGAAAGAATCGGAACTAAAGGGGGAAATGACTGGGGATGAAGACGGCACTGGCTTTGACACAAACATCACGCTTCGCCGTGGGACTTCTGGAGGCAGAGAAACAGAGCGAGAGACCCAGGTCTATGGGAAGTTCTCAAGCAACCCAGGAGATCAGTGTCTGAATCAACGCCTCAAAGCCGTTACAACCAGGAGACACATAAACCAAATACCTACTGGACCATCGAATCCAGCCTTGCGACGCATTGCATTCGGACACGTCTGCTCCAGAAGATATACATTAGTTGGCGCGCGTCCACCGCCTCTCTCTCCTCTTCCATCAACCTCTCGCCCATGTCGTTATACGTCCTATCCGCCGCTCTCCATGTTCAACACCACACCTGCAGCACACCACACCACAACCCGCCGCAGCAGCAGCGGCGCAACTTCCTTCTCTTCCTTCCCATACATCCTGTGTTTTCGTTTTTCAACATCTGTACTACATACATACGGTATGTACATGGGGGAAAAGAAACCTCCACTGTAACTCATGTAACAAAATACCACAAAGAAATAAACAAAATCAACAAAGTGAAAGATCCTCTTCTCCATTCGCAAATTGCTTCCTGTGTAGATGATGTGTGAACTACACCACCAGTCAGACCACAGCTACTGAGTTAGATAGACAGTAAGGCCATGGGGATGTGACTTCCTCCAGTGGGAGTCTGGGGGAGGGATAAGTACATACATATATCATGGGGAACTGGGGTATGAGTACGGGCATGGAAGACACCGGCACTCAGGAAAATAATTGTTTAAATAAGGTAGTACAAGTTTTCAAAACTCACGAGCTGGCCCTGCCCTGCCACTTTGATACTACTGGATAGTCAGGTATTAGGAACATCTTCAACTATCTAGTAGAAGTAGGTAGGTAGGCGCAGTGTGCCCGTGATGTGATACATGGAGGCACACAAGGAACCTCAACCTCACCTATTGCTAACATGTTACAGGCAGGAAACGAGGCTCTGTGAGTCGAGCCGCGGAATCACCGACGATGACAGGCACAATGCGTGCAGGTCCCGTGTGAATTGCCTTTTACCCAGCAACCTCAAATTTCACTGGGTTAATACAAAAATGCAATAGCAATGACACCTTGTCCTGCCGTATCCGCCCGGGTCAAAAATCCCATAACCTTGATTATGCAGTTTCATAGAACGGAAACAGTCGGGACGAGGCTATCGCAAGACCTAATCTTCCTCGGCCTTGTCCTCCTCGACGTCGGTGTCGTATTCAAACTCTCCAGGGAGTGGTGCTTCTTCTGCACCTTCTTCATCTTCGTCGACAGCTGTCAGGACACCTGCTGCAGCTGCTGCACCACCGCCTGTTAAGAGATCAAGACCACTGCCTCGGCCTATAGTCTGACCAGCAGGAGTCTGAGGCTCTCGACTGGTAGTGTTGGCAGTTTGTGCTGGGTCGGGTGCGGCGCGGACAGCCTCAATTTTGCTGACGGTCAAGGGAATAATTTCCCTTTCAGTGTCGGGTTCGGTGTCGTGAACAACAATTATGCCACCTGTGATGGGTCGCTTGACAGGTTGATAGCGTTGATCCGGGAAGGATAGATACTTCAACTGCGCAGGCAACACCCTGGACATATTGTCGATTTCGTAGCCAACCTTCTCCTTCTCAGCTCTCTTCTTGACCTCGGGTCCTTCATTTTCTTTCTTTTCACCTTCCTTGCCTTCATCATCTTTGATGGTTGCATCATCGGTATCCATCTTGTCTCCTTTCTCGATCTTCGGTGTGACTGGAGTGACGGTGTCCACGTCCATGCTATCGCGTCGTTGCTGCTTCTCTTTCCGAGCAGCTCTCCTCTTGGCTTGAGCAGTTGTACTCAGAACAGCTGTCTTGATCTTCTCAGGGGCCTCATCTGCTTTGGAAGTTTGTTCGGGGGGATAATCAAACAAACTTGGACGAGTGTTGCTGTGGAATTTGAATACCGGGGCTTCGAGCTTCTGGTCGACAGCAATAATGGATGTTGGTGCTAGGGACAGCGAGAAGAAATGTGAAAGGGGAAACCAATACCAGTACTGTGTGAAGACTGCAACACCCACAATACCAGGCATGTTCAAGTTGCCAGTTTGCGTCTGTAGACTTATCGTGCAGTTTCGACCACCAGCATCAATGATACCCATTGCAAGCGCGCAACCAAACTTGCACATAGCATCTTCATGTCGGTCAGCAATGATCTTGAGCATCTGTTTGCGAATCGCGACCACTTTAGGGTTCAAAGCCTCGTTCTGTTGTACCAGTACCATGGCAAGAGCGATCAAGGCACCTTGACGAACGAAATCCGTAGGATCCTTGAGCATAGGTTCAAGCAAGTCAATCGCTTCAGCAAGACCTGTGCCAGCACAAGAGATACCTAGAGCCATGGCAGCACCATATCTGACGTGAGGGTTATAAGACTCGGCCAATAGTTCCACCATTCTTGGTACACTGGTGTGCTTCCTGAAAAGAATGAAACCCAGGGACAAGACAGCAATGCGGCGAACATCATCACTGACGTCGCTGACAGCTACATGAAGCAGCTTGCGAACAGCTTTGTTGCTTCCGGTCCCCACATAGGCTAGAGCAATGGTCAAAATGCCACCATATCTCAGGGTGGGATCAGTCTCATTCAACAGACCCTGAATGAGTTCATCGGCACCTTCTTGACGACCATACATGATGAGAGCCATACCGATGGCAAGACCACGAACGATCTTCTCATGCTGAGTATCATGAGCATGTTGAATCATGTCTGACAAAACTTTGGTATTCCCTGAGCCAAGCATGACGAGACCCATGGCCAAGCCAACAGCTTCACCATTGATGGCTGAATCAGCCCACATGACCACTCTAAGCTCTTCAAAAAGACTTTCATCACCAGATGCCATGCCGGCCACACCAAGACCGAGAGCACCACCATGTTGCACAACTTCATCGGTCGATTCTCTGAATTTAGTGCGGAGGAACTCGACAGCCTTGCCCTTGTGATTGGCACAGATCAAACCATAGGCGTATAGCGAGCCGCCTTGGCTGTAGACAGAGCCTGTTGAAGCACCAACGCCTGCAGTAGAGCGAGGTAAATAAGGACTTAGCAATCTCTGAGCTTGATTGATATTGCCCTGATGGATGACTCCAAGAGCGGCCGTAGCAGTGAATTTGGACCAGTTAACAGCTTTACCCAACCACTCCAGATTGTCTCTGAAGAACGAATCGTTTGCGGTTTTGGCATGCATGAAACCTGTTGAAAGACTGACAGCGGTATGATAGATGGAATACCTGGCCTCCAAGCTATCCTTGATCTTGTTCAGAATTGAGAGGTCAACTCGGTTGGACTTATGCAGGAACTCAATATTCAAATGTATGGATTTAAGGCCGTCCAGTATGTCCCTGATCGAGCGTACAGCTTCCTGCTGCTCAGGCTTGTTAAACTTTGGGCGTGAAGGTGCCGGGGCACCGGCCGAATCTTGAAGTTCTTGTTGCAGCTGATCTTCGGCCTTTCCTGCGTTCTCTTCTTCCATGAGATCAGGATCCTGTTGATTTGCGTCCGAGGTAGATTCTGCTTCAACAGGTAGCAGTTCAACCAATTCTTCCCGAACCTTGCGAAGGAACTCTTGGGTACTGTTGTCGTACAGATCGAAAGATATTTGATAGGCCACTGCCAGTGAGCGTGCATCTCCCTTCTCCACAAGTTGGCGCAAGATATTGGAAGCCAGAGAATGCTGATCAAGGTATACCACGCACTTGGCAATCGCAAAGTAGTCGGGCGAAGGGATCTCGTTAAGTAGTTCAAGAATAAGCTTTAGGATTTCGTTCCGTAGAGCACGTTCTTGGACGACGCTCATGCAAATATCCAAGACGTATTCCATCAAATCTTCACCAGCCTTTGTAGCCTCACCATTCTCTTTCCGCTCATCCTCAGCAGCGCGCTTGATGACTCTTCGGAGAATGTCGAGATTACGGGATTCAAGGGCAATGCCGACAACCTGACGATAGCGTTTTTCTTGAAAGCATTTCTCGAAGAGAGTTTCGACAACGCGGTTTAGAGCTTTTTGGAGACCTCGCTGCTGAATGATAATTGATGAATCATCCAAGCCAGCATCGCCACCGGCTTGAGTAGGATCGTAGGTAACGGTATTTTGTCTCGATAGAAGTGACTTGGATGGCAGTACAGATTGCGAGAAAGGAGTGACGGGGGAGGTCAAGCTGGCAGACATGCTTGCAGCACCATCTCCGCCTTGTCCGAAAGCAGTGTCTAATTGAGGCTGATTTGCCGCGGTGGTAGCAGCGAGGGTGACATCACGGCTAGCGGAGAGAGCGATGTAGGTATCTAGACATTTTGAGATGATTGTGTCCTCGAACTCGCCGGCGTTGTCCAACTTGAGATATTTTCCTGCACCCAGAGCAAAAGCCATGCTTTCGTCATATTCTTCGAGATGATAGTACACTTTAGAGGCAAGGATGGCGGCGAGCTCTCGTTCCGGAAAGGTGTCGTCTTCATAGAGGGCTTCTCTGTACAAGTAGAATCAGTACACAGATCAGGCAAAAGGACACAAGTTGATTCGTACATATCACCAATCGAATTCGCAATCTCGGTCCATAACAAATCGACCTGGCTATCAAGCTGCTTGAGTGCGAAACTTCTCAACTCTGGATCCTCCTCGGACAAGAATCCGACTAGACCAGCGGCCGAGACCAAGCCCACCATGGTCACTGATTTGCTATCGAAGATGTTGCGCAGGCGTGCGGGTCGACGGGATTAGAGGTGGAGGATGACAGAATGTTTTGGAACTTTGTTGATTGAAGTTGCCGCGGGAAGGCGCCACAACAAAGAGTTTGATTAGGACCAAGGCAAGGAATGGCCGAGGTGGGGGTTGAAGAAAGTCTAGTGTACAGGAAAAAAGGATGAATGAAGGGAGAGGAAGGGTGGTGATGAAGGATGATGATGAAAGGTGGTAGAAGTGGTGGTGGTAGGGGAAGGAGAAAAGGTCGCGCAGGCTACGGAAAGCACTGCAGCAGTTTGACGTGTCTGATGAGTGAGAGCAACTAGACAAAACGCCGATATCTACGTAACTGCTGTGGCCTGCGCTGCGCCTGCCGTTAGTGATTCACTACTCGTACTAGTAGCGCCTGCCCGAATAATAAGCGACTAGCACTGCACTAAAGAACCTTGTCTTGGCGTTCTGCATCTGCATGAACCCTCAGCCTTACGAACCCTGTTTGTTGGGCCTCTTGTCAGGCTTCTCACAATCAAACACAGACGGTCAACGACACAGTCAAGGTGGGTATAGGCTTAGTTATTATTACACGGGTATCAAAATCAAAGGAAACGTATCTCCAGTCCCACCCATTAATCCAGTCAAGATCCGACTCTGAGTCGAGCACACAAACGTGCAGATCGCAGTAGTGCTAGCCGGTTTTCCATTCATACCTTCATCTTGGTCTGATCATTGTTGCTCTTCGACACAAAATCCTCATGTTGTCGATGAGTCCTCGGATCAGCGGTTCATACCGATTGGGTCGCTGCATTTTCAAGTTGTCCAATTCTCGCCGTACCATCTCTGTGCTGATTTCCACCTCCAACTCGTGTTCCTTCTCTGTGGTGTGTTGATAGCTGACTTGGGTCAAATCAATCTGATATGCCATATGTCGATAGCTCATCCGGTCCTTCTGACGGCCACGGCTCTCTTCAGTCATCTCAGACAGCCAGTTAGGATCTCCCTCCCATGGACTTTCAATGCTGATGGAAATACGGTAATCAAAGTCCGACTGAGGATTGTAGACTTCCAGATCCGCAATTCGTGACTTGATTATTTGTGCCTTGACCTGTCGAGTTTCTTCGTCGATTGTTCTCCGTACCCGAGCTTTGTGTCGAGGGTTCATGTAGTGCACAATCGCTTGCGGTAGATTTCTCTTGCCTTCTTCGTTCAGCTCATAGAACTCATCATACTCATGTGGATGGCTGTATCCTATTACAGCGCGGTCTGAATGTTGAGCTTCTCGCATCGACTCTTGAACAAGTCCATTGAGAAACGCATTGATCTGCTGGTGTTGAGCCTGTTCCAGATGTTAGCGGCCGTTAATACTTCTTGCACCTAGGGAAGTTAAACTCACAATATTCATCGAACTTTTAAAGCTTGTTCTGCCCCGCCATTTGTCGCGAAGAAAAACGGTTTCGGTATCGACTGGCAGCTGAAGTCGTAGTCCTGTTTGTTCGTCGAAGATAGCACCGACCTTGGCCTCGATTTCGAACATTGCCCCATTCGAAGGTGGTGTTGCGTTGAGTAACCAATGTACAATCCAGTCACAGACTTTCTTGGTGAGGTCTTCGTATGGTGTTACCGTGGTGATCGATACTTCCCATCGAGATTCGTCCGGATTGTGAGCTCCCATTCCTTGACCATTCATCACGTGAGGCGTTTGTGTCTCTTGCTTGACAAGCGCTTCGGTTTTCATGTGAGATCCCGGTGGTGGTCCTCCTTGTACTGATGCAGGCGCCATGGATCCTCCCGAGCCCTGGACCGGTTGTGCTGGCGGTCGGGCTCGAATGAATTTTACGGGTCGGTCACGAGCACTCTCTGCCCAAATGGGGAACTCATTCATGTTGGGCCGGGGACGTTTTCTTGGCGGTTGAGGGGTGCTTGGTACGCTGGAGAGATGGCTTGCATTGCGCTTTAGGCTGGTTTGTGTTGCTGCTGGCGAATTCATCTGCTGAGAAAGAGGGGAATGTACCGACAATGGCGTCATGTTGTTTGTTGGACCTGCGCCAGGACTTGGTCGAGCAGGTTGATATGGTGGAGGACCTTTTGGTTCGACCGAAGCTGAAGAAGACTTGGGTGTAGCGTCGTTGTGTAGAACGTCCAGAACTCTATCGGGTGTGCTTTGTGCCGTCGCACTCACGTTCGGAGCAAAGACAGGCTGCGAAGGCGCACCGTGGTAGATGTCGACTGGAACGTCGGAATATCGACCTGTGCTGGTCTGTCTTTGTTTCTTGGGAGGAGCTTTTGGGATTGTCTTTGGACTGACACTCTCAATACTTCTTTCTCTTTCCCGCACGTCCCCGGAAAATGTTCTTTGTATGCTTCCGCTACGAGAATGGGTTGGCTGAGGAGCCACAACACCAGACTGGCTGTATTCCCTGCTGTGGCTTGATCCAACTGATCCGACGGAAAGCCTCCTATAACTCTCCTGTCCTTGTGAAATCGGTCGGTGTGCGTGGGGAGATGGTCGTGGATAAGTCACAGGAGGTCCGAGGGGTGTGGCCGGAGTTGGATGAAACTGAGCGTGAGGTGAGATGTTACGCGAGTTGGAATGCGCGTGGCCATTCGTGACCGTTATTTCCTCTCTGGGAGACTGGAGATTAAAAGCAGAGGGACCACCTGGGTGGTGATATGTAGAGGCCGTAGAGGGTGTTTGCTGGTGGTGGGCGGAGCCTGGTGTGGGAGGATAATGTGCGGAATTGGATGGTGAAGGAACAAAGGCAGGGTGATACTGATGGGGTGGAGGGTTGCTATCTCTAGGGGTGTGAACAGGACCATGGGGCCCTGGGCTTTGCGCAAAGATGGGTTGGTGTGCTATAGTTGGGGTGGACGCCGGCGCAGAGGCGGAGTGTTGTTGATGAGGCGACTGCAGGTTGAAATAGGAGCCGTTCGCGGATTGTCTGTAGTCGGAGGATGGGATAGGTGGAGGGTAAGATGATGGACGATCGGAATGAGGGTCGTTGGGAACGGAGTTTGCGCTTGCGTTTGTGATGGAGACTGCGTGATCATAGGAAGAGTGAGGTGTGTGCAATCGTGGTGGTTGTCGTTGGTTGGAAGAGTCATTGAGCATTGATTTTAGATCCATCATGGTGGTGGCCGCAGTTGGAAGCAGGACAGGAGATGGTGTAACACACTGGCGACTATTCAGGTAGCCAGGGTGTAGTTCTAGTAGAGTTGATCAGAGATGGATGCGCACCAAGAGCCCATGATGGGCTTGATGGAGGAGTGTCGGCTACACTCTCATCGCACAGACGCGGTGGAGATGGTTGGTGGGTAAAAATGGCAGTCAGTGCAGCAATGCTAGATATGGCAGAGTCTGAGACTGAAAATGAGACCGGCAGAGCCTGGCTGCACCAAACAGATGGGGACGAATGTGCAATTGGGACAGTGAGACTGACACAGAACGATAGAGTAGAAACCGAGAATCAAGACCATCAAAATCGTGTTGGCTCAGGCTGCACTGGACTGAGACTCTCTCCTCACAATTCACGACTAACTAGTCCGTACATTCTACGGCGCGTACAACTTGCCCACGGACGCCAGATGGCCTTTCCCTTTTTCTCTTGGAGTTGGAGACACACTCAAGGCTTGGAGCTCACGTCCGTCGTGTTGCGATCACGCTGCTTTAGTAAACATTTTAGTAGTAATTGGATCGTCAACTTACCCTCCGCTCTAATAAATGCTTAGTTGATCTCCCCGAAAGCTCATAAGAAACATTCTGACTACCTAGGTATCTTGTAGGATTATGTCAAATCCTTTTTATTTTAATAGGAAGGCCATCCGCTTTTCTCCAGAGTACCGATAATATATGATATACCAAGACTATAATCCGATCATTATCTCTGTTACCGTGACGCGAGTCACTTGACCGTCCTGTTACTATATTTCTGTTGCGATAGTGAGTCGAGATTCCGATCTGCAGCCTCGTATATCAAGCAATGCGAAGCGCTTTATGCTGGATCAGGCGTTAGTTAGATCAACCTTACGATTTCTAGCGAAACCGGTATAATGCTCTTCTCAAATTGTTATTTTATTTCATTTGACGAATGTAATGGTTCTTGATCTAATGCTATGCAATCCGGTCCAATGCCATAGACTCAATAATGCTACATCAAAAGTTCTGCAAATCAACAAATTGGGTATCAAAGTTTAAACAGTGTCCACTGTGTCACGGCCACTGCAGATATGCCTGGGTTGCTTGCACAGAGACGAGAAATTCCTACGCTTACTCTTCAGGGTTTAAAGACTGCTCGTCGTCTATCATCACTGGGCTTGCGGCTGTTGCTGCACTCACAGGTGTCACCAATGTCATCATCAGGCCCTCGCCGAGACTTTCACTGGTAATTCCTGCCTGAGGCGACAAAAGAGCTCGACTTCGACCGAGTGACGAAGAAGAGGTCATGGGTTTTAGCACGATGCTTCCCAGACTGGCATTCCGCCGAACTCTCAAAGGCCTCACGGACGAAGCCCCGTCATTGTTTTGAGTCGACGACTCTATGCTGAGACTTCTCCGCCTGAGAAAAGAAGGGCGAGCTGATCGAGCACCGCCTGCGCGACCTCTGCTCGTTGAACGCCTGGATTTCACCTCTCGCGCCGCTCTAGCTTCTGGTCCGAAATTGACGTGATCCCGTAGTCGGTGGATTGCCTGTCGTAAAGCCAGCTCAATAGCCACGCAGTTCTTGATCCGGCACATACGAGGCCAGGTAGCGACTTCGCCCGCTCTAGTTGCCTCAATCATGAATTCTGGGGTCGGGTTCATCATCATATGGAAGTACTCGCGAGTTTGGATTTGGGGAAAGATGTTGATGTCGCCCGTGTATTGCTGATTGATCACCGACGCCCAACGGAACGACCTCCGAGCCAAACCAATGTCAGCCATTTGTTCCGACCGGTGAATGATCTCTTCTTTGAGGAAAGCCTTGATCCCTTGGAGCCAATTTCTTGAAGGCGCTGCTGATCGGGGCTGTCTCCCTCGGAACTCTTCTTCTGGTTCCAAGAAGGATCGGACGTGGGGATTGACCTGTGATACAATAAAGAAATTCACGTTGAACAGCTCTTCCAGTTTCCTCATTGGGATGTCATGGTCCAATGAGCCGTCGACAAACATCTGTTGCGCGTTTTGCATCCATAGCTGCTCCTTTTTCGTGATGGGATCCTTTTCGTAGATGTTGACGGGCGCGAAGACGCTCGGGACCGCACAGGAAGCACATACGGCCGACCAGACCAAGACATCGGGAGCTGTGACATAATTCAGCAGTCGAGGTTCGCCACTACCGGCACTCGAGACACAGATGTTAAGTGTCCGACCTGTCTTGTAATGTGCTTCTCGAAATGTGATATCCCCGAGCCATGACTTCATCACTCTTTTGATATTGTCCATCTTAAAGAATGCCCCTGACTGGAGAAAGGTCTGGGCTCGCTGTGAGAGCCATCCCATCGAAGAGGTGCCGGGAGGATCGAAAACAGCCAAGTCGGAATGTGGGAATCGCTCCAGCACTTCATACATGTGTTCGTCGGTGGAAGTCCCCACGATAGCCGCCACGATACTGCCAGCTGATGCTCCGGATATGACATCTGGCAACAACTCTGCTTCCCACAAAGTTTTGACCACGCCAATATGTTTCATGCCTAGGAGTGCTCCACCAGATAAGGTCAAGGCTGATCTCCCGAAGAACTTTAGAGAATCTTCCAGGGATTGCTGGTAGAAGCGGACTTCTGTATTGGGGAGGTTGAATCGGATAGGGAGCTCGGCAAATGCGTCGACGGCCTCGAGGACGGTGTTGATGTAGTCGTCGATGAGAAACTTGGTGCCGAACCAAGAGTGTTTGTAAAGTCGCAAACTGTTCATACAGCCCAAGTCCCGACTCAGACCTGTCCTCAAATGATATTGCAGGGCACTCAGGTCTGATGAAGCAATGGCCTTCTGGAGTAGGTCTGCATTATTCTGGATCAGGTCCGGATCGTACTCTCTTTCTATTGAATATTTCTCCTCCTTCCATGTCTCGTGACTTTGCAGGTGATCCAGAGCCATTGTACATTTTTCGTACTCGGCCAGGGAAGTGGCGTCTTTCATGTCTCGAGTCCATTTTTGCTCGGCGGTCTCAGGTGGTTTCCTGCAGAATCTGGCTATCTCTTCGGCAACATGTTGTAGTCTCTGGCTGGGTGAGCAGACTTTGATGATATCGGCGTAGAGGCCAATGCAGGACCAAAAGATTTTGGAAGACGGGGTTGCGACAGAGAGAATGATGGCCATGTCGAGGGTGCAGAGGTGGCCATCTGACCAGGACGAAGACTACGGGCAGGGAGGGTTCAAAAGGGAGGGTGAGACAGAATTTCCGAAAGAATGTGAGTATCGTCTAAAAGATAAGAATTCAAAGCCGTGTCATCCACATAGAGAGCGAAGTGGTCACACGGACAGATCGGTCATGAAGGCCTTAGTGAGCAAGAAGGAGCGGTAGAGAAGACAGAAACAATAGCCTACTGGGAGACGGTTAATAATTTGAAGGAGCGAATCTCAACCTTTGGCCGACGGCTTATTTGTGGAATTCAGGCACAAAGAAGGACGCCACCAGTGAACAGAAAGAAAGGGTGGAAGTTGGTAGCGAAACCAAGTCAGTGCGTGTTGCCAGTGTGTGAGAGAGCGATGGTGTGGGAGGTGAAGCCCGACGACGGAATTGGAATGAGTGAATGACCTCAAAGTGGTGGGGCGATGACATCGATGGCCAAGTGCAACCCAACTTGCGGACTATCCGTACGAGCCTACAAGGTACCGAGTACCCGTTCCCCAGTTGATTTTATTTCGTGTCGAAAGGATCCAAATGTTTTCCTGGAGAAGCGATGAGTAAACCCCATCAAGGCTGCCTACTATTCGTTAGTACCTGTTCTTTTGAACAGGCGCGTGATATCCCCTGGGGGCCTCGAGGAGCCCAATCAGGCTCCACCACTGCACCCACCGTATATCTTGCATTTGCACCCCTCAGGCCTCCAAAACAAAGCACTCTGCACGATCACATGCAAGTTGAGAGCTTTTGTTCTCCAGTCATAATCCCAGTCTCTCTGTCGCTCTGTCGCTCTGGCACGATCCGAATGCTGTGCAACAAGGGTCAGGGTTCCTTTTTTCCTATGCCCTCTCTCTCTCGAGGCTGTGATGCACATGTCACTGTTTCTCCAACGACACTCTGCCACATGCTAGTACCTTTAATCGACATATTCAATTCATCAGACACACTGGACAGTCACTGAGTGCCTCGATCGATGCCAAATGGCGTATAGTCAAATCGAGTCAGTCCTGCCAGTGTCATCCTCAGACTTCTTCATGAGTCAGAAAGTATATATTAGGTTTTTTGACAGAAGAATATGTAGCCTCGTACCAAACTTCGTCGAATTCTATCTTCATCCGCCACCGCCAATCCCTTCTATCGTACTCTCTCCAGAGTGGTTATGACGATGGGAAATTTCATCACCGGTAGACGCTGGGACCAGGGTCTTGAGCCAGTCAGCCAGTCCTTGCTGCAATCGAGTGATACCCTCTGAATCATGCCAGAAATGGCCCGAGTCGGTCCGAATGGCGACGAACCGCGAGTTCGGTCTCGAATTGAGATTCTCTGTCCACCGCTGGAGTTTCCGGTCACTGGTGAAGGCGTCCTTGCAGCCGTAGATACATATGCACGGGTGGTTGGTCAGCTCCTCGAACTCCACGCCGGATGAGGTGCCGGACCCTTGGGACTCGGAGCCTCTATTCCTCCTCGTGAAATGTAATCGGGAGAACATGGTCGTAAACCCAGCTATCGGGGGCAGTAATGGAGAGATGAGAATGTACGCAATTCGAGGCACTATCGGTACATCACCCACTGGACCCGGGGGTTTCGATTTGGATTTCTGGGGCGAGACGACGCGGTGGTGGCTGATCTTTCGCCGGACATTATCGATACTCTGTCTGACCCGCTCCCCATCCAAGCTCCTCCTCGAAGATTCTCGACTCACCCTTCGACTAGCCACCTCCGATTCGTATCCACCCATAGCCACAGCCCGATGCGAATTCCGACTCGCATCGTCCGCAATGTTTCCTCGGACACGGCTGACGGAAAGTGACGTCTTTGGCACACTACTATGTATCTCCAGATAGGCCCTCGCGTCTCGAGACAAGTCTTCGGCTCGGAGTTTGATTTCGTTCTCGGCTGAATCAGAGGACGGTGCTCGGAATAGCTCAACCACCTGATCTCGAGGAGGGAGATGTGATGCGATCATGGACCCATACGAATATCCACCAAGGATCAGAAGGGCGTCAGAGCACCTTGGCAGTGTACTCGGGACTTCATGCTGATGGTATATCGCATTGATGTAACATAGAGCAAACCCATAGACCGACACGTAGTCTCCAAGCTCGGGTTTTCCTGTCCACGAAGTCTTCCCCGCCGAACCAGAGGCTCCCCTTGAATACAAATCAGATACATGACGGGCCCTGGGGATTGCCACGACGGGACTCACCTGAAATTGAACGTGATCAAGCTGCATCCCTGGCGAAGGAGCACCGCTCCGGCAAGTCCGACAACGGGGTCATCGTAACATCCGCCCAACGTGGCATAGGGATGAGCGAAGATGGCAAACACTCTGCCAAAGATGCCCGGGTTCTGTTCCGTTCTCCTGGGATAGTACAGACGGCAGTCTAGCTCCAGATCATCGTGGACGCTCGGGATTTTGAAGGCGTAGTTGGGCTTGGGAAGGGACATGTCGTTCCTCACTGACTAGTACACGCTGCCCCGCCTCGCCATGGATGCAGCGTATCGGCCTCGGAACAGGGCAGAGACACTAAGCAACAGAGGGGCGGAATAAAGATGACAGAATAATGAAAAGGAAAGCGGCGTCTTTAAAGATTTGTGCTTCGAGATCTGCACAGCCACTCGGCAACTATCTAGATCCCTGCCTAGGTAGGTTGGTACTTGAAGTTCACGAATCAAAACAGTAGTCCGCCAAGCATTTCTTTGCTGGCACTGCTCATAGATCATCGCATTCTTTATTGCAATTTCGGTGGATAAGATACTTGAATATTCAATTCCCCTGTCAAAGCAGGCATTTCTCATCATTTGTAGCCTTCAATTAACTATGTAGGTATGAATGAGATCAACCTTTACAGCTGCTACTCTTTCTAAGCAAGTTTGATAGACAAACAACATCAGAACCGTCCAACAAGTAACCAACCTTTCAAGTAGCTACCAAGCTGCCCCTAATCGAAGTGAGACCGGCATACTTCTATGGCTGCGCAATCACTGTTGGCTCCCGAGGCATCATCGATTCTGTACTCTGCAAAATGCCTGACCCAGGACCAATCTATGCCCGATCTGCTTCAAACAAAGTTCTAATCTCACCTGCGAATCAGGGCTGTCTCAATTTTCGTCACGGTGAGAGTGATAGAGACTGGTAATGCGGAAATCGAGCTGTTGGTGACAGTGTCCTCATTTTTCATGTGCGATTGAAGCCAATTTTTTCCATAAGAAAGTCTTCAAAGTCAGGACAATATCCCCAGGAATTGCGGATTCCTCTGACGTTAATTCGAACCTCGCTCCCCAGATGAGACCTGCTACAATGTTGATGAGCTTGATGTAAAAGTAGTTGGTTGGTGGGCCGCACAGGCTGGACGCAGGAGGCATTTGGCAAGTCCTACGCCTCCCGCCCTTTGCGAGCCAGGGAGGTGAGGCGTAAAAATGCCAGGTACCGCAGTGAATTTCCGGCCTATTTTTTGTGGCTCATGGTTCACGTCAAGGTGGTGGAAGGCAGACTTCCTTCTTTTCCGTTCTCGTGGCTAGGGAATTATCGCGTCGTTTCCCGAGTTGTCAAGGTAGAGAAGACAAGATGGCCAGTAAATTCACTGCAAGCTTTGCTGAAGCAGAACTCAAAGAGGCAGCTTTCAGCCAACGTTTGCTCAAAGCCTCTCTTCCGAGTGCTGGGGTGAAACTCGACGGGCTGTTCTCGATGACAAAGGGCTCAATGACGTGAGACTCGACATTCGCGGATTTGATTCACAATGGACAGGATACATTCTGCCCAGTGAGAGTGTATAACTGCAGATTGATTGCACCAGAGCTCTAAGGTGGGTCGATATTTCTGTTTCGTCGGCTGCCGCGGACTTCACGTAATCGACGGCTGTGTTCCGGATTGGAACCCCCTTCGAGATCGCTATCTGGATTTCTGCTTCTCCGACTTCGACTTCGACTCCTGTCAACTGGTCCAATCTCGGGTTCGTTGGAAGCAATGCGTTCTAATGGCGTTGATTTGCCCTTCGAGGAGCGCCTTCTCGAGTTGGGCGGCCTTTCGTCCATCTGACCCATCTCATTTCGATCTCGCGATCTGCGCCGTCTTGATCTTCTCTTCTCTCGGTGACCAGCCGGTGTTCCAAGAACAGCACCACTGGCCATGTCTTGTCCATCTTGATACTCGTATCCACGGGTTTGTTCCATATGCTTCGAAAGCATGTCAGTGGAGTACGGGAACGGGGTTGAGTGGAATACCTGATGCGGACCCCACAGATCTGGAGTTGCAGAGCGAGCACCGGCACGTTTTTCAGTTTCGGATGGAAAACCAGACATAGCAGCTCGCCTCTCATCGACCTTCCTACGATGGCGCCGTTTCAACCAGATGAGAAGCCATGTCAACAGCCCCAACCCGACAAGAAGAATTCCAAGCATAAGGATCCACTTCCAGTGTCCTTCGATCCTATGCATATGTCAGAATGGTTTTGGGGCAAGAAAAGTGTATTTTATTTTACCAGGACTGAGTCTTTGGCGCGGGTGTATTCGCGCTGCCAGTACCAGTACTCGTAGCACCCGAAGCGCTGTTTGTACTAGTTACTGTAATCACAACCACGCTTTGTGTAGCTGTTGTTGGAGTGCCAGCAGTCGTCGCCAAAGGGTCAACACCCTGACCAACAGCACTGCAGAAGCCTGTGAACCATTTCTGCAAGAGTACTCTGTCGGACTCTATGGTACACTCGGCGGTGCAGACAGCATCAGGACTGGAATATAGGCCTTGGAGGAAACTGCTTTGGCAGAAACAGTTCTCGTAGGTAAACTGGGAGGTGACGGCGACGGCGGGCGGTATGCAAAGATTCTGCGCTTGCAGTAGGAGATTGCAACCCACTCCACAGCCAGGAAAATTGGCAGAAGAGGAAGTAGGAACCAAGTTTTGGGCCCGTGCGACATCGAGGAAGAGGAGTAGGAGGAAGGTGAGGGTGGGGAGTGCTGTCTGCATTTTGATGTTGGAATGCATATTGGTGTACTTTGGACCGCGATCTATTGTCGCGCGACAGTGAAAAGTAGTGGAGTGGCAAATCACGGTATTTGATTCTAGACCTGAGGATGGGTGTAGCGAGCGTGGATGCGGGCACTGGCAGGATATGCTATGCAGAGCAGGCAGAAGGCTTCATGTGCCGCATTATTGCGACGCAAAAACGAATGTCGACGCTTCAAGAGCAGCTATGAAGCGGCAGGGAAAGAAAGACAAGTTAAACAGGAGCAGCAGAAGAGCGACAAGTTAAGTTAACTTGTATCTGGTAGCGCAACTGCAACCGCAACCACACCTCAGTTAAAGACACGGCAGGGATCTGGTCAACAAGCAGGCCGAGGGAGGGCGGAGGGTGGAGGGAAGGTTGTTCAAGTGGAGTGCCAATGCATGAGCTACAAGTCGCTAAACCACGAGTAGTTACCATTTCTACCCACGTAGCAGTTGGTAGCGAACCACACTGCATGAAAGATGCAGCAAAGAGTGTGAGGAGGAGAATGATAGACACGTTGGCAGCTGCCGAATCAAGTCCAATGCCGCATGGATCCTTCTTCCAAACAGAACGGAAGATCAAGATGCATCTCAGACTCAGAGAAGTGCTGGTGGTAGGGTGGCATTGGCCCATGGCGGCGAGAATTAGATGAGTTCATTTCAAAAGGACGTCGGTCATCATGCCACGCGACCGATCCATCAGGACACCACAGTTGGTGTTTGATTAGAGAATTACTTGGTATACAAAAGGCTCCTCCCGTGATAATAATAACAATGGATATTCCTCTGCTCCTTCTGCTCCTTCTGATTCTTCTGATTCTTCTCAAAAATGATGATGCTCTGACCCGGAAATCACACCTACTCGGTTTCCCCGCCCCCCTGTTAAACAGGCAAGGATGTCATGCCTAGAGTTTAGGCGTGGCGGTTAAACCTGCCCTCCCCCTCGTCCCCCCAGCAAGCTTGATTTCTTCCCCACCCATTCACTTTTGGCTCTCTCTGGTCCCTAATCTCTCAGCGCACCTATCAACCCGCCCATCTCACGGAGAGTTTTTGAATTACCTCTAGAGATTCATCTTCATTCGCTACCGTTTTGTGTTCTTGTTTCGTCAGCGGAAGAATGCTGTACCCTGGAAATGCAGGAACCACAAAGCCGTACCACTCTGCTGACAGACCTATTTCATAACCTGGTCGGAAAATGGAGCTTGGAGCGCAAGTTACACAGCGCGGATGCTTCAGAACCATCTGGCAATTGCACGGGAGAAGCAACATTCACCATCACTCAACCATCTCCTGTCATTGCTGATGATGGCTCCCTCCAGCTCGCTGATGCCGAGTTGCTCTATCATGAACAAGGCGAATTTGAGATGACTCCATCTGCCCAAGCTCAGGGCAACGTGGTCAAATTTGCATTTTCAAGAAAGTACATCTGGCGCCTGCAGAAAGCTCAAACCGCCCATACGATCAGTGTGTGGTTTACGAAGCCTGGCACCAATGTCATCGACTATCTATTCCATAAAATCGACATTCCTGTACGATCTGATGATGACTGCAAGATCCCTATTCAAGAAATCGTCCTCGATGGAAGTGGTGGCCACCTTTGTGTCGAAGACTTCTACAGCAGCTCGTACTCCTTTCACTTGAGCGCACCCTCGAAAGGCTCGAACATCCTATCCTGGTTTAGGACAACACATGAAGTTCGTGGACCTAAAAAGGACCAGCTAATTGAAACCACCTTCTCACGACCCTAAGGGGGTGATATTCTTCACATTTGGACAGAATCAAGTACTATTGATTTACACGTTCGTTAATTCTGTCGACTCCCTGATTTCGAGGGAGTCCGACCATCTGATCCTTCGCGTCAACGTCACATTCACCGTTGCCATGTCACAACCTGATAGTAATAGACAGCACCCTTATCCACTCGGTCTGAGTACCGCCTCGGGGAGTCTTTGGGCAGTCCTGATATCGGTGGATTCAAAACCTCCGAATGTGCACGGTGGGATTGCCGATGCCAATTGCCAAGACCCTTTCCGACGGCCAACTGGGTGCTTGATTCGTTGTCTCTGACGTCTGTCCACTTCTGGTTCTACTACAAAAGATTTGAACATGGCTCGTAAAGGACATTCTAAAAGGTATGAGCAAGAATTAGCAATCCATACTCGCACATCATGGCTACCTCTTTGATTGACTTGGATCTTCCCGAAATATTTGCAAATATCCCTCGCCATGAGCTCACGCTAGGCCCATCTCCAATTCATTCTCTCCCTCGCATATCTGAAGCACTTGGAAATCAAGTCGCTATCTATGCCAAACGAGAGGATTGCAACTCGGCTATTGCTTTTGGGGGCAACAAGACTCGTAAGCTAGAGTACTTGGTCCCTGAAGCCCTCGCACAGAAATGTGATACTTTGGTATCCATTGGAGGCTTTCAATCCAACCACACACGACAAGTTGCAGGAGCTGCAGCAAAATTAGGTCTAAAGGCCAAACTTGTCCAGGAGAAGTGGGTGCCACATGAAGACGTCGGATACGACAAAGTTGGAAATATCCAGCTATCAAGGTTGATGAACGCCGATGTCCGCCTCGACAATTCTGGATTCGGAATTGAACACAAAGACACTTTGAAAAACCTGACCCAAGAAGTCATCGACGCTGGAGGGAAACCATACTATATTCCGGCAGGTGCATCAGACCATCCCCTAGGAGGTCTTGGCTTTGCACGATGGGCGTTCGAGGTGCGCGCTCAGGAATTAGCCGCGGGCATTTTCTACGACACCATCATCGTCTGTGCAGTCACAGGATCCACGTTCGCCGGTATGATCGCGGGATTCAAGCTCCTGGAAAAACTAGACCGATCGCCGCCTCGGAAAGTGATCGGCATCGATGCATCGGCGAAGCCAGAACAGACATTTGCACAAGTCCTGCGCATCGCCAAGCAAACGGCTGGCAAGATCGGATTGCAGGAATCAGACATCCAGGAGAAGGACGTCATTCTAGACACTCGATACCACGCCGGCACATACGGTCTGGCCGACGAAGCAACTCTGGAGGCGATCCGCTTTGGCGCCAGAACTGAAGGTTTCATCACGGACCCAGTCTACGAGGGCAAGAGTCTTGCGGGTATGATTGACCTGATAAAGAGGGGAGAGATCAAGCCCGGAAGTACCGTTTTGTATGCACATCTGGGAGGACAGTTGGCCTTGAACGCGTACTCGGAAATCCAGTGAGCCGCAAAACGAGTGTAAATTATCCCTTGAAATGACGGAGCTCTGCCACATATCAATTGGATGGAGGGAGACTAAGCTCTTCTGTCTGGTAGCTTTGTAATCAGGCTCGACGAAGGTGAGGACTTGAAGCGTGAATAAGAGGGTGTACGAACCAATCTCTACTGTGTTCTCTCTGTTTTCCCCATCTCTTGCACCGGTATCTAAAGCGCTCGTGAGCTTCGATCTGGCGCTGGACGTCCAACAACGGCAAGGAAAGAGAAAAGTTACAGTCGATGTAAAAATCCCCAGTTCTTCTACATATCTAGCATAGCCAAGTACAAATATCTAGTTTGAAGCCACACTCTTCCTCTCCGTTTCACACAAGACACGCACAATGAGAACACCAGAGTCCATAATCCACAACACGCCTCGCCTCTTTCCCCTCCAACCACTCCAGTGGCACACATGATTCCAAATCAATTCACCTTGCCCGGCCTCTCGCTCCCCACACCATTAACGCGTCCATAAACCCACTTGACAGCGACGGTGATAGCAGCCATGACGACAGCACAGCCGGCAAACAGGGCCAAGCGCTGCTCATATCCAAGCAGCTCAAAGAGGGGATACGGGTAAAACCCATTGCGGGTAAAGCACCACTCGATCCAGAACCAATAGAGGAACGCAATGACGGTCGACAGGAGCGTGGCGGGCAGCGCGGCAATTGTCCAGGGCGGGCTCAACAGCAGCAGGTCGGCGAGCAGGAAGAGCGTCGGCGCGAGGTGGAAGCCCAGGTCCGCGGCCAGCGGCAGCTCGAGCTCCGGCGGGACCACGAGCGCCGGGTCGATGGCCCGTAGCCCCCAGTACAGCGTCGAGATGAGGATCTCCATCGGCGCCGCGCACATGGAGAGCGTGTTCTTGGCCGCGAACAGCGCCCGCGACAGCATCGTGTCCGCTGCGATGCCCAGTGTGAACGTCAGCGTTGCGAGTGAGAGCCCGATGATCGTCAGGTACTGGAAGTGCCAGCCGTACGCCTGGTTGATCTCGTTCGGGTGGCTGACTAGGTAGTCGAAGCTGTATGCGAACGATGCGAGGCCCAGCGTGTGCACGATCGCCGAGATGGTGCGCGAGGGGCTCTGGAGCCGCTGTAGTGGGTGTTGTCGTATCAGTGCGTCGAGCGCTTGCTCGGATTTGCTCCGGGGCTTTTTGGTCGTGGACATTTTTTCCCACTGGAGTGTTGTCCTGGAGTCGTGTGCCTCTCAGTATTTGTCTAGTGTTCTGAGTTGACGGTTGGGGTATTGGGATTCTCGTAGATCTCAAATCGACGTCGCTCGACGACCCTAGGCAAGTTGTAAGTTTCTTGATTGAGTTCAAAAATGACGTTGGCGCCCTCTAGCGATCCAAGAACTTCAAGAACCAGAACTCTAAACCAGAAAGCTGTTCTCGAATATGTAAGATCTGAGTCTATAGATAATCCGCCAAATGTAACCGATCTGCACCTCTGAAAAGGACACGAAAAAAGAGAGATCATGAGCTTGCGGGAGAAAAGTTTCCGGGAATCATGTTCGTGGCGACTACGTCAAATGAAGGTCCTCGAGATATATAAAATGCTGACGTGGGAGAAGTGGAGTGTGCGAATGAGAAGGTCGCAGTCGGAGATTAACTCGATACCAATGATTGAACCAGGTGGCACTGGGGAGGATCCGCTAAGGCTGAGGTGGATAACGACTACGACCTACGGAGCTCTGAACTCGCCACCAAAGTGGACCGTATGATGCATTCGTACATATCAAGAGATGAAAAGGACAGCCTTGTCTAACTACTGCTCACACGAGGGGTTTCGGATTGGATACTTTCACTCCATAGCCAGTGTGCGGCTTAAGAGCAGGTGAAAGTGTGGACGTTGTGAGCAAAAGGTGGCAGCCGAAATCAAAAACGATGAATTCAATCATCATAGCCTAGACGCCAACGCTCGGAGAAGGTAAATCACAAGGCTATATCAATCATGATTTTCATGCCCATGTGCTTGCGGGAATCTGGAGAAGAGTCATAGCCATGTACAAATTCAATCGAATTGCACAATGCCCGTAAAATCTCAAGAAGCATCCCTGAATATAACCAGACTCGGAGGGTGGATATCACGCAGAGAATTGCACAATCCTCAACCAAAAAATTCCCCAGTCACCAAGCTTTCCCAGCTGATGCCTGTCCTCCAGACTTCCTCCATTATTTTTCTTGCTCGACTTACTTGACACATACCAAGTCCCTCGGCGCCTTTGATCCGGCTCAGAACTTCGGCGCGATCAAGTGGATCTTCTGCCTCGACCCCAGCGGTGAACATGGGAAACAGCAGACATGCTTCTGCACTCCCGCCTTCACGAATGGTCTGCAATATCTTGACAATTTCATGTACTGCGACTTGCACTTTGCTATCACTGCGTGGTAAGTTATCCACTCGACGCAAAAGGTGTACCATCCCTGCCCAATGAAAAGCCGAATTGGTGGCGAGTGATTCTTCTGCATCCTTTTCTGACATGTCTGCATATGCAGAGCCACGACGAGCCCCAGCTAGCGTTGCCTTTTCAAGGTGAGGACTATGATGCAGACATGATATTTGTTCATGATTTCGTGCATCCTCCAGATCTTTGCGGAGCTTTTCGGCACGTTTCGCAACGGCGGGTGATGGTCGCCAGTCCTCATTTATCTGCCCAGTCTCCGCATCTATGCGATTCGCTTCACATTCCCGTGCCAGAACCGCAACCTGGGCAAGGATAGAGACACATCTCGTGGTGAACCCGAGTAAACAATCAATGGTAAAATCGTCCTCATCATCACCGTCTTCATCGGTCAAGGACAATTCTTTTGCCGACGTACTCTCGTCATGTGAACTTGACCAGTAATTGCCAACGAAAAGAGGCTCCTCGTTTCTTCGTCCTGACAAGGAGCCAAGCACATCAAGATATGCTAACCACCTTGTCAAAAAGTACATGACTGGATCTTTCCTTGAGATAGAATGAGGACCACCTCGACTCCGAATAATGCTTCGCGCAATACTCAGATGATTTTGCCACGGAATTGAGACCCCAAAACTGGATGGGGATATTATCTCGATCGAAGCAAGCATGATCGCGGTCGCCAAGTTTGCGTTTGAGACCTGTGTGTTGGAGACATTGTCCAGCGTCTGCCTCAAGGATGGAAATACATCGCGGACCCATACTGCGATTCGATTAACAGGTTCACGATGATTCAAAAGCCGAGCGCGATGGCAGGCGGAGTAAGCCAGGAGTAGATTCAGAAGATTTGGATTCTCCACAGCCACTATTGAGGGTTAGCAACCACGTAATATCAACAAAGCGCGTCAAACATACTTTTCGGCAGGATCGTCTTGAAGGGATTTTCCGGACAGTCGTGGGGGACGAGAATCCTCGCTGTGTGGTTGAGAAAATGGTGAAAGTAGAGTAAATTCATGGGGTTTTCAGAAAGAGTCCGGGGGAGAGGTTCCAGTTTCCGTGGAATCTTGATCTGTACCGGGGACGCATAATAGCCACCTTTCTGGAAGACGGTTTCACGACTACTGAGGCCAAATCCAAATTCGGGCACACCGAGGTCAGCATCATTCAGCCAGGCTTCAAAATCACTGTGTTCCGAGGGAGACATGCCGGATATGGCCATTGTATCATTGTTTCGCGGAATGTCCAGGTCGACATTACCGCGATCTTGTCCATATGTCTCAGTTGCCGTGTAAGATATCATCCTCTGATGGAGCGAACCGCGTCGTGGAATCTCTTCTTCTGTGTAGACATTTTGTTCATTCTGGAGAGGTAGAACAACATCATCAGGCTCGGGATCTTCAGATAGCAGGGAGCTGACAGAAATGCGACGATCCTCATTATCTTGGGAGATGTGTGAAGTGGACGAAGTCGCGGGGGTCAACGGATTGCTTAAATACGACGGGAAGAAGGTGGGAGTGTTGGGATTGAATTGGACCCTGGGCGGCTCATCGACATCATTCGGACCATATGACCCAGCCCTCTGATAGGTTTGAGTCCTCCCAAAGCTATCTGTGCGTGGGCTCAATCTCATTCTCTTTGCGCCATTGTATGGAGAGGCAGCGGTTTCTTGATAGCTCATGGGATTTGACGTGGGCATCGGGGGAGGCATGTGCATGCTCCCATTAAAGGCAAACATGCCATTGTTGGGACTTGGGCTTCCGAAACCTGTGTCGGAGGGAGATGGATATGAAGGAAGGGAGAGAGTATGTCTCAACGACGAGACGGCGGTCGTCTCCGCAAGGTTGCTGGTGCTGGCGCTTTCGCCCCACTGCGGAGTTCTCAGTATAGGTGGTGGTGGAGGGAGTATAGTAGGATTGAATTCAGGCGCCGGTACGGGGACGTGGGAGTCGTAATTGTGAAGTGAAGGCAGCGCAGTCTCTGGCGGGGTTTGATCGGGCTGGTAATGGCTCACGCTGACGGGCTGGAGATGCATAAGAGATGGTGAAGGACCAAGAATCTGTGGGCTCGGTCCATTGCTGTGCATGCCGTTGGAATAGCCGTTGAAATCAGACTGCGGTGAAGGTTGAGGTGGAGAGCCTCCGAAAGAGATAATTTGAGGAGTGCCCGGCTTGCCATCCTCTTTTCTTTTGGTCCGTCCATCCCAGTTCAAGCGTATGCTGTAATCGCAAGCCTCGCCTTGTCGCTGACAGTTGGCACAACTGGGTTTCTCTTCTCCACTACATTTCGGTCAGCATGGATCGAGTGAAGGCAAGGATGAGATGGAATCACCATTTGACTTTGCGGGATTTACAAGGCCTGCATCTTGTCAATACTCAAGTTGTGGAAGATGGGCCGAAGGCCACTTTGTGCACCTACCAGCAGCCATTCCTTGACCGTTTCTTGACCTCCTTGCCATCCTGGTCAGGCTTCTTGGGGCGCGGCATGGCTGAGATGGGGCAGTGTTACGGAGGAAGAGAGAGGTGCGACAATAGCATTAGGATGAAATTGAGGTTAATCGGCCAGGCATGGTTGTATGTGGTGCCAGTGGTGAATGGTAATCAACATGGACAGCATGTCGGAGTGCGAGTATGGAGATGCATGAGGAGCAGATGATGCACGAGAGGGGCAAGATTGGACGAGGGTGCCAGCGGGCGTGAGATGGAATAAAGTTGAAGACAGAAAAGGGAAAATTGGAGGACCACGAGGACTAGTTAGACTCGACGGCAAGGCAAGAGCGGGTGAAATACGGGACAGTAGTTGGTGACATGGATTGGATTTCAACAAACAGACGAGAAACGAGACTCGAGATAGAGAGATGGGTGAGCCTGAGGAGGGTGTAGAGTTAGTGTGGACTTTAGTTAGCGGAAGGGCACTTTGAATGGGCTCTGAAGCTAAGCGACTACCGAAAGCCCCCAGTATCCATTCTCCGTCTTCCGTACTTCGTAGCTTCTGTTGAATCGCCTGAAGGAGGAACGAGGGGTCCAAGGAATCAGGATAGGTGCAAATACCGATACTGAACACAGAAGAGGACAGACCAGTGGCAGAGTCTAATCATGACATTGAGCTTGTACCCAGGACGTTGGTCAGAGACCACTGGCGACTCCGAGCTTTGAGGCCGACCCTTCAATTGATGATGCTGGCATTCTGATTTGTGAATGGCACAGGTTCCAAGCACCAGCCGTGTAGGCTGAAGTTGAAGGTGCAGTGGCACTGGTACTTAGGAAGTCATCAATGGTCAACTCAAGAGCCTAAACGCATCCTGGCCCTTTTAGCACCACGGCAAACCCGAGCTGAACTTTGAGCTTGGAGCAAGCCAGAGAGAGACACAACTTGCAGGCCGCCGTGCACGGACCACCAGCATCAACCATTCTAAATCCTGTGGGCACTAAAGTACGAGTACCTGGAGTAGCGAGTTTTAGGTGTCCATAGAGGTCCCGTTCCCGGTGCTACCAGCGGGTGAATTGTTGTAGTCAGCAACCAACTTCTGCTGTCATTCATGTGCTTGGCATCACAGGATCCAGTTTCGAATTTAGGAGCACGCTTCGACCAGTCTGTCCATGTCCTCGGGATCAAGCTTATACAAATCAGGACCTTCAAGATCAGGCATCCCGGCCTGGCGAACTCCAGGATCGTTGAAGAATAAATGTGAGATTAAAGTTCAGTGCGTGGGGTACATGCGCGCTGTGCATCAAACGCCGACCTCGAGATCTCAATATGCCTGACGGAGTAGTAGATCGTAGGCTCAGTGCCTGGGCATTCTTTCTCTCATGGCAGGCATGCCTGGAAATCTCGAGCCTGGAGTACTCCCATCACATGTACTAGTGTGGCAAGAAAATGTCTTCAAGAGAGCCAAAGATACCTGATAAAGCACGTCGATAATCGCAGTGTATTAGACTTGTAAATGCTGTATAGCGACCATGGACGTGATGTCGGAATATCTCTATACCGCAGTTTCGCGACTGTCATACCAGAATTTCCTATTCTGGGCTTAGTCAAAACTCAAACATACGCTACTTTGTGAATTCTACTAATGACTTTGCTATCAGCGACTTCAAAACTGCGTTACCATCTCGTACATCGCACGGCAGTGGGTGTTTGTGAGACGCCAAATAAATATCTCCCACCAACGGCGTGTTTCTGAGACATCCTACCTAGTACGCCTGAGCTACCTGTCCTCGACTTTCTCCATCGGCCAACACCTATTGTCATGGCTGCAACCTCTTCCAAGCTGGGTTTGCAAGCCTCCCAAGCAGGTTCGCTTCGAAGCTATCCCCAAATCCGCACCACAATACCCAAACGCCAAATGTCATCAGCAATTATCTCACGGAGACCTCGTGCTCCTTCACATCTTCTTCAAGCCTCGAGTCTAGCGCTGCTTGCTACAAATCCTGCACGGTCAACCCCACCTCCATCATTCTTCGCTCCTTCTGTGAGCAGATCCCGAAATGCTTCTACCACTTCCAAATCTGACCCAAGGTCGGATGTTCTTGACTGGAATACATTCTTCAACCTCCGAACATCTCGTCGAAGGTACGCTCTGACCTCATCGATCATCACATCGGCCGGCTCCACCACTGCTGCCATTGTAGCCTTCTCGGAGATCCCAGACCTAGCCAATACTGTTCAATCCATCATTCCTACAGATCCTTTTGTGAGTATGGGAGTTGCCACCTTTGGTGCCACATTCTTTGGCTGGCTCATTGGCCCGGCTTTCGGAAATACAGTCTGGAGACTTCTCCATCGCAGCCGACTGCCTGAATTTACCATCAAAGAGAAGGCTTTCTTCGAGAGGATAAAAAAGCACCGGGTCAACCCCAGTGGAGCCAGTACAAACAATCCAGTCCCTGATTTCTATGGTGAGAAAGTCGGCAGCGTAGCAGGCTACAGACGATGGTTGAAAGATCAGAGAGCTTTCAACAGGAAGAGAGGAGGATCATATCCCACCAAGGTCTAAACTACTACAACGGATAACACATGAAGGTACGAATGGTAGAATTTGAAGGTCATAAGGAAAAGACAACCCGAGAGTTTACTTCAACAAGTCCACAAGTGTGGTGCCGTTGCAAGGATTGAAAGGTGATTACTACCTGGAGTAATCAGTGAATGTAATACCACCAAAAACACATTCCATTGTACAACATTGAACATTACCGACATGACAACATAATTGCTCCCACTCCATACTGGGCTTATGACCATGGTTTCCTTACATGCTCAACTCGAAGCTAATCTCGTCAACATGAACTTTCCCATACAAGGTAAACGGCATCTCAAATACTTGTTCCTCTGGAAACTACGAACTATCGGTGGCATTCCAACTATTGGTACAGGTGATATCGCTTGCTATTCTGAGACCTTCCATCAGATTGAACTGTCAGCCATTAGGGGAAATATCGAGGGCGATATGAACAACACTCCACCAACAGAATACAGCCCTGAAGAACCTCAAACATAGCAAGACCTGCAAATTCTCAGCGGACCGAAGATGGTCAAGCCTCTCTCTCTGTGTTTCTGTACGAGGTATTCCGATATATACCGGGCAGTGAAAGGACTTGATGGGATCATGAATGTCCCTGGCCGATCTGGGAATGGAGATCGAAGCACTAGTATTAGTGATATATATGTTTTTCAAAATAACAATGCGGAACCTATTCCCATCTCACCTGACCATGGATATTCCTTCTACTTGTCACAACATCCCAGTAAGTACCTAAGGTAATTTGAGACCCGTCCGGACAACTGGGCGTCCAGATGTTGCTGGCTACAGCCTTCCTGGCCTGCCTCGGAAAACTCTCGGTGACTCAGCGCTGGAATGAGTCAGCCCATAGCAATTGATCATTGGACAGACCTGTGCCCTCCAACAACGTTACCCAATGACCTTGGTCCAGGAGAATCCGTTCTCTGCCAAAATGATCAGCCATCTTCACTTGTCATGGCGGACAAACTGCCGGAACATTTTCCATGAGGTTTCATGTCTCCATTCATATACCTTGCTGTGAGCCATTTGATTGCTCAAGATTAGAAAGACGTCAAGGCAAGTACACCTGTGTCCACCCCAGCATTTCAACTGTGGCATCCTATTTGCTCATCGGTAAGCTTCATCCGGAAGAGCTTGATTATTTGCCACACCATTTCACGCTTCAAGACATCAATAGGACCAGGGGGTTTCTGAAAATGGACAGAATGCATTTTCATCCACCTGGTGGGTATATATGCTGCTGGCCGCTTGCATCTGAGGTAGGAAGAAACCATCCACAGACCCTCTCTGAGAATTTCATAACATACGTGATTGGTATCAGGTACCCATTGTCTTAAGGAAGTGGCATCACTTCATCTCCAAGACTACTAGTCACTAAATACCATGTCTCTCATCTCTGTACTGGGCTTCAGGCCCTCATCCTCATCTGGCTCATCCGAGAGCACTCACTGGGCCATTCTCATCTCTCCACACCCACCATCCACCAAGCCCCAAAAGTCAAAATCTCGGTTCTTCCATCCCAAGATCACAACCACAGAGCAACAATCAGACTCGGCTCTATTTGACATGAACAAGCATCAACTCCGCCAGCAGCAGTTTCCCATCCCTTTGAAGGAAGCGCCAAATAGCACAGAATCTACCACCTCTAGATCCTCGGAAACACCGCCCGAGGCAGTGACCGTCACCACCCTCGATGCCGACACCTCTCACCCACTACAACTGACGCTCAAAATCAACGCAAGCATTCTCGCACAAACGCCACAGCGACTAATACCCAGGCTTTCCGAACGCTTGTACCACACACCGACCTATGGCTCTGAAGACGACTGGCTCCGTGCGGCCCTGAGCTTAATGCACGACATTTTACTTGAGCCGGGATTTGACGTCGACCAGTTCGTCGAATATGCCACCTCGGCAGCCAAGGAGTACACCATGTACGAGGCCAGCTCGGAAGAACAACAGAACAACGAAGGTCGACAAGTCCAACGACCAGACATGGAGACCGAAGACTCCACCGTTCTCACCCTCGACTACAGGGCACACATGGCGCAGAGCGCCTCGGTCAAGGCAATGCTCAATCGCGATCCGCAACAGCAGCTGACACCGCCCGAGAGCCCGAGACTCCAGCACGTGAAGCAACAGCAACAGCAAGGTCAAGGGCAAGAGCAGAAGAAACCACGCACGTGGCTCGGCTTCCGTATTTCGATGGCTCCGACTGTGCAAAGTAGGAGGCCGTCTCAGAGATATAGCTTCGAGAGGCAGGATGACCCGTACGGCGGACTGATGTAATTGGGGTTCTCCTTGCCTACTCCATTTACAACTCTATTTGTGCGACGAGGTGCAGCATTGTGGACATGTGACTGCGTTAGCCATGTCCGGCGCTTGGTCGAGGGTGTCATTCCGTCGAGCATCCAGCGAACTCCTCCTCAATGAGAGAGTGTGTGTGCAAACGTCCCCTGTGCGTCTCATGGATGTTTGTTCTACATGGAACGGGATGAAACGAGACGTGTCCTCCCACGCTACGGAGTCCAATCATTGGGCTTGTCAAGCCAGCCGTGAACAGATGAGATGGAAGAAGTCGAAGGTCAGATAATATGATAATATGATATGATATGATATGTTGAGATTGTTGGATTTATTCTCTGTCTCTCCTAAGCTTATCCATTTTCCTTCTCTTCTTGTAAATATCTGCAATGATCATCATGACCCTCGGGACATCTGTTCTCCTCATCGTCATCCATACTTTAGATTTTTGGTTCTTCGTGCTCCACATAGCCATCCATCCAAGATACAGGACCATCATCCATGGCAATCAGGACCCCTTTCTTCCAAAGGGACATCTCAAACTCCAAGCCCTTGTACTCTCCTGCCACCGGGATATCAACGAGCGATTCAGCGATGATGGGGTATTGGTCTGTTTCATCCCCGACCCACATAAATTATATAATAAAAAAGAAATCAAGAGACACACACAAGGAAATGAAATGAACGAGGAGCAAAGGAGTCATGTCCATCAACCGACAAGCCCCTTTGCCTCCAAACACCCGACCAAAGAACAGCATGCGCTAGAACCCAATGATAACCCCGGCCGGTGTACATACAGAGATGTAACTATGTGTGTATGTATGATTGTCCTACCAAGCAAACGCCAAACCAGAGCAGAACCCCAATGCCAAAGTGTGAAGGAAAAGCACACGACAAGACGAGTCCGACAAAGCCAGGCTCATCGTCTGGCGGCATTTCAGAACGCCTGACCGGGCGTGGGGGCCCTCGCGGACGTCTGATACGCGCCGGGGATGGGGACGGCGGCGTAGGTTTGCTCGCCGTCGGCGGCCTCGGCGTGATTGTGGATTCTGTCCTCTGGCTTGGGCAGCGGGGAGGAGAGGGGTGGCGAGACGGCGCGAGAAGTGTCGATGGCAAACGTCTCGGCCGCGGGGGCCTTGGGCGTCGCGTGATGCACACGGATGGGCGGGGCCTGCAGCCTGAAGGGCGAGGCGGTGGTGTTGCTGCCAGCGGACTGGGGCGAGCGGACGGGCGACTCGCCGCGCTCGGCGCTGTTGTATGCGTCGTAGGCCTTGCTGTTGTGATAGCCCGGGAAGGCCGGGGTGCGGGGCGTCTGTGCGAAGCCCGGGGTGTTGGGGGCGGACTGGGTGCGCAGCTGGGCGAGGTAGAGATCTGTGCGGGCCTTGTCGCGGGCGTCCATGGACTTGCGCAGCCGGTTCTTGCTCCAGAAGCGGTAGAAGACGATGCCGTAGATGGCGATGACGATGACCTCGACCACCACCTCGATGATGCAGCAGATCAGCGACCAGTCCTGCAGCCGGCACACGAGCGCGTAGTGCACGTCGTCCTCGAACAGTTGCCGCCGCTTGTTGTCCTTGCAGCTCCACCCCCACATGTCCTGTCCGTTCCCGTTGGATTTCGAGCCGTGCAGCACCCCGGCCCCGACAACCCACATGATGATGCTGAACATGAACCATCCGACCGCAAACATGGTGTAGTAGACGGCGACTTTCTCGGCGCGGCGGTGTCCGCCCCGGCAGTAAGCAAAGATGACGACGATGGAGAACAGTAGTGAGACACATGCGATCGACAGCACGACGATCTGTGGCCATGTTTTTTGGTTGGGTGCCCATGCGGGCATGTTGTTGCGGGGTGGGATTGCTTTGGTGGCGTGGAAGATGGTCAAGACCGTCGAGAGCATGGCGAGCACGATCAGTGAACAGCTGAAGTTGACACCGCGGAGAATCATTTTGGCCATGCGCACACGGGTTTTGACTTTCTGTAAAATTTGTCAGGATTGCCTGGGTTTTTCCATTCTACAGAACAAAGACTTACCAGATCCTTGGCCTGTTCCTTGTCGGTGCTGTCTTCCTGCTTCTCCAACATTACTTCTTCTCTGAACGTTGGGCTTAACGGGTTCAGTAGACGTGCTGCTGTGCCGGGTGTCTTGAGAGCGGATTTCAACGGACCACCACCGGGATTGAGATCACCTCGTATCGTTGCATGTTGTTCGACAGGTTGGTTGTCTGAGATATAGCCGAAGCCAACATCTGATGGCTTGGGAGTGGCCCTTGCGTTGTCGGTTTGATGGTCTGCCATCTTGGGATCTGCGAATGGAGATAGATGTTCTCCAGGACCATCCGCTGGTGAGAAGACAGAAGTGGCTTCGGCAAAGCGAGCCTTCCTCACTGGTTGATTCACCGACGGAGCAGTAGAGGAAGCCGTCGAATTTGTCCTCGAGGGGAATGCTCTCACGTTACTTCTGAAGTCTGATTTTTCGTCGAGGTCGAGGTCGGAAAATCCAACAGCGCGGGTGTTGCGTTTAGAAGAGTTAGCGGCGGTGATGTCGATAGGCGAAACTGGTTCAAAGTGGGATGGTGACATGGTTTGGCTGGAGATAAGAGGCAGTCTTTGAACTTATGACACCCTGGTGGTGGGTAGGACAGGGATTCTCCAACCAAGGGCGGCGGTGCCGGTGCTACTAGCCTTGGAATTTGTATGCTGTTGACAGTGCTTATGTGAGACGGAAACGGAGATCCGAGGATATATACGAACGGCGACACCAGGTATGTTGTCCGTAAGTATTTCTGTCGAGAAGGGAGGCGATGGGATGGTTTATCGACGACGAGAACCAGCTCGAAATCAATAAGAAATTAATGATAAAGAGAAGGTTGTGTAAAGGGACAGACAAGTTGTCGATGGGATGGGGGGAGGGTCGAGTAATAGGTAACCTCCTGGGTCTGAATTGGTCGGGTCTGGTCTGGTCTTGTCCGGTCACTGACCGATGGGCGCTTCGAATGAAAAAGAGGCACCAGGTGAGAAATTGATTGCTACCGGCCAGGCGGTCGGGATGGCAAATAATGCTGAGTGCTGAGTATTGAAGTGTGGCTCTGCACCTGATTCAATGATGGAAACAGGTTCTGTGGCGATTGGCGCTTTGCGGTCACCAGAAGGGTCTGCTTCTGGGTTGCTTGATTGCTTGATTTATTGTGGATTCGTAACTGGCCTGAATGATATGTTGACGATAGGATTGGGCAGCTTCGAGACAGGGCAGGGCGATTTTCTATTTCTTTCTCAGTAGTAGGACCGACGAATATGGGACTCAACGAAGCCTGCGTGAGTTTGAAGAAGATGAAGGGAAGCAAGACAACAGATGGGCAAAGACGGGAAAAAGAATGGTTAATGCAATGAAGCTTGGATTGACTATCTTAATGAGGATTTCTGTTTGGAGTGTGAGTGGTCTGGTGAAGCTTCAAGGTGGATGCTGCCGCCATTGAATTTGGTCCATACTAGGCGCTTGATGGGCAAAGTGGACTCGAAGAGGACTCGAATTGGCATGATAGACAGGCGGTTGGATGAAGATTGAAGGCGGAAGGACTAGGACAGAATGTAGAGATGAAAGGTTGGCGGGTGATGAAAGTGGGATGGAGAGCAATGAGTGGTTGAGAGGTGTTGACGAAGCGCCGAGGTGATGGCAATTAATGCTGAGGTGGCCAGTCAAGATGGACATGATCCCTGGCCACGACCGCCGAACCCATGCCCACCATTATCCCATTGGCTTCATCTTGTCGTTTTCTGGCCATCGAGGTGTACGGACGACCTTGCCAATGTCGACCTGCATTAGACGCCTGCTGGATATTGACTCCCGGCATTAGTCAAAGCTGTTCAGTTACATTCCCAGGTGATGGATAAAATCAAGTGCATGTTCCTTAACATAGCTACCGACCTACCTCAGTTGACTTGAACGAGTTGGAAAACATGATGATGATGACACGAAACTCACTTCGTGGCCCAGGTCAGCCTCGTGATCCTTTGAGGCTATGGGCTGATGGATGACAACCTCAAGTTTATACTTGAGTATTTTGGTAGGTACAGATGGCGGGGTAAGTGCGTGCCTGGGTACTTCCCGAGTCCCGGGTGCATCTGGGTGCGATAAGTGGGTGTCAGTGTCACAGAGCGGAGCGTCCAAGGCCTAGAACTTGGTTCTCCAGCGCACTAACCACAGGCACCCCAGGCATAGACACCACGGGCACTCAATAATCATCGGGAGTCTGTCCTCTGAATCCCCGCACTATTTTTGGAACTCGACTTGATCACCATTCGTAGTCTTTTTTTAGCACTCATCACACACTGATCTCCAATATCTCTGCAGGGCGACAATGACAACTCGGTGTCTCGTTCTCGTTCATTAGTACCTCGTATGGAGCACACCCGTACTATGTCATAAGATCACACAACTAAATACACAGAAGGTTCACTTTTAGATGCGCTCTGTCTGGACCAGTGCCACGCAACAACATTACACCACCTTAGTTTTTTTGACTTGGAAGGCCCTGGGCCCGTTTCATGCCCTTCATTACCCCGAAAAGTGCGTCGAGATATCCCCCAATTAGGTATCTAGGTAGTTACTTCTTTCACATCCTTCAAAACAAAAAGTTGCTGCATGTGAACTCCACTTGCATCCTTTTTGTCCATCAAGTTATCGGCCCTCAACGATGGTGACTCCCCGATGCTACCTGTGTGTTCGTACAGGGTGCGATCTTCCGTGCTCTGTGTGCGAGTCATTGAATCCGACGATTGTTGTGCGGAGCTCTTCGACTTGAACTCGCAATATGATCGGCGGACACTCTCATATGCGGCCACGGATCTCTGTTTGATCGCCCCTGCACAGGCTGCACAGATCCCAACGTGGTTTTCCACCGCTGCCCAAATCCATATGAGTGCATAGTTTGCTATTTCAGATCAACACCATCAGACTTGTTCGGCGTGGTTGGGGGCCAGGTGACTATTTGACTCACATGAAATATTGTCTGACGTGGCGATGCCATACACTGCCACGAAACGGAAGATACTTGCAAGAACGACCCTGTTGGTTGGTGAGCATAATCTTATATCACTGTAAGAAGGATGTCGGATAAACTCACAGCCCGCCAACAGCAAACAAGGCGTAGATGCTCAACCGATGTCCTCGTAGCATATCCACATTCCGTAACAACCATATCGGCATCAAGTATAAGACCAAATCATTGACGATCATGATGATCGAGTTGGCATAGAAGAATGCAATTAGATTGATACATTTGCCAGAGCTTTCTTCCTGTGGATCAAGGTTCTGTTTCCATACCAGATTGAGTGGTATGCATTGAAGTAGAATCACAATCACCGAACTGATGCCGAATGCCGCCGCCACAAATTGCATAAAGTGAATAAAGTATCTCTGAGGTCGGCTGCGTGCCAGGCCATAGTAGAAAGTCAACCAGGCATGCTTGACAAGCATGTTGCACAAGAAATAGGGGGGAAATGCCGCAACGATGAGCTGCTCAAACATATTCTGATCAGCACTCGCAATTCAAAAGGAGGCAATAATGCTCTTAAAGCTCCAGGACATATTGGACTGTACCTTTTGCATGGACACTCTGGAAGCAAATTCTTGAGCTGAGATCTCGGCACCGAGGCCTTTTGCCGCAGCTGTATGTATCTTAGAAAGAACTTCCAAACTTGGCCATCGAGGTAGATACTTACCAGCACAAACAAGAGATGTCATGACCAGAGCGAAGAACTATAATGGAGGTTAACGAGGACAACAAAGTCATCCCATCGAAACATACTGCACTTGCAACCAAGAACCCTACATGATAGTCAATCAGTACGAGGGCACCCGATATCATCTTGACAAGCCGATACTCACATTTGCTAGCATTCAACTCCCCGGTTGCCTTGTACTGGCGTTCCAACTGTATTGACACTGAAACGATGGTCGACACAGCCAGCACGATGCTGGTGGCCACCAAAACCGCATCGTTCGACACCAACATACTGTACCTATCGACAATAGGTGACGAGGTGTAGGCGACAAGACGACTGCGGGTCTCCGTGCAAACGTAACCTGACGGAAGGATAGACCTACCTTGAAGGGTTGATGGGGGTGCCCGACCCTCATTATAAGGGACTCGCAGTCTGTGCGTCCACGCTTTTGTCGGCCGTGCGGGCGAACATGTTCGATGGTCACGCAGAAAGAGAGACGAACTTCGGCTATGCGTAACACTATCGATCGCCACTTCGGATCAAAAAGCAGAGGTCGCACGGTGATCTTGAGCCATCAAGAGCCAAACGTGGGAAAGTCAGGGTTTTTTCCACCTGGTCCACCGCCATCGGGGAACTGCAGCTCAAGGTGTCAAAGGACTGCCTCAAGTCATCTTAGTCCTCGAGAACCCCGTGGTGACAGGTGTGTGGACAGGGTGTTCATCAAGGATTGAGAAAACCGTTAAGGGAGTTCGCCCAAACGACACCAAAGAGCCGAGCGGCCTGCCAATTCTGGGGATCTGGCTTTGAACTTGAACGGGACGGCGTGTGGGAAGTGGATTGGAGAGAACGACCTGTCAACTTTGAGCTGTCAGAAACGGATGCACGGCCCTTCTTGTACTTCGAACTACTCGGTCCAAAAACTGGACTATCGACCAAGACCATGATCACGAGTAGATCGACGGTGGAGAAAGAGATTCGAATTCGGATGTGAGCACAGGGCATCACTAACATTTTGACCCACTAGTGATTGGCATCGTAATCTGATCTGGGAGGATTTTGGTGTTCGATGAACCATGACGGAAGTGCGATGCGAGACCTTAAACAGACCTCGGGTGGGCTTCATCCCTCCCACAAGATCCAAGTACGAGTAGTTTATTAGATACAATTGGATACGACGACAACTTGAACAAGGCCAAATCTTACCACATCGAGGTCGTGTCTATCACACGAAAAAACATTTGGCCCTGGACTGCATGTCCCGGATTCCCGGTGGGTTTCTCGGGCTTGGGTCCATGCAGGAACGGTTTTTACGGCATCTTTCTGGGTCAATCCTTGCTCACCAAATCTAAGATCGTGGCGAGCTTTACGCCGTTCAAGCTACGAAAACTGCACCTCGAACTTGAACCCTTGCAAGATATTGTGTAATGGTTATCGTGTCTCATGACCGTCAGGTAATTGCTAACTTGGTTGCATGGCTCTGTGACAACTTGAGGTGGACCGGAATCTGCTGATATCGATGCGGCTCTAACCCCCAATTCCAGGTAATGCGCATGCATCACGGTACGGAGTACTTCCTCTGAACTCCTTAGAGTAACAAGCTCGCGGTGACCATCCCAGTCTATGCAGCTGTCTCCATTATCGCCCGCGCCACCTCCCCTGTTCAACTACCCAGCCCCTTGGTCTCGAGAACCCTGATGTTCGTGCTGGTGCACACTGTGTCGTGCACTCCCCACACTAAATGAATGCTCTCCTGTACGCAGAACATGTTGGAGGCACAAAGCAAAGCTCGTAACCCGATGAAGCCGTGAGTGACGATAAGAGTGGAGTATGGTTTGTATGGTCTGTTGAGATCAAAGTTGACCGGAATACAACAGACAGAGCCCCAGGCCCCTGTCAAGGACACACAGCAACAGGGAGTTGTCCCATTGAGTATTGTTCGAGTCCCTTGCTCTTCACGACCTTCTTGGCTGGGCCGACGTTCAGATGCTGTGTGCTGGGCAGTAGAATGGTCAGGACCCTTGTCTTCCGCTGTGCTAGAGCCTGACGCTGCTTTTCAAGTTTGACCTCCTGGATTTTCTTCTTGGCACCCTCTGAAGTCATCATTTTCTTCTCCAGCAACTGAGCGGTCTCGCATATTTTTAGTAAGCTGAAACGGTCATGTTCAAAGGACACATTGACTCGGTCCAGTCCATCGCCAGCGAATTTGAGCAGATTCCTAGCCCATGGAGCGTCCATCTCAAGTCGACAAGGCCAGTCGAAAACTGTGATGTTGAGTGTGAGTGTCTGAAGAGCAAGCACTCTCTCCCGGACTCTGCCTAGAGTCTTCTTCCATTTGTCATCATGTCGCAACTTCCACTCGCGATCGTCGGTCCATTGCGGTTCTCCATAACCTATTTGTCGGATTTCCAAAGTTTCAATACTTTGAGCACCAGCAGCCGGGACAATGTCAAGAAACTTGTGGATGGTATTCATGTTTTCGAAATGGAAAGTGGTTCTTGCATAGACATGTTGTACTGCTTCTTCATTCATTTGACGACAGACAAGCAATAGAGGTGCGCCAGCTCCGTGTTGGCTAAAGTGCCCATACAATCGGAAGCGAGGTCGTACATGCTTCTGATTGGGATTCGATTTCTGAAGACGGGCCCACTCTTTGTTTGGGTGGCTTCCTGTGATGATTCCACGAGACTCTTGGATAACCAGATCATAGATCTTGTTCCGGATTTCACCTGGAAGGTCAAAGAAAGGAAATGGTTTGAAGGGCATTTTGGTGGGAGTTGGCGACATGTTTACCATTTTTTCTGTTGGTTTTCGATTTGCTCGATTCTTTTGAGAAGAGTAGAATGGTTCTTTTGGGCAGTAGAATGGTTCCTTTCCACTGTGGAACAAAGTTCGTTATGCTGGTCAAGCAGAAACTTGGTGAGGATGGTCTGAGCAGGGCTTTCTCGGAAGGACTGTTGAGTTAAAGCCACGGCCGCGCTAAGGAAGCTGGCTTGGAGTATGATACATGTGACGGCAACCACTTTCTCAATCATGTACATGATTATGAAGTGAGAATGCAATAATGTTGAAGTGATGTAGGAAGTGAACAGGATATGGGAAAAAGAAAGAGAAAGAGAGGAGAGGAGAGAGAGTGAGGAAAATATATCCGAGGTGGGGCGTGATTGACTTGCCCGCCGATAAAACAGGCAGGCAGGCCCGCCGAAGTTGCTGTTGATGGAGCAGGAGGTATCCCTAGAGGGATCAATTTGAATTGAAAGTGAGCTCTAACACCCTCCCCCGTGTTCGTTGAGTACGGCGGGAGACAGGGTGAGAAAGTAGGGTTCGTGATCCACGGATTCTGTCATGCCCTGGGTGACTGGTTTAGTGCAGGTTTTCAGGATGAGTACAATTGTAGGCATTCATTTTTCAGCGGTCAACCAAAGGTGAAGAAGCAGTCCGCCGAGTGGCACCAGCGAGTCTTTGAGCTAGGCGGTGCGGACCGGATAGGCACTGAAGATTAAGAACCAGGAGATGGCTGCAGACACTCCGTAAACACCCACCAACATCATGATCAGGCAACTGAACATGTCGTCATTGCACAAAACCATATTGGATGGATCATGGAGGTCGTTTCGCTTGAGATGAAACAAAAACAATGGCTTCTCCGGGGTTGAGCTAGACTAGTCGAATTTCGTGAATACGAAGTAGAACACCAGGGCGAGTCCTCGTAGCTATCTAAACATAGCCATGAATCTGCTAGAGCCTAGGTGGCTGTCTACTCCGTACCATTCGATCAAGCTCCAGGTCAGACCAACCTGGGGTCATCAAATCCATGACTTGCTGTAGACAGAGACGTTGAAAAGAGAACATAGTCGTACCCCGTAAACAACAAACCCCCTGCTGCAAGGCTCCTCGTTCTGCAGGCAAAAAGGCAGCCACATGGGCCACATCTGCACCTTCCAAACAAGAATGCCGCTAGCTAATTCTAAAATCATGCGCTAATCCATCTATGAACTAGTCTATCGATTATCGGAAAATCTCGCCTCCTCACGTCACTCTTTTTTTTTCGAGTGTGAGGGAGGGTCCAGTGAAATTCAACCCCACTATGAAATCTAAGGGTCAGTATTCAGTGGTGAAGAACTTGAGCCAGATTCAATGACAATCCTGGAACCCTTGGAGTGACACGATAGCTGTTGACCCTGGATACTGGAAAGTAGAACCTGACTCACAAGGTACTGGAATTCGACTATTTCTTCGCCATTGCGGTTTCAGTCCTCTTTCCAGCTGGCCGAGTCGAGATCTCGTTTTTTACCTCAACCTTCTCCCAATTTTAGCTCCCTCCCATCATGTCGCAGAAAATTGGTATGTTCTCTCACCATCTCGTTGTGTAAATTGGCGATCATGATTCAGTATCGATTCCCTTGGACAGTTGCTTGCGATAGTCACCTCTACCTCTTACAGACTTTTCTGATTGGGCCCCCTCGCCACATACGTGCCGAAAGTTGTACTAACGCGTCTTAGCTATCTTGTCGGTTTACGACAAGACAGGTCTGCTTGACCTGGCCAAAGGTCTTATCAAAAATGATGTCCGTCTTTTGGCTTCAGGCGGTACTGCCAAATTAATCCGAGAGGCTGGATTCGCTGTCGAGTAACTCCATCTCAACTCCGAGCTCAGCAAGACATTCATGCTAACTTAACCACAAGAGATGTCTCAGCTATTACCAAGGCACCGGAAATGCTCTCAGGACGAGTCAAGACTCTTCACCCTGCAGTACATGCTGGCATTCTTGCCCGTGACCTGGCTTCGGATGAGAAAGATCTCGCAGACCAGAACATCAACAAAGTTGACTATGTTGTTTGCAACCTGTATCCTTTCAAGGACACCGTCGCCAAGATCAATGTCACCATTGCAGAGGCTGTTGAAGAAATCGATATTGGTGGTGTTACGCTGATCCGCGCAGCAGCAAAGAATCACACACGTGTGACCATTCTTTCTGATCCAGCTGATTATGCCACTTTCCTACAAGAGCTTGATAGAGGCGATGTATCAGAAATAAGCCGTCAGAGACATGCTTTGAAAGCTTTTGAGCACACTGCCGACTATGATGCTGCAATCTCGGATTTCTTCCGCAAACAATATGCATCCAACGGCGTTCAACAACTGTCCCTCCGCTATGGCGCGAACCCGCATCAAAAGCCCGCAAGCGCATTCGTCCGTGACGGCGCCCTTCCCTTCAAAGTCCTAGGCGGTTCCCCAGGTTACATCAATCTTCTTGACTGTCTCAATGCTTGGCCACTAGTGAAAGAGCTCAAGCAGTCACTCGGTCTCCCAGCAGCTGCCAGCTTCAAGCATGTTTCTCCTGCAGGTGCGGCCATCGGAGTTCCTCTAAACGAGAATGAGCGCAAGGTCTACATGGTTGATGATATCAGTGGCATCGCCGAATCCGCCCTAGCTCAAGCATATGCTCGTGCACGTGGTGCCGATCGTATGTCCAGCTTTGGCGACATCGTGGCTCTCTCTGACAAGGTCGACGTGCCCACCGCTAAGATAATTAGTCGAGAAGTCTCCGATGGAGTCATCGCACCTGACTATGAACCGGAGGCACTCGAGATTCTGAAAAAGAAAAAGGGTGGCAAATATCTGGTTCTCGCTATTGATGAGTCTTATGAGCCCGCACCACAAGAAACTCGGACCGTGTATGGCGTCACGTTGACACAAGGCCGAAACGACGTCAAAATCACACCAGATGCAACTTTTACCTCCATCATCCGACCAAAAGATGGCCCTAAACTCTCTTCTTCCGCTCTCCGCGATCTCACAGTGGCTACCATCGCCGTCAAGTACACGCAATCCAACAGCGTCTGTTACGCATTGAATGGTCAAATCATCGGACTTGGCGCCGGTCAACAATCACGCATCCATTGCACACGTCTCGCCGGAGACAAAGCAGATAACTGGTGGATGCGATTCCATGAGCGGACACTGGCCCTCCAATGGGCAAAGGGTGTCAAGCGACCAGAGAAAAGTAATGCCATCGACATGCTGTGCTCAGGTCAAGTCCCACCCCAATCCGAGTTTGAGACCAGAGATTACGAGCGCAACTTCGCCGAAGGTCAGGTCCCAAAGCCTTTCACCGCGGAAGAGAGACGAGCCTGGTTGGATAAATTGACCGAGGTGGCTGTCTCAAGTGATGCTTTCGTAAGTAACGCCTCTTGCGTTCATTCCCTTGCCCTCCACGACAATCTCAGCACCTCTCTCCTCATTATGGCTTCAGCTAACGTGTGTCCCCAAAACTTTATAGTTCCCATTCGTCGACAACGTCTACCGCGCTGCTAGAAGCGGCGTCAAATACATCGCGTCACCAACAGGCTCGCAGAACGATGGTGCAGTGTTCGACACGGCGGAGAACCTCGGAATTACGTTTATTGAACAGAGCACGAGGTTGTTCCACCACTAGTTCTCTCCGACATCAATCCATCCTCGGGGTCTGACTGCGTCGATCACCCTCCACCCAAAGATTGTGCTCGGCATCCCGGATGGATCGAAAGTACCCATCTCACTGCTGCGGCTAATGAGCTGTTGGCTAAGGATGGAACAGTCGTTTCGAATTGGTTCGAGCTGAGGCTATGACGATCGATCGTCTGGGTTGAGCTGAGGGTTCTCATCATTCAACAGTTTTAGTCCCTGACCAGTCTCAATTCACTTCTCTAGTGATGATTTAGAGGGCAGTTTTGTCATCTGACGATGATTCTTCCGTCAGCTAGTATACAATGATACGACGATTGCATTTCTTTAGAATTCCTGACCATCACACAAGAACGCGCTCATTTGGAGCCTTGGTTCTTGGGTCCGTAGTCCAGATAACCCGGTCACAGTGAGTGTCGCATCGCGATCCTCGCAAAGATACGCGCAGTTCCCACCCAACCTAGTATGTCCACAATGCCTAGCCTTGATCACGCAGATGAAGTGCAACGTGCCAGTCCAGGTGCTCGAGGACACTGTTATCCGGGATTTGCTCCGAGCACAGAGGGCAGCAATATAGTCCTGCGGCATCCGGTGTCGCGGTGGATGAATCTTGAACTGTTTGCTTTCCGGCCCGTCGCAATCGATCCGAATCAGAAGCTGTAATTTCCCTCCCTGAAATATGACTCGCAACATTGGCATCAGTCGGGCATGAAGTCTGGTCGACCTTGTCTGGTTTCTGTGAGAACCCCTGGAAGTCCAGCAGGGTATATTTCCGCGGCCTGTCATTCGAAGTCGGCTCTTCCAGGGATCTCTTCGCCATGCCCGAAGTGTAGAGTTGTCCTTCAGAAGCCGAGCCCGACCATTTCCCAGGCGTGGTGAATCCGGAAATGAGGTGATTTGATTTATCGACGTCGCGGAAGTGCGAGACGCCTATCGAAAGCGTCAGGCACGGCCAGCTCGGCGTCTCGTCGGATATCTTGATCAGCAGCTCCATCGACAGCTTGAACAGAAGCTCCGTGTCCAAGGTCGGTCCGGCGGGGATCTGTGCCTGCTTGGATCGTGTAGGCCCAAATCGGCCCTGGATGTGGTGGTGCACGGCTATCGTCGTGGGTCGGCGTCCCTCTTCGTCCTCCAAGCGGCCCACGATGTCTGCGGCAAAGATTCGCAGCCATCGCTCGGCTTGGTCCACGCCTGTGATGCTTGGACTGAACGTCTTGGCCGAAAGCATGCTTTTGATCTCAGTCCTTTGCACCACTTCGCTGTCCTCGAATCCTCGGATGACGTGGTAGACCCAGTGTCCTGCGTGGGTGCCAAGCTTTGCCTGCATCTCCTTGAGCGGAAACCGAAGGAGGTCTGAAATCGTTTCCACACAGAATGTCGTGACGACTTGACGTCCAAGCTTACCGCCTAAACCTCGAAGTTTCGTTGCTTTGTAGCCGGATAGAAAAGAGCCGGTGCAGCATTTCCGGATGACGGTTTGCTTATTGGGTTTGTTATGGCCTGCTGCGAGCTTCGCAACGACTTTGTTATGTGCGATGCCGGCGGAGCACGTGTAGTTCAGATCGTCAAGTATCTTCTTACGGATTTCGCGGACTATCTCAGAGCCAATCTGAAGGGCGATGATATTCCAGTCGATCGTGTCATGTTCCGGATTCTCGTCTTCATTCTCAGCCTCACACTGTACAAGTTGGTCGTCCTCCCACTTAGGTATGATATCAAGAGGCTTTGGGAGACGAGACTCACAAGCCAAAAGTTCGGGATAACGTTCCACCAGAACGTCATAGACAGGGATTGAGAGGTCTATGAAGACTTCATCGATACCCGCCTTCTCAATCCTTCGAGACGTGGCAGGTAGTGCATCCTTCACGATTTGGATCGCCTTCCGAGATTGAAGTCGATAATAGTCAAGCGAGGACTTGTCTGAATTCATGTGTTCACGGACATCATCTCGATAGCGCCAAGTCGTGTCACCCTCCCTCCACGTGGGAACATGCTGGAGAACGATTTCTGGGCACTTCTCCCGCGCCTCCGCCGCGGTGACCACCTTCTTCAGCCCTGCAGCACGAGCTGCATAGTTGGTGGCAATGACGTGTAGAAACTGCTGGACGCCCAGAGGCTGACTTGGAGGCAAACCCAAACGCACACCTTCACACTGCGCATAGAAGCAGTCAAAATCTATCAACGCGATTACACGTAGTGGAGACTTTGAAGATGATTGGCTAAGGAGATGTAAATCTCGCCGAGTGAATTGGGACTCGCTTGAAAATTCATTATTGCCCATCACTTGATACCAAACAGACCTTGAAAGATAGGAATTTAAGGCGTGTCAGGCCGTGGCCTTTGGAGATGCTCCTTTGGTCGTATCTTGACTAAGCTCCCTCCCTGCTATCGTCGTGCAGTGCATCTTTTTAGTACTGGGATGAGAAGAGGATGATTCAGATTCACAATGTTTGTTTGCCTCCGAGGCATTGAGTGTTTCTCCGGCTGGAAGTGGGTTGTTTCTAAATAAATAGGATCCACGACGTCATTTGAAAGGGGTGGGCCACTTCTGCCTGTGATCAATGCGGAAGGTTAATATCGACCTATTGCAAAACAGGATTAATATACGATTACGAAAAGAATGCTACGGAGCCAAGATAAGCAAAAGTAAGGCATATGCTCCTTTCATCTCGATGTGCGTCCCAAGATTCGGATTTGTATCACCTATTAGATCATCGCAGTGTGACCCTAAGCTTAATGAAGCTACGGTCAGTGGTACAAATCTTCGGACACACTATGGTCATCGAAGAGTCAGAATCTCTGACTTTCTTCAGTAGATCAATAGAGCAGGATCGGAAAGCCTCTTGGTGACGGCATCATGGTAGAACAAAGTATTGATGGATAGATGGATAGATGGCTAGCATCACTTAAGGAATTTGCAGCTTAGAGAGAGATGGCATGACAACCATATGTGGCTATTCTGACTCACCCGAGCGAGCGCATCTCACCAGTCAAGCCGCCTGTGCAGAGCCTTGATCCTCTTCTCCTCTGCCTAACTGCTCTGCACGATAGTCCCAGTATTTCCTCCTGATCGGATCCCATTTCTTGCCCAGTGCGTCAAGACACTGCTTGCTTCGCTCTGCGTTGCCATCCAGTTGATATATCTCTGCGAGCCAGTCAACAGCATGACTGCTCTTGACGTTTTCACCAAACAGATCGGCATTTCTGCCACCGACAAAGCCTTCACAGAAGACCTGCATGTTCGTGATGGGAATCCCGGCACGTTTCAGCACGCCCTTGAGATAGTTCCAAGGACTGGGATTCTGGGGTGCCCAGGCGATATGATCTTTGGCGTAGTTGATCTCGCGGTCCACGACGTCTTCGTCGACGACCAGTTTCCCTTGTGCGAGCACGTCTTTTCTGTTGCCGCCTTCCTTCTCGATGGCTTGGAGCTCTTCCGCACCAAAGCAGACAAAGTATCGGTGGTTCCATGCTGAGTTGTTTCTCACGTCGTCGTTGATCAGGGCGTCGATGGAGGCTAGCTCCACGTCTGTGGCGAGTAGTGACTCTGGGAAATGACGGCAAAGCCACTGTCGGTATGTCCAGACATGGTAATTTTTGCTGTCGAAGGATAGAATATGAGTGAGGAACTCGGTCTCCCCGGAGGGCAATGATGTGAGAAGTGAGACCATTAGTTGGCGATGGTGCCTGTTTGACGCGGAGCACTTATCAGTCTGCTGTCATAAGATGAGAATGGGATAGAGGGGGTGGTGCACGTTGTGGTCATCATTAGCTAGACTCACCATATCTGATAGTTCTTCAAATTACGTTCACTAATGCCTTCCAGCCAATCCAGCTCAGCCTTGACACCGTCTTCTGTGGAAATATTCTCCTCACCCCACAGCACTTTGAGTATCTTTGCCCGGTAGAGCCAAACCGTATAGTGAGAAGGGTTCATACTAATGATGTCCTCCGTGAGATCCAATGTCCGCCTGCTGAACTCGTTCGTGGCCATGACGGCCCTCAGATACGACATGGCCTCGGAATAACGTGGCGAGTATGCAATGGTCGCGAGAGCAGGGCCTGGATCGGTCTGGCCCGGAGGGCCATCAACCATCGGCAGTGGCGTGATATCCTCCCACAGGGGTGACACAGAATAGAATGGTTCTTTGGATTTGGCAGACTTGGATTTTGGGCGGTGGGCCGCCTCTGTTGGCTTGGTGGATTCGGCCATTTTTTATTTCACAACGAATCGCGAGGTGACCAGGAGGTACCGCACCCTTTCTCTGGTCTGGTCAAGTCGATTGAGCCTGAAACGAAAGAAGGACAAAGCAGGAAATATCCCAGGCCTCGTCTGATATATCTCATCGGCCGGCTCGTGGTCCAGGCAGAGCAGTCAATTTTGTGAGCAAACGTTGCAGTTCTTTCGGAACCGTCGCCTCACAACACTAGCGGTGTAACACTGACAAGCAGAATAATATCACAGCATTCAAGAGGGATGTTTGGTTCTCCAATCTAATGTCTGGAATGAGAAGAACAATGTTAAGACGGCTCGCCGTTGAAACCGAGATAATATAAGCACGTGACTGGTGGGAGAAGGGCTAGACCAGGCCTTTTCGCTTCGTAATCATTGATTGATACATAATTGATTATCCTTTCAGAGGCCAGTTGTGGCTGTGATATACATAGATTTCTGGCCGTCTTGTTGTACAAATTATCAAACTGCTGCATTAGTCGATGCTGCTCCACGCCACCGCTCAATAAGACATTCATGAAAATATTTCCTCGGCCAGGGTGTCTGCTGGATGCACATATCATCACTGCCAAAATTTCCACTCTGGCCTTCTCTGTAAGAGACCAACGCCGACCAGGGCTTCAATGTCCTCAGGTCCATCCGCGTTGAGAAATTTCTGTTGATCAATTTCCTCGCCTCCTTCTTCTTCAGTCCCATTGCGAAGTACGGCGGGATAGAGCATGCCAACTCCACTCCCACCCAAAGTGGTCTTGAATTCGTCAAACCCAGCCGCTTCAAACTTTTCGTGTAAATCATGCAAAGCATCGGGTTCAGTTTCGCTTTTCAGAAGAGTGATAGCACAGCCACCACCTCCAGCACCTGTAAGCTTGGTCCAGCCAATACCAGCGTAGTCGATCACTTCTCGAATGTATTCCAACTTGGGGTGGGAAACACCCAGGGACACCAAAAGCCCGTGATTAACTCTGAACAGGTCCCCTAAATGTTCAATGTTTTCTTCTGAGTCCGGGTCGAAGTCGTCAGAAGTAATGAGATTATATGCTGACATGGTAACCTCCCCAATACTATCCAGGGTGGCTTCGGTTACAGCAGGGTGCTTTTTCTTCATAACGCCGACTTTGGCGACCTCAGCAGCTGTGGAACGAGATTGGTTTGTGTTTATTAAAAGGAGCGGAAGTTCTGGGAAGTCTTTGAGAGGGGTTGCAACGGGAGGTTTTTGATAATCCGTTCTTTTGAATAGCACTGCCCGCCCGTGGGTAGAGACGGTATTGTCTATACCGCTGGGATTGCCGTGGATACAGAGCTCCCCAACAAATGCCCACTTGTTTATTCTCTCTAGCTGAAGATCAACCTCTTCGTCTGGCTGATCTTCATGAGGTCCGGAGAGGACATGGATCTGTTTGAGCAGTGCCGCACTGATACAGACTGAAACGCTGGCACTCGAGCCCAGTCCTGCTGCGATTGGTAAAGTTGATCGGAGTGTGTATATGCATGCGGGGGCTTTCGGGCTATGCAGTGTAAGGAAGAGGTAGAGGAAGCAGGACGCTGCATTAACATGAATTCTTTTCTTCTCGCCCGTGAGATGGGGAGAGACAGGATCGACATGGGGTTGCATAGCCTTGACCAGGTCGGGTTCTAATGAGGTGACCATATCATAATATCGAGGCTTCTTCACCTTCTCCCATGCGTGCCACGGGAGGTCGTCGATGTTCCAGGTGTGGTCCAAGCCAACATCGGGAAAGATTAGCTGAATGGTCCGGTGAGACTTGGATAGGGCGGTGACTAGGAGATAGGAGCGCATGGAAATTGAGGCAGCCATGGCAGCCTTTCCATGGACAACGGCATGTTCACCAAAGACAATGACCTTGCCAGGAGCGGAGACCATGAATGGTGGAGCCATTGGGGAGGAAGCCTTTCGGGGCGTGTTGGGAGGGCGTAGCGAGCCATCTTTGTAGTGGCCATTGATGCCATTGACCTTTGGAGTTCCGTTCATGGCGATGTCGACGCGATGCACCATGACGGGGTGGGGACGAGGATGAGACGTGGTTTGCGTCTCCGATGAAGGGAGGTTTTGGAAAGGGAGGAAAGGCGACATACGATACAAAGGGAGGAAGTTGCGACGGGTGGCAGGCAGGCGGGAAAAAAGTTTCCTAGGGGAAGTTGGGATTGCGGATGATGAGCCATGAGCCACGAGTCATGGATCAAGTGAGCACTGAGCGCGGTAGAAGACCATCGCCCCTAGAACATCAGCTGGTGACAGGCTCCGAGGGTTGCACGGAATAGGCGCTCAACCAGTTAAAAGTTAAGCTTAACGTTGAGCATGCAGGAACAAAGCATCATGGCCTTGGGCTGCTTTAGCGCCTAGACGCAGCCCCCGCTCACTACCAAATACTTCCCGTCTTCCGAGTGGCACCATGGGGCAAATCTCGATCGGCGAATTACAAATGTTGGTGGTCCGTTATCTTAGTAGTGCGCAGAAGATCTACGTGACCGGGCTGAGACCACTGCCTACTCGTAGGTATCTCGCCATAGTGTAACATTTTACAACGTACTCATCATACCGTACCTAGGTAGTTGACAGTGACAATTTCAATCGGCGTCCGAGTCGCTGAGCTCTTCAAATCTGCCCTCATCTCTGGCCACTTCCACTGGGTTCTTCACGTCCACCACCCCTGTTGCTTTAAGGCGCTCAAATAAAACAAATAATCGTTCCGCTTCTCGCTCCTTTTCTTCCTGTGACATCTTTGGAACTTCGATCGGGGGTTCTTTATCAAGTCGCTGCCCAGTTATGGGATTAGTTGGGATACCACCGGATGCCACTTTGTCCCCTGCTCCCTGTGCGCTTTCCGGGATCGGAATCTTGTGAGACATCAGATACCCAGCTGCATAACCGTAGCCAACATTCTTGACATAGTCATTGGCGTCCTTGTCGGAGAGCTCAAATTGCAATCCCGATATTGCCTCTGTCAGATGTAATGATCCTGGCGAGGTAGTCAAGCGTAACAGACGCGACGCTAATGTGGACGACTTTCCAAGTGGTTGATCCCTTTCTTCATCATCTGGCAAGAACTTGGACTTCATTTCTTCACGCAAATCTCCACTTGCCATCTCATTGACCTTTCTCAAGATCGTCACTAAAGGCACGCCTAATGATTCCAACTCGGTCGAAGAGTACCGCTGGACCGCTTGATCTAGGATTTTTGTGAGTCTTTCTACTGCCGGGCGGAGTTCTTCCTTTTCATCGATACTCCCGTCGGATATTTCTAGATTTGCTAGAGCATTCAAAACCAGACTCAATGGTGGTTGTAGTGGTGGATCAGGAACTTGTAATCCTTCTAGCATGAGTAGCAACGGCCTCACAGCCGGGTTGAACTTAGCAACGTGCTCAGGCTTCGCACTGCTGACGTTGAATAACAATTTTAATGTCTCCTGGAGTGCCATAGAACTACTCTGATCGAGCGTGGTAGCTATGTCATGTTTCTTCGGGAGATTGTCTGCATGACGAGAGAGTAATCTGACAATGCTTTTGGCCATATCTTGCTCAAGGATGAGTGGTTCAAGGTTCATGGTAGGAGCATACGTCAATAAGAATAGGATCCGTGCTAACAGGAACTCGTCATCCGAAGAAGATGTCTGAAGTTTCTGTGTTGCCCTTTTGTCAAGATCAAGTTCGATTGCAGATTCTCGAGTTTGGGGTAGTAGAAGCAGGGCGTTTGCAAGGCATCTTAACGCTTCTTGATAGACTGGGTTGGGGAGCTCGTTAAATGCGTAATGCCCCAAGGTGTCGATTCCAGCTCTGTCGTATATTTCGGAAACGTTTCTTGCATCTCTCCCAAGGACCTTCAGTCGTTCCAAGGCTTTTGCATGTTGTTCGTGGTTAGACACGTTTTTGTCAACGTCCCTTCTCAACTCTCTGAGCAGCGCACTGGCCTCGGCCTGTTGGACTCGTATTGACATAACAATCTCGACGGTAGCTGTGATTGTTGGTTGGGTATCTTGCGAAATTGAAGTGACTAGGAGAAAATGATAGAAGCGACAGCCTTGCGTGAAGTCGATTGAAGTGGTACTTGGCACAAGGCTCTAAAATCGCGCTAAATCGCATTAGTGCTATTAAGTGGCCCACTAAAAACCCTCTCGAAGATCTCTACGCGTCCGACGCGTTAAGTAGTGGCTGGTACTCCGCATATTCTATATCCAGTGCCAGACCGAGTACTGTTCCTCACCTTTCTCAATTCATCTCCATGGCCCTCGCGTTTTGTTTTTAGAGACAAGAGACTGCAGGCAGACTTGTTATTTGTTTTCTAATCTGCATGCACATATTGTGAGAGGCAGTCCTCCTCATCAGGACATCTCTCTCGTCTTGATCACCGGGTCATCATGTCGATTTTCGAAACCCTTCCCCCAAGTCCACCGTCAACGTCCTCGCGAAGGAAGCTGCTCCTCTCCAAACCATCAGTAATGAACTTCACGAGCACGCCGGAGTCACCAGCGTCCTTCCCGGGCTCTTCGAGCAACGGTGGACGGAAACGCGTCGAGTTCTCTCCATGGACGAACGGTCCAACTCCCACCCTGCCGAGCCGCTCACCTTCAACCACGTCGACTGTGAAGCCGCTACCTCCCTCTTCCGAATGCCAACCGTCTCTAAAATCAATCCTGAAGACAACAGCATTCGATGGACTCTCCCTTCCCAACCCCGCGGTTGTACCAGAAGAGGAACTTTCAATGAGCGCGATGATGGAGAGTATTGTACAGCAGCTAGCAAGTGATGAGCGGACTATATCAGTAGATGCATACCAAATACTTGCGAAGGTGATCAGGCAATATGACGATATCCCTGACGAAGCAGTTCTCAAGAGCAAGGTCTCAGCGATCCTCAGGTATATCAAGCGAGACCTGTTAAGACCAATGGACGAAATTGCAGACACAAGTCTGATCACCCAAGCATTGAAGGTGCTTGTGATATTCGTCTGGAATCCCGAATACTCTTCCTTTCTGAACGACGAATATCGCACGTTCATCCTCGACCGCTCTATTTCAATCATCTCTGAGCACACTGCACCAAAAAGCGTCATCATTCATTACCTGCACCTCCTTGCCACTCAAAATTTCCGACCTATTCTGCTTACTTCCAATAATAGGGTTCTGCGCCTGTTGGAGTCTCTCAAGGCTCTCTCAGAGCACATCAAAGGCATCGGTGTGACGCTGGAAAGAATCTTGGTCTATAAGAAGCTCCTCGAGCAGTCTAAGTTGACCATGAAAGCAAAAGCGAACCTGTGGATTGAGGAGCTTTTGACTGGAATGACAAACAGCTGCAAAGAAGTCAGAGTCAAGGCGATTGACTTTGGAGTTCAAGTGTGCGCAGCCTTTCCCTCGTCCCCATCGATATCTGGCCCCACCAGAAATGTGTTAGAGCGTGAACTTGAGAACAATGTGTCCTTTGGCGCGGCCATCTGCCGAAGGCTTGAGAAAATGGTTGCGTCCAAAGACGACATGTCACAGGTCCCTCAAATCTGGTCAACAATAGTTCTACTTAGTAACAGCATGGACACACGTATCGACAGTTGGGCAGATCTCAAGATATGGCTCAAGGTAATTCAGAAATGCTTCAATGGCAGCGACCCACTCGTTAGACAGCAATCGAACTTGGCTTGGAACCGATTGGTATATGTCGCTAGACCACATGAAGCTTCGGACACACTTCTAGCCATGCTGGCAAAACCTGTCACCATTCAGCTAGAGAGGCCAACAGCAGACAAGACAGTCAAAGGATCCAGAATGACCGCTGTGGGGAGTTATTGCAACTTGCTTTACTACGCCTTCCGGCCTGCCTCCACCCACAAGCAATATACCCGAATTTGGAATGAGTATATCGTCAAAGTTATGAGAAGCTCATTCTTCGAGAGAAATTCTGCAAACTCCGATATTGCTTGTAGGATTTTCATTGCTCTTCTGTGGAATTCGAGTCAGGGGCCGAAAGTTTGGAACGAAAATCGCTCTCTACAAGACTCTCGCATGATCGAGCCAGAAGAAATTCCTACCCTTGATTGCAAATGGGTCAGGGCAAAGTGTTCGGCAATCGTGGACATGTTTCAGATCTTGCTGCGGTACAGCTCTTGGGGAGCCTCAGGTCAATCGGACAAAGCATACATTGCAGTGGCATGGACGCATTTCCTCCGGGCTCTGAAGGATGCAGGCAGCAAGGAGATCAAGCCGTCAGCAGAAACGAAGCATGCTGCAAATACCGTTCTTGAATTCCTCGAGCGCATATGGCATGAAGCTGCTCAAGGTAGCAGTGAAGTCGATGTGCAAGTCGCAGCTCAGATTAAGCAGATGACACGAATGTCTGTCATGGAGCTGGGCCAGCACATCTTGTCAATGACACTGGAAACAAACGGCCATTCACTTCGTTTACCATTCATATTCTCTGAGGTAACGGGTGCGATCATTGCAGAGATGTCTCAGCAACACGACAATGGAGAAGCTCGTCTACACCCCTCGAACAACCGGATCTCCATGCAGTCACTACGGCCTCAATACGAGAAGTGTTTAGACTTTATGTGTGAGTCTATCATCAAAGATATTTCAGAGGAAAGCGTATGCAACTTGATGGAAGACTTCAAGACGCTTGACCTGCTGCTGCAGACTACATCGCCAGAGCTTCTACGAGCAACAATCAGCAGGCTTCAGAAGCCCCTCGCACTGATGTTGAAGACTGGCTATGAGGTACTACAACAAAAGTCCATCATCGAATCAGACCAGCTCTACGAAACCTTTGGTAGAAGTATTACCACTGCATTAGGGAAGCTTCCATGCAACGATGTTGAGGCAATGGATGATGTTTTCTCCTCTTTGTTCACGGGCAGCTCTACGGTATTGGTCAATCAGGCCATTGTGATGTGGAATTCGACATTTGCACATCAGGAAACTATTACGCTTGGTACTGGCTTGAGACAAGCTCTATCGGAGCTTCATAAGCTCACCGATGTTTATTATCCTGGCATGCCAGAGCAGCAAACGAGTCAACACCTTTTGGATGTTTCGTCACCCTTAGAATACGCCGAAACCCCATCACCACCTTCACACCGTAGCGCTCGCACATATCAACCACCGCCGAATGGCCTCGGCGTTGCATCTCCGGAGTTGGGAAGTCAAGCTCTTACGAATAACCGGATCTATTCAGACGATCACCAAACCTACATTCCTTCAAGTCCAGGACAAGTCAAATCCATTTCCGAGCCGACGCCGAGACATGATGACTCACAAGTACTCTTTGTGCCCATCGAATCATCACCTACATCAGTACTCGGGCTTGAGTCACAATACCTGACAGTGCACCAGAAAGACGTTCGTGACAGACAGCGATCAGAGCCAGCGGTTGTATTCCCAGATCTAAGATCCAGTCCACATCCTCAGAGCAAGTCACAGCACCATGGTGACTGCGAATTTGCCCGTAAAGCTGCGTCACTGGGAGAGTGCCCATCTACACCCACCCTGCCAACAAACCAAGACCATGGAGAACGAGAGATCCAAGCTTCACCTACCCCACGTGCTCGACATTATACCAACCATGTAATGGACATTGAGGTTCCGTCGTCACCGCCTTCTGTGCACGATGGCGACACCAAGGGCCGAACAGGCCTTGAAAACCTCTCCTCTCCTCCGCAAGGGCCTGTCGATGATAGCCAGATGATCCTCGAGATTGGAATGCCTGCATCGGATGCACTAGACCAGAACGACGATGAGATGGATGCCGCCGTCGACGCGGTCCCAACACCTTCAGTTGTCGACACCCCACTCCAGGAAGCCATTGCAACATTGACTCCTGGACCAGAGCGTGATTTGGCAGAAGCCGATGCAGAGGATGGAGAAACCGAGGAGGATTCGAATGTGGTTGGTTCGATGGCAGTGATTGTCACCAAAGAAATAATCATTAATGAGCGAACAAGTCCTGTGGCGACATCAAGAAGCGACAGCGACGAGAACGATGTGCTTAGCGCCTCACAGTTGTCACAGGACCTTGATCGTCATATTTACGAGTCTACTGGAAGTTCACTTCTGGAACAAGCATTCGAGACTGCGCCGACAAGCAGCTCCAATGATGGTTGTGATCAGGAATGTTCCAATAATACCACACACAACTTTCGCAAACGCAAGGCTGGTAATTCCGGCAAGCCAGCCAGAAAACGTCGCATAAAATCGACCTCACAGTTATCCTCGCAAGCTTCAGGGGAAGGGTATTCGTCTAGCCAAAATGAGCTCCTGGACACTATCGAGGTTATCTCATCACCCAGTGATAGGAACATTATGCCAGAGAATCCTGTGTCAGAACGACGGTCTTGCACATCCGAGTCGACTCCAACACAAAGACGTGGACGTGGACGCCCAAGAAAGCGTGGGCGTGGTCTCCAATCTGCAGACTGTCGACAGACTCCTCAAATCGTAGCAGCTGTGATAGTTCCCAGACCTTCAGCTTTGAAGACCGAGAACAGCGACTTTGACACACTGGGGGTAGATGCTGGTCTCACGGAACACGTCGAGAGCGGAGAGCTGGTCATAGTTGATATGGAACTGATGCCGACCGAGGAAGAGTCCACAGAAAACGCCATTCAAGAACTTGACGACGCGACTTCAGTGCCAGTTGTAGCTACCAGCAACAGCAATCAGGAATCGAGTGAACAGGCGGACCCAACCTTCCTTACGACGTTGCAGGCTGCGCTCGATCAACTCAAATCGAACACAACAGAAAATATCGATCTGCGAGCCGTCGATGACCTTTGCTTTCAAATTCGGTTCCATGCTCAGGTGCTCAGCCAGAAGTGATTGAGTAGGGCTGGTCAGTAACGTTTTGCTTGTTCATTACAGCGCTCCTGGCAGGGGAGGACCCTTGGGAAGGGCAAATACTATGCCAAAAGGGATGATTGATTAGGATAGGGAATACCATGAACTACCTTCCATGATTGAGTATATGGTAATATGATAATCATCATTAGATATGGCATAAAACAGCAAGCACTAGAACGGCTATACTCGAGTACCTACCCAAGTACAGATAAGCGATGCGTGAGCTCCATATCAGTTACTCGGTATCTGTCGCAGTTATATCGGCAGAACATTCTCCCAGAAGTGGAAATGGAGGCAGAAAACGCGGGGATGTTCGCCAGCCGGGATTCGGTCTTGGTATAAAAGCAGCAGCAAGCAGTGAGGCACGTGACCCGGACGGAGATTTGCCGGGCTCCTAAAAACCGAATTGAGCCATGAGTAACCAACCAGCAGAGCAGTTCGTCTCCCCCATTTCCTTACCCAGAGGAAACACACCAGCTCAATCATTTGTTAGCTATCTTCACTTCAATCATCCCTCGCCGTCATCGCCATAGTAGCTGCGAGTAGCTGCAAGGCACTGCTGATACCTCATTCCTAATCGTCCACTTGTTCCCCGGTTTTCTTTCTGGCCCATCACCATGGCTGCAGCGATAAAGGCAATCAACGCGAAGATTCGCTCGAATCCAGTCTCAGACTATCTCTGTTCAACTCGTACGTCGTCCCACAGTCCTTCGTCGCTCTTAAATGCAAGAGATAGACTCTTTGTTCTCTCTCTCAACTGCTCCTGACGTTGCGCAACTGCGACATCTCTCCTCTCTTTTCCAAACAGACCTCACGAAATTCTGACCTGTGACTCAACCAAACAGATTTCTGGGGCCCGGCCTCGAACTTCGGTATCCCCGTTGCCGCCGTCTTAGACACGCAGAAAGATCCTGAAATGTATGTGTAAAAAGCATTCCCATAAATAAGAACAGGGGAGCTATGAGAACATGTGAAGAAGCGCAAAATACTTGCCTCTCATTGCCATTCCTGACAGTTTTGGAACCCCAGGCTGACTATATGACTTCTTGCTCTCCAGTATATCCGGCCCATTCACCGCGGCCTTGACCCTATACTCTGCCACATTCATGCGATATGCCATGGCCGTTCAACCCAAGAACTACCTTCTCTTCGCCTGCCACTTTGTCAATATGAACGCACAATTAACGCAGGGTTATCGGTGGTACGACTACTGGTAGTAAGTAACCAATCATTCAAGGATTTCTCAACATCTATTCTCACGCCGTGCTCCTCCTCATCCGGACCAGCCTCCCACTACCTAGTTCACATTCGAAGAAAGATTTACAGTTGACTAACATGACGATCTAGTCGTGGCGGCGCCGATAGATGGGCCCTCCTGCGCGCCGAGAAGGCGAAGCTGGAGGAATCAGCAGGTTCAATAGCCGACCAGGCCAAGGACAAGGCCGCTCAAGCCGTCGATGCGGCAAAGAAGTCTGTCTCATAAAGTTTTTTTCTGGGTTCTGGGACGGGTCACTACATACAAAAAGGATACATCCACGGCTGTTATTTACCATAAAGAGAGCTACACTGGACATCATGGGGAGGACCAGATAGGGGCTGGGGATGGGCTGGTTGGAATGGGACGTACATTCGTCTCGGAAAGTCCCAGGATGCCATGTCCTTGGGCTCATCGTCGCGGTGGGCTGCCGAGTCAGTGGTCGAGGGATGATACTTGTGCATTCCAGCATCTTGATTAGAGCGGACCGAGCTTGAAGATCTCTATGCTTCGCTTGACAGTGAACTTAACTCGAATAAATTTAAAGCTTAATTGGTCCATCCTGGGCATTTGAGATGACTGTTATGTTCCCCCTTCAAGCTCTCAAAATCCTGCTGTGAACATTCCGATTATACATTTAGCCGAGATACCCACGCGTCTATCATCGTCCTAGCATACTGAGACAAGTATGAACATGGCCATATCCATTACTACTGTGAGTGCTCAATCTCCCATGATCCCATGCAAAGTCAGAGCCAGTGAGTTCCGTGACCTATCAGAGGAGCTGGTATATAGCACTTAAACCTTTCAAGTCGACCGCTACTCAGAGCTGTCCGGCTGTTGATAACATGGTGAGATACGCCCGAGGGTAATCCGAAGGGCAGCAAAGCAAATCATCCAGGCAACATGAATCCATCCCAGCCCCAGGTGAAAACTTGAATGCCGAATCACGGATCCCGCACACGCACTTTCCCCTGAAGTTCCGGAAACACCAGGAGGAAGTCGGTGCTGTACGTCCAGTTATTGAGGTCGGAGCCGTGCAATTTAAACTCCTCGGTGAGGTAAAGCGATCCGTTGGTCGGGTGCACCTCGACGGCTTGATTCAGAGGTTTCGGCCAATTGAGGGAGATGCCATGCGCGGAGCTGAGGAAGTCTCGCGGTCGTCGACAGACAGCGTCGCGCAGGTCCGGGAGGTGGAGCAGATCGACCACGACGCTGTGTGGGATGGTGCGTTGGACTAGTGTTGGTCGTTGGTAGGGTAAGAGACTGGCGTAGGTTTCTGCGGAGGGACATATCATCCACTATTTACGGTGCGAAAGTTGGTTAGTTTGTGGCTTGGACATGGTAAGGCTGGATGGGGTGTGAGGGCATATCTTACCCTCATTAATCGATAGACTAGAAGGATCCATATCAGCACGAAGGGACGTTCTAGGTCCTCAAAGGACGAGAATAACGAGCACGCCCAATGGCTGACGCTAATCCCTCCGAGAGACGTCAGGCGCCGTGGGGCAAAGAAGCAGTCGACCTGTGGTTGTTCATCTCCAATAATGGTATCGACCGAGGTGCCCTGTTCGATCAAAATGCGGGCAGCTGTTAAGAAGCTCGTGGTCTTCCGACATAGCGTCGAACCATCATCGAAAACCAATGGATAGATCGACCATTCCGGCTTACGGAAGAGTTCCAATTGCTGTTCTTCAAGCGTTAGGGGCCAATCCCCAATCCTGAGTGTTCCCAAAGGGGCCCATCTACCGCCCAGTGAATAAGATGGTGGTGGACAGGTGAAAAAGTCTGAGTTGTACTTTAAGGCAGGATGCCAGGATTGACTTTCATGGATGAGGTGCTTGGAATAGCCTCCGGATAGCGCATGGAAGGGGAAGAGATGTCTGTCAACATACTGATATCCGTAGCTAGAGACGTTTGGAGAGCCTTGCTGTGATGTACTTCTGCTATCAACGACATCACTCGCCTCAGAACTTTGAGACCGGCGCCTATGAACCAAAGACGCCTTCTGGGCGTGCTTTGAATGATCCGTGGTAGCGAGCACGTTACTCGAAGCCAGCGATTGCTCAGTCTTTAATGATGGGTCTAAGAAAGGCGAAGCTGTAACACTCAAACCACTGGATGCATAATTATCCGCTGTGCTGTAATCCGATTTCGGCGGGACTGAGGGAATTGAATTCGTGCTCGGCGTGGTAGATCCTATGATGGATGTTGGGATAACAGGCTTGTTTCTGTTTCCCTTAAAGCCTCCGCTGATTATACTCGTATCCAACTCTATTTCTGGCTGCTCTTGGATAATAGTTTCTAGCTCCTCAATTGAGGAAGCTTTTCGCATTGAAATGAAGAAAGAGGCGGCATCTTTTTCGTTGGCATTTCTTATCAAGTCCAAGACCTTGTGAAGAGATTGGCTATCTCTCTCAAACGCCACAAGCTTCTTCTTAAGGTCTCGACGGCCATCATGCCTTATGTCGTACAGACAGTGAACTTCCAGGCGAGCGCACGATGAACATGGCTGGTTACCATCGCACTTCTTTCGTTTTGCTTTGCAAGCTGTACACGCAGAGGTGACATTCCGACGCGGAGCTTGTCTGGGCACCACTACCTCTGTTCTTTGGGTATCGGAGGGAGCAGGGCGAGGCGCTAGAAGTGGTTTGTTGACCACATTAGCTGATATGTTCATTATATGTGAAATGATTGAGTCGGTGGCAGATAAGCATTGACGTTGCTCAATGGAGCATGAATAGTCGGATCCAGACTACGCCAGGAGCAATACTTGTGCCTATATTTGTAGTCAAATGTTGTCATTGAAAGCTCTGCAGGTTTGTCGATCACATGAAGCCAAAAAAATATCGTGACTGCCATTGTGGCGGGGTCTACCAGTCACAGACTAATGCCTGGTGATCTGGTTGTACAGATATGCAGCACACTTTGTGCTCTTTCACCAGAGCAATGTTCCTGCAGAGGTAGGGAGGCCCTCAGAGTTGGATACAGAGTCAAATGAAGACCTATGAGAGATCAGTATTCTGTACTGCACGTTGGGGAGTTGATATGACCTCCGTCGCGCCATCCAGATGTCGCGCTTGAGGGGCCGGAAAATACTTCCTGAAGGTGTGAAGATCATCCACAGCGTCATTGTCGATCATTTTCAAGCTCGGTCTGCAAATCAGACCCTTGCGGTTCGGGCATTAAGACCAAAGTTTTGCAAACCATTTCACGTACGAGTACCTGGTAACTAACCAGTTCAGCGACCGTACTCGTGCGGTCTTCGTTCCTGGGCACTAAGAGGCAGCATATGTGGATAAATTATGCACCAACTGCTCATTGGGCATGGATTGAAGTGCAAAGGAAGGTCCGAGCGAGCAAGTAAGTTGTATATCACATCTTGCAGCGGTGCTTTGCGCTGCATTCACGATGCCTAAGCAATCAGAGATCTGGAGAACTTGTCGCTCACCTCACCGAGATCGTATCATTGTACCTAGACAGACAGGCAGGCATGGGCAATGATCTGACACCGGAGTGAACGTTCATTCGTAACCGACTGGACCGACATATCTGTTGTGTACCCTAATTTGAACAGGCATAAGATGAGAGCAGCCGACTCTGCCATTCAAAGCCCGAGGAGTGTCCGGATAACATTTCCAATCTCGATCGTGTAAAGCCACTAATCCGAAAGAGGCTGGCACTACGTCATCGCCACTGCAAGGCTGTGCATTCCTATCCGGCCTCACTGGTTGTTACCGACGTACTTCCTGCTGCTGTGAATACTCCGGATACCTCTCCCATCACATCATCCCAAAACGAGTTCCCTATGGTGATCAACGTTCACGGTGTCTCGGCCCAAAATCGACCTGCGCACTGGTCGTATCTCAAGGGGTGCCAAAGCCTGCCACGATACGAGTAATCTGAGCAAAGTCTGATGACCCCGCCCCTATCTTCGTACGCAAAGCACGTGGAAAGGATCACCAGAGCGTACGACGGATGAGCCATTGATACAGGGAGCTATACTCACCTCTTCCATGCCGAACCCGACCATATGTTCGCCTGAGGTCAATTACAATGCTCCACATGGAGAGCCACAAACGACCACGGCGCGCCGGTCATCACAAGTCCAAAAACGGGTGCTTGACCTGCAAGTGAGGATTGGTCGGCGAACAAAATCCTTTGCATGTTTACTTACCTCTATCTTTGAGCAGGATTCGAAGAGTGAAATGTGACGAAACGATTCCACATTGTCGGAGGTGCACACAGACCGGCCGCAAGTGTGAAGGCCCTGTGATTAACGAGATCCATTTCATCAATAGTCACCAAGATAGTCCGTCGAGCTCGTCGAACACTCCATCAAGAAGGCTCGTATTCTCAGTCGGAACGCCACCACATGCCGAGGCTGAACGCCGTAATTTCCATTTCTTCACCAATTTCGCAGCACCGCTTTTCGCAGGTGCAGTGGACGATAGATTCTGGACAGAACTGGTTCCACAACTCGCACAGACCTACAATTTTGTCTGGGATTCTGTTGTCTGCTTGAGTTCATTAGTCGAACACGCCCAGCACACGCACACGCCTTCGTCGACTGCATCCGACTCACCCCCAAACCCTTTCGAAATCCCCAATCGACACCATCAGCAGGCACTGAGGCTCTACAACCGAGCCATATCGAGTCTGCGACAACTAGCAGCGCGCGGTCAGGTGAACAGCTCCATCATCACCCTGAGCTATATACTATTCTCGTCGGTCGAGTTCCAGCAATGGAACGTAAATACCGGTATTCAACTGCTGAAAAGATGTTGCGCCATATCGATCGAAAACCTCTTCATCGACAATCCCGCTAAAGACTCAACTTCAAGCCTGGCGGTCCATCAGGTGGTCACACCTTTCGTATTGCGGAAGGCCGTATTGACGGCCACATTGGGCTGCGCTCTTCCGCTGCAATGGCCCCCTGACGAGGGGACCAGCCAGAGCCTGAACAAGACACTATCTCGATCACCGGCGCTTGCAGAAGCCAGATCCCAATTCTACCTCTTGGTGAATGACTCGTACGAAGTAATACGACTCGCGGACTTCATGCCCCATATTGCCGACAGTCACCCACTAAAGAAGACATTTACATCTGACCGCGTATCGCTGATGGAAAGACTAATGCGGTGGAAAGCCTTAACAATCAATATTACCACTTCACCACACGATCCAGAAATCGACTGGATGCTATCCTACCTCTTGATGTACTGGGCCGTCTGTTACATCTACCTAGCCACCTGCACCAGCACGCGCCAAACTCCATTTGACGAGCACATGGAACGCTTCGCCACGATCGTCCAGCATGCACAGAACTATCTCAGACACACGTCCAACTTGACCCGGATCCGTCTCCTAGCCAGCGTTGGCCCGGGAGCGCTTCCACCATTATACTTCTGCGCGATGAAATGCCGCGAACCACGACTGAGGAGGGAAGCGCAGAGACTCATGCCTCTGGCTCCTGCTCAGGGAAACGAGTGGGCGTTGGTGGAACCGGAGCGCGTCGTCGCCAAGATCATCTCGCTCGAGGAGGGAGAAGGACAAGCTCGACCCGCCACGTCACCAGGCCCAGCATCAGTCACCGAGCGCTTGCCTGATCTGCCGCCGGAGGAACGACGCTTCGCATTCGTCAGTGTCGTGCCCCGACGAGCACCAGGCGGCAGACTGAGACAGGCCCTTGAATTGAATCGCTTTGAAGAATCGGCGGTCAGCGGCTCGCGACGCCTGATTAGTGACTACGTCTGGTTGGATGATGAATATACTTAATAAAGTAGATGTGTAAAAACAAAAAGACGTGAAGAATATTATTCTATTGGTGGTGATTTTGCATCTTCCACATTCGGTATCCGTGTCGTATCATACATGAAATTATCCCATAAGTACATTGGAAGAAGAAGAAAAAAGTAGGAAGATGAAGATGAAGATGAAGATGATGGAGAAACAAGAGGAAGAAATGCTGGCATGTTTTTGCGGCTGGTGGTGGAAGAAGAGGAAAAGAGCTGCTCGTTCCTCCTCAGATGGCAGTTCCCCTTTCGGAGTGCCGTCTCGCTGCACAGGGTATCGTCATCCAACAAGAGCGCGACGAAGATGTCTTAGCAATAATCTCATACGAAAAGGGGTTCTTGCCAATGGTCCGCGATGTTTGTTCATGCCGAGTTGTTCTTTTTCTTCTCCCTGGGACTTCCCGTCACAGTCGCGTCATCTTCATCGGCCGAATCGTTCAAAATCGTAATACTCTGTACCCGCTCGCCTCTCCCCAGCTGGACGGCGGCGAATGCGTCAACTTCTTCAATCTCATCTTCTTGCTCGTCGTCTTCACCGATGCGAGGTCGGCTACTCCCAAATTCATCCTCTTCCTCCTCTTCAATGATTTGACTTTTCCGTTTCCCACTATTTTGTCGTCTATGGCCGTTCATGAAGCCTTTTAAGCCGAGATTCAGATGCCCGTCCGAGCTTTCCCGGACTCTGCTATTGACTATCGCTGGACTGCCGAATGCAGCAGGGATGGTTGAGGCGGTGAAGAACGCGGGATTCAGCATGGGGCCCTTGAAGGGTGACTTTTTCCTTCGGGCGAACATGACACCAGATCCAAATTGACCAGCCTGGGGCGTTGTAGAGAGGCGAGAGCCGTCATCGTATGTTCCTGAGAGAGGTCGTGGTTGAGGTGTTCCATCCGCACGTTGAGTCCTCGCTGATCGAGCGTTGGAAGAAAACAGATTTGCAGTTGGTGTCGCGGGAAGAACTTTGATTGAAGAATGTGGAGAGTGCGCAGTGCTCCTCGTCCTGGGACTGTTTATGGTGTCTATGCTGTTAGAGCTTTGAGAAGACGCTTTACTATGTGACGCGTGTCGGGGAATGCTTCGGACTGAAGAGACCGAAGATGATGTAGATTTTCGACCACGGAGGCCTGTTGAGCTGCGCCGATATGATGAACGGGGGGTGACAGGTGAGGGTGAAAGCGAGTTACGCTGCCTGGAACGCGCAGTGTCAATTCGAGGACCTCCTCCCGGTGTGGTCATGGACGCTAAATGGTTCGAATTCGATGTTACCGGTGTAAGTGCCGAACCTATAGAAGACCGGTTTGTAATGTCACTGAGTCCTCTGGTATTGCTCCCTGGTCGGCGAAATGTTTGATTTACATGTAAAAGGCTTGAAGATCCATTCGGGGACTTTTCCAACTTGGCGCCACCAGGAGATCGGGCACGCTTCGTGGACTCGACGAACCAATGCTTGATTGCAGTGAGTTGGCTAAGGAATTGTCGATTACGAAGTTTCCCACCCCTCCTCTTGTTCACACCATTGAGCGAGCCTAAGAGATCAGGGTTGGTTGCCACTATCTGTAGTGTACTGCTGCGGCGGTTTCGTTCTTTGGGAGGTAGAGCGGGTCGTGATCCACTATTTGAGCGTAAAGAGTCTTTGTCAATAGGCTGTGGAGGAATTTCGGTGGTCGGGGATTGAACGACATCGCCTTCTGGAAGTTGTGGAAGATCGCTAACCAGTATCTGAGGAGTACTCCTTCTCTGTGTTCGGCCACGACTTCCGCTTCCGCTCCGTCGTGGTGGTACGAACCCCGGCGAACCCTCCTCGTCAACCTCCTCTAATGTGGGTGCTATCCTTTCGAGTCGGCTACTAGCACCACTCAGACGTCGGAGTAGCTTCATCTCGGCTTCCCTTTCTTTCCGCTTTCGTTCCTTTCGGGCATGTTTTCGTGTTTCTTTCTCCAACAATAATGTCCACCATCCTGCGAGAGCATCACAACACTGAGAGAGAACGTTTTCGATGACCTTGTCGATATCCACACCGGCGGATTTCATTCGCTCAAGGGTTTCTTTCTCTAGCTGTGTGGTGAAGGCTGCAGGTTGAGAAAGTTTCAAGACCGCCTGTTGTTGTGGGGCGTGTTCGGACAGAAAAGGGTCGGCCAGAATTTCGGAGAGGGTAGGGCGATAAAGCGGCCGCTTAGACAGGAGTTTCAAGATCAAAGTCTTTGCTGCTTCTGGGAAGGTGTCTGGACAGAGAGGCTCGTCCTTCAATATCTTCGCTTTGGTTGCCACATCATCATCTTCGTCGAACGGTAGTTCGCCCTTCAAAAGCGCATAGAGGATGATTCCGAGGCTCCAGACATCAACCTTTTCGCCGGCATACTTCTCACCTCGGAGCATTTCTGGTGCGCTGTAACATACCGTACCGCAGAATGTCTGCAGATAATTTGCCTTTCCCTCATATTCTCTGGTGAAGCCAAAGTCGCATAATTTGACGTTTTCGTTCTTGTCAAGTAAGACATTCTCTAGCTTGAGATCACGATGGACACAAGACTTTGAGTGAATATATGCGACCGCTCCAACAAGTTGTGTGAAAATCTTCTGTACTGTGTCGACAGGTAGGGCTCCATTCTTGCATAAATAATTGTACAACTCATCCCCTGAATGCTCTTAGTAGTGCTCTTCCATCCTGCCACACTGGAAGACATACCAGGACAATATTCCAAAACTAGCCAGACCAGAGACTCGGTTATTATAACTTCATATAAACGGGCAATATGGGGGTGGACGAATTGTCGGTGATGGTGAATTTCGCGCGCGAGGTTGGGATCGTCCTTGTTAGAAGCCTTGAGAACCACCTATTCTGGGTGAGCATACTGCGGATTCCATGGCCCAAAAGTCGCTGGGGGATGCGATGCCCACCTTTGCGCCATTTGTCAGATTATGCCTGGCAAGATAGACCTTGCCGAATGAGCCCTTTCCAATGAGTTTGCCTAGCGTGTAATTTCCCACCGCCTTGAGATCCTTGGAGGAAAATTGTCTTCGCGAGTATCAGTGATGGTCGCGTGCGACAATGGAAGGAAAGGAAAGGCTTACTCGAGGAGTTCGCTGTATGAATTGGCAAGCTGTTCAAGATGGTCAGCAGTCAGCCCAAAGCGCAGACGTAATTTATTTGATTGAGGTGTACTTTGGATTTATGTTGCTGGAGCTCTGCTTTACTCCTGGCAGGTTGCATGCCTCCCGGCGGTCCTTTCGGATATGTGTGTACTTGAACGGCAAATCAAGCGTTGCATCGAGGATAAAGATGACATGTGCGCCGGTATGACAGGTTCGAATGCGGCGGTCAGTTGGTGTTATGTTGCTCGAGGGGTGTCGTGTCAAAGTCCAAGTGGAAGTGGGAGTGGTGATGCGGCCTGACGAGGCTCAAAAGACACTAGCCAACCACTGAAGAGTGGGTGGCACTGCGAAGAGGAATTCGTAGTTACCAGAACGCGGAATGGTGAGGGTCAGAGACTCAGAACGCGTGCTTCAGGTTCAAACGGTTAGGGACATTTGTGGGTACCGAAGAGTTAATGCGCTGGGGAATCGGGATAGAGACTCCGGAGCACCACACTCAGCCTAGCAAGTTACGGTATCTGCCTCTGAACCCGCCTGCGGGCTAGGCTTTACAACGGCGTCCTGAACTACTTTTGACGTTTTAGGGTATCAAGGGTGTTGATTTAGTTAGTATGTATAGGGAGTACCTAGGTAGGAAGTAGGTAGGGAGCTGGGAGGGACGAGGGGGGCCGAGGCCCCCTGGGCACCCATGCGCAAGTCCGGCGGAGGTCAATCACCGAATGGCAGGCGCCTAAGTTGCATGTCGAGAAGCCCATCAATAGCACGCTTTCTGCATCATAATAATACTACGAAGTACACCGTACAGCCCTCGCACTCGGTAGATACCTAACATAGACACCTAGGTAGGTATCCAAGGTACCTAATCAACCCGGCATCCCACATCTTCTTGTTAAAACGTCCACGAACAGGTTCAAGGTACCCTAGCCGAATTAAATCTGGTCTCACCAATTTGTCTACTTGTGCTCTTTCCCCTATTCTTCGCAATAAAACCCACTTGACCTTCGTGTCTCTCAGTCCCCTTAATCGCTACACTTTCAATATGTTAAAGGTGAATACTACCAGAGAACCACTCGTCGGAAGTCACGAGTGGCTCTTGGACACTATGGCGACGAGAGAGTGTGTCTAAGGTGAGACCTTGAAGTTGTGCACTAAATACAGGGTTGAATATCTGGATCGCTTTCGTTCTCGGTTTCGGACCGTTGGCCTACAATCACCTTGATGAACTCAGATTCAGATATCTCAGACGCAGTGACTTCCAGACTTCTTTCTTCGATATACGGAAAGCAGAAATTTGGGACATTCACATTTTCACGCCATGAATTATACCTCTGCTGTGCACGCATCAGCAGCTGAGCTTATGGAAGTATACTGAGTATTCTCTTGATTATTTAAACCTTATGGATTTCTCACAAGAGGAAGCCCATTTCAAGTCAGGCCAATCGTTGATTACCTTTCTTCGAGTATTCATCACGGTACTCATAGGCTATCTATCATGGAGCCTCATCACCATGGAGCTGAATTATCAGCGGGCCAAACCAATGGGTATTCCCTTGGTTCGCCTCCCCATTGACCCTCTGAACATCCTGTGGTCCGTCTTCGAGAACCCAACATGGCGACTTCTTGACCTTTTCCCAGTCAACTGGGGATCATTTGCTCTGTACTCACGAAGGGGTTGGAACTTCAAAGATAAATCGGCGTCTCATGTACGCTATGGCCCAATCTGGGCAATCGTCACTCCACGTAATATCTGGATCTCCATTGCAGACCCGGACGCTATCAGCGAGATTTACAAGCGAAGGACGGACTTCATACGTCCTAGCGAACTATACAGTAAGCAATTTCTCCTACAACACAACCCCCTGGCTCAAAATTGTGTTAGCATTACTTGATATTTATGGCCCCTGTATTTCGACCGCGAGTTGGACCGATTGGCCACGACATCGAAAAGTTCTCGCTGCCCCTTTTAACGAGTCAGCCATGACCTTTGTCTGGACCGAGTCAGTCAAGCAGGCAACACAGATGTTGGGCACTTGGCAGGCCAAAGATGGGAGCATTATGGATTACTCTAAAGACACGAGGATGCTGTCTCTTAATGTTCTGGCTGCCACCGGCTTTAAGAGATCTTACAATTTTGCCAGTTCTGACGCTGTCGACAGTCAGACTGGGACGGCTTCATACAGAGATGCATTGCAGATTGTCCTCGATAATATTCTCACTGTCATGCTTGTGCCACCTCGTTTACTCTCGCTCCCCTTCGCTCCCAGGCCTTGGCAGAGAGTTGGCATTGCAGCAAACGACTTCAAAAGGTATATGATAGATATGTTACAGGAGGAGACTCGATCATTCGAGCAGGGGAATATTGAAAAAGGTGGCTTGATGACTGGATTTTTGCGTGCTTCTCGGGGGACTAGCAATGATTCTCAGTCCTCTGAGCCCAGTACAATTATTAGCAAACGCCTCAATCAGACTTTGTCCACGGAGGAAATCTATGGCAATATCTTCGTGATCAATTTTGCAGGTCATGATACGACAGCCAACACCCTAGCCTTTAGCATGCTACTCCTGTCTGCACACCCCCAGGTCCAAGCATGGCTTTCGGAAGAACTTATGAATATCACCAAACACCATGGAGATATCGAGTCATGGACATACTCTGAAGTCTTCTCCAAGTTGAAGCGCTGTAGAGCGGTGATGCTGGAGACACTCCGGTTATTCCCACCTATCATGGCGATTCCGAAAAGGACAAACTCGAACCCTCAGTCTATCCTTGTTGGTGACAGGATGATAACCATCCCACCAAACACCTTCGTTACGCCTGGACCGTTAGCAATCCAAACACTGCCGGACCACTGGGAAGAGCCTTTAGAGTGGCGGCCTCAACGATGGATCACCAGGCCATCAGTTTCCCATGTCAAGCCGTCCACATTGCCAGAACAGTCATGCGACGACGAAGAAATACTCACACCACGCCAAGGCACATATCTTCCCTGGTCGGACGGTCCTCAAAACTGTCCGGGCTTGAAATTCTCACAGGTCGAGTTCGTGGCTGTTCTCGCGACGCTGCTGCAGAAGCACAGGCTTTCGGTTGTACTTGAACCGGGGGAAACATTAGACCAAGGTCATACGCGTGCAATGGCCACCTCACAAGACTGCGATATGTTGTTGCTTTTGAGATTGAGGAATCCTGGAAATGTAAAGTTGCGCTGTACAGTTGGTCCGAGGGACTGAGATAACCCCAATCAATAACTGAGCTGTTCCAAAAAAGGCAGCTTCTCATGGTAAAACAGCGATCTATTCGGGGTATCGATATCTACTTTCATCTTCTATTCTCTCAGGCTCAAGAAGTCCCAACTGTACATCTTCCTGCTCAAGTCGAGATATGCGTTGCTTGCGACTGGCAAGCCATCCTTTTCTTTGGACCCAGGTCCATACCCGTGGTCTGAGTTTCCTCACCGCGAAAACGGTCAGGCCAACAAGAAGAGCCAGTGCTAGCACAACTGTAACGATTACAGCCCAGGGATTGTATCCTTTGAGACAACACCCATACATCGACAAATACCACCGCACCAATTTCTTCATCAGCGGATCCCTTGGCTTATGGTCTGGCATCACCCCTTTTCGGACAAGGTTTTTGAACTGAGGACCATTAGGTCCGTCATTGTACTTCTTGAGGCCGAAGTAGCGTACTGTTTGCTGTCGCGGATCGGAGTCTGGGTATTGCTTGTCGCCCCATTGACCATCGAAGTACAGCCAGTCGGTTGGTGAAGTGGACGGGTCTGCAGCTTCAAAAGTTTTACTGTCAGGGTCGTATCTGTAATAATATGCCGGCTTCACGGGGTCCCAGATCTGGCCTGTTGCTGCAAGGTCAATGAGTGCTTCATCATGAATGTGATTCCCCGGGAATGGATAGTTCGCATGCGACCCCTTGGCACTGTATACTATCGGCTATTGGCATTGATCAGTATTGGTACTGCGAGATGGGCATAATAGTCACAAGCTGACATACTCTGTCGCCGTCCTTGAAGAAGCATGTTTCGTCCTCCCATGCACAACCCTGCCCATAGGCGTGCTGACTGTACCATATACCAGTTGGTTTAGTATTCTTGAAGCGGATCATGTTATGTTCCCTAAGAGTCATGCGCACTCAGTCGAATCCTTCAATACCAAGAAGAAGGGTAGCTTACCAGTCGCCGACATGGTTGCCATAGTGGTCACCAGGCTTAGCCTCGGGCAAGAGCTTCTCCAATGGTGGTACAACTTGCAGGATATCTCCACCCTCGTTGAAGGAATAGAAGTAAAAGTAGAAGACATCCACATCCACATCCACATCACTGTGGTCGACCATCACCACAGCGCACGCGGTAGAGTTTCGTAACGCACCTGTAGTGTCGGGGATCTCTCCTAGGATCCAGGTGGGGCTGGTTGTTGTGACGACATCGTTTGAGGTCAAGAAGACTCCTGCTCCGTATGTATTCAATGACGAGAGATTATGTAAATCCAAAGCTGAACGGTCCTCAATTGGGTTGAATCCATTCCAAGGCATCGTATGTCGGAGGTGCTCCGAGATGTCGCTCGGCATAAAAGCATCATCTGGGTGTAACCAGATGATTGGGGCTGTTTGGAATGCTCAATAAGTCCCCATTTCAATTTCAAAGGCTGGGAAATCTCACACACCATGGTCTACCACATATTGTGGAACAATGAAACTGGCAAATACCGACGGAAGGCTGCTGTGGTACAGAAGGCTAAGGGCCCAACTTCCGTCTATGCCCAGCCTTTTGCGCATGATGGTGACCAACCGTCACCAGTAGTTTACCGCAAATTGGTTGGAGAAAGGGGTCCTATCGGATCAGGCTATGGCTATTTCATCAGAACATCTGTTTATACACTGGGCAGGACTAGGGACGGATTGATATTGCTGAGGGAAAAGCAAGCCAGCCTTGCAACATGAGACATGTCAGCATCCGAGCCCGCCGTTCCATTCCGCTTTCGGTCGGCGTGAAGGTTCTTATGATTGACCGTTGTCGGCTTCTGCCCATCTCCGGAGTTCTCATCCGCAACTCTTTTCTACTGAAAGCACTACCTTGATCTCATCATGGATAGTTTTTTTGGTTGGAGTATCGTATAATTGCTCGAGACAGATCAAACTCGTTTGAGTCTCGGTCACTCGTGCCCACTGCTAATCACCATAATGTTGTGCTTTCTGACGACAAGTCCACCAAAACCACACGCTTTTGTAAGTTTACCTTTACAAAGTATGTTTAGTTTTTTATGTT